GCACCATCGGATCTAGCTCTTGCGATCCACTCCGACTGAATCCTGAAGGAAAGGCATATTATCCTTGCGGGTTGATTGCCAATTCCCTCTTTAATGATACGATTTCCAGCCCGGAGAAAGTTGGCGGTAACCAGGGTAGTAATGAAACCGAAACATTTCATATGACAAATGAAGGAATATCTTGGGCATCGGATCGCGAATTATACAGGCCTACCGAATACAATTTCGATCAAGTCGTGCCGCCCCCGAACTGGAAAGAATTGTACCCCGATGGCTACACAAAGGATTATCCGCCGCCAAATTTACAAACTTGGGAGGAATTCCAGGTATGGATGAGAACTGCTGGCTTGCCAACCTTTAGCAAGATGGCAAGACGAGATGATAATAGAACTATGGCTGCTGGTAGCTACCGTATTGACATTCTGGATAGTACGTCTGATTTGACCTCAATTCAGCTTCCCCTGATTTTTGCTAATTCGCACTTGCAGATTTCCGTGTTGAAAAGTATGATGGAACAAAATCAATCGTTCTCACAACCACTACAGTGATGGGCGGGAAAAACCCGTTCATGGGAATTGCATATGTGGTTGTGGGTGGACTCTGTATTGTGCTGGGTGCGCTATTTACTCTTGCACATCTCATCAAGCCAAGGTATGCCCAGACCAGTACAGAACTGATACCAGCTGAGTTACGATATTAACCGACTATTTTTTGAACCCAGAAAACTTGGAGATCATAGATATCTCACTTGGAATAATGAGCAGCCTTCTACCGCAGTGGCAACAGGACGTGAGGCTAGGTTCAATGACTAAATTGGTGAGATCTCGATGAAAATCACTTTGTTCCACTTCCTTTTGATATGATGTAAAACTTTACGCTCAGTCTTTCTTTGATGATTGTAACTTCTTGGGTATTTCATGCTGGTTTGAGGCGGTTTGACTTGGGCGTTTTACGGAATTTACTGGACCCATGAGCATTTGTTGTCTGTTTGCCTTGTGTTAAGTTTGGACATTTGTATACAATGCTACATTTCTTTAATTAACCGATATATCTGGCCCTGGCGCAGGCGTACCGAATCAATGCGGTTTCATTTATACCTTAATTTCTTTGGGAGTCAAGGTAGATCTTTCGAATATCACCACGATCCACGGGCACATCCTGGAGTAGAATATCCCGATCATTGTCCTGCTTCTATGATCTTCGTTTCCCCAATATTCGGGTCGGGATATAGACTTTGCATCCTGCCAAATGACCGCCTGTGTCCCTTCACAGCGCTGATATAAACGAAGTAATAAAATGGGAAATTAAAAGACCGTACAGGAATCGGCGAGAAAGACTTTCCCAATTCCCAAAGGCTCTTTGAAACATAGTCCAAAAAAGGTCTCTTCCGACAAGAGATGTTTCTGCACACGGATTGCTAAGTGGCTTGGGCACGGTATTTTGAACTCGTCAAGATAAGCAAAAGGACAGGGCGTTCCATAAATCTCCAAAATAAGCGCCATAAACTCATGGGGCGGGCCCCCTTTCTCCACGCAGAAATTCTCCTCTTTCCCAGTGCCCAGGAAGGGGCTCGAAGGGATACCACCCGAGGGATGAAGAGACAAGGGGACGGGTTGGAGAGAATCCCTGGACCTTGCTGCTTGTATGCCTCCTTCCCTCACCCCTCCCGATATCAGGGGCATTTTTTGTTGCTCGATTCAACTTCCCCGGTCGAGTTGATGAGTTCAGGGATTTCTTGATGCCTGGTCCATGGGTGCGGCATCGAGAGGACTGACGGATTACTGCGAAGGCAACTGCTTTTCTCGAGTGTCTTGTTCGGCACAGAAGGAATTCCACGGAGAACTAACGAGACATGTGAGTCGCATCTCTTCCCCCTTGGCGAGATGGCCAGTTAACTAGCTAAGTAGTTCCAAGTCAAGTCTTTGCATCTCGAGCTTGGGACTTGGGGAGTTAATTTAAATCCAGCAAACAAGAACCAGTGATTCTCCTCACCTTTCTCCGGGGAAGAGAGTAGCGAGCACCAGATCACTCCAGATAACAAGGGTGATGGCTGTTGCTTGGAAACTCGTATAGCTGATATGTAAGTTGCTTACAGGCAGGGATCCAAGCAGCCCCGGTTGACGACAGATATGGAACCCTTCCAGTGGAGCCCATTTGGGTTTCTTTGCAGTAGTTTGGATGGATGGAGAAGAGGGTATGTGCATGGCATGTGCAGGCTATCTTGATCATTCACGAACTTGCTGCGAGAACTTATCTGCATGTTGAGATCCGCACCGCGTTCCGACGCATCTCAACCTTTTGGCTCCATGTATGACTTCTACGACGGGCGGCTTCGAGAGCATCGATACCCCTGAAAGCCGATGAGATGCGGGTCTCCTAGACCAACTATTCAAGACATACGGCTCTTCGAGCAGGAACTATTAAAACACGATGTCGCTTCGCGTTTCTCGAAAAACGGCTTCTATTCAACTCCCGACTGCGAAACCCTGGGATATGTAACCACGACACTCGATTTCCAAGCATTACCTAAGTATTCCATACATGCATGATCCAATTCCACTTTTCTGCTATTCCCATGCTTTATTTGCCTTCCAAATGAGCCCGTCGCAATGAACGGTGCAAGGGGGAAAAGTGAAGATATAGAAACGGAGACATCGTTAGCGAGAAATGCCCCCTTAGAATAATTGAGAAATTAACGCAGAACAGAGGATAAAATACATGCGGCATAAACAGTGTGAATTGGAGAAGGAGGCAATATGAATCAAGAACAATATCAATGATCCAAGAAGAGAAGAGGGCCCAACGGCGCTGTAGGCTCAGTGGCCGAAGCCAAACGGGAGATAAGTCCCAGGGAGGCAACAAACTCAACGTTTGCGCTTCTTCCCAGAATCTCTCTCATCCAGTTTATTCTCGGCATCTTTCTTCTTCGCCTTCTTTTCCAGTTCATCCCAATCTTCGCCATCATCGTCGTCATCGCCGCTGATACCCTCACTAGCCGAAGCACTAGCATCATCGTCAAACTCACTATCCTCCTCTGAACTTTCTTCTGATTCATCCAAGTCTGAGTCATCTATCTCAAATGCGGATTCTTCTTCCTCCTCCTCCTCTTCAGAGTCCGATTCAGTGGCCAAGAACGACCAGCCACCGTCACGGAAAAATCCATGCGGGTCGCTTGTGACGGTCTTCATGATGGCGCTCCAGTTAAGATTGAGCGGCCCTTCGGTGAAGGAGATGTCGACGGAGTCGAGCCAGTCTTTGACGCCTTCTAGATTTTCGACGGGAATGGTGTTGATATGAACCGGTGGTCGATGGAAGTCCTTGAACACAAATACGAGATCGAAGTTTTTCAGGCCAAACTGTACTCAGGGTTAGATTCTGCGTTCAAATACTGTGAGAGAAATCAGTGCTTACTTGAACTCGTTCCAGATGTGCCACTTCGATTTCGTTGAGCGTGATGACTAGGAAGGGTGGTTCAGTCAATTGAACAACGGCATCAGTTGTTGGTTGTATCAGAACATTCGATCGGTTGGGCACGCCGGTAAAACCGATTTCTCTGAACGGGATATCGACGTCGACACCTTCATCCTTTCCGGCATCTGAGATTTTCTCAGCAAAGGCCTTGAACTCTCGGTCCAAAGCGGCTCTGCGTCTTCTTTCTTCTTGTTCGGCTTCAAACTCTTCTTCGTCTCCATATCGATGCTTTCGTCTTCGATTTCCTGTTTCGTCGAACTGCATTTCCGTGGCTTCACGATAGAATTGAACATCCCTGGTCTTGCGTTTTCCAATCATGATTGGGGTTTTTAGATGGACGTGAATCAAAACGATCATTTCATGCGCGCACGGTTGGAAAAACAAATGTTTGACATTGCTGAATAGGACGTCGACATGCTCACTGCGTAGTGGCGATAGATAACGTAGACCGTTCTGGTGTATTTCAACCTCTCCTGGAACCCGCTTCCCGTCCAGCGGCGGCCGAAGATAGACATCTGGTAGCTTGACAGGACGACGATCTGTGATGAATTAGTAAAGTGGATTGGGAGAAAGGAAGACCAAGAGGGCATACTTCGAATCTCTACAAGTTTATCTTGCTCAACCACGTCCTCCATCTCCTTTTTCACCTGTTCCCTTCGCAAGGCATTCTTCCGAAGCTCAGTGATGTCTTGCGCAACTTGACCTAGCCGATCTTTATCTTTAGACCTCAGCGTCAGGTTTCGTAGAAAGTGAGCTGACGGATCTTCAAACGGCTGGTCATCTTTCCGTCCAACACCTTGACCAGGCGATAAGAAATTGATACGGAGGTATGCGTACTCGCCCTCGTCACTTTTGCTTGCGTTTTTGATGGTATTTATGTGAAAGGGAACCGGGCGACCCATGATCGGGACAATGATCGAGGATGCCTTCGGGTCAACATAAATGGCCAAGTCCTTGACTCGAGTAGGCAATTGACTGTCTCGTTTGTATGACTCGAAGCGCTTGAAGTTCTTCTGTGCTACGCCGTTTTGGTCACCCGTAGTGCCTGCAAATCGCTCAAGCCCCTCTCTAGTCTTCTTCGTAGCCAGTTCCCTTTGATGCTCGCGTCTGCGCGCTTCTGCACCCTCATTATTCTGTGTAGGTCGTTCCGCCCGCAATTTAGTTTTAGTTATATTCTTGCTTGCAATGGCACTGGATCTGTGAGGCTCATTTCTAGATTTCTTTGGCTTTTCTTGTTCCTCTTCATCGCCAAAGTAGAAAGACACGGAATCCAAATCAATGCCGGCATCTTTTGTGAAGACGTGAGGACCGCTTTCACCAACACGTACTGTATCAGTGATGACCATGGAATAAAGTCGATCCTTCTTTTCTTTGGCATCGGGATCCGCAACGTCGGTGAATCCGATTGAGATGCATAAAGTCATTCCGCTTTTTAGGGTCTTGTTATTCTTCGCGTTGAGCACCATATTATTGTCTCGCAGCTCGATACCGATACCAGAACCAACATTTTTGACGAAATGTTTTTCCAAATCAGGTTTTTTGGCCCTGATTAAGCCGAGTGCTTTGTTGTAAACATCCTTCGCTACTGCACTATCGCGAATCTCCTTCATAACGGTATCATAAACGGCAAGCAGGAAACCATAATTGTTTTCTTGAGATTTTGTAGGGTCCACAAGGAAAGTTCGCCCAATCGCAGACGCATATGTTTGATACCGAATACCAAAAGTAGCAATGATAATGCCAGCTTGCAAGTTGTGGGTATCACTGGCGGCGGAGAATTTCAGGTCATAGGTTCCACCGCTTTGAATGATGGGTCCGTAGGCCCAGTCAATTTGCTGGGGATCAAATCCTGCAGGTAGTTTGGCGAGTTTGTTGAAAAATTTGACGTCGTCAATTTTAGCATCGATTTTCGCCGCGAGGGTTTTGTGGCTCATCTTTTTCTCTTCATCTAAAAGCTGTGACATCTCTTCAACAAAATATTCGGACATAAGGCCGCTACAAGCACGTGAGGCATTTCGCATTAAAATCTAAAACGACTCTTAGTTGGAATTCCACAGTATGAGTAGGGAGGAGATATAACCTACTAATTCCTCTTGTCCTTTTACGGAAAAGCAGACGCTCGATAGCGCTGGCCCAATATCCACTTCCTCAAGGCTCTTGAGGCTTTCTGCGAAGGTCCTTTTCCACTCATCTGCAAACGGGCCGGAAGATGTGTCTTTTGGTAGGGTGCCGACTTTGTTCTAAATAACCTTTCAGTCTTTTTGCCGTTGGATTATGAATATGTCGCGGTGAGATGGACTTACACCTGAGTTCTTGATTAAGTCCAAACACTTGTCGAATGCCTTGGTTTTCGATTCTGGGTCTTTTGAGAATACCAAAAGCTCCACAGGGACTTTTCCACCTTTCAAGGGCTCCAATAATTTGGCTAAATCATGTTAACCTCACCCACCCAGCCAATGTATATAGCAATCCGTCATACCTTTCTTTGCGGTTGTCACAACGAACATCCCTTCCAAGGTAAAGAGGCAAAGCGTCGCAGGAAATTCATACCCAAAAAGCCAAAACTAGAATATGTCAGCTGCACTCTCCATGATAGATTCCAACGAGGACGATCTAGCGGTACTCACATGAATTGCATTATTCTTCTGGAAGGCGGCGACGTCCTCGGTCTTACCCATCAGAATGACGATGGAGGTGGCACCACCGAACACCGGATTGGCAGACCGCTTGTCTGACCGCCATGCTGAGTAGAGTGTCGACAGGCGATTGGAAAATGTAGCTTTGTCAATCTTGATTTCTTCTCCCATCGTGGGCAGCGCGCCCAAGAGACGCCTTGGAACAACGTGTAAGACCAAAGAATCTCAATATAGACTAAATGAGGAGACGGTCGAAAACACAGCGCAAATTCAATGACTATTGATGCCGAAGACAATGGCTAGTGAAGCGGGAAATGATAATTGCAGCTCAATAGGCAGGATGATGCGTTCTTCATATAAGGCCCGTGATTGAAAGCTTCAACGCGTCCAGACGGTCTAGCCATATCTAGCTAGCGTGTAGCCTGCATGGCATTACATAATAAATTGGTAGATGATATAAGCGCCATGTTTGTCACGTTTGATTAAATCGGCAAAATCGATTTTCGGGCGGCTGAAAAGCGGAGAGCGGCCATCGCTCGCAATCACACGACGACGACATGATGCTCAGTTGCTCAGTTGCTTAAGGGAGCGCTGCGTTTGTATTCCTTTTTAGACTTCACCTTCATTTTTTCCCCCTGTACTCGAATCGCTACGTACTCATGAATTCTTGTACTCCCGGCCACTGCTGATGGAGCACTCGTCCTTCGTTCGGGCACAAAGTTATGTCCTTTCCAACCGATGACCCTTCACAGCTCTCTTTCGAAACGGATATACCTTCCGACGCGGATTCCGAAGGAGCTGGGCGTCGAAATCCGCGAACAAATGCGGCTACTGGAGCTTCCGCTGCTGGCGTTCGCGCCATCAGCGCCCAGGCCGTAGCTTTCTATTTCAGAGCCCCTGTCAAAGCTTTTTTTCGCACCCGTGTAGAGTATGTATTTGATGTGACGTAGCTTGGATGAAAGCTAATGGTTATGTGTCCGCAGTTATATGGTATGCTCCTCTACATGTTTGTGCAAATCGAACCATAACTGAGAAGCTTAGGTGCTAGCGAGAGCAATCAACCCTCGACTTGCAGAAGGTGGAAGTTGGTCATGGAAGACGACTACTCCCGGGTTGCTGGCCCACGCAGTCCGCACATATGGTTGGACCTTTATTCCATATCAGGTGTTACCGCCGTTAATGGCGAATGTCACGTATGTTCTCTTTGCTCATAGTGTGCTTCTTTTCGGGCTCTGACATTCCCGGTTCTCATAGCGTTGGAGCAGCCCTTTATACGTCGTACCTTCAGATTTTGAGCAACCTGCATGGTCCAACCTTGGTAGCGACGAAGCGCATTTACCCTCCGCCTTCGCCTGTTGATACATTTATGGCTGGCTTTGCCGCAGGCACGATACAGTCAGTTATTGCAGCGCCGTTGGATGCTATCCAGGCGCGCTTCAGGTCAGATGAATTGCTGAATGGCCAGCATCGGAGTGCTTGGCACTATTGGAAGAGCAAACTATCCGAACTGGGGATGCGAGGAATATTTTCTGGTTGGACGTTATCATTTTTGAAAGACAGTTGCGGCTCGGCCCTATTTTTCTGTCTGTTTGAGACGATTAAATCTCAAGGATATTATTCATTCGTAACGCGTTACTATGGTTCGCTCCAACCTCGGGTGGTGGAGAAGTTGTCGACATCTGCAAGCTATCCTGGCGACATTCCCGTCATTCGTCCCCATTATGCGCTTGAACCGTGCTTTCTGATGCTTGCGGGTGTCACGGCCTCGATCGGACAACAGGTTGTGCTACACCCGCTTGGACTGCTCCAGAGTGTGTATTACAAACGGTTGGAGCATCTTGATGGCAAGTTGAGTCAGAACCAATCAAACCGAGATTTGATGAGAGTTCGTTTCAATGCCTACCAAGACACCTTTGAGCGATGCCGACGGAAAGCACAGCGGGTAGGAGGTTGGAGGGCCTGGCTATATCGTGGTTTCCTGTGGAATACACTTCGTCAAGTTCCCAGCACCAGCACCGGACTGGTGATTTTCGAGCTGGTGCGGCGGAAGTACGGCCTTCCCACCGAAGCGGTTCATATCAAGAAAGACGGTTACGACATTCTTTTGACATGACGCTATTCAATATTGGAAGGTCGCCGTTTTGGTTATAGCAGCTGATGGCGTTTAGAGCGTTGATTTGTCCACGTGCGCATCACCGTTAGACATTTGATATCGAAGCCATTTTTTTCTTTTCTTTGGCTGTATTTCGACGGATGTGTGTCCATGTGTACACTGATTAGATTTCTTTTCGCGACAACCATGTCCTGTACATAGTTACATACTCGCATAGAGCAAGCGCAAGCAAGCGTGCCACACACAATGAAATCAAACGGACCCTCGCCGTTGTCCAAGTCTTCACCTGCTGATCAAGTCATCGAAAACCGCTCCACGCTATGGGGTCGCAGCTGGAGTCACGATTGGATGCTTTGTGCGGCAAGTCTTAGGTAACCAACCCAATTAGTGAGTTGACCAGAAAATTCAAAATTTCTTCGTATCGGGCTCGGCTTTGTGCTGCGAGATTGATCTTTGTCGGATGCAGAGCACTAGTCAAGGCGAGCTGTTTGAAAGGGGGCTCGCTGTCGAAGGTATAAATAAGTGCGTCTGGTCTGTAGTTATAGCAAGCAGCTATCACGGCTCCTTGGCCCTCTCCCTGCCCGTCCGCTCAGGTCCCAGGCTCTTGATCCATGGCCCGCGAGATTCACTAACCAGCCGATCAACGTCATCCTCGCCGGTTCATCTCAGCTAAGCCCTCCCCTTCCGCGCCGCCTGTGGAGTTGATCCCCGGACGCTCAGGCGGAGAGAATTTGGTCCTGCACTAAAACTCAACACATGACCACGACTGGCCCAAGAACGTCCACTTCACCCATCACCAACTGCACAACCCCAGCCTATCCCCCGACGCCTTTGCCAGTCAACCGACCATTCCTTGTGGGATGCAGCCGCGTTTCTCCTCTTCTGTGCTTCTCCGGGAAACCTCACCCATGCACGTTCACGATACTCCACCGCCTGGTCACCTGTGATTCCGCATCCCCCTTTCCGAATCTCTCTTCTCAGTAGGGCTGCTTTGGTCAGCCCGCTTCGACCGCCATCATTTCTTCCTCAAACCCGCCAGATTCCTCCGCTCCAATTCCCCTCCGGTCCATAACTTCTCATTCCCGGCCCTCCTCAGAACTTTCCTCCTCGCTTATCGACTCCTCACGCGAGAAGCAGGGCGCCCGGAGGTCTCCTTCGTCCTCTCCACCACCTTCAACCCCTTCAGAATCCACCTTTTCAGTCTGGTCCGACACGGGGGACTTAGCAGAACAACTTGCCAACGAGGAGGACCCCTTGCAGATACAGCTTCGAAAATCCCTTGACCACGACGCGTTTAGTCGAACTGGCGCTGCTAGAAGGTCCCGTTCGAGGAGAGTTCGTTACGCGGAGCACGAGGAAGAGCGGAACAACCTTGGCCCCCGCGGAATCTCGAAGGAAGCTATTTGCATCCCGGAACCTCCCCCCCGGAAACCCTCCCGAGTTGAAACAATTCTAGCATCCATCATGTCGCCCGGAAGCAGACGGACAGCCCAGATGCACGGGCTGGTGGGCAAGCCGCTCTTGTATGACCCCTGCCAATTCTTCTGGACAGACGGTTTGATGATCGAGCTGACCCTTGTGCCCCAGGTATTTCACTAGTGTTTTTGTATCATTAGGCGTCTTCTTATTCGGATATGATCAAGGCGTTATGTCGGGCATCATCACGTACGTCGAGCCATTATCCCTTGATTTTCCTACATGAACTAACGCCCAGATCAGTGGCCCATTCTTTAAGGACTACTTCAACCAACCGACGCGGGCGGAGATTGGTACTATGGTTGCTATCCTCGAAGTCGGTGCTTTTATTTCGTCGCTTTGCGTTGGAAAAGTCGGTGACATCATTGGCCGAAGGAGGACTATCCTCTACGGATCTATTGTCTTCTTCATCGGTGGTGCTTTCCAGACCTTTGCCACGGGCATACCCATGATGTTGGTAGGCCGTATCGTTGCTGGTCTTGGGGTTGGAGCCCTTTCTACTATCGTTCCCGTTTACCAATCTGAAATCTCGCCGCCCCATAACCGTGGACAGCTCGCTTGCATTGAATTTACAGGAAACATCTGCGGCTATGCCGCTAGTGTTTGGGTAGATTACTTCTGCAGTTTCATTAATAACCATTATTCCTGGCGCCTGCCGTTGTTTTTCCAATGCATCATGGGCGCCCTCCTAGGGGTTGGTAGTCTGATTATCTGCGAGTCGCCCCGGTAATTAAACCTGCCCTTTTCCCGGCATCGTTCCAAGTGATTTCACGATAGCTGACTTGTTCTCAGGTGGCTCTTGGATAATGACCACGACGAAGAAGGGATGGTTGTCATCGCAAACCTGTACGGGCAGGGTGATATCCACAATGACAAGGCTCGCCAGGAATACCGCGACATCAAGATGGACGTTCTCATTCAGCGCCAAGAAGGGGAACGAAGTTACGCAGACATGTTCCGTCGCTATCATAAACGTGTTTTCATCGCGATGTCAGCCCAAGCCTTTGCTCAACTGAACGGCATCAATGTTATTTCTTATTATGCACCGCTCGTATTTGAATCTGCCGGCTGGGCCGGTCGACAAGCAATTTTGATGACTGGCATAAACGCACTGACCTATCTCGCTTCAACCGTCCCTCCATGGTATTTGGTGGACCGCTGGGGAAGGCGCCCGATACTCTTATCTGGTGCCGTGGCGATGATCATTTCTCTCAGCTTTATCTCTTACTGGATCTACCTCGATATCCCAGGAATCACCCCGAACCTGACAGTCATTTTCGTGATGATCTACAATGCCGCGTTCGGAGCATCGTGGGGACCCATTCCGTGGCTTTATCCTCCTGAGATCTTGCCTCTAAGTATCCGTGCGAAAGGTGCAAGTTTGAGTACCGCCGCCAACTGGGCGTTCAACTGGCTTGTCGGCGAGCTTACCCCTGTGCTTCAAGAGTTGATTCACTGGCGCCTTTATTTAATGCACGCCTTCTTCTGTGCAACCAGCTTCGTTGTGGGTAAGTAAACCACTTTTTCGAGCCTACTTTTCATTCCCGTGTCTAATTCAAATTCTAGTTTACTTCCTCTATCCGGAGACAAGTGGTGTCCGCCTCGAAGATATGGATGTTCTTTTCGGAGACGCCACTGCGGCAATGCCCACTCCCGTCACTCCAGCCGAACGCAGTGCTCTTATGGGTCAGGGTTCACCGGTACCATCCCTGGACATCCGCCGTAGTACTGAAGGCCGAGTTCCTCCGGAATACGCCATCCCTGGACTCAACATCGAACCTCCAACGTCTAGCGGCGACAATGGCAAGACTGGAAAGTCTGTCGAGGAATCTGGTCGCAGCGAAGGCATTGGAGGATGGATATCTAACATGGTCCGGCGTGGAAGGCGAGGAAAGAAGAACGATGACCAAGGAGAGTATCGCCGAGTCGATCAGGACGAGGAAGGTTGAACTACCTTGGTTTGATACGCAATGCTTTGCTTTCACATGGCCTTCTGGGAGACTCAACTGGCGACCTAAAACACTTGGATTAAGCAACAGATTTGGGCATTCTCTAGAGAGGAACCTAGACGCTGCAAAGCAGAGGTTTCAACTCTAACCTAAGAGTCGTGTCGTTGATAGATGGCATCGAAAAGATCCATAACTCAGGCTTTTCTTTTTCTTTTTTGGGCAGGATTCCGATATCAGAGATGGATATAATGTTAGATTACTATATTGGCGTTTCAGATGGGACATTCTGTTTCTTTCTTTTTTCAGTCTGCCAATCTACCTGGCAGTTAGGGGTATTTCAACCTTTGACATATTTTAATTTCTTTTGCCTTCTTCCCCATGTTATGCTTTCACCCTTTGGTTCTCTTATATTTTGCCATGATACTTCCTTTCTGGCCATCGGCATGGGTGTGATTGGGACGGGGGATACAAGTGCCTAGACGTGGTGAATTCGCATAGATAGGAAGTCATTATCAGGTAGTTCAATGGGGTTGTCTTTGGGAGACTGTCCAAATATCTGGCTTATTGTTAGCTACTTCCGGCTATCTTCAGATGGCGATTCCGCATGCTCTGAAGATTTTGTTTTAGGCTGCGTACGACCATGGATACAGCTCTGACAAGCTCGAGCTGCTTGGAGTTTTGTTTATTCAACGCTCGATCCGGGACGCTGGGACTTTGCCCCCCGCGTCCATCTGTCTGAAAACAGTCAATGCCAGTCCTCTCCATCCTGCGTCCATTGGCTTGATATGCGCCGTCCGCTTCTTCGTCGCTGTTTTTCCGCTTCAGCCTCACGGACCCACGTGACTGTCTGTTTTCGGCCATGAAGACAACGCAAAACGAAACCCCCGGCTTCACTCCGATTGCTGTTCCCTGCCCTCACCAGAGCTTCTTCTCATTCTTCAGCTCGAGTCCCGTTTTCTTATTTGTATCTGTTTGCTGCTCTTCTCTCTTGGATTCCTTCGCTTATCCTCTTTTTGTAATTCGGAACTGGGCTGTGAGGCAATTTGGCCCCAACCGGACCAACATCCCTCCCCCTTTTTGTCTCGCTTCTAGCCTGTTCTTTTCACATGGACCAACTCTCCATCGAGAAAGACTCCCGTTAGTTGACGACTTGTCCTTTTCTCCCTTTTTTACTTCTAGTTCGGCTTGACGGAATCCCACCACTCGAAGCGGTTTGGAATTTTTCCATTCCTATAATTTCAACTTTGCTTTCTGGTCCTTTTTTTTTTATGATCCGCGTGGTTCATTGTTCGCTCGTTCGATCCGGTTCCCGGCTGATGCGACCGCTATACTAATTTCATTCCTTTCGACGATTATTTGATACCGGTTTTAATCCAATTGCTCCGCGTGTCGATTCCTTTTACACACTGGCACCATGGCGAACAAAGACACGGGGTTCGCTACGGGTGCCTCTCCCGGTGCGGACGTGAGGAGGAGAAACGTTCCTAGTTCGGATAAGTCCAGCGCTGGGAATGGGATACCTGAGATACTGGTGGATGGCAAGAAAGCTCCTGCAAAGGTAGGGCGGCCTTTTCCGAGTGATATACCGAGCTTCGCAGCAGGCTTTGTTCGAGTTTGACCGTATCCACATTGTCCAAGCTAACCGTTTGGAACTGGCAGAAATCATCCTTTCTTGACGTTCTCGACGAGTGGGAATTCCTCATCGCGCCGTTGATATTCACTGCCCTGGCGTTTTTTACCCGGATGTGGCGCATTGGTCTGTCGAACATCGTGACATGGGACGAGGCTCAGTACAATTACCCTGCCTCCCGAATTTATCGATTGCTTCCAGCTAACATATCTCGCTTTGTAGTTTTGGCAAGTTCGGCTCCCATTACATCAAACGCGAATTCTACTTTGACGTGCATCCTCCGCTGGGTAAAATGCTTGTTGGTCTGTCAGGATATCTAGCTGGTTATAATGGGTCCTTTGAATTCAAGTCAGGCGAAAAATATCCCGAAGAGGTCAATTATACCTACATGCGTATCTTCAACGCATTCTTCGGCGTGGTATGCGTGCCGCTAGCTTATTTCACCGCTCGCGAGCTTAATTTCCGTCGGGCAACTGTTTGGCTGGTTACATTGATGGTCCTCTTCGAGAACTCCTACGCCACAATTTCCCGTTTCATTCTCTTAGATTCGATGCTTCTATGCTTCACTTTTACAACTGTCCTCTGCTGGGCCCGCTTCCATCGGCTCCAGCGCCAGAGCTTCTCTGCGGAATGGTTTGCATGGCTTTTCTTGACCGGTCTCAGCATTGGATTTGTTTGTAGTGTGAAGATGGTGGGCTTGTTCTGTACTGCTCTAGTTGGCCTTTATACAGCCGAGGATTTATGGAACAAGTTTGGCGATTTGAAGATGCCAAAGGTAGCCGCTCCTCCTATTGTCCGACGTCCTTCATTGCTGACCTGTCGTTAGACCGTTCTTGCTCAACATGTCGTGGTTCGTGTCGTAGGGCTTATCGTCGTACCACTACTGGTGTACATGTTCTCCTTTTACATCCATTTCCTCGTCCTCGAAAACTCCGGTCCTGGCGATGCACAGATGAGCTCGCTTTTCCAGGCGAATTTGAGAGGGACTACAGTGGGAAAGGATAGCCCGTTGGAACTTGCCATTGGATCCAAAGTCACCATCAAAAACATGGGGTACGGAGGTGGTCTACTTCACTCCCACGTTCAAACTTATCCTTCTGGCTCTTCTCAACAGCAAGTCACATGCTACCACCACAAGGACACGAATAATGACTGGTTCATCTACCCTAACCGTACTCAACCTGAATATGATCCTGAGGGCGAACTGAGATTCATTGGCGACGGGGATATTATTCGTTTGATTCATGCCCAAACTGGTCGCAATTTACACTCGCATACCATTCCTGCTCCAATCACAAAGTCGAACTGGGAGGTCTCTTGCTACGGAAATACCACTGTTGGCGACGACAAAGACCATTGGGTAGTGGAAGTTGTGAATGATGTCGCTTCACGGGATAGGACCAAAATTCGAACTCTCACCACATCTTTCCGTCTCCGTCACCAATCACTCGGATGCTACCTCCGTGCTGCTAATGTCAATTTACCCCAATGGGGTTTCAAGCAAATCGAAACGACTTGTGCGAAGGACAGCAAGCCCTATGACGTCCATACCCATTGGAATGTTGAATCTCATGTTAATGAAAGACGTATGTTACTTCTTATCGTTTCTTCTGAGCCATCATACTGACGGTTCTTTAGTTCCCAAGAGTGATCCTGGTGCCTACAAATCGCCATTCTTAAAGGACTTTATCCATCTGAATGTTGCCATGATGACATCAAACAACGCGCTTGTCCCAGACCCAGATAAGCAAGATGACCTGGCCTCTAAATGGTGGCAGTGGCCTATCCTCAACGTCGGTCTCCGCATGTGTTCGTGGGACAACGATACTGTCAAATATTTCCTTCTCGGAAATCCCTTTGTCTACTGGTGCAGCACAGCCAGCTTGGGTGTCTTTGGCTTGATATTTGCCTGGTACCTTGTCCGCTGGCAGCGTGGCTATACCGAGCTCAGCCAAGCTGATATCGACCATATCCACTATTCCGGCCTTTATCCGCTCCTTGGATGGGTTCTTCACTACTTGCCCTTCATCATCATGGCACGCGTTACTTATGTCCACCACTACTATCCAGCACTCTACTTTGCAATCCTCACTATGGGATTCTGTGTCAACTGGTTCACTCAGAAACTCAACAAACCGGCTGAATGGGCTGTATATTTTATCCTTTACGCCGCTGTCATTTCTCTCTTTGTCGTTTTCAAGGACATTGTTTTTGGTATGGTGGGATCAAACGAGCAGTGGCAGCACCTTAATTGGTTCAGCACTTGGCGCATTGCGAATCCGAAATCGTCTTAATTATGCCTATCGCTTCAACTCCTTTGAGATGTGGGACTTGATGTTGATGAATTATATGCTACCTTGGGAACTACGGGCTCGGGTTGTGAGTTACTGGGGAGGTTCCTTTCTTTCTCTTCTCTCTGGAAAGGAAAACGGGTAAGATAGTATGTGAAAATAGGGATGAATTTTTCCTTTGAAATGGTTATCAGCCTGGTGTGTCTCAATTCAGTTATTCAAATTGACACTTTCATGTACCTTATTTATTGCTGGCAGGGAGGCAGCTTTTACTATTGAAAATATTTGTGGGAAGCAATTTTGCATTCTTATAGAACTTGATTAGAAATGCTACTCTGCCGTTATATATATAATATATAAGTCAAAATCTGGAAACTACACCCATGATGCGGTATTAGTTCGAAAGCTCAATCATGATAAAAATCAAAGCTCCGCCCTCCGAACCAAATGCAAGTGAAGAATCATATGTCTGCGCTGAATGCAAGGTTATACCCGCAGTCCCCGGGTGCCATATCACCACAAATTCAGCTGTAAAAAGGAAAAAAAAGCCAGATACGGGGATATCACAACGCTCATCATCAACATCAACAACAGCCTCCCGCCCACGCACTCCCCCTTCTCCCCATGGCATCATTAACCCCCAGGGTCACAGTCTTCGGCACCTTTCCATTCCTCGTCCCACTCGTGCTCCCGTACCCCTTCACCCCGCTCCGGCGATCATTCAGATCATACCGGCCCGCCTCAATGTTGCGATATATCCGCTCCGCCACCTCCAGAAACGCTCGTTCCACATTCTCGCCTGACTTCGCGCTGGTTTCGACATAGCGCACCACGCCGTTGGCCTTGCACCAGGCTTCGGCCTGGGCGCGGGTGATGTAGCCTTTCCCCTCCTCCTCCTCCTCCTCCTCCCCGTCGGTCTCTGCGTGATCACGCTTGACGAGATCGCTTTTATTCCCGACGAGCACGACGACGATGCCTTCCTCGGCGATTTGTTGAAGGTCCTGCAGCCATGCGGAGAGGGAGGAGAAGGTGGATGGGCGGGTGATGTCAAAGACGAGGAGGGCGCCGGACGCGCCGCGGAAATAGGAGCGGGTGATGGACTTGTAGGTTTCTTGGCCGGCGGTGTCCCAGAGGGAGAGTTTCATGCGCTTCTGGACGGGGGCGGTGGTGGGGCGCTTGGGGGGTGGGGGGAGGCCCGGGGAGAGGTGGAGAGAGGAGGAAGGGGAAGGGGAGGGTGGGCGGCTGGAGGGTTTGGATGTGGCTTCGGGTTGGGATTGGGATTGGGATTTGCTTCGGAGAAATTGGGTGTTGTGTTCGAAGGATATGTCGAGGGCGTCACTGGCGGGAGGACCTACGGGGACGACTCGGGAGCCGAATTCGACGCCGATGGTAACGTCGTGGGTGGTGGTGAATCGGCCTTCACAGAGGCGGATTGTGAGCTGAACAAGAAATGGCGGTTAGAGCTGGCGCGAGGACACAAATTGGGAGATGGGGGAAAATCTGCGTACGCTGGATTTACCGGTGCCAGAGTCACCGATGCAGACGAGCTTTGCGATGTAATCCCATGGCGGTTGGTGTGACATGAACACGGCTGGCGGTTTGGTAGTTATTATCGGCGTCGGTCTGTCGGGTAACAGCTAGCGTGGCTGTCATCAATTGACACCAGTGTAGCTGTACGCTCAGGGCAGGGGATAAATGGAAACGAGACGAAAATGGATTTGTGAAATTGCCGGGACGAAGAGATTATCAATTATTATCATCTGTTGATGTACGTTGAAATCAAGCTTTGCCGGATGATGGTGGTGATGGTTCAAGAAGTTCAACAGCTGGTTCGGGGCGTGATGGGTGCCTGACTTGGCGGGTTCTGATAGCTCCAGGCTGCTGTGGGGGTGGAGTGTGGCACCTAGATTTAGTGAAGCCCGGCCATCCTTCCAGGCCTGCTGCTCACTAAAGCGTTGGTGCTTCGAGGACGTCAGGACTAAATCCAGCCTGCAGGGATGGTCGGACGCCAGACGGGGTGATCCTGCAGCCGTTGTGCAACTGCTGCCTGGACGACTGCCCTTTCTTCTAGGCAGATATACGCTGGAGCTCAAGCGAGGCCTCTCCTCCCTCTCCGCCGCTCTCTTTGCGTCCCTTTATCTCGCTGCTTGTCATGCTCTTTGACTCTCTGGAAGGACATGATGATATCACTTGTAACGGCGGGTAACAAATCCAGTCATGGGTCATACGAGCACATGACTTACCAGTGCCCCGCTAGCCCCAACGCGGCTAGTCGCATGTCCTCACCGCATAAACAAGCAGCACGCTAAGTGTAATTTACCGTCACGTCCCGTACGCGAGTCACTTGCTTCACTCTGGCAGTTGATCACCAGCCAGTCAATCGCCGTCAACCTCGTTTCTCCCACTCACAAAACACTTTCTTCCTCGACTCGTTCTTTGTCAACAGAGAATTCAAAGAGATTCTTCTCTCTCACTTGCTCTTATGCCGCTCTAGATCTGCCCTATATACTCTTTGCATCTTTCCGTCGGTTTCGGAGACTATATACTGCCCTAAGCTTTTCGAGCTTCCGGCCCACCAGAGCATCCCATACTCATGTAATGCCTTTTTGCTGCCTGTCGTCCCCAACCTTTTGATCACACCTTGAACCAGGCTGTTTTAATTATCTCTCTCTGCTGAACACTTTCGGGGTATTTTCATGGCCAAGAGGAAGTAGTTGGGGTTTCTGGTCGGTCCTCTCTCAAACGAAACCTTGGGCCCAACCTCTCTGTGAATGACTCCACAGCACCATGTTTTCAGAATGTGAGTCTTTTCAGTTCTGTATCCCCCTGGTCTCTGATATCCTTTGGATGAAAGCCAACAAAAGACCTAGATGCGTCACGCTTTCTCGCACAGTCCCAGTCGCGCATTAGCTTCTCCCCGGACAGCACTCAGAATGGGCGGGATCGTCAAAGACGACCCAACCCATCATCGTCACGCTTCCCGGCCTCCAGATCCTACCTCAACCGTGGCCTAGGTAACCCATACCACCAAGCCGGCTCTTCCCATCTGCTCCCCTTCGGTCGAGGGTCAACCCAGCAGGCTCCGCTTTTCCACAGTGCCACTGACCAATTCCGGGAGGAAGACGATGAGCAGGAGCACGAGCGGGAAATTGCAGATTACTATGCTCTGCAGCGATCGCGGAGAAACTTTGGTGCTATTCAGATGGAAGAGTCCTCAGAGCTTGAGGGAGACGAAGGAAATAATAGCACAGAACATTCAGCGGGCTTGGGTCAAGGAGGGGGGATAAGAAGCTCATGGCGTGGAGGAAAAGCGAGCGGAGGTCTTTCACGGAGGACAGGGGTGGAAACTCTGCATGAACAGGAGGAAGACAAGGCTGATGAAGACGACGACGGAGCATCCGCGAGTAGCAAGGGAAAGAATAAAATGGTAGATATTCGCCTCGAAGATTCCGTACCGAATGATATGGTAAACCTGGACAACGAAGTACCTTCCGAATTCCGCGATGATAGTGCTCCGGATATCCAACAGTTTCGACAGTCGCCGTTGGCAAACGATGATTATCGGACTGGTTCGTCTTTCATTCCCCAGGAAACCGATAAACAAACATTATTGGACCATCCTCGACCCCCGAGCCCCGAACAGTCAGAAGCAATTGCATCAGCAGTGTATGGATCGGAGCCACCAATGCATGATACGTTTTGGGGTCATTTATTTCTCCTCTCTGTGGCTGGTCTTTTTGCATCAGCTTTCATGGTCTATCTCCATACATCGGAACCGTCCAGTAAACCTGGACTGGGGGATACGATTTATTCTACACTTCACGCCTCTTTTTACCTCTTAGGGACTTATACAGTTGTCTCGATCTTTGTGTCCCTGCTGTGGCTGGCACTTTTGAAATCATACGTTCGACCGTTGGTTTACGGAATGCTGATTGCCGTCCCGGTTATCTTATACTCCTTTGCCCTTTACTCATTCGTATCAAGTTTCAAGGGCTCGTGGCATGGCATCAGCGTGCAAGACAAGGTGATGCGGTGGGGGTCTTTGGTCCCAGCGATCATGGCAACGGGTTGGGTGTACTCTGCTTTCAAAGGCCGCCATTCTACTGGAAAGGCCATCAGCATCCTCGAATTTTCGTGCCGAATCCTAAGTGCCAACTCGCCCTTGCTCATTCTGGGTTTTGCGACCTTAGTCGTTATCGCTATCTGGACATGGCTATGGATTCTCATGTTCACTCGTGTTTTTCTGGGGGGACATTTGAATAAGACCAAGTCTTCGTTCATAATCAACCCGGAGAGCTGGTGGTTGGGAGCTTATTATATTTTGGTGTACCTCTGGTCCCTTGGGATCATTGCCGGAATTCAACGCTCTGTGACGGCAGCCACCGTTAGTCAATGGTATTTCCATCGCCTCGCGGTTCCATCGATTACTTCACGGCAAATAGTCCCCGCAGCGCTGTCTTTTGCCGTTAATACGATGTTTGGAACAATCTGCCTTTCGTCATTACTCTCTCTCCTCATTCGGCTCCCTTTAATTGTTCTACCCCGGCGCCTATCATATCTGATATCTCTCGCGGCGTATTCGATCATTCCTACGCCAATTGCTGCTTTGACAAACTCCCTAACTCTGACGTACGCTTCCATCTTCACGCAACCTTTGACTTCCTCCGCCCGAGATCTTAGCCAGCTAACCTTCCTTGCACCTTCATCTGCCGCGACAACCATCCATCCCCGCTCATTCGCGAACAACTCCAGGAACGAAGCGCCTACTTTGGTTCCCTACCGTCTTGCTAAACTCCTTCTCCATGCTACGCGCTTTATCATGTCCCTTGCGCTAGGATTCGGAGGTTGGGTCTCAAGTGCCCGAAAGCTTCAAGTTTCCGATGGCAACAACACCCTCCGTGGCAGTTTATACGCATATGTCGTGGGCATGCTTGCCGGAGCAATTGGATGGGGAGTCCTGGCGGCGATGGAGGGTGTTCTGGCCTGTGTGTTGGATGCGGCGGTGGTTTGTTGGGCGACCGAGGTCGGGACAACGCGGAGAGAAGTCAGGTATTGCCGAGAAGCAGGGTGGTTATTCGGTGGGACCAATGACCGAAGTCGAGAGGAAGTCTAGATGAATTTGATGATTTTCATTGCATGGCGATGGGAGTCGTTTGCAGTACCTGACACTCATCCCCGAGAAGGGGACGCGGGCTCGTCGAGAAACATTATCGACAATACCTGCCCCAGAGTATTTTCTTTTTCTTTACATATGACTTTTTGAATTCGGGGTTTGGTGATATAGGACTGTCAAGTTAATGCTTTCTATATAGCAGGGAGCCTAGGAATAGAAAAAGGGCGCTCATTTCTTCCTTTAAATCTAGGATTGATACTCCGGACCCCGTACTCACCAATGGTTTGATGAAAGACAGAGCAGCCCGCGGCGTGTCTTGGCATCCGTAACTTTAATCTCACATCAATTGTCAACTCAACTTCACTCTTCTTTTCTCTTCACATTCGGTTCTACGATATTTCCCTCTGTCAGCAAGGTTAGAAGCTCAGCAATCGCCCTAATCCTTTGGGTTTACCGTGTTTAGTGACCCATATAACTAGCACCTATCTCATTCGGAATGCTATAGTTCAGCCTGCAACAAGTTATTCTCACCATGCTAGTTAGCCCCTAGCACGGAGCTGAAAATTGGTTCTGCTTCATCTTTCAATCCCCATTAAAACAGAAGCACTTGGTCATGTGCTTATTGATGAAGAATCTCCGAAACGTTATACCCCAGCTCGTACAAGACTTTCTCAATATCCAACTTCTTTTGAGGCAGAGCTACTTCTCAAAGCTCGTCACTTTTCAATGGCAATTGAAAACTACCTCCAGAGTCTTGTTTGGTCTAACTTTGCATTCACTTTACTACTACTATCATCTTTTTTTATCTACAGTATTCCGTCCTATATCATCACTACTCAAAGCTTTCTTGACATTTAGAGCCGACTCTTTGATTACACCATGAAAAGACAATTCAAAACCAGTGGCTTGGAGAATGGCACTATAACAATACGCAAGTGAAGGGAATCTACTTTAGCAGTTCTGCTAGCAGACTAGGGCTCCTTACAAGCCCTGCCCGTCCTATAAAGGGGATCTCATTCTTTTCATTTCTTCGTCAATTTTATTCTCTGCTATATCTATACCAATCATCCAGCCTGTTTTGGCGTCTACTCATATGGGAACGATTGTACCCTTTACTGCAGTGCTAAAGGCTAGCTTGCTACAATGAAGCCCTACTGATTCTGACTAGGTGAGCTCAGTGATTTTCACTTCTCCTTTATTGGGATTTTTTCTTCAGGGTCAGCCCTCTTTCAATCGCTTATTTTTAGCTTACTGTTTTTTATTGCCTATCTTCTCATGACTACATATTTGAGCAGTCAGCTTGGAGATGCCGCAGAACTGAATCTCAAGATAGTCGAGGAATATAGGGAGCAGATATTTGACTATGTGATGTATTTGTTTGAGCTACTGGGGTTCTTGATTCAACAAGCAATAAGCCCTTGTTATTCTCAGCAATTGGGCCCCTCGTTTGAAGCTGAACTGAACCCGAAAACCTCAAAATTTAGATTTGATTGTCTTTTGGAAGACAAATATCCTATCAGTAGGATACTATTCGCTGCCTGATGCTTTGTGTCCGAGCGGATAAGGTAGCTTTAGAAAGTGCGCCAATATTGTGCCATTGTCGGTATGATTTTTCTTTAAAGAAAGATAGTGTCGAAGGCGAATCAACCGAACGCCCATCGTCCTAAATCGTTCTGGAATCGCCTCGAATTATTAAAGAGCACAACATTTTGATTCCCTAGGCATCCGGTACTAGGATGGGAACGCTACTAGGGCATACGGCACATTCGATTTACTGATGAAATGGATTGTTTACGCTGGCTCGCGGTTAGGCCAAAAGGCCTAAATTTAGTAGGTTGATACTCTTTCTCCTTGCTACTGACTCGTGAGTAGAGCAGACGCTCACGAGCGAAGAATTTACTCGCACGCTAACTTGATTTAGATCTCCGCTCGTCAACTGTGGAACCTAGTCTTCCCCATGATTCAGGGCCTGTGTGCTGGCTTCAATAACAAGGCTCCGTGCATTGTTGTAGCTGAAGAGACGAGGAACTTAAATGCACGAAGAGGTTTCGAAAGCTGCTCTACGATTCTACATCCGGAGAGGATGACTGCACAGGCAACGGGCGGCCATTATTATCTCATGTCGTATGAGGGTGTTTTATCCGCTACGGCATAACAGGCGCGCAAGTGTTCGCGACAGGCTGCCTAGAAGGCTCGTTTTTAGTGCACAAAGGGTGTTCCGCGGGGCTTCGTGGCCAAATTAGTGTGACCAGTGCTATACTCAGAGCTATTACGATGAGCCTTGAGCCAAAATTTGAGCAATAAGTATATGATGCGCATGCATGGAATGGGCCACGACGAGAATGGAGCCGACATATGTGGTGAAATAGCTTATTCTCGCAGTGACTGCTCTGTACATGATTTAGCAGACTGGCAATTTGAAAAATATGATACTAGTCTCTACTAGTTTGGGGGCCTAGATGGGTGCGGTAAGCGTACGCGAGAGCCCTGGACGCTGGAGCCCTAAGTCACGAAAGAATAAAATGGTACGGCCAGCTTTGCTTGAAATTCCCCAGCTTTCTAACATTTGAATTTAGTACTTTTATGGCCGACCATTCTGGAGCATCACTACTGCCCATCTACGTTGTGACAAGTAGAGGCTCATCCCTCAAAATGTGCAAATAACAGCCATTACAGGGCATGCAGCAGACAGCTCAGGTCCAATATATTCTGGGCAGGTTATCATGGCACCTTACATGATTCGCTTTAAATGAATTAAGAAGAACTACACGACGCAGATTTCCCAAATATTCTTGGGAGAGACGGCACTATCCTAGAAACTACAAACCATCCTCATAATACCACAGACTTATTTTCACTATATGAGCCATCGAGCCAGGATATCACGGAATACAACTGGTTCGACGTTATTTCAGTCACTGTCGTCAGAAAAACTAGCTTTGTAAAGCCATTACTGAGCGCTGAAACAATAATAGGCCTAGAGGCTAGCCAGTCAGTCCGACTGGGTGTTGTTTTGAATGATTAATACTCTTGAGCTACAGATACCAGGCGCCTTAGTTACAGATCTCTATACAAAGACTAAGAACTTCTTGTTGTATTTCGGGAAGGATGATCCGAGGCAAATGACTGGACGCGACGCCTTATGAATTGAGGGAACGAAAATTGCCCTCAGTCAGGGGCTGCTGGCGATTCAGACAGGTCCAAATGAAGCCAACCATCGCTGCTGCATCACAAACCTCGCAACCGCCAGGGCTGCAAAAGACAAGGAAATCCTGGCTATGTTCCTTTGAGGCGGCGTTCTTCAAAATGAAGAGTTAAGACGGATAATCTTCATAGTCATCGACTGCATCAGACTATAATGCCCTTTTACTCTGTTTGCAGACGGGCTGAGACTTGGGCCACTCACTTTCGGATACCCCCAACACAGGGGTCATCGCTGATACCTCGCGCACCAATCCTGTGGTCATTTCTGGACTTCTTCCTAACCTCTCCCTAGGAGGGAGAGTGTTTGGTGCCGCGAGCCAATTCGGCGCCAAGTCCTTGTTCTAGGGTGTTAGCAATGCACTTCCTTTCTTCTTCAATCAAAATATCCAGTGTTTCAGAGTCCGCAATATTTTCTTCTTCCCATGAATCATGTGGGCATCCCAGCCTACCCAGTAGACAAGATACTCAATTTTGTTGTAGCATTTGCATCTTTTGAGTATTCGCTCCATTAAAAATTCACCCTCACCTTCATGTTTGTTATACAGTTTTAACAATGAAAGATGGAAGACAGGGTGGATGCTTCAGTACTGAGTTTCTGACAGAGCTGTAGACTATTAGAGCCCCCCCTAATCAGCATCTTCGTAAGGAATTTGGGTAGGAATCGCAGCAAGGGAACACCCTCTCATTGTGGCCATGCATGTCGTGGTCGAGTGTTTGAGGCTCTAGTTAACTAGGGCCAGGCCTTCCTCTGTCCATCTTCAAGTAAGTCACACTTTGCCAATCCGTTTCGCATTGAGATCATATCGGACGACATTGGGACTGAGGCAATTCTTGATGATCTCTGAAGTCAATTGATACTGAGGTCTGATTCCCGGTTTCGGCCAAATCCAATTTTCCGGTGCCGCCTTGGCGGACATTTCAACGTCAACCTCCATTGCAACTCACCATCGTCGTGACATCTTAAAAGACAATTGATGCACTCTTAATGGATCAATAATTGCTAGGAAAAGTGATAATGCCAGTGATTTCTGATGATGTTGACAACTAGTTACTGGTATCAACAAGACATACATCTTGTCCCCAAGAAATCACTGAGATAGAAGAGGTGAAACCTACCTGAATTGGCAACTAATCAGGGAGTGACTAATGGCTGGTTTATAGAGTGATGTCTCACTGTTGAGTGTGGAGAAGACTTTGTTCTTAATATCAAGCAAATCTTAATAGGCATCATATCTTGAGTGCTGCAGACACCTTACAAAGAGACAGTGGTGTTTCTGTGCAAGCCCTACATCTGTTAGGATTTGTTCTTACCATCATTTGAAAGATTCAAATCTTGACATCTTGTCATTATCAAAGTTGCTAGTTCAAGTTCAGACTCCCACACCAACCCAATCTGGATCAACTCTGGAACCACTCTCTCATTTCACACTGAACCTGTGTCTGTCTGATATGTGCTACATGAACATGGAGCATGTGTTGTTATGAGACTCCCAGAGAGCAGCATGAGCCATTGATTTGATGGGCTATTATGATGTTGTTTGCCTCACTAGGTTCATGCAGCTTGCATGAACTATGAGAGTTGCTGCCTGCACTGTTTAGTGGCATGATCAGTGTGGCACTATCATCTGTATCTGTGAATTCTGATCCTCTGCCCTTCTAGAAGCAGAGATGGAGAGCTCTTCACTGCCTAATGCAGCTGATCCGGAAACGGCACTCAAAAAGGCAAACATTACTCCTCTCTCTCACCAACCCTATGCAGCGTGTATGCATGTGACAGAAAACATGGCAACTCCTTCCAAGGGTTGGAAATATATTTTAGTGTGCGCAGTGATACCTTGTGATCTTCTAATATCTAGTCAGCCTTACCAGTTTGGCAGCGAACATTTGCTCAAAACTTGTGGCGCGGTTTGATAGTGATGAGGCTCTTCACCTGCGCCGGGTTTCTGAGCTCTGAGCACCCAAGGATTAGCTGAAGCCTGGATCAGTAAGCGGCACTCAGGAAAGCTTTGCCATGTTCTCACTGATCAGAATGTGCTCTGACCGCGCTCACCAGGCAAAACACCAAGGCGCGCTCCAGTGCCGCAAAGTTGCAGCATGTAGTTGTGGGCAAGTTTGAACTGGAGACATACAGCTCCGCCTTCCCTAGGGCGCATGATTCTGAGCTACTTCGAGAATAAGGCCGCCTTGTTTCAAGTTCCTTGCTAAAGCTGGTTCAGGAAGAACCTTTCTAGTGCCGGTCGCTCTCTGGCGGCACCGTCTAGGAGGATGTACCAGCATTGAGCATTCCAGAATCCGAAGCAAGGCTACGCCTATGCCCTTTTTCCGGGTAATAGCATCAGAACTGGATCAACACGTTGTTCTCCCAATCTAGATACCATCACCATAGCTGCCTACTGCGCAAGAGATATCCCCTCGCCATTTGTTTACGGCGCAGGCCCTGGGTGCCGTCAGGCTCCTACGGCGACATTATTTTTTTTTTCCTCGCCCATAACTGGAGGCGACAGCTCTCAGGGCGATACAAGCCTCATAATGAAGATATAAATTGAGCTTCAGATCCTTCTCAATACAACCCAGACATCAACACTAAAAGAAATTTCAGAGACTAATCCATTCGCTTCTAACTCCCAAACCGCGATCTAGACGTATATTCGAAACGACACAATGTATGTACCCTAACAATGATTCTTCGTTTTGGTTTTGTTTGCAGAGCTAATCTCCTGAGCACAGGTGCAAGTGGTATTACGTTAACGTTAAGGCTGAGGACTGCAAGAAAGTCCCTCCACACACCAAAAGGACCAAGCAGTGGGACACGGCGAGATGCAACAACCCGAAATACGAGAACTGCCCAAACCTCGAGAAAATCGATGATATTGCTTTTGTTGCCACCGAGAGAGGTACAGCTTGCTCTAAATGTCGCTAGGAAACATTGGTGAGTTCTTGGTATACATTTTTTGAGTGACAATCTAAACCTAACTGTCCGTTCCTCCAAAGATCGAAATTCAGGCTTGGCCCGAGGCCTCCCAGGATACGGCAGGGCAGATGTGTGAGAGATATGGGATGTTTGGCTGATATGCGGAAATCTGGACACTCTTTTAATTTCTATGGGAATTGATTGATATTGAAAGCTGCGAATGTGTGTTAGTCACTGTTTAGATCTACAATTGCAAACATGATTCTTGAGAAAAACGTAGCGAACTCTGATATTCTACCATGATAACAAATCCAGAAGCTGATGATTTATGTTTCCTGTAGGGCTCGGCCTGTGTAAGATGCAAAAGGTTAGCACCTATCGAGTATGCTGGAAGAAAGCCGAATCCTACCTTTAGCAAATTTGATGCTTTCAGCAACCTCACGTGCAGTTGTAAACTCTCCGGCCCAGCATTTTGCAATGACATCCCCAAGCACTATATCCTTCACATCTGGATATATTCCCTTTTTGAATAACTGCCCAACGTCATAGCCACGCTTGTCGTGGAAAGGCATCCTCGATGTGGAAATTTCATAGATCACAGAACCTAGAGTATGAAGCTCTGCCTTTACAGTGCAAGCGGTCCTTTCATCGTCATCTGGGTGGCCATAATATACGGATGAAACTACTATAGGCTTTTCGCCATCAATCCCTGAGCCGCCGAAATCACAGAGTCGAACGCGTCGTGAGGAATCAAGCAGGATATTCCTGCCTACCAGATCGGCATGTCTAATACCAAGATCATGGAGATACTGAATAGCATCAGCCAGGTCATAGGACCATTGAAGTCGTTCTGTTAACGATGCATCGCCGCCTTCTTCAAAATACGCCGTGAGGGAGCCATGCTCGGCGCGCTCAAGATAAATTCCAGAGTCATCATATCGGAGACACTTGATGATATTTGGATGGTATCCTTTCTCTTCAAAGCGAGAATAAATCCTTTTCTCAATCTCAATCTGCGCGTTTGCTTCAGGGGTGGATCTGGCCACCTTGACAACCCGGCTCGGATCATCAGGCCAGTAGTATAAACAACCAACACCGCATACTACCAGCCTCTCACCGTCAGGGGGCCCCTTGATAAAAGTCTCCTGTACGAGCTCGTCCGGATCCCAATCAGAAGGACAATCTGTTAGGTTTCTGACCCTGATATATCCTTCAGGGGTCGGGGGCAGTTTGTTTTCAACGGGTGGATCAACTGGGCTTGAGACGGGTACAGCATCAGCTGGTGCGGGAACCAAATCGGCCTGAGTCATAATTCCCTTAGGAGGCCGGGACGACGGTGTTGTTCTTCGGTTGTGGGAATGTTTGAAAAGCGAAGGTCAAGATAGTCCGCCGGCTGTAGCTGTGTTTTTGATAGGAGCCTCGCCAAGAACCCCTGATATTGTTTCACGCGAGTAGAACGGCGTCTCTGACGGGGGATTGCGGGAATGACGATGGTAGTGGGTAGTGACGAGAGGAACTGTTTTATATCGGAAGACAGAATAGACAGTCGAGTCTGAAGATGAATGATCAAGGACAAAATAAACATAGATCAGGGGGCATCCCGACTCAAATAGGCGTTTTGGACTGTTGGTCTCACTTTTGCTGACTGGTTACTGCAAGGATCGCACCAGAAAAAGAAAATATCAATGCTTGATGCGCCACACCAACTCTTTGGCCAAGCACCCCATTGACTGCAAAGAGGACTTTGAACCATCCTGGGGCCATGAGCACGAGGAAGAGAGGACATACCTGTTCTGACTGCGGCTCGATGATGAAACCCAGCTACCCCCGCAATCGAGCAAAAGAGGTGCAGCTTTGATAAAAGAAAACAGCCAAGGGTCAAAGTCGAATTCAATGTGGTGTATGGAGTAGTTAAATTTCACTCCAATAACTAACTAGTTATGAGAATTGTGACAGACCTTTTTAACTGCTGGTTATGACTTGGTAAAATAGTGTTGGTTATTGTATAATGTACAGTACCTGGCAAAGCTGAATGCCCTAGCACTCTTTAGTGATGGGATCTTAACCGAGAATATCCTGCACTCAGGGTCTATTTATGGGCATTACTGTAAGCAGGCAACGCCCACTTGACCATCCAGTCTGATTCCAAGACTTCCTTTGCCGTCAGTCGTTCCTCTGGACGAAACGCCAACATTCTGCGAAACAGGCAGCGAATAGCCGCCGTTTCCTCCTCACCAAACAGCCCTGCTCTCGGCAGCTTTCGGCGATACTTTTGCACATGCTCCTCAAATGCCCTGTGAAGCGGTGGCCAGACCTCCCGACGCGCCCCTCGGGCCCGTCCCGTTTCATCAAAAAAGCGCCTGCGGGCATCCCAACTCTCCCACCAGCTTTGGGGCATGGGTCCAAGGACGTCGATCTGCTGAGAGGCTAGGTCGTCAGCCGTGGTGAATTCGCTACTGAAAATCGCGATAATCTCCCACACCGTTAGCGCTAGGGTCTAGATATCTGCTGCAGGCGACAGTGGCTTTTGGGGTTCAAATCTGGCTTCCGGTGGCCTTGTGGGGAGGGGACTGTGGCAGTCTTTCCCGGGTTTGGGATTTGATGCTGGAGTGGCCGCCCCAAAGTCACTAAGCAGCACATGGGTGTCAGCGACGGAGAAGTCTTCAGCGTATTTGCCAAGATAGAGAGGTATAACCGCCTGTTTAGGGGCGTTGGGAGGAAGGGGTTTGCCGTGACGTTCGGTGATCGGTACTGTCTCAGGTTCTCCGTATTTCTGGTAGAACTGCTTGATCGAAAGCTCATTGATATTCGGGGCTGCTTTGGCTAGGACATTGCGAAGATGGATATCTATGGGATATATTAGAAATTCTGGCTATAAGAGGTTCGAGTGAGGTGGCTGTCACAAACCACCATGAATATAGCCTTGTGAATGCACGTATGCAACCGCCAGCGTGAGACCGGCTGATAGGGCCCTTGCAACATCAAGAGGGAATAGGCGACTGTAGGATGCATCCTTGAGATTGCACTGTGCAAGAACCATGGTATAACATGGGTGTGACCCATTGGGGCCTTGCAGCTTGAATTTATCCAAGGGAGTAGGAACCGAATCGAGCCCTCTTATCTCAGAAGATGAATGGATGGATGAAGAGGGCGAAGTTGACCCCAGGGAAGAAGAGAGGACACGGAGGACTCTGGCTTCATTCGAGGGAGAGCCTGCACTTCTAACCTTGACCGCAGCGTACTTTTGGAGCCGAAGATCCCATGCCAGCCAGGTGGTCGAGTAGCCTCCAAAGCCCAGCTTGTCGACGACCTGGTAGCGGTCATGTAGCACATCGTCAATCACAATTGGGTGATAGCCTCCAGGCCGGTATCTTTCAAGGGACTCAGCACCGTCAATCCAGTCGTATTCATAGTCAAACGCATTTTGATTTTCGGTTTCTTTACTTGGTGGCACTGTTGAAGAGGAGGAAGAGAAGTTCCTCTGGACAAGTTGGACGGCTGGGGAGAAGCGAAATCTATCACGAAAGCTCGGGCGGCTGAGGTGCCAGATGGCGGGTGCCACTGCTCTTAGCCAGCGGGTCGTGAAAGGCAATAAGCAGCGTTCCTGGGTCAGATCAGGAAACAGAACAGCCATGCGTCTCATAGTCATAGAGTTGGGGTGAAAATAGAGGTGAGAGAGCCATGTTGCAGCAACCAACCATGGAGTCTGTCACCAGGCTGCAGGTCACGGATGATGGCTATAAAAAGAGACCAGAAGCCATAGAAGAGCTGAATCCGTTCCATATTCCAGTTACTGATTCCTTTGAAGCCAGACCGCCCACACTGGACACACTCTTTTTTCCTCCCTCGACTCCATCTTATACACATAATAGATAAAATACACATCGCTCCTCACCGATTATCACTCGCAGCGGCCGTCCTCGCGCCTTTTGGTATCATTTTAAAACAAGGAAGAAAAGAAACAGTGCAAAGACAAAATGGAGCATATGAGAAGGAAAGAGACGGATATTCAAAGAGAGATAGGGAGAGGGTGCAGAGGTATTATCAAGAGCCAGCCGAGCCGAAAAGGAATGCGAGACATGTAAATCATACACACATACATAGAATGCTCACCGGCGCACGCTAGCAGTCAGTTATTTGCGAAAAGAACAAACAATTCAAAGGAAAACGACATGGGGTATGAACAGCCCGCAAAAGAAAGATGCCTGCCTCCCTGCAAAGGGTCGTAGAAGAAGATCTCCAAATAAAAAAAAAATCACCTCGTGCTCTCTCCGTTTCCTCATAACTTCAGTTTACTAGCCCACTTTACGCCCTCCTTGTTACACCAGTCCTCCAGGAAAACACAGCCAAACCGTATCGCTTCGATAACCCCCGTCGTCCCCGTCCCGGGAGCCATCGCGCCGCTCTTCGCCAGCGGCAGGAAGAAATCGCCAGCGTACTTTCCTACTTTCAGCACCTGTTTGCCTCGCCCTTCAAAATTGCGACTTCGTCGGAGCCATGTATCTTTGTACTCGCGCGCAAGCACCACGTCGGGCAGGAGTCGCGAGCCTTCGAGCCAGAGACGGTTGGCTTCGCGGTGTGATTCTGGGAGGCGCTTGCGGAGATCGATGAGGCTGCGGATTACTTCAGAATTTTCAGTCAAGGTTACGGTTTGAGGTGGACTGCTTGGGTCGTCGCACCCGGGGGTTGCGACGACCTTGTCCTTTTCGTTGGAGTTGGTGCTGGGCCTTCCGGGAAGGGCGATGGCGGCGAGGGTATCTAGGTCGAGGACGTGAATAGCCTCATAGATTATGGCGCCCAATAGTGAGCAGAGTCCGTGAAGATGGGGATAAGGGGCTGCCCGATGCGTGACAGCTTGCCAATACGGGATAAGGGAACACCAGTTCGACGATACGACGGCCTGGCGAGCGATGGAGTTGGATTTGTTGTCTGCTATGAACGCGAGTGCAAAGCACAGAACAGATTCAATGGCCATGACGGTGCCGAGCTTGTTGTCGACCGACTTTCCTCGCTCAGCCTGCGGGTTACAAGCGTACTTTAGTTCTCGGCCAAGATCCATATATTTCTTCCACTCGTCGCGCCAGGCTCGCCATTCCAGTTTGGCGGACTGGGTTTCGGTGGATAACGCGGGAGAGGGTCCGTTGACCGGCTTTTCCTCATTGGTGTTGATACTGTTTCTAGCTGGGGCTCCAATCTCGCTATCGCCAGATTCCGTGCGCCGCATAGAGGCTCCTTTCGGGCTAACCTTGGGCTCCTTGTTCGAAGCAGCGGGCTGGGGTTTAGGTTTTTGACCAGAATTTTTGCAAGTAGGGGGGGTACTTTTTGGTATTTGCATTGGTATTTGCGAACTATCAGCAGGCGTTGTGGCCGCGGTCTTTGGTCGTTTAGCTGCAGGCCCCTGCGGGGAGATATCGTCTGCCGCTTGAGCACGCTTGGTTCCAGACATGGGTTCTCGCTGCTTGCTGACAGTCTTTGAAGCCAACGGTGTGGGGGTGTCCTTTTGATCGGACATGTCCTCCTGAAGCTTCTGCCTTACCGGGCGTTTCTCTGCGGTGGCTCTGCGTTTGGCAATTTTCAAAAGTGCTTCGACCCGCTTCGCATTCCGGCGACCGTATTTAAGCTTGATAAGGAGCTTTAGTTCCGCTGGAGTGGTAATTGCCGGTTTAGGCGTAGAGGTTGAGGATATCGCGTTGCGAAGTGGATCGACAGCCACTTTTTTAATGGGGAGCTGTGCCGGAGGTGCGGGAATTGGGGACTTCTTTATGCCACCTTTGGCATTCGGAACTTTCAACTTCGTGCTGGAAGATACGTCCCCCTGCTGTTGGTCCGTCTGTTTCGATTTGGATTTTGTGGCACTAGAATCGCTCTTCGAAGGGATGGGGGTGGTTTTTCCAGTCGTAGGCGAGGTATCCTTTACGGATTCGTCTGAGAATTGCAATAGTTGCTCTTCAAGTTCAGAAGGAAGGGTTGGAGAGAGTAGAGGAGGTAAGCGCGGACTACGAGTAGCTGGAGGAAGGGTGGGCGAGAGTAGTTCAGGGACGACGGGCGCACTTTTTCGGTTCGTAGGAGCTTTATCGGCGTCGCTCTCCTCTCCCGACTGGCGGATTTTAGATGAGGGTTCATCAAGCGAGACGGGTGACAATTGTTTTTGTGCGCGAGCATCGTCGTCATCTTTCGCGGCTGGTTTTGTAGAGCATTCGTTTCGCGTATTAGAAGGAGATGGGCCTGCCTTCGCGCTGGACTCAGCGGCAGGAGTCGCCGGGACCGAGCCTTCCAATGCCTTTTTCTTGTAGTCGTTAAAACTGATTTTCTTCTTCTGCTGGCCCTTTTGTGGCGGATTGCTGCTCATCTTCAACCCTGTCCTTGACGGCTCATCTTCCTCGATGATATTCCCGTTCCGGTCCGACCATCCCCCCACGGCGACCAGGAGCGTGTCTTCGGTTTGGCGTGAGAGGAAAGTCATGTATTGAAGCTGCTCTTCCTCCGGCGCAAACAAACAGCCTTTCCCGACGGCCCAGTTTGTCACGCTCCGGGAACCCAGCCGGAAGGGCTTATCCGACGGCGCGGTGAGAAGGTAGGGGTGGTGAGGAAAGACGTCCTCTGTGAGGCGCTTGAATCGGGAGTTGGTGTCGCGAAGGTATTCCGAATGCGATCTCTTCTTGCTTGGCGCTGCGGACTTTGGGGCGGCTTTGTTGGAATCAGGGCGGGGAGTAGCGTGATCGAGGGACATTATAGAAGCGTCGAGACGGAGAACAGGCGCTCTGATCGAGCGTGGGGTCTAAGGGGGCTGGGAAGCTGGTAACCGCTGTCGAATCGAGGAAAGGAAGACAAACGTAAGCTCTGGGTGTGAAAGGAAGGAAGAAGCTCAAAGGAAGACATCCGAGCTCGGTCATTCAGGGCCTGGTGAGCGGGAAGATAAGGCGATCGCAAGGCGAAGGAGTGTGCTAATGGGATGCGCCGGGAGCTCATTCAAGAGGCCAGTTTCTGTGACAATGGGATTCTTTTCGTCAATAATGAAGAAACATCTCATGGTCTGTATTCATTGAGCGGGTGCAAAAGTCATTGATCCAGAACAAGACACAGAGCAACACAAGGAGCTATGGGCCTCATGAATGCGCGCCGGTGCAGGGTTCCGGCAGAAGCTGAAGGAATTCAACACCAGAGGGGGTCGACAGGGGAAGGGCATAAAGAGACAAGTGACTGTCGTTACCTGGCAATCAGCCTCTCGTCCTCGATGCCGCCGAGCGACGCAGACACAGCGGAGAGATGGCGAGACGGCGAGATGCGGCGCGAGGCGGCCCGTCGAAGCCAAAGCGCCCTTGGTTCCGCTCAAAGTCGACGACAACGCGAGCTCATTGGCGGTGCCCACGATCTGCGAAAGCGTGTCCAGCTGGCGGCGGCACGGCCATGGGATATCGGGCAGAGCGAGGCGGGAGAGCAGGAGTGTCGAGTGGCTGCCGCGGTGTCGCCTGGTTTCGGGGAGTTTGGGCTTTTGGCGTGGGGTTGTCGACAGCGAACTAGCGAGCAGAATAGGCGCGCAGAATATAATCATCCGTCGTGAAAGAGTCGCCGACTATTGATAGGCGCCGTCACCGGGCAGCATCCCACGCTTGGTCGTCGTGGTTGACCTGGAGCTGCTACTCTGTAATATGCGGTCATCAGATTGGATCGTTGCTTTTTCTCCCTGTTCCGCTTCTCTTGACGTAGCCATGAACTAACTACTTAACTCGGATGCATCGTGAAGCGCGATGTCTTGCAGAAGATGGAAACCCAATCTGTCCCTCAGTGTCGGATTTCTACAGACTACGAGATGGTGATCCGTTTACTCAAGTGACTGTCCAGTTTTGAAACTCAGAAATGGTCAGTTGAGGGTGTTCGGTGCCATCCAGCACGCATCTGACGGCTTAAACTGCGGCTTGTGCACCTCGACATGCGACTAATACAACCCAAGCGAAGACTATACAGAGGCTGGGATGAAAGCGACATGGCCGCGTGTCGGCGTCCTTTACCTCGAAATCGACGACATCACGGCATACTGGCATTGTGCGCTGCTCCAATTCTGGATCAATCGACAATACGAGACACGAGGGTTTGCAGCGGTATATTCGTGTCCTCGGCTCTGAATGATACGGTCTCTGGCTCTGTCTGCATGGATGTTGTTCACGGACGGTGGCCCAATAGAAGAGTAGCACGCCGTCGCACACTGTACGCCTGCACGCGGACATTGTACATCTCGCCAATCCAAGTCCCGTTCTATTAACTAGATGGCTCCGGTGAAGTTGTTGTCTCGTCGACTCGCCGGCGGTTTGAAGTCCGGATGTAGCTGTCGGATTAATAATGTGCCGGCCGAAAGCGCCGGTCCCGGGTAAATAAAGCCCCGGGTGCTTAATTTTGGTAATACTAATACCAAGTAGCTATCAAGACTAACATTATGATAGAATCTACATTATGACTACTTGGCTGCTCCTAGTATCATAACAAATCTCCCTTCTCATCTAGGATCGATCGTCTGCGGCATACATGCGTGTCCAGAATGATCGATAATGCTTTTCGGCGCCCTGTTTCTTGATTTCCTCAATCTCCTCCGACGTGAGTTTAAATTTGAGTGCGCCCAGATACCCTGCCAGGCGGGATTCCTTCGAGCTGGTTGTCACTGCGACGATGCCCTGATCAATCACCCATCGCAGCAGAACATTGCCTTCGGTGGTGCTGTATTTTTTGGCCAGCGCCTCGACGGTACCATCCACCGGTCCGCCCTTTGCCCTGATTGTCGGGGTTAACGGTCCGTACGCAGCGACTGCGATACCCTTGGACTTGTGGAAATCAAGCAATCCGCCGTGCTGAAGGTATGGATGATATTCAATCTGATTGATGGCCGGCACCACCTTGCCGGTCTTGAGGATGGCTTCAAGGTGGCTCTGGAGGAAATTGGACACCCCAATTGATCGTGCTTTGCCAGATTCCTTGACCTTTTCCATTTCTGCCCAGGCTTTTTGTAGCTGTTCGTCAGAGTCTGCGAAAAAGGGAGCATGAATGAGATATCTAGGCCGTGAAACGGGTCAGTGAAATGGCCATTCCCAGTGTGGGTGACGCAGAGAGTTGCATACAAGTCAACATAGTCCAACTGCAGTTTCTTCAAGCTTTCGTCAATTGCCCTTGGGATGTCCGCAATGCTGTCATGAACCTTTGTAGTCACAAAGAGTTGGTCCCTCGGTACCTCACTTTCCTTGATAGCAGCGCCCAATTCTGCTTCTGTGCCGTACATCTCCGCGCCGTCGAGATGGCGGAATCCCAATTGAATCGCACTCTTCGCCGCATCGATGAGGTCGCGGTTCAAACCATCGCTTCCGCCTCGGAACCACTTCGTGCCGCTACCATATCCCAGCTGCGATCAATGACGTATATCAGCGTCGTGTGTTTGCAGTGAGATAAAGATGACCGCTCGGTTTCCCAAACGGGTACCAAGGCAATGGAGTTCTTACTGCGGGAATCGTGGTGCCGTCGTTGAGCTTGATATGGGGCATGTCAGCAGCCATTGTGCGCGATTGACCCGAATATCTTCGTGGTTTTGTAACAGCAATGGGATAGCGAAACAGTGTGGAAGAAAGCGGCGACCAGTATTTGTCTCTGACGCGGGTAAATATAATCCGGGTAGGGAGGATGTGGGGGGAGCCGGCTAAGGTCAACGGAACCATTTATAGAGCAGGGAGTCCTAGGTAGTTATCTCGAACACGAGAGAAGAGTGTAGCAGTGAGAATACGGTTGCGCCCTGAGAGTCACCCAAGTCAAGTATCTAGTAATAAATACGCCCTGTGTCACTGTGGTTCCAATAACCGTGATTCAACCGGCGACGATGGGCCGGCAAGCCTCATCAATACAGGCATCACGGCCCCGGGCATCCTGATCAGATCCCATAAACCCCGTCCCTACTGCATTCTATGCTCCCTCTCGTCCCAATCTCCAGCAGCTTCGCAGTTCTTCTCGTCCAATCTGTCGCAAATGCCAGATGATGTCATCCAGATTTTGATTAGATAAGATGAAAGCCGCCAAACCGGATCTTTTAACTTGTTGCTTGGAAGAACGAGCATTTGGATGACAATCGGTCCATATAAGACTGTATTCTCTACTGGGCATCTCTCCGATCAGCACCCCCCTGGCTGTCGATGCTGTCAAGAACCACCGCTCATCGCAACCTGCGGCCCATTTTCCAATACCCTCTCGCACGAATGGCGTCCCATCTCCCAAACGGCCCTCGGCGACACAGTTCCCAGTCCGGGGGCGGCGTGTCCCTAGAAGATCTACCCAAAACCAACAATTTCACCACCAAACTTCCCCCGGATCCCGCATTCGAAACACCCGAATCGTCGCACAATGCGCCCCGGGAAGCATTGGGGCCGCGCATGGTCAAAGGCGCGCTGTACACCTATGTTCGTCCAGAGCCGCAAGATGAACCGGAGTTACTGGGAGTAAGCCCTCGGGCTATGAAGCATATTGGGTTAAAAGACGGAGAGGAGCAGACCCAGGCGTTTAAGGATATGGTAGCTGGGAATAAGATCTTTTGGAGCCAGGAGGGCGGCGGAATATACCCTTGGGCGCAATGTTATGGAGGTTGGTCTCCCCGATTCTAAGCGGCTGACGGTTTTAAAAGGCTAATATTCGTCGGGATTTTGAGGCTGGCAATTGTACGTTGGGAACCATCCAAGATTGATGAAACTTTGTCAAGATTATTGACAGGTGTTTGCAGTGGAGCTTGGGCGGGACAATTGGGTGATGGGGTGAGTAGTTTTCCTTCCATATCTGCTGTCACGTCTTTCATTTCTAACCGGATAGTAGCGTGCGATCAGTCTATTCGAAAGTATAAATCCAGAGACGAATAAAAGATATGAGATTCAGCTCAAAGGCGCAGGCAAAACACCATATTCTCGTTTCGCCGATGGCAAGGCCGTCCTTCGTTCAAGCATTCGCGAATATATAGTTTCAGAAGGTCAGTAAAACCTCTTCACTCGCCGATTTCAAGGCCGAGTGTGTTAACTATGCTTAGCTATCAACGCTCTTGGAATACCCACAACCCGTGCCCTTGCGCTGACACTCCTTCCCAATGTCGGCGTCAGACGTGAAAAGATTGAACCCGGAGCAATTGTTACGCGTTTTGCTGAGTCTTGGCTTCGAATTGGAACTTTTGATCTCCTCCGTGCGCGCGGAGATCGGGACCTGACCCGAAAATTAGCCACTTACCTTGCCGAAGATGTCTTTCCTGGTTGGGAGTCTCTCCCTACAGCACGGGTGTTTCCAAAGGATAGTTCACCCCCTGCCGACATTGCCGATCCTCCACGAGGAATACCTAAAGACGAAATACAAGGAGAAGAAGGAGCAGAGCAAAACAGATTTGCCCGATTGTATCGAGAGGTTGTACGGCGCAATGCAAATACCGTTGCCCAATGGCAAGCGTATGGCTTTATGAATGGGGTGCTGAACACTGACAATACTTCACTTTTTGGCCTCTCGCTCGATTATGGGCCATTTGCCTTTATGGACAATTTCGACCCTAATTACACCCCAAACCACGATGATCAGTTGTTACGGTATTCTTATAAGAACCAGCCGTCGGTGATATGGTGGAATCTGGTTCGCCTTGGCGAATCTCTTGGGGAGCTAATAGGCGCCGGAGACAAAGTCGACGACGAGACTTTTGTTACTAAGGGAATAACCGAGGACTTTGCGCCGGTGCTGATCAAGAGAGCGGAGACGATCATCGATAATGCGTCAAAAGAATATAGAGCTGTGTTCTTGAATAGGTACAAACAGCTTATGGCCGCACGGTTGGGCCTCAAGACCCAGAAAGATTCGGATTTTGAAAAGCTGTTCTCTGATTTGCTTGATACCCTCGAAGCATTAGAATTAGACTTTAATCATTTCTTCAGGAAACTGTCTGGGCTTTCGTTGAGTGACGTTGAGAGCGAAGAGAAAAGGAAAGAGAGCGCCGGTGTATTTTTCCACAAAGAAGGCGTTGGAGGCATTGGCAACACAGAAGAGTCTGCCAGGGAACGTCTTGCAAATTGGCTCTCCACTTGGAAAGATAGAATAGTGGAAGATTGGGGGAATGGCTCAGATGCCGAACGGCAGACAGCCATGAAGGCAGCGAACCCAAAGGTGAGGACATGCCTCAGTAAAATATCCCCATTGCTAACACGCTCTAGTTCCTTCCTCGATCCTGGGTTCTGGATGAAGTGATACAGCGCGTTGAACGTCGAGGAGATAGAGATATCCTCGGCCGTGTCATGCATATGGCTCTCCACCCTTTTGAAGAAGAATGGGGTTGGAACAAGGACGAAGAAGAAAGACTATGTGGCGATGTTCCCCAGTTCAAGAGGATGGCCATGTGCAGCTGCAGCTCATGAAGTCTTCTTGGAATGTATATCTACTTCCTAATCAGTTTATGACATGATGTTTGTGCGATATTGAATGATTCCTCCAAGTGATAGAACTCACCTCTATCTCTCGCAGTGACTGGTGCACATAATCTCTTCTCTATAATCTTCAAGGCCATTTGCACCCTCCACTTTATTTGCATGCCATAACGATTTCATTGTGTTCCTGTCCACACTTTTCCTTGCTCGCTACAGCAGATATCGACAAGGCAATCCAGCTCAATGCCGGCAGCCTGAATCTTTTCTTGAGTTGATTTCTTTGTTTATCTGACTTATATACAATCCTTTACAGCCCTGTGCGACTATGGAGGAAGATGAATACCTTCGACGTGCCCTCGAAGAGAATCTCCGCCTTAATGAGCAGCGTCAACGAACCGCAGAGGAAACAGAAAGGCGCCACCGTGAAGCGGAAGAGAGAGCCCTACAGGAATCGCAAGCCTCCGCGGCCAGAGTCAGACGTGCTACCGAGGATGAAGAGGATCAATTGAGGCTAGCGATGGAGCGGAGCGCGGCAGACGAAGCGTCGCGGGCAAGGCAGATTGAAGAAGCGAGACACAGACTGCTGCAGATGGACAGGGAGTTTGGCGGAGGATCTGGGGCGACCAGGCCTGCCAATAATACCAGCAGAACAGGTGCGAATGGTCCAGGCAACAATAATAATGGAAGCACGGCTCGCGCAACGCCAGCTTCAACGCGATCCAGATCGTTCTCCGGGCGCCCAGAATCCAACGCTGTGCGTCCGGAAAGGGCATATCAACCAAGACGCCAGGGTACGGCCCCGTCGACTGCCACCCAGGCCCAGGCCCCAATCCATCGAGGACGCACAGCCCAAACAAGCGCCAATACCAGCATAAGATCCCGATCCGCCACCGCAGATCGTCCCCAGCACACCTCCCCCCAGGCCCAACCGACATCCCAACCCCGACGCCAAAACACCGCGCCGTCCCACGTCGTCCCCCCAGCACCCGCAGCAACAGGAACCAACCCGCCCTCCCGGCTCAACAGCATCCGCCGCTCCCTCTCCCGCCGCCTCTCCCACCGCCAATCCCCCTCCCCGCCATCCACAAACACCTCCACCCCCCAACCCCGCGCTCCGCCGCACCCCACCCCAAACCCAGCAAGCTACTCCCTCCGCGAAATCCTCTCGCGCTCCGTCACAGACGCCTTCTCCTTCCCCGCGCCCGAACCCTCCTTCGACGCCGCCCTCCAAGCCGCCATCAACGAATCCGCCGAGCAAGCGCGCGACGAGGAGGAGGAGGCCGTGCAGCGGAGTCGCGGCGTCCCGACGTATGAAGAGGCGTGTAGGATGCCGCGGTACCGGGCGCCGCGGGGGGCGAGGTATCGGTTTCAGGGGCCGAAGGAGGTGGTGCTGGAGGGGGAGGGGGGAGGAGGAGGGAGGGTGAGGGTTGTGGGGGAGATGGATTTGGGGGAGGCGATGAGGGTTGCGAATCAGAATGTTAGGCGGAGGGGGGGAGGGTGATGGAGATGTTATCGGACCTTGAAGGTGGTTTGCTATGTTGCCGGAAGGGGTATTAGTGGGCGTGGTGATTGCATCCCGCTCAGTAGTTTCGCTAGGTTTTATTCTTGTCAGTTGAGTATTGACTAGGTGACGATATTTATGACTTGCGGGCCATGTCATGCTTGGTGTCAAAGTGTTTGATAGATAGATCGCTTCAGATAAGTAGGCAACCATGCAAATAAATTCGTTTCATAGGACTTCTCACTGTAACAGGCACGTAAAAAAAGGCTATGCTTGACGTGCGCAAATGGGACAAATACCTCAGAAAACTAGCAGCAATGCATACCATGCAAGTGAAGAAAGATATTGACAGAATACCCGAGACCCTGGTATCATTTTGCTTCCGCTCAAATCCTCGACAACTGATCCTCTCAAATCTCCAGGTAAGCTTTTCCCTATTTGAAGAACACCCTTTTTACACTGTTGCTTTTTAATCTTTACTCCCCATGAACCTTTCCTTTCCCCGTAGCTTGTGCACCTGCAATCAAAATAAACGCTCTTCACATCCCATCCCCGAGCTTGGCGGGTCACAGAAGTCGTGTTGCACGGCGAGGAATAATGTACTTGATAGCCGTAAAAAGAGAGAAGACAAACAAACGTTCTGCGATCGGCGGGGTAGGGTGGAATGGAGAGGAGTATAGTTTATAATGCACACTTGTTTGGGGGTTGTTTTTGGTCATTTCGAAAAGAGATGCGTCGAGAGGATGGATGTGTCGCGTAATGACCAAGGCTCAATTTGTTACGTGCTCTTGTGCTAGATTTCAAAATCAAAGTCCGCCAATCTAGTTGGGGCATGCGGCTTGGACGTGACCGGGCTGCTTGCATTTGTAGCAGACACGTTCACCTTTGCCCTCGGTGGTGCATTCGCGAGAAACATGGCCGACTTCACCGCCTGGAAGAAGGAGACAGATCCGTTATTAGCAAGGGTTTGGGAAAATTTGGATCAGAGCCGTATGGTTACGCACAGTTGTAGCACTTCTGACCCTGGGTGCAGTCACGGGCCATGTGACCATATCCTCCGCAGGAGTAGCAAGTCTGGGGACGGCTGCCGTAGCCACCACCATAGGACCCGGCACCGTAGCCGCTGTTGTTATATCCAGTGTTCTGGCTGCAGTTGCGAGCGATGTGTCCGACTTGGCCACACTTGTAACATTCCTGAGAACGTGTTTCTCCAGACTCGCCTCCCTGAGGGCAATCACGCGAGATATGGCCAGTCAATCCGCAGCGATAGCATGATTTCTCCTTGGCAGGTTCACTGCAATCACGGCCTACGAGTAAACAGATCAATGGGGTCAGTAATGGGGATATGTCGCTCAGCTTCCCCGGGTTGACCCCTCCGATGGAAACTCACTAAGATGGCCTTCTCCTAAAATGTGGAAAACTCATGTTAGGGAGCTGCATACTTCATATAGAACTGTAAAGTTGACTCTCGTAATCTTTGGACATACCACCGCAGTTATAGCTAGAGGAAAGATTAGTACAAGTTGCAAATGAGCCAAGGGCCATTTGAGGAGCAGAGAAACACTGTTGCATACCAGACGAGTGATCCTTTCTTGGGGCAGTCTCGAGCCTAAGAGGGAGCAATTAATGTTATCCCACCACAACGGAGCACACATCATATTAACCTGGTGGGCCGAATCGCCACCTGGGACGAAAGTCAGCCAAGGGATTTTCCACAAAAGTGAAGCGCAAGACAAAACAGGAACCAACAAGAACAAATAAGAACAGCAGGATAACAAAAAGCCTGTTAAGAATGCAGGGCGCACTAATGCGCAAAACAAACAGGTCCAATCTGTGGCTCTGGATGGCGCTTTTTTTTGCCCCTCTGCAGTGAGGATTGCGCTCAGGCTTTGCGCCACAACAACAGACTGTAGAGCCCAGTGCACAGAAAGCAGAACCACTGACAGAGAAGAGAACGGGAAAACTCACAGTTAAAACAGCCACGTTGATAGCTATCCATTGTTCGTGTATACGGTCGATAGATGACAGGGACTGTCTGAATGGGCCTGTACAGGGGTTTTAGAAGGTCTCAACAACAGCAAGTGGAAGAGGCGACTGCAAAGCATGGGGAGCTATTCGAATGCGACATTACCACAGAGAAACCGGGGGAGAAAGACAGGAAGAGGAAGACAGAGGCCAAGGAAGCGGGCGGGAGCAGAGACCAGACTTACGGATGGTGCCGAAGCGGAAGAAGGAGAAGTTGACAGGGAAGAGGCAAACTAACGGGCGGGTTAGTGCGAACAAGAGAGGAAGAACTGAGATGTTCAGAGAGTTGAAGAAGAGAAGAAGAGGAAGAAGCGAAGAAAGAGAAAAAGTTGCGAGTTGAAGAGAAAAAAGTCAAAACGGCCGAAAAAGGGAACCCACAGAACGCAAGTCACCTGGTTCACTAAACGGCCTCTGCTCTCTCGCCGGCGTCTCCTGATCTAAAGTATCGGTGAAGATCGATACTGCTGCTCAAAATAGATTTCCCTGTTTCCCTTTGCTTCTCTGTTCTCTGTGGCATTAATTCTGCTGCAATGCGTTTCTTCCTGCAGAGTGGGCTTGTTTTTCGCCTCCCGCCCATCTTCTCCAAGTCTATATAGATCGAGGCCAGACGGCAACGTGGGATTGCCCCCCCTCATTCTGATTCCTGTGCCCAGAACTAGGAAAGCATACGGCAGGCAGCTGGCCCCTCCGAACGCGAAATAACTAGGAGGCAGGTCTGGGGCATCTCTGCAGTTCCAGGCCCCAAATATTTGCTTTTCTGCTGTCCAACCCTTGTAGACGTGTTGTTCTACAGCGACCATTGGCTGGTTCCCAAGCGATGGATTCTCACAAATCTAAAAGCATCCGGGGCCATGTTGAGGCAAGGGAGGACTTGGAGGCCCGTTGGGCTGTGGCAAAAGCGCCCTGTTTCCGGAACGGTGTTCTCCTCCGTCGGCTGCCCGGTGGTCGTGCTCGTTCCAGGACCACTCTCAGCCATGGTCCGCAATCGCTCTGGCTGGTTAGATTCCAAAGGCAAAAATGAACGGGGGTGATAAACAGGAGCGGAGAGCGGTGACCAGGTGCGTCTGGGATCCAAGGAATTGGGCTGCAAAGCCCGCCGATATCAGTCGTGCGCCCATTGGTTCGCAAAGTTTCGATGGAACAGTGCCTGATATGTATACTCCGTACGAACCCCAGGAGAGCGGGAATCCTAACGCCAAACCACTGTGGACACTGAACCCAGGGGTCTGGCGAAAGTTGCGGTTTGTTTCATTATTCACTCGTTCATCCCCCGTTGCGACGTCTCGAATCCCTGTCTGCGCATGACAGCTTCAGCGTAGGGAAATCCAATCAGAGCGCATCGTCACGACATCACAGACGGGCCGTTGAGGGACGTTCCTGGATCTTAGTAGAATCGCGCCGACCTTAATCGTGAAACGTTTGTTGACGAATTTGGGTGAGTACTGTTGTTTTTTTTTCCCTCGGCTGGGCGGCCTCGATGGATATATAAATACGTAGACTCATCGAGGACCTTTGGGGAAGATGACAACCTTGGTGCTCTTATCCAGGTGGAAAGGAGCTTCTGATAAATAGGCCCGCTTCAGCCGGTAGGTGCCGCTACGCAAAAATATGTACATACGTACAGTACAGAAAGAAAATGAAAACGCTCTATAACTATGAGGCTATGTGAAATCGTAGCAGTCAAGAAGTTGGGTCCCAAGGTCTTGCTCGCGAAGCACGACAACCTGCTCATCGTCGAAGCCAACTAGCCCGTTGATTTTCGTCAATTCGCTCAGAGTATCCCTTTGAGCAAGCCATAGACTTGTTCCAACGTCAAGTAGCACATTTTGCGTACTATGCGGGCTTATTAAACTGGTACTCTCACTCTTGACTCTTTCGGGACTGAGCTGAATGCCACGGTCTCGTAGCCGCAGCCTTTTTGCCATCAATGGCGATGAAACCAATTCTTCCAATTCCCAAATGCGAATATCGTCGCCTCTGGAGCTCACAGACACCGCTTTACCCCGCCCGCCAACTTGAACTCCGGAAACCGCAGATGTGTGGCCCCATAGGCGACGAGGAGGGCTGATAGTCAATCCCTCTGCAGTCGACAACACCAAGTACACCGTCAGAGTATTATCAGCATGCGCAGCCAATAAATAAGGATGAGAATAGGATAGAGATGTGGGTGGCTGCATATGCGACGCATACTGAAAAGATACTTGCTGCGGCGCGGCAAATGTGTTTTCAAATCGCTTCGTTGCACCCTTCAGTTTACCTGGAAAACTTGTATGTTGAGTATCAAGTGGTGTAGCGAGGTGGGATCCCAGGTTTTCACCGCTTTCATCCCACCGGAGTTCTTGTAAGCCGACAGACCAGCCACATCCAATTCGAGGAAAGCTATAGGCGATAGATGCAATGACCTGTGTCCCTACAGTGCGCATTGACAAGGTAAGCGGCGCCCGGATATTGCTGGCTTGAAGGGTTTCGACGAGCCGGAGGGCAAAATCAGCGGTCACCCGGTATAGAGAAAGCATCTCATTCTTTCGCAGCAAAAGTAGATAGTCTGGGCACGAGGCGAGAGCAGTGATCTCGCCATCTTCAGATTTGAAGTGGGCCGGACGACGAATGAGCATTTTGGTATCCCGGTCCAATGTATATATCGCAAGGAGGCCGTTCTGAAAACCGACAACCACATTGACTTTTCCATTATCAGAAGAAACCGTTATGGCTGTTGGGATTGCCAAGTGGAGCTCGTCGGCGAACGAAACACCAGCCAGTAGCCTTTCTGTATCTTTCGTTGACCACGCCCGCAGGCCGTTTCTTACGTCGGCAGTAAACACGATTCCGTTGTGTAGATTTACCAATACTGGTGGAATAGGCGGTTGCGCGACTTCCAGTTCTCTGATCCGACAGTTTCCCCGTGACCAATTATGCTGCAGACGGTACTCCTTCATCCAATCGATCTCCCGGCCTTCCTGCCATGACCGTCCACGGTCTAGCCATTTGACCACCCTGGAGGAATATGCCGTGTGTCCGCCGGATACGCCAATATTGCTGAGTTGCCGAACTCGTCGAGCACGCGGTAATATCCAGCGGGAATAATACTTTCGCTTCCACAGCTCAGAATCCCCCGCGAGGATGTGAAATCGTCGGGATAATCTGGCATGATCAGTATTTTTTCAAAAGGGCTAATAATTTTCCCAACGTCTGCTATATGTAGCATACCGTTGACACGTTATCAAGGACCGTATAGGCAGGAAACTAAGAATGTGAAGGGCTAGCTCGTCACTGAGTGGTGACAATCGATCAGGTTCAGTAGACCGCCGGGATCGCTTCTGTGGCGGCCCTTCTGGAGCTTGATCATCTGGAGCACGTTTTGGCATATTGTCCAAGTTGTTGCGCCCTCTATCCAAGGAGCTCGTAGTTCGATATTTGGCATGGTACGCTCACATTCTCTCGGATCCCATGGCGATGTAAGGTTGGCTTCCCACCAGCGAATGATGATGTAATCAGTGATTGCCGAGCCTTATCTCCATGTGACCTCGAGACTGCCACGTGACTGTCCGACGCGCCGCCAACGCGCTTCGATTGTCATCGGCATCAACAAACGTCGGCCTTCAGGGTAACTCGATTTACGACGACTTCTATTGCGCACTTTTATCGTTGAAATGCCAATTGTTACCCTCTTACCTTAAGAAAAGATCCGATGGCGTCTTACACAGATCTTGATGAAATGGTGGACGACTTCGCCCATGACTTCAAACGGCATATCAAACTCAAAGAAGATCGGATACGAGAGTTAGAAGCCGAGCTTGAGGAAGCAAACAACATCAGAGCTCAACTAACTTCGCGGATTGCGTGGTCTGGAAAGGAGGATGATGCATCGTGGGAACAGAACCGCGAGGCCAAAGATGCCCTCCGGATTCTGCTAGCCGCGAAAGACCCCAAGAACTTCATCTGCGAATCTCCTACCTCTGAACCAATAACTTCAATCAATTACTCTATCCTAGCCAGCGCATACCGCTCTACATATCAGGAGCTTAGCACTCTGGCCCGTGCTTTCTGGGCGGTTAGGAACAAGCTAGAAACAACCCAAAAGAAGGCCAGTGCTTGGTTCCGCAGCTTCGAGCAGGACTCCTTTCAAGTCAATATAAAAGGAGAAGTAATTACTTTTCGGCGAGCAGCTGCGTGCGGTATCTCTGGCGAGGGCGAGAGAGAAACTGAAACTGCAATCCCACAACAAAGGGTGCTTGATAATACTAGGTCACCACCTCCTACATTAAGCACAAATTCGAATCGGTCCATTACTAGAAGCGAATCTGAGCAAGATCAAGAGCTGATTCCAACCCAATCTCAGGAGCCAGGATTTAGTCCGGTTCATCCGCCGTCACTTGTCCACAGCTCCTCGGGAGGGCCCGAGTTTCTATCCTCGAGGCCTGTGAGAAAAAGGAATGTCGAGAACGTTGCGCCAATACAGGTTGCCGCATCCCCGGTCCGAACTGGAAGTTTCACGCGGCCCGTTACACTTAAAAGCGAGCCTTCTTCCCGTGAAACGCAGAGCAATACCCCTCTGAATAATTGTCCCGATGAAATGCAACATTTAACTACGAGAACGGTCGGTGTTCCTACCGGTATAGCTGAGGAAGCCCTACTTGCGGGTGAAACGGCTCAAGATCACCGACAGCAGTCCGAGAACAGGCAGCGCACTTCCGGAACAAAACGTCGGCAAGCGCTCCAAGAAGTGGACCCTAACCTACCAGTTTCTCCGCGACAGGGAGCGATCGCGAGTGGAAAGCGAAGAAGATTTGCATCCCGTGGCGCAGCTGCTATTCCATCTGTCGCAGAGGATGGAGAACCAGAAGGTTGCAGCTATGAGCACCAAAACGGACAAGGAGGGGGTGTTGCGGGCCCTACAAATCGTTTTACGGTAGCTCGCCGAGTACAGGACCTCCTTGATACCCCTCCGCCGCCTCGACCTGTATTACTCACAACCCCACGAACTGCTCTCAGAGCACCCTCACATGCCAGAACACCCCCAGCTAAGAGTCCAAACAAGCGCCCTAGTACGATAGATCGTGATGGGGCTGGCGATCAGGTTCTTCCCGAGGAAGAGCCGCTTCGCTGTCGCCCATTGCATCGACTCGGCCTTGAACATTTCAGATTGAACCCCGAAATGAACCAAGGTTTGGATTACGCGTATGACGAGGTAGTGCGAAATAGAAGCACCAGGAGATGCCTTCCAGGCTGCCTTGCAAAATCATGCTGCGGGCCAGCTTTTCGCGCACTAGCTCGGAGCGAAATTCCTAAGAATGTGACATTCGATACGCTGACTCCAGAACATCTCCAGATACTCGAACAACACCGTGGAGGTAAACCAGAAAACCTCCACGTGCTCCCGGCTGATAGGTTATATGAAGGGCTGGTTGAAGCAAAAGCGTGGGATCTTTCGAATCGATTCAGCAGGCATAGGCATGCGCATGGACGTGCAGCCTCGCCTCCGGGGTTTTGGCGAACTGAGATGCCCACAACACAAGAGGCACAAATCGATCGAGAGAAGGCTAGAGAAATGGAGCGGGAAAAGGTTTATCAAAGATATCAAGCGGCTTTGAGAGGGAATGGAGTTTGGAAATTTGCCGATGAATGACAACATTGTACTACTTGGCCATTTGGACAGCTCATATTTTCAAGAAATAATTATGATATAGTACATAGACTCTTGCATGGAGAAAAGATGGTTGTTCATTGTGTGCTAGTTCCAAGCAATGACCCCTTTTCTTGGGGTTGTGCCTCGGCGCTCAAGAATCACGTGGCACATTGGCAACAAACGGCCTGGCCAGCTTCCTCCGTCACCTTCGAAGGTGGCTCAGAGTGAGCCATCTCATTCTTTTACCTCGCCTGGCCTTTTTAACCCTGTTGATATGACATGGCTGGAGGTTGAGGACGAGCTTCGCTAACATGTTGCCAAAAATGGTGTCATCCCAACGTCCTGAGACCCGGTTACCGGCAGCGTTGACCCAGCCGACCAAACTTGTTGGAATGTACGAGGAGTTTGTGACGAAGAACTCCAGCTCGGTGAGCCAGGTTGAGTCGGCACTGCGATCATTGACGTATATCATTCCAGGTTTGTGATTTTCGATGATGATCATGGCTGTGAGCAGCGGGGTTTGACTGATCTTTGTAGGACGGTTTCGAGAATCAGAACTAGCTTCAGAGTCAAGTACGTTGCGCAGACCTCGTCGATCGTTCGGAAACTGATTGTGTGATAGTCCATTCTGGGGTGCAACTCCTATCCTTATACCATGACTCCCTTGTTGCCCGAGTTATATCTCGCCTCCCACTCACTATACCCCGTCCTCCTCCTACCCCTCACGCACGGTATACTAAGTATTGGATCTCAAGTTCATCCCTCTATCACCGAGTCGCTTTAGCGCTACAAATGATTAAATATACAGAACTTCTTTGGGAAATGGTTGCCCGGCGCCGAGGCGAAAAGATTCGGTGGCGCGTGGTGGTCCTTATCGAAGGACTCAAGGCCCTATGTCGCCTGATCCTACTCCGATTGACGAATTCCAGGCCGCTGGTCAACCCGCCTTTACCGGAGCGAGAAGTTGATCCGCGACCAGCAGAAGACGAAGATGAAGCGGGCGATTGGAATGGGATGGAGACGCCAAAGAGTGAAAAATCTGATTCGGACGCCAGCTGGACGATGCCGAGAACGGGTTTCTCAATGCCTAGTTTGCCAGATGCTAGCGATGTATCGAATTATCTCATTTCCAAGGTCCTTACAGCAGACGACGTTAAGCCTCCCAAAACGTTGTTGCATCGCGTTAATGGGATGGGCCAGCTTGCCGAAGTTATGTTTATCCTCCGCCCCTTGATTTACGCCTTGGCGCTGCAAAAGTGGAGTGGAAAGAAGAAGAGCTGGACTCCTTGGTTAATTGGGTTCGGAATGGAATATGGCTGTCGACAGCTAGCAAAGAAAGATTTTCGCACTCGGGTAGCAGGTGGTTTACGCGGCTTAACCGGCCTAGAAAGGGAGGAGCTCAAGAAAAGAGGGTGGAGTATGGGTTGGTGGACTATGAGGGGAGCTTTTTATGAGAATGTCACCAAGTACGTGGCTTGAAATCCCGTATAATTCTGTATCACGAAGTTCTAACTTTGATAATAGGTCCTGGCTTCAAGGCATGACACGGCGGTTGAAGGGCAAACCTTTGCTTGACTTGGTGGGTGGCGTCATTGACGATTACGAGTATCTTTGGGATAATTACTATTTCTCCACTGCTACGCTTTGACGAACGTCAGGCATTTTATATGTTTTTTCTTCCTTTATATGCATTGAATGTGGTCGGCGGTTGGGCTGTATTTTAACTAAGGATCTTTTCTTTCTCTGGTGGCGAATACCCTGTTGTGATGGAAAGGTGCCATATGTGGACGGTTTGGTTTTCGAATCATGGGTATCATTTCATGCTAGCTTCTGCTTCAAAGTATACTGGGTCGCAATCATGTCCAAATCAAAATATCTCTTTCGGCCTCCTACCATACCAATCTCGCAACTCGTCCTGCGTATCGTTGCTCTCCGCCGACGCAGTGGTAAAGTATTGTGTCATTTTTGTAGCCTCTTCATCTTCGTCCGCTGGCCAATCCACCTTAAGCCCAGCCTTCACTTCCAACAGCTCTTTTGCCGTCCCCCAACTGAATCTACACTCATTCCCCCACCCAAACAACGGGTGCATCTCCTTTTTCAACCAAGACGTGCATTTAGAGTCCGATGGATACCCACTGCCCCATCCGTCGTTCATATGTTCCATGCCCTTTCCCACCCTTTCTTTCTGCAATGCTTCATAGCAGATATCCAAGGCGGAATCTCTCGTAACCTTTGCGCAGACACTAGCCGCGCTGACGCATGGAAACAGCGAGTCGGCTTTCTTCGCGACGGTGATTTTCAGTGAAGGAAATATCATTTCCAATTTCTTCTGGTAACTCTGCGGATTGCCGATGGTATCGATGTAAACCTCCTTGACGTCAACCCCACGCTCCTCGACAACCCCGCGAATGATTTCTACCGTCGCGTCCATCGCCTGGGCATTGAGGTTGTACATTCCCGCTCCTGGACGCTGCATTCCGGCGGAAATATCCCGCGCGGAGAGGAGTTTCACGGCCCATCCGCAGGACTTTTGTAACGAATGGCCTGGTGTGCAGAGAAGACGCATTAAATTTGATCGTACGCCCGGTGTGAGGACTTTACTATCATTGAAATGGTGCTCTTCGGCTAGGAGCGAATGGTGTAAGGATAATGGGAGGTAGAATGCGCTGTAGACCATGGGGCCGAGGACGGGGCCGCGGCCGGCTTCGTCGACGCCTAGGACACATGGTGTAGTTGGAATGGAAGGGTCAGGTATGGGCGTGGTGGAATCGACGTTCAACGACGATGTTATATCCTCTGGACATGGAGAATAGTGGCAGTATGATTGACCTGAAAGGAGGGAGGAGGGGTGAATGGAGGGCGGAATGAAGGCATTGGAAGACGAGCCTTGGGAGGGATTGACGTGGTCATCTTGGGAATTGGCCATCGAGTTGGATATTTAGACTCTTTCTCACAGGAAATGCAGTTCAGATCTTTGCCTTCGAGGTTGTTCAACTGGAGATCGAGAGTGTCGGCGGCAACGCGTGTCGTGACTGAGCAGCGCGTCTGCGGTAGCTCTTGAGCTTTCCAATTGGGTTTAGTGCGGCCAAGTCGCGTTGCTGGATGTGGCTGGGAAGTTTGTTGGAACATGCGATGGTCTCTCAATGAACTCCCTGCCATCTTCGGGATACCTATTCAGTGCTTTTGCGATCCCACTTCCAGCTGGGAAAGGGAGCACAGCAATCGCAATCACCATTGTCACTGGCCTTCCCAGTGTTTTGATGCCCAACATCCTCCGCCTCCCACGCATAGCCGCAGAACAGCAACAATGGCAGCGCGACGGGCTCCCCCAAAGGCCCGAGAGATGGATTTCGGAAATGTAGGCGTGGCAGGAAGGTAATTTCATTTTATAGCTTGCGCGTCAAGCTGTTGCTGGCCTTTAAACCGAGTACAAGCTTCCTATACTAAAACATGTCCTTTTTCTAGACGGACGGGAGTCACACTAGAAAAGGGGAAGCTCGATGAACACGGCATGGAAGAAATAGATGGGATGTTCTCTTCGCCGGAGAAATCGCCTGCAAGACACAACACAAACGGGTTTGCCAACGACACGATATTACATTCTGAGGATATGGAAACAGGAGGCAGTATGTTTACCTTTTCTCGACTGCAATGCCGTCGGTTCTAGGCACGTTATCAAAGCGCTTACACGACTCAATGACTAGGTAGTAGTATTCCCGAACCCGCAGATATGTTTTCCAGCCGGCGAGCCGCACGCAATTCTTACGTCCTTCCACCCAGATCACGGTCCCCTATCAAAACCCATTTGAGTGGGTCTCCCCGCAGAACTCCGGGAATACGCTCTTCACCAATTCCCCATAGCGACCAAATATCCAGTCCCTCTTCGCGTACTGTTGCCAAGAGGTCGCTCGACTTATCCATATCGCAAACACAGTTGGGGAAATCGCCTCTAAAACAAGTCCGATCTACGTCCATTCCCCCAGAGCTTGAATCCCCAGCAGGCAGAGGAAGCGTTGGCGAGATTGATGACGTTGGTGAAACTGCAGATTTCTCGGATGATGGGAATTATCTAGTGGAGGAAGCCGAAGAGGAATCTCTTTTTGTGGAATCGAACATCCTCCATCACGAAAATGGCGGCCAAGATAGCCCTGGCAATTCCATACAGAACGACATTGATAATGACGAGGATGAATTGAGAGAAGCTGAGCAGGAAGAGGCTGCCTCCCCACCTGTAGTTACAAAGGCGCCGAGCAGAGGAATAAAACGGAAGAAGGGGCCAACTGAGTTTGGAAATGACACCGTGAAAGCGGCTAGTACTTCTGCTTCTAAAAGCAAGAGGGGACGGAAGCCAAAAGCCGCCCGGGAGGAGATAAACGGCGCCAATGAAGATGATCAAGATTCAAGGCCAGCTAAGCGAACAAAAAAGGCAGCACCAAATGAGCTTACAACCAATTTGAAAATGTCGAGCGAACAAGAATCAGACCTAAATCGAGTCATCGGAAATATCACGAAGCGAGACGGGCCTCTCAAGAAACAGCGAAGCCTCCATATTTTAAGAAGGGAATCTCCGTCCGATGGAGCAGTACGACACACACGGTCCGGTCGCGTATCAGTAAAGCCTCTGGCGTACTGGCGCAATGAGAAATGCGTATACGGTACGGGTGAAGCTGAACCCGGCCAGCGATTTCCCTTGTCCACGATCAAAGAAATCATCAGAATCGATGAGCCCGAGCCAATATACACGAAAGCTAGTAAGAGGTCAAGTAAAAAGGCAAAGGCAAAAGCAAAGGCGAAAAGAAGCCGTGAAGAATCGTCCGATGAGGAGGATTATATGGAACCTTGGGAAGTCGATGAGGGTATATTCTACGGGCCCGTCAAAACGTGGGATCACGAATTGCAGACAGGGACCCAGGAAGAAGAATTAATGGGTACGATCTATGCCATTCGAAGTTTGTTAGGATGTTGGTTAATTAAAAAACAGATGTCGCCTACGCTCCCTCGGCTATCCAGACTCACGAAGTCAAAGGCTCAAGCTTCCGGTTTGCGAAAGTCCTCAGCACACCTTTCCTAGGCTCGGGTTTTGTAGAGATGCCGCCGGGTGCGGCCAAAAAGCAGAAGAACTCGAAACGCATGCATATGGTGTTTTTTGTGTATCGTGGCAGGATACGAGTCGATGTATCTGGCCTGGTGTTTAGCGCTGGGAAGGGGTGCGTTTTCCAAGTGCCGCGAGGTCAGTCCGCCCTTTAGTTCTATCTTAATCTTGATTTCGCGGTAATTATTGACATTCAAAACCCTAGGTAATAATTACAGTTTTGCAAATGAACACGACAGACCTGCTGCTATCTTTTTCACCCAGGGTTGTATACCGCTAGATTCCGATGGAAATGTGGACACTGGGGCTCCAGCTCCACCTCTACCAGATCCTGCTCAGCAAATACAACCGGAAGATCAACATGAAGACCAACCGGAAGAACAAGGGGAAGAACAACCACAGGAACAGGGAGAGGGTCAGGAGCCAGAAGAGCAAAGCCAACAAGTAGAGACGGAAAAGAAAGGGAAGAAAGGGAAGAAGAAGAGGGGAAGACCAAAGCAGAATGCTCAATGAGCGTTAAAGTGATTTGTTTAGCCAAAGATGTCAGCCGGCTTAGTTCACTGCAGAAATTGGCCTGCATAGCCCATCTGCACGGTATGGATAATAGTTTTATGATTGTTGCTCTGTTATCGCAGTGAAACAGGATAATTCGAGAGTATGGCATGGTCTCGTGGACTGTTTACGTCAATCATGGTTTCGCATGAAAAGCTTCCAAATGCATAGGTCCTACTCTATCATTTGACTTGATATCGCACCTTTCCATGTATCACCTTGTCCATCAATACGTCATTTTTCATCTAAGTCTGTTCCATTCAATAATAACAGTGCCATTTATCATGGAAGAAGATATCATGATGCATTGCAAGGCAAGATTGGGACGATTGAAATGAATCTGCGACGGTTTGGAGACAGGACCGGCTTGATCACACGCCCAACGTTCTGCCAAAAGAGGCAGCAATAGTCAGATTCTCAAAGCTCCTCCATATCCTCGTCCAAATCCAGTCCCAATGGAGGAAAGTCGCCTACTTCCACCTTTTCAGGCTTTACAAATACTCCACATTTATCCGGGCAGGTGAAATATTTCCTCCCTCCCACGCTGCCGTCATTCTTTCCCATGGGTTCATCCAGTTCGATGCCAACCCATAGCGGCGCTGGGATCTCCGGGTCTTCAGCTGCTTTGGGATTTCCAGAAGGTATTGTGGGAACAGGCCCAATAAAACGAACTGTTCCTCTCCGGATGTGCGGTGGGCTGGATGGTAGTATTATTGCCCGTTTTGAAAGTTCGAGACCTTGAATTGTGTGAGTTTGTTACCAATGTGGTACAGATTGACGAGCTCACCTCGGTTTTTAATATCAGCCGCATCCTTTTCTGCCTGCTTCTTTGCGATCTCTTCTGGAGTAAGGGTTTCGGGATCGAACCGGCCAAGCTTCTGTGATTTCTTCCAGGCAAGAACCGTATTGGGGAGTGATTCATACGTGGATGTCGGAAGCGTATACTTTTCTACGGATGAGACATCGGTGAAATCTGGGCGGGCTGCTGGGGGCCGTAAATCATGGATCTAAAAGGCCTGTTAGCGCGATATCCAGAAGGCCATGCCAAAAGGTCGCACAATATAAGAGGGTCGGATAAGCAATTTTGACGGGCTGTCGCAAACGCATACATATATCTTGTGGAATAGAATGGACAAGGTGTAAGAAGGTCATGCTAGGGTAGAACGGTGACGATTGAGGCATGTGCTGACAGTTTCTCGTAACAATTCAAGATCAAGGACCCTTTCGTGAGAATTCGAGAAAGCAGTCCTGATCCTCAAGAGGATACCCCAGTCTACAGTGCATTTACTAACCTCGATCTCGCAACCTCTGACCAATCCCCAATCACCAACGAGCTGGTCATCGCCATCGATCCATCTATTCTCGCGTCCAGGAGCCTTCAAAAGCAGCCTTTGACTTCCAGGAGGAATTCCACACATCGTTTCCAGCTTACCCTTCAACAGGGAAACGGTCCATGTCGGTGTAACCCGACGCTCAGTCGCGAAAGCAGGGCGAGTTTTCCCAGAAGAGTCATCGGTAGCAATACTGATAGCGACAGAAACATCCGCCGGAGCCTGAAACGCCATTATAGCTTCTGGATTTCTTGAAGAATAGAATTGAATATCCGAGTACACAGGCGTGGGGCTAGCAGTAAACCATGTGTTTAGTATGAGAGTATTGGTGCGAAATGCAAGCGCTCAAAGAAGAATGGTATTAGAAAACAAGAGAATCGCAGCAATTCTCAGACACTTTCTGAGTACAAAATCGATTGGCGGCGGAGGTTAGATATATTGGGTTTGATATTCACCAGGGGACGTTGAGTTTCGAATTTAGCGGCTGTCTGTGCGTTGATGAGCTTAAGCAATTAACTAACTTAGTTATTGAGAGGGAAGCCAACAAGGCGCGGAACAAAAACAGCAGTATCAACAATACGCGCGTATGATATTTTCCAAATAAAATAGAGACTTTTGGTTATCCTTTGGTTTGGCCATACAAACAACCTCACATATACTCATTTACCTTGACTGCAGACAATGCCAGAACCATACAACAGCATTAGCTGACTAAGCCAGTAGGGGATGGAAGTGGGTCACGTGGTAGGCCCGCTAACTAAAATAAGCGCGGCCGCTAAACCTTAATTTGATGAACAGCTTTATTCGTCGATCAAGCACTGCATCCCGCAGTTCGTCGAAACACACAGACAAACGTGCTGAGAAGGGTTTGCTGGAGGAACTGGATCTTCAAGATAATTGCTTTTTCGGTTATTTACTCGTCGCTGCCTCGGGGACACACTGGAGGCTGAGTTGTGGCGTTCCCAATCACAAATGGCGACGGGCAATGATCGAGGGGAGTCGTATGAGGAGGAACATGTTCATCGAGTTTATCAAGAAATCGCACATCATTTTTCATCTACCAGATACAAGGTGAGAGCGAATGGCTCTTTTAGCTTCACCCGCTTTGCTGACTCTCCGTAGCCCTGGCCAATAGTTGAACGATTTCTGAAGGAGTTGCCCCCTGGCTCTGTTGGGCTGGACGTCGGCTGCGGCAACGGCAAATACCTACCGATCAACTCAAATGTCTTTATTATAGCTTCAGACAGGTACGAAGTGGCGGTGTTCGAGGCTCGACTTCTCCCTTTGTGCTAACATTGAATAGGTCTGAAGCCCTGGTAGAAATCGCTCGCCAGCATCCACCCCATTCCACAGTGGTAGCTGATACTCTGAACCTGCCCCATCCGAATGCTCACTTTGATTTTGCAATTTCCATTGCAGTGATACACCATTTGTCGACCCGTGAACGTAGGGTCAAAGCGATCCGGGCGATCCTAGACACTCTTAAACCGCCTCAGGGTAATTCTGAGGGCGGGAAAGCCCTCATATACGTTTGGGCGCTTGAACAGAAAAATAGCCGTCGAGGCTGGGATGCGGGTGATGACCAGGATGTTATGGTTCCGTGGGTAACGAAGCAGAAAAATGCCGACGAGTCCACTGAAACGTCCCAAACGTTTCTTCGTTACTACCACCTTTACCAAGCAAATGAGTTGAAAGCTGACATCGGCGCCGCTGGTGGCCGTGTTATCGACCATGGTTATGAGAAGGATAACTGGTGGGCAATTACTACTCCACTTCCTTGATGGGTCAAAAAAATGATATACCGAAATACTAAATTTCACAAAATAACTATTGATCCATCGACCGTACAATGAAATGCGAATGGACTAAACCGATTTCAGAACAGAGCAAAAGACACCAGATTAGGTTTACATAAGATGCTGTCCTAGATCCCGCCAAACAACCATATGCATTCCCGCTTCCCTTTCCCAACCTGCGCTATGCATGCTAAGTAAACAGATCCTCCCTCTCTACTTTCGCCTTATCGCCTGTGTGCTCGACTTCTTGACCCTCTTCGAAGCTGCGCGGGACTTCCCTCCGGATGAAACATAGGAGATGCCGTGGGCTCATTCACCCGTTGTGATGAATATGCGGGTATGCCTGCAGTCAACTCCGCTACCGATGGAAGCTGATTAGTGCTCAAGCGATCTCGTCGTGACAAGGTATTTCGGCGCGCTCTCGGCGAAGTCTGCGTCGGAGGGGTGGAAAAGGAGAATGGTGTTACTCCTGCGCGTTGCGCCATTTCAGCTTCACCGAGCTGCCAATGCATCGCCTCCGCGGCTCTCCAAGGTATCGCCATTTCTTCGGCTATCCTTCCCCACATTTCCTCCTTGAATCTGAGTGTGGACGTTAGCGATAACCATAAAATTCAGCTGGCTTAAGTTGCTGCATCCAACTTACCTTTCATAAAGCCGAGCCAGCCTATTTTTCCTATCTTCATCCCATTCACACCTCCTTTCAAGATAATTTTGATAATGTAACCTGCAGCTTATCGGACTTCTCCCTGGGATTCTTTTGCTAATGTCATCCCACTTCATCCCTCCTCCCCGAAGTTCCAAAATCAACGCGTTCTCCTCAGGAGACCACTTTGATTGTTTTTTCGCGGCACGACCCGTTGGCGACGCATCTTGCAGCGGTCTCTTCGCGGAAGACCCCGGCCTCGAGGCTAGTAAAGCGCCCGGAATTTCTGGCGAAGCTGTGGAAACCGAGGGCCTTGATAAGGTTGCTCTCTCTGACTCTGATGGTCTTGGGGACGCCGTTGCTGCTCCAGCTGTCGTTGTTGTACTCGTCGCCTCTTTCTCCTCATCGTGGGATCCTAAAAGCAGCGAGATATCCAATTTGTCTGTGGTAAATCGTGGAATAACGCGCAGGACCATAAAACTATGCACCGTGCATGTGCCTCCTCAGGGAATAAGTCGCCACTGTTCAGGGATGGCGATACTTCGAAGGCGTTTGGATAAAGCTTTGAGCCGTAGCCGCTGAGAGCTTTGGACACGGATGAAGTATCGGTTTTATGTCAGCCTAGGTCTTTTTCACACCGGTCATTCGCAAAATACTAGGCCAGGATCCGCTTTCCAGAAGCGGTTTGATGGGCTCTTCAAGCTACCGCGACGAAAAGCCTTTGTTTTTCTTGTGCCTATCCGTTACTTGCGTTGTGGGACAATCAGGCGCCACCGTCAATGACTGCGGAGAGGAACTGAAGATCTGGAAGGATAATAGAAGCGAAAGCAAATCTGACCGTCTCACGAGCGTCGTTGCACTGTCGATCTGGGCTGTCAAAGTGGGTTGGCAATATTTCGACAACCAAAAAAAAGCAGAGACGATTTGCAAAGAAGGGAAATCTAGGGCAGGTACAAATAGTCGGTCAAACGTGTCTACACCCTTTTATTGCAGCTATTATTTGCCTCCTGTCCCTGGGTGACCAATCGATGGTCTCAAATCCTTGACCGAACGCGACCAATTAACTGGGCGGAGAGCACCCTGTTATCGACCAACAAATCTTGATACACGCCGTGTCCTGCTCCCAGCTGTGACCTGGAGATTGTGTCACCTGAAATAACAGGCAAGGAAATGAAAAGACGTGCGAATATTAAAAACCCAAGCAAGGGAGATTGGATTTTCACCCTGTATGGAGGATTCCAGCAGCATATATGCCACGAGGTATGACACGCGCAAGAAAGATAGTATTGAACAGGGAGGGAATGGATAAAGAGTGGGGGTGGGAAATCGGAACCGTCAAGGGGAGCTGCTCGTTTTCTTTGCACGGATTCAAGCAACAATTGGCGCTAATAATAAACCGCTGCATGCAACAAATAATCGTCAGGTTATGTTAAATCAAAACTGACAAGCAATGGGCGGAGAAAAAGCAAATGGGGCAAAAAAGTTATGGGCGCGTCTGTTTTTCAGTTTCAACTTTTACAGAGCTTGCAAGAACTGACAAAAGCCGTTATATTCCGCCTTCTAACAGCTCTTTTTTATTTGTGGCTCCGGTGTCTCATTGCTTTTTTCTAGATCCTCTCCATCCGCACCCGCGTCCTTGCTGACGGCCTTTTTTGGTGCTAGGCTGAATGCGTAACTATGTGCGAAAATCCGTTTTCTCGGCACTGTTGCGAATACGTCAAAGGCCAAGAAGGAATTCCTTCAGGATTGTATCTTGAAACACAAATCCCTCGAATCTATTGCCTGAGCTCTCAAGGACGTAACCAAAACTGAGGCGAGATCAAACGGGCGTCAATGCAGCGCGCAGACAGGAGCAGACACCGACATAAGCACGAACACATATGATTTCCTCGCAAGCCGCTGCAGACGTGATGGATGGGCGCATTTTCGAGGCGTTGGAATAAGCCCTATGCGCGGCCAGCAAATAGATCAAAAGATAGACTGATGAATCAACTCCCCACACAACATGCTACGTTACAACTCTGGTACTAGCTATTCTATAAAAAGCAAAACTCTGGATAGGCGGATGGACCGTCCAGAATAGGTGACTTTATTTTCTTCCGTGCAGGTTCGGAAGATACAGCCTTCCATTGAATTTGGGGCGCAGGCTTGCTCTCCGCCTGAAGCCCTGCAAAGAATTTTGTAGCGGCGAAACATTTCGCCTACAAGAAGAATGGGCTGTCTGAGTCTTTCTGCATCTAAACGAGTTTAAAAAAACAAGGGTTTCCAGGCGTGCATGAACATGCCCCATTCTACGATACTAGATCAGTTTGGTCACGTCAGACCGACATTCACCAAATTCGCTTCCTAAACTACGGAGTAAAGAGGTATTGAAACCCACAGCCTAAGCTTAACTTACCTGGAGAGGATTAGTTTTAAGATTTCCAGCGAACGGGAAACCAATGCTTTTCCTTTTTCCGCTGGAGTCGCTAATAGACGTCTAACGCCAGACGCCTCAAGTGATGTCATGACCTCCTCAATGATGTTGGGACCGTATCGGCTTCGTTGGGTACCGAAACGGCTTGAGGATAGGCTGCCGTGACCAGAGTGGTTAATATTGGACAGGATCGCTGGAGATGGCTTTGTAGTTTCGAGTGCAAGGGCATGGACAGGAGCTCGCACTCCAGCTGATGAGTGACGATTGTCTAATTCTCCCCAGACGACGAAGGATGAGGGAAGAGGTCTTCTGACGTGAATCTGAATCTGATAATCTGGCAAGTGATCGACCCCGTAGTTCGAAGCTAAGATCGCCTGAGTTAGGATTCTTTTTTATTTTTATTTTTACGGAGTACTTTCTTTCGAATTCCTTTTTTTCATGCGACCGAACCACAGTTGGGGCGAGAGTTTTCTTCAGGCCGTTTTTAGTGGCAGAACTAACGATGATACGAGCATGCCATCGAGTTCACTAACTAGTTAGCTAGTTCATCCACAAAGTGCATTCCCATGCGGTGTGAAAAGTCGGGATATGCGTCAAGAATGGAACCCGGGGGGGCGTTTCCCTCATTGAGGCACTGGCCAAAAACAAATCGGTCTCCCTCCCAGGTTTCTTCAGCCGAGTGAAGAACCCTTGGACCCGATCCCAGCATGTAACTAATTATTTCACAGATACAAAGATCCCACCTCCGTTCTTGGCCGTCAACTCATTACTTGCCAGCAACTATTACGGAGTTGAATAATAGAACTTAAGAAAACCCTCTGGGATTCCGAAGACTTCAAACTTGATAAGCGACAAATGCTTTTCATGCAACATACATATAATTAACCACCTCTGTTGAAGGTCAGCTCCTGTCCTCTCTTTCTTTTTTTCCCCGGTTTTGCATTATCAATTTCCCAGAATGACAAATTGTTTTTGATAACTTGTTTTGCGACCCATCACTTTTCTTCTATTTTTAAAGGAACACTTTATGCATTGTCTGCTCTTCCCTCCCTGGTCCTTTGACGCTAGATATGCATGCCGACGGCATGATTTTCGGAATATTCAGATATGCGGTGAGTGCGACGGAAAATTTATACTATGAAGCATATCCGGAAGCAAAATACCGACAGAGTTTTTGTCGAGTTTTGCCTGGCTTTGACAATAGAATTGAAAATGCATCCTTTAACAATCTGAAAGGAAAAGAGGGCTAAAAAAAGAATTCGATGCTCCTTCAGGGAGGCCTGTCGAGATAGCGGCTGTACTTTGATATGTCATGATCGTGAGATACCAACACCAGCCGTTTGGTCGCCGAACGGCAAATCGGGCTGAAGAAGGACTACCCTGGGCCGGTTCTTATTTTTTTACACAATTTTTCATTGGTTTGGCTATAATATTGATTACTATCGATCAAATTGGCGTCAGGGGCACAGCACACCGCAGCACCCCAATCTTGAGGATTTTCTGCCAACTTCCGCGCACAGATGACGGTTTCCCAGGGCGAAACAAAGGATTGATTGCTGCGCTTGGATATTCAACCTGCATGAAATTTGCCGATGACAGATCCCAAAACAAATAAAATAAGCAGCGCCAAGAACACTTGATATGGCGGTCGGCACATTTCCCACCGCCGAAAACTGGCGGGCCTCTCTGGTGCTTTGATAAGAACCGGGTAAATGTTTTTTAAAAAACCCCCCCCCCCCCCCCCCCCCCCCCCCCCCCCCGAAGAGAAAGGGGATGAGCCAATTTGACTGATTGTATCGGTGCACAGGGCTTCGCCTCGCGAATTCCGCATGGCGTTGCCCCAAAGCCGCGCTTTTGATCGAGAATGCCCAATGCTTTTGTTCCAAAAGTGCACTGGGGTTGTGCTCAGATTGGTTACGCAAAATGGAACATGACATAAGAATCATTTTAGGCTGGATTGTGATGCTTTGATGCGGCAGGGGTACGATAGAGGGATTGAGATGCGGTAAGCTGGCCTGTTCTGCTGCGAGGTGGGTATCTTTCATCGAGCAAACATGAGGCCCCATGTAGCCTATTGACGCATGGAGAAGGTTGAACAGCTAATGATGCCGTCTCCGTGTCACTGAGCTCGATCGACTTCCCCCGGGATCAGTATGTACTCCATACGCTGTCATGTCCCGATGTCATTAAACTCCGGTGTAGATCTAACCCCGTTTCAGGTCCTGGAGAAATTCCTATGATTGATTCCTTGTAGGACGTGACCGTGGCCAGCGGATTTTAAAATGCGAACGTGCATGGTGCGAACCATATTGCCGGGAGGCCAGTCAGAATCCCGTAAAGCGTTACCTAGCCTGCTGTCTTTTTTCGCTTCCGTTCATTTGCCAGAGCGCTCGACTCGTCCATGTGGCAGTTGCGAGAGTCAAGATGAACCGCCGTGCCGGTTCGTTTAGGTAAGGTTTGAAAGGTTGGCTTCCTCCCGATGCGACCTAATTTTCAGTGGACGGGATTGCCGCTAAGGCAAGTTTTCGAGTGGCTGCAGATGTACCTGTCAAGTACTCTCGGCATTTCGAATGTACTCCAGCGTCTTCTCAGGTGACGTAAACTGCACAAACCCGCTCTCCGTACATGGTTTGACATCAGAAACAAGCCTAGAAGAACCAAGGAAAAAGGGGCCGATTATCATTCAACATGACCCATGCATTGCGAGGCTGAATGATGTATGTTCATGGCGGTGAGCCAGCCACCACCCAGTAAATTTCCTTTGTACCGTCTATTCCGGAGATATTTGGTCCTGAGAATTCGAGTAGGGCATCAAGTGATTTCAATGAATGCATGTATGTCGGATTACCGTTTTTGCTTGGGTTGTTCCATTTGTACCCAAGCATGTTCATGCGTCCGATATACGGAGTCTAGATGCGTCGCATGCCCGAAAATAAGGATCCGCCCCGGGAAAGATCTGCCACTCATCATGCCCCAAGAACTCTTCCCTACACTGGAGTTCGCTTGAACCAGGAGAGAAGGTTCTTGGCTCTCCAGGCATAAATTAGTGAAAGAAGCTTGGGGCATCAAATTACCAGTCTACACATTCCTGCGGACGTGGCACAAACCCTTCTATTCGATCTGATGTGGTTAGCTCTCAAAACTGAATCAAAAAGGGGCGCTCGATGCGGGAATGGGCTTGGAACGTCACATGCGGGAAAACCCTCAGGAGCTCGTCTGAGCCGGACTCGCTTGCGCCAGCCACGTCATTCGATCAGAATTACTCATTGGGGTGGATGGATTCTCCCATTTGGGTGAGACAACCAGCTAGTCCATGTGTTTATTTCACTGGAAACGGTTCGTTCCCACACTGGCCCTCAGATGCAAGTGTTTCTGGGGGAAGGCTTGGGGATTTGCAGATGGAGCAATGCCGGTGTGCCGACAAAATCGCTACGCTTGCTGCATATACTGGCAACAGCCGTCCCGTCCAAGGCGAGATTGATATCCTCCGTCAATTCCGAGCCATTGAATTGAGCCAGAATTCAAATTCGGTTTCACATTCGAGCCGCTTCAAGTACGCGAACGGATTTATTAACAGCACCTCCTTAATCTCGAAGGGGAGGTGTAGGGAGGCAGCAGCCGCTCCACGAAAATACTTGTGCCCGATGGACCGTGGGTCAAAGCATCTGAAAGGAAAAAAAAGAACCAAACGAATTTTTACCGACGGGAGTTCGTGTGATTCCGACGATATCCTCCCGGCATGACGCGCATTAGACAGAGTCTACCCCAGGGCTGAAACCGGGCGCACTCGAGATTGGGTTTCTGATGCCTCACAAGCGCCACCCCATGGACCCAATCATGGTTTGGGCATCAATATGAGATGGTTCATGGGCCGAGCCATGTATCAGAGCATCATGCGCAGCGTATTGTCCTGATTGGGAGGATTTGCTTTCCCATCTGAGAGAATGATGAACTTTACAGACGGTTTGTGAATCTCATTGTCGCCTAAATAGGGGGGATCCGGTGACCAGGGATAGGCTGAGTCAGCACGTGTCACGTGCACCTAGACTGGCCCCAAACACCGCTTCATCCAACATGTCATGTCACAGCAGCAGCCAGCGATTGATCCGACAAGAGTCTCCCTCTGTTTTAGGGCTGCTTTGGCCTGGGACATTTCCTGCCATTGCTCATTGCCGACAAGGCAGCCTCAATGGCAAAGCAATGCCGTTTCACCTTGTTAAACATGAATACCCCAACTTCCCCTTCAATCTCCAGCCGCGGATCTTTGGAGCATTTAACTGTCTGAGCTGATGCTTTGCTGATTAATATTTTGTCAGCAGGTGATGGCAAGCGTCATCCATCTTGCGTTATGACTTTTGAAGAATAAAACTTCATGACGCCGAAAATTAAACATGTGAGAGCCAGGGGCCTTTTTGCCCTACGCATTGAACACTCTGAGGTCGAAGCTGCGCCATATAGCATTTACTCTTAATCCTGATTCTGGAATATATTTGGCTTCTTCTTTGATTCAGAATTTGGACTCAAAACCCAGGCGATCCTCCATTGAAAGCATTTGTGACAATTAATTGATTCTCAGGCATCAAGCAACTGTGGACAATATAAGCCTGGCTTGCTTCACTGTCAAGTAAAAGGATTGCATTGTATCCTTTTATCTCTTTGATGAGCACGACGGATTTCAATATCATGCAGGACATCATACCACATCATACCCTTTCGCATTTGGCAATCTTGACAATGTGGTTTGACCCGTATGGAATTAGTCAATCGCTCAATCCTTTGCTGCAGATTTACAATGTTGCATGAAGAAAATCCTTCAACGCGTGGCATGCTCTAAGCTGACGCCTGACTTTGAAGACGATGCTCCTTCAACAATCACCAAGTAGCCAGGAGCCTACCATCCAGTCTGGAATGCTATGCTTTGGTATATGATTCTATGCAATAACCCGGACCATCGAGCGCCTGTTTTTGCACCATCTTGCGCAGTTGCCCTTGGTAATTTTGGAGCCAAAAATGCCCATTCTCACACTTCGTGCAGTGAGGATGGCCAGAGCTCCACTTGAATGGGCTCTTTTATCAATTACGACAAGGATATGCCCAATTAGAACCAAAAATATACCAGTCTAGAAAGTATATACCTACTCGACATAATCTGTCGCCAGCAGATACACGTATCTGCACAATGGTTCTTGAAAAATCTATGGAGCATCTACTGTAATGCAGGCTCGCTGTGCCGAATTCTCCTTTTAACTTATATTTGAAAACGATCGAAGATTGCAGGTGATGGCATTGGTCAGTTATTTTCGGAGAATTGGTTCTATTTTACGTTGTGATTTGGCCTCCCATCGATCTACCGATCAAAGTAAAAGTTTCGATATCCAGCGGTGTAGAATAGGGTTATATTTCAAATCTACTACTTTTCTTGCGGTTCCTCGCCTGAAAAACGCTACTTCGGTAGAGTTAGAAGGTTGCTATGCTACCCCATCTCCGTTCCCTAGACTCAAGAATATAGATTGAATTTGGGGCTGCAGCCTTTCAATCAAGAGCGCCACTCTATTCCCTTTGCCCCATGTTGTTTAGAATCAACATCGAGAGTCTACGGTCCAGTTGAGAAGGGCGCATGTTGTACCTGACAACATGGCAGCTTTGCGGGCCGCAATCTACAGAAACTAGATATCTCGTGTCAGTATTTCCCCGATTCTACTTTCGCCGAGCTACGTTCTGGGACGAATCAGGTTTGCAGTGAGCAAGTACAGGGTCCAAAAGCTCCTCCTCAAGAGTGCGCATTATCTAAAAATCAAATAGAATTGCAATTTGCTCCGAACATAGTATAAACCCTTGAACCACCATTCACAACAAGTGAGAATAGCTTGGATGCAAAGATATGAGTACTTCCACAAACTTTCCGTGTTTGTTTGAGTCGCTGATTTGGATCATCGAGATGGCTGTTGGATATCAACGTCTTCAAGACAATATCTTGATAACCCACTGACAATAATACAATCGCAAAGTGGGAACATTATAATCTTCAGACATAGAGATACAGGAGTACACATCACCCACTGATTGAGATTTGGAATTAGTAGTATTGGGCGCCTGGCAAGCTCGAAGTCAACGCAATGTAATCGGAACCAAGCTGTCCATGGACTTCAGCTAAAGCCAGATGAAAGACACAGGATATGTCGAAAATACCTGAATAGCAAGACGGCTGGTGTGACAACAAATCACTCATGGGAGCGGTTTCGGCGAAAAAGAAGTTGTAAGATCCCTTTGATACAGCCATAACGTTGTACAGGTTTGGCAAAGCCTTGTCTCTGCAGATGCCTGGTTATGCGCTAAATCAGACTTATGTGGCATTCAGCAGGGCGTACGGAATAGGAGAGATGCTTTTCCATCATATCAGCATGTAGGTTAGGCTGCGAATTCCGGTCATTGAAACGAAGGCAGCCGGAATACAAATATCCCCTGTTGTACGAAGAAAAACCGTCAAAGCTCGAAAGCACGGGAAATACTTCGGGTGACCCATGAGGTACACAAGAGTAACTTCTCACTTCACAAGTCTATGAATCCCAGGGTGTTTATGCAATGAAAAGAGCAAGGCTAGCAATTGCAACTGCCTTCAAACCTTCCGGAGTATAGGACTAGTTAATTGGAACAGGAGAGAATCCAGACTGATTGGACTGGTTGACAAGTCATTGCCATCAATCATGGAATGATGTAGCTCCAATCAGTTGACGAGTATTACGAACCCATTCGATCGAGGGTGCCTTCCCATCTTTGCCTCATGTGAAGCCCCAAGCACAGCCTTGCAGAAGTTAAGCTAACCTGGCCATGTCACTGGAGACGTGTGTTGTTCATGACGCTATATGGACAGCACGCTGGCAAAAGCCTGCTGCTCCACGCCCGGGGAGTAGGGTAAAAAAATGGGCATGTTGGAAAGAACAGGTATCAACATGCTGCCCAATGGCAGGAACCTGGAACTTGACAGAGTTGGACCGGGGAAGAAACCAAAGCCCGTTCCCCGTGCCTCGCGTTTGCTTTATTGCATACTCGATAACTCAGCCTAAAACACTATCAGGCCCACAATTGCAAGAAATGACAGTCCCCGAACACCGCCGCACGTTTCTATGGTTTCGTTGAGGGGCCTCGTGCTAGGTACTCATTCAGAAGCTTGGTCCATTATGCAGGAAGCCTTTTTATTGTTGAAAGAAGAGGCACACAGCCGGCACGCCTGGCGATCCTTACCGAGTTACCAGAGTGAGGCTTTCGCAGGTTGTATTGTTACCTCGTTGATTTGGCAATCAATGAAGGGCAGGGGTGAAATTCGGCGTATAGCGCTCCGGGCACAGGGCTCTTCAAGGCTCCACAACTGTCTTTTAAGAAGTTGATGCCGAAAAGAATGTTTCGGCATTTCACCTTTCAATGATTGCTTTCTTGTACCGAATGCAAGAAAATTCTAACGCAGGAAAAATTCAGAAAAAGCGGTCAGCTTCACCAAGCTTGCTCGCTGAAACGAAATGGAATCCATATCATTGATTTTGGCATGGCAAACTGGATTGTACCGGGGGATTGACCTGCATTGCATGCAATCATGATGTGGCCTTTCGATCAGGCATCCTTGGGGAGAGGCGGTGAGAGGGCCCCATTGGACCATCCGGAGGTGAAAAGTCCAGAACCTGGGCTGATGGAGTTCAAATCACATCATCTGAAGTTTAATCTTCTCTCTCACACACACTTTCTTGACCCGCCGAGCTGACAGTCACGAGCTGATGACAGTCGGTGATGAACGTCGACTTGAGCACACGATCCACCCCACGAACTTGACCACTCTTTCCGCCAAAGCGACACGAGGAACAAGTCATGGCAAGCCACGGCTTTAAATTTTTGAATCAACACCGTCTAACTCGCATGGTGGGGTGTTAATCCAAGGAAAAGCTCAAACATCTGCCGGGATTGCGTTCGCTGAATCCGGCCACCCTCGCGAATAGTGAAGCATCGCAACGAGGCACGAACAACGAACTCCTTCGGAGAAATCGTAACCAATGCCTAGATTTCCAGTAACTAGTGGCGGAGGCTGTTAGCTACATATCTTGCGCCATCAGCAGTTTCCGCCATCCTCTGCAGCCGCCACCGCGCCCAAAGTGGTTGGTTGTGAACGAACCGGTTCTTTCAATGCGTCAACAACCAAGCACCATTCCGACCTCATCGATTCTCGCCGGTGTCCGACTTCAGTTGCTTGGGATGCGAGGCTTCAGCCCATAGCTGGAGATGTCAATCGCATCGTGAGCATGAAGCGATGTTGCTCCCACATTACCTGTTCGGGCAGCCTGCAGCGGCTGTCGGTCATGTGACCGCCTATTTGAACGTCCATCAACAGCAATGGAGCGACGACATCAACTTCAACTTCAACACAAAGAGACAGCAGCAGGACAAGGAGCCTCTGCCTCAAACTTCAACAGGCTGGAATGGAGGTTCTGCTCGCTTTACATGCCATGGCAGTTTCCCTATACTCGGCTGGGGCCCAAACGGAGCCTGTGAGATTCAGGCCGCTCCCTGAATCTGTGAAAGGAAATACTCAAACCCTTTGGGCTTGGTTTGAAGTGCACTACGGGAATTTGCCAGTGCCGAATTTGTGTTTGTCCCAAGGAAAGTCGTGCCGCTAGCCTCCTTGTCCAGCGACAGTTTCTCTGTGATGGGATCAAAGGCAGGATAAAAATCAGTACTTGACAGGACTATGTACACCTCTCTCTTGCTATTTCTATATTTGCATCTATGGCTAGGCGCTTTGATTTCAGGATAATGAGGCTTTCCTTCCTCCATCCGGCTCTCCTTTTGAATGCGTTCGTTTACTCGCGGGCCAATTTACTCCAGGATCAACAATGAAAGGTATTGAGTGAATGAATTGAAGTTGACAAAACGTTTATACTGGGTATAAAGGAGCGATGCAACAAGTAGCCGTTCAATGCTATGCGGTTTAAAAATGGAGAAGTTTCCACATTTCTCCCTTCCCAATGGAGGTTTGTTTTTTACATACTGCATAAGTCTTCCTCCGGATTAGACCAAGCCTCTTCCTGGGTTGTTAGCATTTAGCCATTAAACCCAGCATTCTTTTCTTCTGAATAAATCGTGTTCAGTCACGAACTGATACAGACAAACTATGGCGGCTCTTCAGCGGGGCCCAGTGAGCCCGACCAGGGATGAACGGCGCGGACGGGTGAGCCACTTGTACTCCAAAACACCAAGTTATCTCATGGCCTACAAGATTGCTAATACGATTAGTTGACGGTAATGTTCACTGACTGGCCCTTCGATTGCTGGCGGAGTCCCGAGCCGATGGGTTTCGATAATGAGACCGGGGTCGTTTGTTTCCGAAACTGCATTTTTGTGATTTTGATGCATATGCCGGCCCTCGTACACTGGCTCTACCATCACCTTCAAACTCCATGCGTTGAAACAACACAGACTGGCGAGTGTGTTGCATGCCTCCTTGGCTTTATCGCTCAGAAGTACCGTGCCTACGGCAAATTGAAAAACCAAGCTGAATTGAATAGCTTGGCGAAAGAGACGTTCGAATGTTGTCAAAGGAAATTCTGGGATCTAGAAGTCAGTGCACAGCAGGACGCTGAAGAGTTTTTCAGTAAGCTTCTAAATCATCTGATAAGCCGGTTCGAGCATTCCCAACAGTATGTATGGAACCAACGGTTTCTATTGTTTATTAAAACTTATGTGTTTGATATGTAGGGATGATCGATTCTTGAGGCATATGTTTCAGACCGTCTATAAAATCCGCAAGGAATGCGAGAAGTGCGGCATTGTTTCGTATGAAAAGGAATACGATTATATAGCGCGCATTTCGCCGCTCGAAGACACAGCCTCCACGCTTTATGAGGCTCTTGAGCGATCACTCACCGGCGATGTGAGCCGCATTTGCGAAAGCTGTAGGCATAGTGGTCTACTGACACGGCGCACCTTCGTTAGGGACGCGCCCGAAATCCTCGTTTTCCAGATCAATCGCCACGGTGAAAAGGAGGGTAAGCTGATGGGGCAAATACGATATGACGAAAACATTGTGTTAACTGAATTGCTCGAACCGTATGCGCGAGAGAAAGGCGAGGTGTTAACCTATGAACTGTATAGTGCGGTTCTACATAAAGGGGAGGATGTCAGCTGCGGCCATTACACGGCCTATGTCAGGACCCCTGAAGATAAATGGGCTCATGTAAATGATGACGAAGTCCAAACAGCTGCCTTGAACGATGTCCTCTGTACGAAGGGCTCTCCGTTTGGCGAACCATATATCTTGGTTTATATGCGGAAGCCACTTCAATGCGCGGACAATAACATCACCAAGTTGACGGTTGATGACAGTCTATTCAATGGAACTTTACCGCCTATGGACCAATCGACTCTAAGACCCACTAGAGGCGCCGAAGTCCCTCCGCAGACCGAAACAACTTCTGCTGAACAAGACCAAGAGGCTGAAGCGGCCATGGAGGCGAGTTTTGAACTCCCAAATCTTGAAGATGACCCAAACATTGAAATCGGAAACTCGCCCCCAATTCACACAGCAAAAGTGCCACTAGCAACCAGGTGGGAAGGTCAACCGGCAGAGATTACCGTCAACGTTACTATGGGCGAGATGGTTTTAACCGGAGTCCTCAAGGGTGTGTTGAGACGGAGTCGCAGACAGCAAACGGGTTCAATCCCGTCACAGAAGCCAAAGGGGGTGGAAAAGCGGCAAAAGCTGCCGAAACAAGCCGGCCACCAGGCAGCAGCAGCAGCAGCTTAGAAGGCTGGGGAATAGCTCCGGCTTCACTGGGGTGCGTATGTGCGTATTTGGCGTTGGACATGGACTTTGGGTTTAGTTGGGAATCTGCCTCGTGCTGATTGTTGATGGCGGAGGTTTTGGACATTTAATTGTGTAGTTACTCTGGAAAGCTTGTCTTCAGGATTTCTTTCGCATCCAAGTTATCCAGATGATCTGTCTTGATACCTGCCTAACAGTTATATGCAACCACTCTACCATGACGTGAGCAAAGAGCTTCAGGCGTCGTCTCCGAGCCCACAACTCCTAAGTTTTCTATCTATCAACATCAATCCATGCATCCTCACCAGCTCCTTACAGAAGCTATGTACTGTCCTTTCTTCCCATGGAATCAGGAGATCGATTTGAACCTCTCCCAGATTTATCCATTTTCATAGCCTCAATTTTCCGACAGCTCTCTACGCTGGTCCCCCTACGACCATCAACATCTCATCAAAACCAGGCCAACAATCCACTTTCTTCCTTGCCCCCGGAGGTTCTTTCAAAGATTAAACCCCTCCTTCTGACTCTACATTGCCTGTTCCCCAATGAATTCCTCCTGGCGCTAGACATCCTAGACCGGAAGCTCGTCAGAAGATACAGTCTCGCAGACGACAACACCGCCCACGGAACGTACTTTGTGCTCTCTGCATCCTCCAGAACGGCTACGGGATCAGACACAAGCCACACACAGGCAAGATTGTATCTGCCGGAAAAATACTACCAAATACACCTGCATTCATGGAACTGTACCTGCCCCGCGTTCGCGCTGGCCGCCTTTTCGTCTTTGGAGGAATTCGCGCCGGAGCAGAATTCAGAACAAGTCGATGATCCGTGGCTGCCGCCGTCGTTGTCTTCAGCCCTGCGTGCCGGAGATGCTGTGTGGGACTGGCGGTTCGGTGGAACTCTGGGGAGGAAAGTCGGATCTTCGCATGGCCCACCTATGTGCAAACATCTGCTGGCGTGTCTTCTGGCATCGCAGTGTTCCGGATTATTTGGGCATGGGGTGGAACAGGTCGTGGTGAGCGAGGCCGAAATGGCGGCGCTGCATGCGGGATGAAGATTTCTACGGAAAAATTGCCCTACATCCATGAGCGACACGGCGAAGCGGGCTATATGCTCGGGGATTGGGAGATCCCAAGTACTACTCTGCAGTGTATACGGGATATAAGCCAATCTCGACCAGGGAGGCCGGTGTCCACGGCCGCTGGACTGCGATAAGAGCTTTCCTCCCAGCCAAGGGCAAAGTTTAGCAATGCCTCTAAGAATTACAGCATTGGGGAATAATTACACAGTTGGAGCAGTTACAGCTGACACGCTGAATCTGCTTTGACTAAAGACTTCTGGGTGGTCATTAAATGCTCTCAACATCGGTGCCGTCCCCCACTCTTATTGCATCTAGTCTACATGGCAAAATGTACATCACGCCGGTGTAGGATAGTCAAAGTCATCAAATTGAAAATAGGGGTGCGAATACACGGGCGAGCTATTACGCTTTCTTTTTATTCTTTGAGTTTTCTGAATCATCTTTAGATTCGGTATTATTCCCTTTCTTCTCTTCGCTGTCACCTTTTGCTGTAGCCTTCTCATCCTTAGCTTCCTCTGACTTAGCCTCTTGTTCCTCTTGCCGTTGGCGATTTTGGATTTTGTTTTCAATCAAATCGTGGAAAGCTGTGATGGCACGAATGAGACTGCTGATATAAATGGACATGAGCTGATCATTTGTTTTGATGTTCATTGCGCGTGTAAGTTCTGTATTTTCGATCTGGGAGTTCTCGGATGAGTTGGCGAGTGTGCGTTGTTTGGCCGTTGCCAGGTTGGGAAGGAGGTTGAAAATGTCTTGGAGGTTGCCTAAGATAGCATGATTGACGGGCAATTCTCCGTCGAGGACTTTTTGTAGATATTGGCCGATGTCGCGTAATCTTAAATGCAAGCCTTGTAATGATTGAAGCTGTGAGGTGATTCGGGTGGACAACGTCCCGACGGCAACGTCACGGATGTCCCTAAGAAGATGTTCCACACCAATCTCTTCTGCCTCCTCCGCTTCGATTATCGAAGGGGTATGAACAAAAGTTTTGGAGGTTGTGGTTCCGTCCTAAGCACAGAGAATGAATGGCATTAGCCGCAAAGCTAGCGAACGGCGACAAAGAAGCTGTCCTTACATCTTTAATTTCTTCGACAGCAAAGTATGCATCGGTAGGCACGCCGACCTCCTTTGGCTGTACATCGATGATGACCAGTAACGGATTTGGTGTGTAACGTTTGAAGAGTTCGTTGATCTCCAAGTCTGATGCTCGAAGCTTGGGGCCGGAGTGGTACCACCCAATCAATTTCTCCCGAGCGTTGATTTTCTTAAACATATCGTTCATTGATTCCACAAAGTTATGATCTAAGAACCAAACGGATGGATCTTTGTCGTCCTCCTCAAACGGTACTGTGATGTAGCAGGGATGTCAGCCTGGTAACCATACACTCCAGCCTCTGGAAGCGAATGCATACCCGCAAAGCTGTTTGACACTCGAACGTTCTTGCCATCATTCTGTCCTAATAAGACGCCAACGACCCGTCGTCGAGTGCCCTTTGCTGTTCGTCCATAATGATCGGCGACTGAGAGAAGGACTAGGGGAGCGACAGAGACGGTGCGGTTCACCAGGGAGAGAGCATCGGCAGTGGTGGCCGCCGGCATGGTCAGAAGTCGGGAGGCAAGAGTACTGCACAGAACGATACTTGGCGGATTCTATGGAAATTGATGAAGAGCTTGGATGCGGGGGGCAGTTGCTGGCTGTCACGGAGCTGTTGAAGTCGGTTTCCATATCACATAAGGCAAAGGCAAGCTCCAGCTCAATATCTTAGTAAGCAATGCCAAGAAATAAGATACGCTAAATCACATGACAACATGATGAGCTAATCTGCTTACTAATATGCCATCGCTCACCGCGCTTGAAGACGATCGAGACAAAAAAGGACAAGCGAGTAGATCAACGATGGCGGCTGGAGTGTGTATCAAGCCAGGGGGAGAGAAGGAAACGCTCAGACGTAAGGAGTAGCTACAGAGTAGTCAAGAATCAACCCATTGAACCTGTATCTTCGAAGAAACCCTGATGCACGGTTGCACCCGGCACAACCGTCTCCCCCAACGGTTTCTCGTCTCCTTGAAAGAGATTAGCTGTCGTAAAGAACCCTGCGTTCAGCAGAAGATCTTCAATTAATTGGCTGTGCTTTGCCGGCAGTGGTCAGGGCTCGCGTCTCTCTCGGCAAAAAAGCGCGCCGATCGACCACCCTCGCTCAGCGTCCACTGTGTCCACTTTGGATTTTCTGGGAACCACCTCGGCCGTGCGGCAGCATTTGAGGATCCGGAAAGTCAACTCAGAAACCTTCACAACCAACCTCAACTTTCCCTCCCTCGCCTTCTTCTCCGCAGAACAACGGCTGCTTCCGCTCCATTCTCAAGTCCCTCGCACCGACAGTCCGGCCTTGGTCAGGTCCACGCCTTCAATTGCTCTCGCGCAATGGCTCCAATTACAGACGAAGCCGTCGATAGCCTCAAGAGCATCATCCGCGACCTGGAAAACCGCGTTGTGCAATTGGAGCGGAAGCTCGTCCATGGAGAGAGTAGCTCAAAGCCCAATTCGCTTGCAGAGAGCATGCGGATGGTCTTGATGGGTCCTCCCGGTGCAGGTGTGTAGTTGCAACAGCCGCTTTTTCACCCAATGGACGCGGGATTAACTCAACGGCCTTTAGGGAAGGGAACTCAAGCTCCGAAAATCAAGGAGAAGTTCTGCATATGCCACCTCGTACGTCCATCGTTGAATTGATCCAAATCCGCAGACCAATGCTAACTGATCGTCTTCTGTGGTATCTGCTAGGCCACTGGTGACATGCTCCGATCACAAGTCCAGCAGAAGACGGAATTGGGAAAACAAGCCAAGGAGATTATGGACCAGGGTGGACTAGTTAGCGATGAAATTATGGTGAACATGATCAAGCACGAGTTGGAGACAAACCAGGAATGCCGCAATGGGTACGCATAGCACTCAAGACATTGGGTATACGGGGTTTTCACTGACTACAATATGCAGCTTCATCCTGGACGGATTCCCGCGCACAGTCAAACAAGCAGAGAAGTTGGATGAGATGCTCAACGCCCGTAACCAGAAGCTTCAACATGCCGTCGAACTCCGGATTGACGACGAACTCCTTGTTTCACGGATAACTGGAAGACTGGTGCACCCGGCTTCCGGCAGGTCCTATCACAAGATTTTCAACCCTCCAAAGGTTGCCATGACTGACGATATCACTGGCGAACCTCTGATTCAACGCTCCGATGACAATGCTGCAGCATTGAAGAAGCGCTTAGTGACCTATCATTCTCAAACCGCCCCTGTTGTCGGATATTACAAGTCTACCGGTATCTGGAAAGGAATCGACGCCAGCCAGGAGCCTAGCCAAGTTTGGAAGAGCCTTCTGCAGGTCTTTGAGAAGAATTGAATTCAATAGATTCCTCAACAAGGTGGGATTGCCAAAATAGATCTATGACCCATTGTCTTTTTCGTTCTCCATTCTGATCTTCGGGAATTGATACCAAAGTTTGTTGGAGAATTGGATATGTTCTTCATGATAGTCCATGTGGAAACAGTTTGTTTCTATGGTTTCCTTTTTCTGATGGGCAAGCAAAATGTATGCGTATATAGACTGCGAGGTCTGTGGCTTATGTATACTACTACCCTTTTTGCATTGGGCAATTAGTCTCTCATAGCAATGTTCAAATTTCCGGCCATTGCTCCTCTGTTTTTTCGGTTTCTCAAATCAATGTTTATGGACAGATTTTGGGCTAGACAATACGGCTTTTCGTCGCAGCAGTGAAAGATTACGCTGCTCTAGTGAATACTCTGGCAACCATTCACTGATTACTCTACGACTCAGCAACTCCTGCTCAAAGCTTGCAGCTTTTATTTTTTTTTCCTGGACCTTAAAACAATCTTCCTTCAACTTTCCAACTCTCCATATCTTTCTTTCAAAACCAGAATTCAGTTTTCGTCCAACCTCAGAAACATCTTTCCTGTTCTTAGTGCAGCTTGTTACTTGAGCAAAATGGGATCCCTTATAAGCCTTTGCTGTGGTGATGACTCTCAGGACGAAAGGGTCACTCCTCACCAGTGCCACAACCCGCCACAAATAAGCCTACCATTTCTGTGAGTTCTCTTATTCAATAATTCTTTCATGATAAAAAGTGCTTTCGTTTGAAGACATTGCTCTAACCCAGATGCTTCTTCTCTAGTGAACGCACCACCGCGAATTTTGAAAGGATGGGGTTGAGACGTAAGTTGGAGCTGCCATCCTGCATGACCTCACATAACGGGAGTACAATATGCAGCCTGCATGGCATGCACGTGCTCTGTTCTCTTGTTTTCCATTTTCCTTCTATTGGCTTTCGAGAAGCATTCGAGAAGAGTCATGAAGCCTTGTGCTCTCTTGTGTGATCCGTTCCCCTGAAAGGAAACAAGGCTAACAACTTACTGCTATAGCAATCAACAACCAGCAAGCCACCGACGAGATCCCAATGTGGAGGCTCAGCCTATCTCTGAGATAAAGCGCGCTATTGACGAATTTAGCGAGGTAATAATGCCCTTATTTTGTCCTTATACTTTGCCCTTTCTTGGGGCCCTCACGTCTGCTTAAATATACTCCTCGAAATACCAGGATCGAAGCAAGCTAACTCGGACCTCCTTATAGTACACTGCACCCTCGTATCCCCCCCGCCGTGAAGCTACTGCCGGCCCTTCGAATCAACGCAACCAGGTTGCTCAAGCCGCTCCGCCCGCCCAAGCAGAATCTCAACAGGGAGCCAAGGTCGACAATGCCTCCCCCTCGACCTCTGGCATCCAGCGCAAATTCTCCTTTGAGGCTGGGGACGATACAATCTAATCTCCCATTTTTAAAACAGCTTTCGCTGTTGGGCCTCTACAAGGCAAAAAGTTGACTCTTCTCTTTGACCTCTAGCTTTGTTTTGCGGTGTTTTTTAAATTTGTACTTAGGACCCAATGGAAGGACTCTTTGCTCTTACGGCGCTGCCTTTTGGGCCGTCATGACCCCTTTAACTACCCTAGATTGTCCCCTAGGGAGCCTAGCTTTCTCAGGCTTCGGCTTCCGTTCCCAACAGCTTCTAATCCCCGAGCAACCGTGAAACAAAGACCTTGGCTTTGCGGTAAGTGAACTTTCAAAGAGTCGCAACTATCTAGCTCTATGATTGCGGCACTAGAATACAGGCTTCAGGAGAACGAATGATAGCAATTCATTTACGAGTGATTTGATAAACCCTATGATTATATAGCTGCTTTGATGCCCACTGCTTCCTCTCCTTGACTCTCAAAGCTGAAGCGGATATTGAGTCGACTCGATACTTTCGGGATATTTCAATCCACCCTGCCTCCGTACCTCATCCATGACCTCCATAATGGCCAAACTCTCTGATAAGGGCATATAAGCGCTTTCACGTTCTCCAGCCCTCAAACATCTTGCAGCTTCATCGGCCTCCCAATACATTCCCCTCCCGGTTCCTGGAAACACGGCATCGACTTCTTTCACATCCTTGACCGGCTGGCCCGCAATTTTCCGGGGTATAATCTTATACTTTGTGGGACGGAATGCATAGCCGTAGACTTGAATTTCGCCATCTGTGCCTTGGATGCGTATGGAAGGGCCTGCCGTGCCTTTTTCATCTGGGTCGATAGATACGCGGATGCTTGTTGTGGCGACGGCATGGCTTTTAAACTTCCCACCAGGCGTGGAGCGCGGGAATTCAAGGAGGATAGATGTAGACTCGTCAGCACCTGTAGTAGGATATTTGATCATTTGTGACGAGATTGCTGATGGAGGAGCACGGTCCTGATGAAGGGTGTGATAAAGGATTTGGAAAGCCCATGTCAGCGAATATATGCCCACTATAGCGCACAGGTCAGTGATCAATCAGCAATACAGAAAGAGCAAAGCTGGGAGCTCTCATTACTCACGATCAAGCAGCGCACCACCTGCAAGTTCCATATTCACCATCCTATGGTCCAGACTCCAGTCCTTCTCTAAATCGCTTCCCACGCTCGTATCTGCCGTGACTCTCAATACCTCTCCAATCTCCCCGGCCCTGACCAAGTCCCTAATCTGCACACAGAGCGGCATACACCTCGTCCACACCGCCTCCATCAAAAACAGACCCTTTTTCCTCGCCGTTTCCACCAGAATCTTCGCCTGCGCCGCATTCACCGTAAACGGTTTCTCACATAGAACATGCTTGCCATGCTCCAGTGCAAGCATGGTGTTCTGGAAATGGTGGGAGTGTGGAGTAGCAATGTAGATGATATCCACATTTGGGTCCCTCGCCAGATCCTCGTAGGAATCATAGGCGGCGCAGGGGGAAGGGATCCCGAGCTCCGCGATGAATTGCTCTACGCGTACTTTGGATGAGGATGAGGCCACGGCGCTGACGATGTGGAGGATGTCAGCTGCACCGCGGGAAGCGGGGTCGATCAAAAGGTCCTTTGTGAAGCCTGGTTGGGTATTTAGCATCAAATATATCGCGTAGGAAGCCTTGAGTTCCCGCGTTGTGGTATAGGGATTTGGGTATGAAGAGGCGCGCCGTACTTTTGGCAATACCACCGGTAGCTATATAGGTTGTTAGCTAGTATTTCATATATGGATTGGCAGTGGTATGTCTATGAATTTAAAGGTTTGGTTATGGGTAAACCTGAAGGTGTAGCTTACCCATGATCCCCCAGTTCACCTTCCACGGGTCGTTCCGCGCCATTGACATGACGAACGATGTATTGCGCAACGGTAGAGGTGCTCTTAGTAAGGTATTTTATCTGGAAGCCCCAAAAAGAAAAGGGCTGTTGATTGATGAAGCAACTGAACAGGTAGACTTCAGATCGGTGATGAGGGGTCTGAATATGTTCTCGGGAGCATACGAGTTGTCTCCACTTAACTGATCAGCTAGTTATTACTTTGTTGATTCTCCTTTTCAACTTTGGGAAAAAGAAAGCGGGAAATTGAATAATCGTGAAAATGTATAAGTGTATGCCATTTCAATATCTAAAGCGCTGAGGCACATTGGCTAGATAATACATAATGCAGTCAAAAATAACGAATACCGCCCCGTTTGATCGTATCATGGATCAGACACGGTGATCAAGCCAGCTGAGACCAACCAGCCCAAAGCAATTCAACTAAGCGCTCAAGTGCTACTGGAACTACGTGAACTTGGTCAAGTAACTGGCTCCGTTTTTATCCTAACATTAGATCCTGTAGAATCAGTGTCCTATTGAAACGGTTAGGATCCATTGGTTGCAATCATCATAAAGCACCCATAAAGTCTTACCTCCGCTTTTCTCTTCCCTAGCACAGAATCAGGTGTTCCGGTCCTCCCAAGTGGCGTCGCGGAGCCGGCAATAGCAGCAGTTGTCCCATCCTTCGTGAGTTCTGAATAGCAACTAGCATGATATACACGATTACCCACTTTAATCGCATCCCTCCATATCCAATCCTGAGCTTCCTCTGACCATGTTGATTCAAAGTGCTCCTGGCAAATAGGACACGGTGTGTTCCGAAGGGCTGCGTCGTTTGGCGCATGAATCCATCGTTGTTGGGGTGCATTTTGCGCGGCTCCATCTTGGCCCCCTGATTTCCCGGCCGAAGCGGCCATGGCATCCGTTATATCAACATCATCATCATACTCTCGAGATTTGATCCAATCCTGTTCTGTTATCAACTTGAAATTCCTGCCAATGATAAGATCTGAAACTTACCCTTTCGTCCACATACCAACTGCGACTCTGGCCACGCTTAGATGCTTCGTTCATACGCAAATTAGTTTTAAAATGCCAGTCCAGATGACGAGCCTTTTTCTCTTTCCCTGCATCATCAGCTGCAAAACGACGACCGCATGTTCCACAGCGATTTGGCTTCTCCTCATATAGGCGGAAAATAAGGTTTGGACGAGGGCTACACACTTTGTCAACGACCATATAGATAGCAGGTGGTGTCAAAAACCTACACTTTGATAGATGCCGAACTCATCTGTACACTAATCTTAATATCAGTTTGAGTTTGAGTTGGTAACTGTGGCGTTGTACTTGGCGTGTATCCATTCTGACTTGGAAGTAGAAATGGGAGGTTGGCGGGTGGTTGCTGAGGGGGAGTGTTGAGTACTGGTGGAAGAAGGCCGCGGGCCCTAAGCGAAGCGATTAAAGGATTTTCCGTAACTACAGGAGCTGAAATCGAAGGTGTATTGGATGAGCTGGCAGGGGCTTGTTGTGGGAAAACTTGAGCCAGCGGCGCCGGGGGAGGAGGGGGAGGCGTGCGATTTTGCGAATTTGCAGTAGCTTTGATCAAACTTGCGAGTGTAGTGGGGTTTAATAAGGCTTGTAGATTTGGTGGCGGAGTGTGAGTCGTTAATGTGGGGATGGACGGCGTCTGAACGGCTGTGGTAGGGACTGGAGCTGCGGGCACGGGAACAGGGGTAGGAGGAGCGGCGATCGCGAGTTTAGAGACCTGATCGCGGATAAGTTTTAACTGTTCTTGGGGCAACTTTTGCTGCTGAAGAATGCTTTGCAAATCCAACAGCGCCTTAAGTCGCTGTTGGACAGAAGAATCAAGGGGCCGATTGGCAAAATCATTTCGAGCGCTCATAATCAGATTGTCGATATCGCGATGCAAGGAAGCCAAATCAACTATTTCTGGGTGCGATTGACCATATTGCTGTTGCTGGGTGATTGGAGGATATTGTGAGGGGGTAGTTTGCGTGTATCTCGCTTGGTAAGGATCCGACTATTCTAGGTTAGATTTAACCATGGCCGGGGGTTACTGATAGCACCACTTACAGGTTTCTGACCATTGGTTTGGGCTTGTTGCGCTGGGCCCTGTGGTGGCGTCAGCACGCTTTTCCATGCAGGAGGAGGCGTTGAAACTCCGCGATTCCAGGTGCGAAGGTCCTGCTGCTGCCTTGCTTGCTGCTGCTGAAGCGCCGCGGTCCTTGCTTTTATCAGAGCGTTTTCAATACTGCGAGTGATCTCAACAGGAAACACAGGTCTGGGGTCCAATGACCCCGGAACGGGTTCTTTCCATGTTTTCAGCATCTCGTCTAACTTCTTCCGAGTCTGAGAATCGACTAATGTGTATGCGTTCATGAAGGTCTGATAAAGGTTCCGCCCTAAGAATAGGGTGTAGGGAGTCCCTACATTCTTGACCACTGAGTCCACTACATAGAGAGCTGGAAGCTTTTGCGACGGAGGGGTCTACAAAAAAAATTAGACGATGATCCCGCAATATATAAAGCATCTACAAATCCAATGACATCTCAACAACACCGACGAACGGCACAATAGCATAGGGACCAAACAAAGACGGCAAGGGAAGATTTTGACCTACTGTCCGTATATGGTTTTCCAGTACCCTGGAGATGGCCATCGCATGTTCAGTATTTTCCTTGGCAATCACAGTTAAATTGCTGATTTGGAACTTGTCGTTTGTCGTCAGATCCTCGAGAGAGTTTTTGTAGTCCTCAGCAACTTCATCCGAGGCGAGTCCAGACATGTCGCGCAAGTAGATATATTGCTGGGGTTTAGAGTCACGAAAGTGGCGAATGGAGGAAAGCACCCGTCAGGATATTAGACGAACAGTTAAAAGAAATAAAACAAAAAAGAAAAGAGGGTGAGTTCTGATTATGCCCTTGCGGAGTGAGATTTGGGAGTAAGTAACTTTCCTGTGTTGCCAGGAACAAATCAATGGTATCTTGTTTCTTTGTTTGACTGTCTTCTGTCTCTCTCCCTCCTTGCGGAGATGAATCTCTGATCTGAGCGAGCAATAGAAGAAGAAACACGAAGAACAATATGCAAAAATTTTTCTTCACTAGCTATTATTCGCAGAGACTGATCATCGAGCAGAACCCATGCGACATCCCACGAAATCAGCCCCAAAAAGCACCTTGTATCCTCGACCTCTCGCAATATCAAAACAAAGTAGTCCTCCTTTCTACGTCTTCCCTTCAAGCAATGTACGCGTCACTGCCTAGTGGTTAGGGCTGAGGCGTTCCAGTCTCGGCTGAGGGATCGGACAAGCGAATCGAACGAAGTTCTTCGGCTGATGGCGACGCGCGCGTTGGGAAGAGCGAGCAAAAGCGAAAGAGATCTAAAAAGAAAACGTGCTCATCTAGCATTAAAAGGTATGAAATGCGAAGAAAAGGAGAGGTGCGAAGCGATGCGATATTGTTGTTGACAGGAGTCGTTGGCGGTTGGAAGCAAGAGAAGAGCTTTTGAGGTTGAACTTGGCCTCCCGCTGACATAAGCAGCCCCAGCAATTATGTCAGCCATTGGCTTACCAATCAGGTGTGGCTGAAGATCGCTCTCACATGACGCTATCGGTCGGCCCATTTCTCCATGTTACATTTGGGACCAGGCTGTGGTTCAAGACTGGGAAGTGTTGATGACGATGAACTCCCTGGACCCTTGCTGCAAGGACATCATCATTCCAGAATTAATATAAAAAGGGACAACTGCCAGGCAGCCATCAAACATCAAACATTTAATCAATTTCATCTTCCCCAATTCAACTCTGAACTAACTCCTCACCTCAGCCATCGAAACCTTTGACGCTCTGCCTCCTGACCTGACAAAACGTACCAACGACCCCGCGCCCAGCGCATAACAGTTATTGCAAAGCATGAAAGTGAATCCCGCTCTGATCCTGAGCCTTTTGATTCCAGCTGTCATGGCCTCTTCCACTCCTCGCAAGTCTGTTATCGTCACTTTTCCTGAGGGAACTCCGGACTCGGTGGTAGAAGACGCCAAACAGGCGATCAAGCAAAATGTATGATATGCCCCCGCGTTACTCTTTGCCTCGCTCCACAATATCCTGGATGCTGATTTGTGTTCTAATCTACAGGGGGGCACTATCACCCATGAATACAGTAAGTTGCGCCTTTTCCATCAGATCATTAAAACTGTCCGCCGCTGACTTGTCTGCCTGTCTAGATTTGATCAAGTATGCCCATTTGCCCTTATCTCCCAATATATTATGATACTTACCGGTCTCCCCGCTGCAGAGGATTTGCTGCGGAAGCACCCGCGAGCGCTTTGGACAGCGTCAGTGCCCTTGGGTCAGAATACCCCGCCGCCATTGAGGAAGACCAGGTGGTTACCATCAACGACCCCGTTCAGTAAATATCTCAACGCGGGCAAATATGAGCAATGATTTGTGGGAGTGTATCCATGCAATTTTTTTGTTTCTGTGGGGTGCGCAACGATGGCAATGGTTTGTTTCAACGTCTATTTAAACTGATATATTTGGGCCCGAATTGCTACGAATCCTGTTATACCCTTTATGATATGAGAGAAATTTATGACGCTCATTAATGTTTTGCTACCACAAATCGCAATGCAATCTTATGTCGAAAAATGCATGTCAATTGCTCTGCTGGAAGCTAGCTGCCTTAGCATATCGTGATCGGAAATCAAGCGCCTCTCTGAGATTCGCCACGCTACTTATTGAGAGATCGCATAGGCTTATTTTGCTGTTGACTGAATCCTGGCTCTTTGAATTCGACGTAGCCTAGAAGCACTGTGAAGCTAAGAGGTTCAAGCTCTCATAAATATGAAATCGAATCATCTAGGTAAGTATAGATTGTTGCATGAGCATTTAAAATGGCACAATGCCGAACCGATTCTCAGTACCTTTTGGCATCAGAGAGATGTGCTCTCTAATAAACTTGTCACCATAAATGAACATCCGACAGCCAGAGGGGGTTTTGCTCTATCAGTGAATCTACAGGCTGGACTTTGCATTGGGTGCTCACTGTTACCATAGATCCACTGCTTAACTGTGGATTCACTGCAATCATGTTGGTTATTTGTAGCATTTTGTCCATACGGAGTACATATAAACATATTTTACCCACGAGAGGTTAGGGTCAAGGAGCCATGACTCCTCATAACAGCCTCTTGGGGCCCATTAGTTATTTGAATCACCTCGACCTAAACTTCTTTCAGGCAATCTCCCCTTCCAGTATTCCCCAAGACAAACAACAGTCACCTCCTTTTGCCCTGAGCTTGCGCACAAATCCTCAGGTCGAGCCAACAGCTGGGCGCCTGAGTGGGCGAGTGGAGGTAAACAGCCCGAATCCTAGCCTTGTCCAGGTTAACAAGTGCTCCTTGGCTCTTGTAACTCGTTGCTTGTCGATGTCGTGCTTGAAGTTAGGCGCAAAAAGTCCGTGAAAAATGATGGAATCTTTAACAGTACTGAAGGTCGGGAGCAATTCACCTGGAATGGGAACATCCAGTGGCACATACTCCACCATGTATCCATTAACAAGCGGACGGTTCCTGGCAGCCAATACGGAGTACTTTGACCACTCAAGCTTGCATTCGGCTCCGTGATGCCAGCGGGTTGCCAACATGCATGATTCGGTTCGAGGAGGGTGCACTAACAGCAATCTTCGCGAGCGATATAACCACAAGTTCCATCTCGGACATCACAATTGAGCCCTTGGGTGTGCACTGAGAAACAATCATTCGCAGTCTTTGTCAGAGAAGCACTGATCGGGGCTTGTGAGAACTGTCCAGACCTCGCGAGCAATCTGCAGGCCGCTCATCCATGGCGTGTTGACAGGGTTGCAACTTGCGGCTGCAAAGCGAAGGGCAAGGGAGCGTCCCGAAAGGGTTTGGCGCGGTAATCTGGGGTTGGAATCCAAGAGAACGCGCGCTAGCCTGTTCTGGGTTAAGGCGCCCGCACCCGAGGCCTGGCACAGCGTAACGCAGCGTATCACAGCGTATCGCATCACCAGGTCGCGTTCGCTGCAGAAACCAAGCGGGATGAACGTCCAGCAGCTTCGCCCTAACGCATGTCTGGCGCATCCTTGTGGCAGCACTAACGCCCTGTTGCCCAATAACTCGCAACTGAATGGCCTGCATCGTTACATCCAAGTGGACTTGAGTCGGTCCGAGATGGTGAGTTCTCGGAAAGTTGATGTTGTTTTCCGCACCGCCCGTTTGAACTAGTTCACTAGACTTCTTGTCGTTGGCGGCGACAAACGAGACGTCGGTCATCCTGGTTCTTGATTGGATTGGCGGTTCGACAGGAGGGGTCGCCGAGAGTCGCGGATGGAAAATATGAAGGTTTGGGCGGCCGAGTAGACGAGGGAATCGATTGTCTGGTTCTTTGTTTTCTTTCAAGATATATCACTCGTTCCCTCTGTTTCTAAGAAAGCATACCAGTCTTTTCAACGACCAGGCTTTGTTATCTTTGGTTTTGCTTATCGATAATGGCCGAATCCACTGGGAACGTCGGCCAAGCTGTGGATGATCATCTGGAGGTCGACTCTCAGGTCTGTTATAACTCGACCCCATCAACCTCCCCTGTGCTCCAGCATATCTAAAAGCCAGTCATTTTGCAGGCTACTGAGAACGACTCCATCTACGGATCCGAACTTTCCGGCTACACGGCTTCGCTTACTTCTTCTGTCGTCAACTATCGACAAGAGAATGGCCGCCGGTATCATGGCTACCGTGACGGGAGTACGTCTCCTCAGAGTTCATATACGGAGAAAATACTTTTGTATCATACTAATATCAGGGAAAAGATTATCTCCTCCCAAACGATGAAGAAGAGGCCGACCGGCTGGATATGATTCACCACATGATGTTGGCGATTATGAAGGACAAACTGTTTCTCGCACCACTAAATCCTGGGCTGCAGAAGGCTATGGACCTTGGAACCGGCACAGGCATATGGGCGATTGACTTTGGTATGGGCAGTTTCATGGACATTTTGGACTCGCTTCTAACCGCTTTACTTTTGTCACAGCCGACCAGTTCCCGTCCGCAGAGGTGTGTGTAGTCTTCCCATAGGAAACGTATTTCAGGAGAGCTATGGACAGTACTAACTATTTTCACTGCTATAGGTTATTGGAAATGACCTGAGTCCTACCCAACCCTCCCTGTAATTATCCCCTCGCAGGTCCAGGCAACGCCGTACAACTAAACAGGTTTTAGTGTCCCTCCTAATCTTCGATTTATTGTTGAAGATTTCGAAGACGAATGGGTTTATCCTTCCAACCATTTCGATTTTATTCACGGCCGCTTTTTAGCTGGATCAGTTAAAGACTACGCTGGGCTAATCAAACAATGTTACAAGTACGTTCTAGGCGGACTTCCATTGCCCCCAATCCGTATTGATTCGGGTTCTTTTTAATTCTAGGCACACTGCCCCCGGGCAATGGGTCGAATTTCAAGATTGGGATCCCAACCCTTACTCGGAAGATGGATCTCTGAAAGGAGCCGCGCTCGAGAAGTACTATGATCTCGTCGTCGAACCGTTCCTGAAGACCGGGTATGTGGCAAATGCTGGGCCGCACCTTGAACGGTGGCTTCGGGAAGCTGGCTTCAAGGATATTTGTGTTCAAAAACACATCGTCCCGATTGGGAGTTGGCCAAAGGATAAGTACTACGTACGTTATTCTTCCTCATTGCTTACATCCGAACCCCGTTGGGGCTAATGTATCCGTGGCTTGCTAGAAAAAAATTGGCACGTGGACGATCCTCCAGTATGAGAGTGGCGGGTTTGAAGCTGGCGCTATGGCAGTCTTGACGAGACATGCCGGCTGGACGGAGCAAGAAGTAAAGATTCTCGCTTCCCAAGCAAGAAGTGATATGCGAAATCGTCGGATTCATGGAATGTTCGATTGGTGAGTATAATCTCCATGGAATGTTTATTCGATGCTAATATGTCTTCACAGTTACGTTGTCTACGGCCGTAAGCCAGAATGATTTAATGATTTTTGGCTTCTTAAAAGAGCAGCAGCAACATGAGCATGAGCGAGTCAAACGAAGAGCGGCTTTTGTTTTTGGATATTGGTATTACGTGACGATCTCACTCAGTTAGCCTGATTATATACATTGATGAGGTAATTCAAAGCCTCCTATTGATGTCCAGTCAGATTTGAATGTTTTAAGCATGGGTCAGAAGGATTCTGGGGAGTATGGCGCACTGGCACTAAATCTCATGTAGGAACAAAGCAAGAAACTCGTTTTCATCTTGTGCAGATTGTTACTTTATGTGCAACGAGGGAAGGTTGGAAGAATAAAGTGGATTCATCCTCAAGGATTTGGCTACCGTAAAAGGCATGCCTTTCATCCTATATCGTGGCTTGGCGCGAATAGATAGTAAGGTTATGTACTCTGTAGTCTTTGAGGTAGAATTGAAGCAAAAAGGAAATGATTAAGAACCACCTAGGCATTAGGCCTGGACCATTTTGCTTTACTGTCCCAGGGGAACATTGCGTATAATTTCTCCCTTGGAAGGTGTTGGTTTCGAAGCTTGCAGATATAAGGATGGGAGTAGGATATGAAGCCTTTGGAAACAATTTAGTAGACATTGAGTATAGAGAGTGGATGGACGACCCTTCAGGTCGCAGCATTGCCTCGGTTTTCTATGGCCCTCAAGCCATGCAATAATAGTCGACGGGGCGGTTGGGTTTGGTTGAGCCCCTTACCCCTGGATATGTAAGCAGACTAGTTGACACCCGGCACTTTCCCCGAACCGGCAAAAGGTCATCGCTGAGACATCACATTGAATGCATCTCATTGCTAAGATGCCGGCGATATCTGCACCGGAACTCTCCACTGTCTAACTAGCTGCCTTCTGCACCGCTTCGATGGGCTGGATTATTTGCCAGAAGCCATGTCTTCCGACCTTGAAACCGCTACACTCCTGGAATGGATCAACAGCTTCTCCCTGGGAACTGTAATCCGATCCAGCAGCGAGCTGGGCGATGGCTCCATTCTCTGGGAGATTCTCCAGGACATTGACCCCCAATACTTTCTCGGCAACCTCCCCGAAAACGCCCCGGCCGACCACTGGGTTCCGAAATGGCAGAACCTGAAGCACATGCACAAGCTGTTGATCAGCTACATTCGAAACCAGAACGATGGCGAAGTGCCAGCGGGCCTTTCCACTGTTCCCGACCTGAAAGCGATCGCCGAAAATTCCTCTGTCAAAGACACCAATCGACTTTTGAAATTGTTTTTGATGGCGGCGATCAGCTCCCCGCATGCCGAATCGTATATTACCACGATGCAAGAACTCTCTACGCAAACACAAGAAGGATTGAAGGACATCATACAAGAAGCGCAGAGTCCGTCGGAGGACCGTCTCGAGCAGATCCACTACGAGCAGGACGAATACCGGGCTAGGCGCGATATTGCCATGGACCCGGAACTACAGTTTGAAGAACGCGTGGGAAAACTGCTCGCGGAAAATGATAAACTCTCTAACGAAAAGAGGGAACTGGGGAAGGCTTTGGAGGATCTTCACGATCGGCTAGCAAAGCTTCAAGAGAATAACGATACTCTAGAAGCCAAGCTGTCGTCGACGGAGGACCGGCTGGCAACACTTAAAGCTGGAAAGGGGGACTTGGGACCTGATGCAACCGGATTTGAAAGCCGCAGCCGCCAACAAGAGGATATAATCGCCTCACAAGAGACAAGACTGCTAGCAGCGCAAGATGAAATTGATGGCTTGCGAATGTCGCTTGAGTCGATGCGCCAGAAAAATGAAAGATTCCAAAAGCTCCAAGACGACTATGATGAGATTAAGAATGAGAGGGATCAGCTGTCTCGAAAAGCTAATGCTGCAGAAAAATACCGCCAGAAACTTCAAGCCAGCCAAGATTACGAAAGAGAGAACCAAACGCTGAAATTGCAGGTGAAAGACTTGAAACAGCAGCTGATTGAAAGCGATTCTAATCAGCGGCTTTCATCTGAACATAACAAAGAGCTTCAAAAATACAAGCAGCTTATAACGCAGATTGAGCAAGACCATCATGAGATTCAAAATTTAAAGAAACAACTCGAGTTCGACAATCATGCTTTGACTGAACGACTGCAAGGGTCTGAGGAACAACACTCCCGCGATGAGGCAACTATCGCTGAACTGCGAGAACGCATAGGGGAGCTTGAAGGCCTGGACAGCCCCGGAACCTCAACTCCAAGTGGTCATGGAACCTTACAACGCGATTTCGATGAAATCGGAAAACGGGGAACACAGCTGTTAGTAAACCATGTGGAATGTTGATCATATTGAGCTGACCTTTGGTAGCAATTCTGAGAACGAAAGACTCCGGAAAGAGCTAGACGAAATCAAGGATGATTCTGAATTCCCTGACATCGAGATTGAAAGGTGGGTTGAGGGCCGTATCTGCACTGTGTTTTACATTCGATCTTAACAAGATCCTTTTTCTAGCGAGGTTTATCGAAAACTACGCGAAGAATACGCGAGTTTGCGTAATAAACTTAGTGAAACTGAAACTCGTGTCGAGACCTCTGAACGGGAGCTCTCAGATGCAAAGACGGACTGTAGGTCCTTTGAGCTATATTTTCGTAGTACTTTCCGTTTAAGTGCTAATGCCTGTCTCAGTGAGCCTTGTTGATAAGGATAAGCTGGACATCCTCAACGGAATCAAGGAATCAACTGCCTCGGAGCTCATCAAAATGCGGACGGAGTGGGACACACTCCAGAATCGGATCCGAGAGCTAGAAGGTAAACTGGACGTCAGCCGGACAATCGTGAGAGAGGTTTGCAGCGAGAGAAATGCACTTCGTGCCGCCCGCGATAGGAGAGAGGAAGAACTCCGCGACGAAGACCAGGAGACGTTGCATGAAATGAAGAAGCTGCTTCAAGAATTGACAGCCCGGATGAATGGTACTTCGGACGAACCGGAACTGTCGCCCCTGGAACTGTTGAAACAGTTCGCCGACACAACAGAGAATAGTGCTGACAAGCTGGCGAAACGCGCAGAGGTGAGTTTACACTTTTTTAACCTCTTAATTATGGAGTTCACTATCCCCATCCACGTCCAGAAACATGTAGCATCATTATACTTTGTTCAAAATTCTCCATGGAACCGTCCACCCCCAGCCTTCTCCCCGACCCGAGCGGTACAAAGCAGAGGTTGATCAGTACTAGGTCAAGAGCAGCACGATCAGGCTCTGGCATTGGTCCTTCTCTTTGCCGTTATTTGCCATTTTCGTATTCACCGCAGTCTACCCCCAATCCATGACCACTTTGACGCAGCTTTTTTCCGTCGAGGTCACTTTACATCGTTATGTCCGCACCCAGAAAAAGTTATATGCTAATGGGTCCCTTCTCCCTCCGGCGAGGGAGAAAATTGAATTGAATATAGCACATACAACAGCAGAATGAGCTTATCAAGTCGTTGCAAGAGCGAATTGAGAATTATGAAGGTCTTTCGACGGATTTGGATGAGTTTAGGGTCGCAAAGGAGCGAGAGGTAAGTTCCCATAGTTTGGTTTCATTTTTGAGTAACCTCGGTACCCTCGTAAATAGCCAGCCCAGGAGGGAATTTGAAATTAACAAACGACTAGGCGGAGCTCATGCAAGTCGTCCAGCGCCAAGCTCGTGAAATCGCGCTCATCTCCTCTGCTTGGTACAACTTTCAATCGCGGCTACAGAGCCAGAATGCCGCTGGTATAGCGCGGTACCATCACCGCGGTGCGGCCACTGGGCTTGGTTCGAACACGGAGGTCGGACAGACGTGGTTATCAAGGCAGAGGGCTATGGTTGGGGATGTTGGAGGCAGAGGGGCTACGGGGAAGTGATTGGAATATCGTACACCGCGATAGATGAGATGCCTGGGAAACGACGTTGAAAAGGGAGTTGTTCTTTTTGTTAGGTATTCACCCTGATACCTACTGCCTAGCCGTTGATTTGCTTTTTTGCCCTTTTCTTTGCATGTCGATTTTCGCGGTGAGGCTATTTGGATAGACAAGAGATTTGGCATAAATGGAACCGAGAATAAAGCATTAGTTTAGGTGTCATTTCTTTCTTTGAAGACTTTATTACTAGATCCTGTCTATTGCCGTGCTTTTTATATCCAGTCCACGAGCGTCTGGCCTCACAAATCTTTCTTATATCATACATCCTCATGCGCCAGAGCTAGGATGAGCTTATCGAAGCAGCTCGGCGAAAATCCGCGAAACTATAGAGGTGACATCTCATACCCACTCACGCGGATACTTCAAGACCTCAATCAGCTCTCTCTCCCTCTTCTTCTCCTCGCCACCGACCTCCTCCCCAACAACCTTCTTCTCCTCCCCCATCCTCGTCCCCGATATCGGATCCATGTACACCCATTGCGCAGTCCGCGGAAGACTCATCAGAATACTCTCCACGCGCGCACTCGGCGTTCTCAGCCCAAAGCTCGTGCCACGGTCATACACGAGATTGAACTCGACGTACCGGCCACGACGCAGTTGCTGCCAGTCCTTCTCCGCCTGTGTGAACGGCATGTTCTTCCTGCGTTCGACGATGGGCACATAGGCGGGCAGGAAGGAAGCGAGGGCGTCGGAAACGAAGGCGAAGAGGGTTTCTTGGGCGTTGGTGGAGGAGTGGGAGGAAGAGTGGGAGAGAAATTCAGTGTCGAGGTCGTCAAAGAAGATGCCGCCGATGCCGCGGGACTCGTGACGGTGGGGGAGGTAGAAGTATTCGTCGCACCATTTTTTGAATTTGGGGTAGTAGCTTGGATCGTGTCTGTCGCAGGCGTCTTTGATGGTTTGGTGGAAGTGTTTGCAGTCTTCGGGGAAGATGTAGGAAGGAGTAAGGTCTGTTCCACCGCCGAACCACCAGTTCTTTGGCCCGTGGAGGGGGTCTTTGGGGTCTGAAGTCTCGAAATAGCGATAGTTTAGATGGACGGTCGGCGCCATTGGGTTCTTCGGGTGTAGAACGAGTGAAAGGCCGGCAGCAAAGAAATCCAATGAGTCAACATCTGTTGCTACGAATGATTTGTGGTCTGCACGCATCTTTTCAATCGCTGGGCGAGGTAATTGGCCGTATACAACAGAGACATTAACACCGGCTTTTTCGAAGACATTGCCGTCCTGTAGAACGCAGGAGATCCCCCCGCCACCATTGGGTCTATTCCATTCGTCAAAGATAAACTGTTTTCCATCTATGCGGGAGAGTTCGTCCACAATTTTCTTCTGGTGATCTTTTATGAGCTTTTCCATACGTAGGCGCATGGGTGAGGAGGAGGTAATTGTCGTTTCACGCTTTGTCTTGTCATCGAGATCGGCGATTGAGGGTGCATCGAGTCTAAGGAGAGGCTCTGAAGGCTGTACAAATTGCAATTAGCGCATGTTATTTCTGAGGAATGCGCACTATATACTAAACCAAGAAGTGTAGCTCCTGTCACTACAGTAGCTACAGCAGCGATAGAGAGTGCTGTGATCTGTCTCCCCCTTGACGCATTCTCTGACGGCCGGAAACCGAACGAAGATAGCTGGCGCCGCTGACTCCTTGTAGTTGCGAAACATTGCGACCTCTGGATTTCAAAGCTCCTAAATGCGCGCCAACATCGAGAATATAACCGGGGAGTAGCCATAGCTCCTATGACGCGAAACAAACGGGTGGTTCTAGCGAGATGGGATGCCGAGGAAACCAATTAAGGCATGAGAAGCAAGTTATATAAATACCATGCGCTCAGCGGTCGTTATCATGGTTTATCAGCTGCTTGGAATTACCGGCACTTTGTTTGGCCCGCAACGTCGAGAAACACGACATCTCGGAAGCAAGGAGGGTAGACACGTGATATCGATGGGGAGACCCGAAAGGCCGCTCTGGCCGGCGGAGTGCACTGATTTTCTCCGCGGCGAATAGTCAATCAGTTAATACGGCGAATTCAGCTTGCACAATCCTACAGACTCGAAGGACACATCTCCAAGCCATATGTATGCCCTTCATCACTCTCGTCGAGAGGGCGAGTGCTGATGATAGAGATATGTGATGACTAATCTGAGATGGCAGCTAACTAGTTAGTCAGTTAGTTATGTTTGCATTGTTTGCAAGATGAGGTCATTGTTTGTAGCTGAAGTGCCGGACCGGTGGGGATTGTCGAGACCCAGGCCCTCAAAGCAAAGCGCTCTGGATCTCTGTCGAGTCTACACTCTCACGACAATGGCTCCAAGCCGGCGCCCTCCCTGCAGTCTGCTGGTGTCTTTGATGACTCTCGCTGCGCTCTGGTGACTCTTTTGCTGACAATCGCCTGGCTGAGTCACTTGACTCCGATCACGTGTGTGCCCAGCTCGTCATCTGATTGGACGCCCGAGTCACCTGCCACTGCCGCTAAGCCAGATACAACCTAGCGCATTTCTCCACCGCCCTAACCTTCCCTTCGCGGGGCTGCAGCCTTCCTGATGAATCAAAAGATCATCTTCTCTCCGTCTCTCCCTCTCCATTAAATCAAACCAGGACCTTCAACTGCATATACATTGCTGCCGCATCTCGTCGAGCCAAGTCCACTCCCGTTATCGCCAACGATTCCCCGCCGTTCTCACGCTGATCGAGTCTACTGCAACTCCGTTTGAATCAACTACGTCAGCAGCGAAACCATCTCCATCCATCCATCATGCGCTCCAAGTTCAAGGATGAGCACCCGTTTGAGAAGCGCAAGGCCGAAGCTGAGCGTATTCGCCAGAAATACACAGACCGCATTCCAGTATGCGTCCCTTGACCTCTCTGAATCTCCCTTCACCGCCTTCTCACACTGTGTTTCCTGCTAGGTAATCTGCGAAAAGGTCGAAAAGTCGGACATCGCAACCATCGACAAGAAGAAGTACCTCGTCCCAGCCGATCTCACAGTGGGCCAGTTCGTCTATGTCATCCGCAAGCGCATCAAGTTGTCCCCCGAGAAGGCCATTTTCATCTTCGTCGATGAGGTGCTTCCTCCGACCGCCGCGTTAATGAGCAGTATCTATGAAGAGCACAAGGATGATGATGGGTTTTTGTACATTACGTATGTGTCTTCGATATCTACCTCTCGTGCCGTGGCGTTGAAAAACGGCTAACTGGGCGATTTATAGATACTCTGGCGAGAATACATTCGGAAACTAAGCCGGTGGCGCTTGGATGACATTCGTCTACAGCATTACCTAGGCGATAAATTCGAGACGATTCGAGCCCTTTTCACGATGATCCCCTGGATTATTGATACCAGCACGGCTCGCGAACTTGGTTTCTCGACACCCTAACTTCTTACTGCCTTCGTTCCTTTTTGGATCATTCTCTTGGGGGATAAAACTTTCTTATAAGATATACGGATCCTCCTGGTACTCGGTGTTGGTCTGCTTACTACGGCGTTTCTACTGCGAGTCTATATTTACGCTTGTGGCTCCTTCATCTTTTGTTGTCTCCCGCTAACGGTACGCCCAAGCGTACCGTTAAGGTGTTTCAAGCCTGGAGATGACCTCTGTTCTCCTGGATCGTCCTTTCTATACTACCGGGGATGTGTTTAGTATGAGAATGTGATAATGAATGGCATTTGGCTTTAGTGGCTATTCTTATGTAAAGCCTCCTCGGTCACAGCTCTTAATTTACTCGCATCTTGGAAACGGAAATAGAAAATAATCATCAAGATTAATCCCTCTTAATGCCGCGCAACAGCATAAAGCCAGGTTCAGATCCTGAGCCGAACAAATACTTCTCTGCAAGCGCAGCTGCGGAATTGATTTTACCGGATGATATCGTGCTTGCTGGTATGATCCAATGAGATTCTACAGAGTAGTTAATGGCTTTGGCGGCGGCTGAAAGCACTTTCATGTGGGCGATCTCGTCAACGGTAAATTTCGCATATTACTCACCAAATTGGCGAGGACAACGCTGGAGCTGACGGTCGGTTCAACGTCAATATTCTTTCAACCCGCCCATTTTATACATAGAGTACAATACAATGGCAAGCGTACTTCGAAAACATGCATTATACAATAATGAGGTTCAAATCGCATGCCCGTTCCAGCAACTCCTCACTCCTGCCCAGGGATATATAAAGGCCTCAAAAGGAACAAGTGATGGCGGTTTTCAACGACTCCTGACGAAAACAATAACCGTAACCTTCTTCCTCATTCTTTTGAAACACGATGCACCGGAAGATGTTGGACCCGGCGATCATCCCGTAGGACTCAAATGACCTTGGGAAGACCAGACGGTAGCTCGTGTGACTCGGGTTTGATAATCGTCGGCTGAGCGAAAAGCCGTCCTGGCTCACAAGGGAAACAGGTAACAATGCCACAAATGTAGTTCCACCCGGCCTTTCTCGAATTCAATGGTCGACGGGGAGTCAAGTATATATTAGCCGCCAAAGCATCAGCTTTTCTTTTTCTCCATCCACAACCTCGCCCAGAAAGCGACCTAGCAGTTCCGGTTGATATCCAGTTCCTGCACACATCACTCAATCCGCTCCATTCACTTTCTGCAAAAGAAAGTGAATTGTGTCCCAGAAACCCCCTTCCCACCATGAAGGTCTTGTCTGTTCTCTCACTGGTACCCGTTCCACCACCTGACCATTCTGCCCTTTCCCAGGCTTAGAATCGAAACCATGTCACTGGGTAAATCCGGGTACTGCTCGCGGTATTCACGACGGATCCGGATATAGGCGGCTGATGTGCCAATGAAGAGCGCGAATAGAGGGTCGCCGAACCTAGATTCTGAGATGTTAAACGATGCCGGGGAGTTATGGACTGTTGGGGGTGTGAATTGTGCACAGATCTTCGAAAATGGGGCAGATTGGAAGGGGGGAAAGCGTACTTGGAAATCAGATACGGATAAGCCACCGTTGGCGCCATGGTTGCTAGCTAGCATGCTAGGACAACAGCTCCCGGAGCGCAAGCTTGCATCTGATGTTGACGAGACTTGGGATTTTGGGGGTTGACGGAACAATAGATTTTCAGATCCCGATTCGTAACTAGTTGGAACGTCCGATAAAGCACTGCATACGGAGTACTCCATAGCCACTTGGATTCCACTACTTGTACACATACAGGATAGTTGTCATTCAGTCATTGATGCTCTTGCGATCACTAGCTAATCCCTGTTGTAAATACCCTAGAGATAACTCCCCCATCACCACAAACAAACCGAACAATCCCAAAGCAGGGAGATTTCTATAAATACACATGCGGAACCCGAGCATTAAAAAAGATCTATAAGGGCGCATTTATTAACAAAGAGCGAATCGCAAGAACACCAGTTGTCCCGAGACGCTGTTCTTTTTTTTTTTTACCTATCATACGACTGTTCCAAAAGCGGGTATCAAGGTCTGTGCCAGCCAAAAGCTGAACACTAACTTAGGGCCGGTCATCAGCAGCTTAGGTGTCAATCCCTTGAAGAAGCTGGTCATGCCTTCGTTGCGAATCATGCTGCTTACGATGCGGAATCCGGATTCGGGGTTTTCGAAATTGCGGTTTTGAATTCGAGTCTTGATGACGTCCAGCGGTGCGGAAACAATCAAAGACGCACTGGCACCGGCGACAGAGGCAACGAAATTTTGAGTCCAGGTCGCTTGGTTATAGTCCGTGAGCTTATAGAGATATTCTTTCGCAAAGGCAGAACCACCGAAAAGCTAAAGATCCATTAGAACGGCATCGGTTTGTAGTCGGGGCGAAAGACTTACCGCAAACGAGCCCGGCGCGTTACGAGCAGCGGTCCAGCCAGCACCACGGTACAGACCCATTCCCTCGTCGGAAATAATCTTAAAAAGGCCGCGGCCACGGAACGCTTCTGGGTTGGTTTGTCGTTTGATCTTCAAAACATCGAGAGGGAGAAGGACAATCTCTCCAATTCCGATCAAACTGGAGCCCGAAAATTAGCAACCTGATACGCCTTGAATAGTCGGCGCAAGAAATATCTGTACCTTCCAGCTGTAGCATGCATTATAGCCTTACCGGTCCCCTTTCCGAATGCATTATCAAATTCGGTACCGTAGTGCTTAGCCAAGTAATCACGGACGAATGGCTGTCCTCCATACTTGTAGATTCGTTGCAGAACCTGCGAAAAGAGTAATCAGCGCAAAGCCCCAAAAACGTGCACTCACAAGCGGATTCCGTCCTCACCTTATAGCCGGCGGCATACCCTAGACCCGGGAATAGCGATGTGAATTTTCGAGCGACCGAGGCAGAAGCGAAATCTTTGAAAACGACTTTATTGAGGGCTGAAGCGGACGTGATCTAGGCGCGGACCGATGAGAAATATAAACCTAACGTAGGATAGTGCCGCACATACTCTTGTTTGATTGCTCATTAAACGCTTTGCAGTTGTATCGACCTAACCAGTGAGCCATTAGCGTCGTGGAGATCTTCTTTGGCCGCTATGAGAGCCCGTACTGGATGGAAAATGAGCAGTTCAGCGATACCGGCAGAGCCTCGAGCGAGATTAGCAAGCTTTCAACGACTCCCTAAGCTGATAATCATACCGGATCCTAGCAGTCTTGCAGTTCCTGATTCCCTCTTCACATCCTTGGCCGCAGAGCCGGCAACTGGTGCAACAAGAGCGGGAGCCATCTCGCGTGGAAGAAGAGCAGCGAATGTCGGGTAAATCGAAGCGAATGGAACGAAAAGCGCTGAAAGAAAATAAAGCAAGAACCTGTTAATCTCAGAACCCCAGAAGAGAATGAAAGATCCCTCGATCAATTGCAGCACCCAGCACCAGACAGATCGAAAATTTGACCACCGCCCGAGTCATTTTTTTGCGGCCTGCGCTCGGAGACTTATGGCGCTAGCCCCATTCCGGACTAGAGCTCCCCCAGCTTTAGTTTGCTTGGCGTCACATGCATTCTTGGCGTGCCGGTCAAGCGGGTGCTTATGTAATATGCCCTATTCACTTCAACATTTCTGAGATGCGCTGCTATTCACCGTTAACAAGATCTCATAATGTGTGAATAGTCATGTTCTACTTTCAGCCGTGGGTGATTAGCAGAGGCAGGCTGTGCCCATTCAAGAACCAAAATGTACACTTGAAAGGCTTTGTAGTTGAATACATGCCGAACAATGCTGCTTGAGAATCTTTCACCCCTATCAATGATTTAGGATCTGCTTCATGGAAGTGCCTTTGCTGTGAAGGTACATCTCAGGAACAACTATATATACCCCTCCTGTTTAGCAGAAGATGCACTTGCTCCATCATCATTACAAATTTGAAGCACAGCCATTCTTCCAGCACCACTTGCAAATCCTCTTCAAATTCTTTTTGCAGTTCAAATCTCCATCAAAGTTCCAAATTCAACATGAAGATCCTAGGATTTACCCTACTCCTACTGCAGGCCATGCTCGTCTGCGTTCAAGCTACCACCCCGCGCAACCTGGAAAAATTTACCATTGCATCCGGAAGCGTCACGCACAGCTTAGACCCCAGCCAAGCGCATGACAAAGAAACTCGAACCATCGACGAAGATATCGAACTCGACCCTAGCAGCCTCATTCCGGCCATTGCGCCTGAGGATCTTGACCGCGGAAATTCCACCAATCGAACTCATGCTCGAGATCTCTCCAAGCGTCGTCGCTCGTGCCCTATCGGTCTACCGTGGTTGTGTGAAGGGGTTTCCTGTTTCAATCGGTTTACCCATATGTGCTGCAAAGGTGGGCATCTGTGTCCTGATCCGCGCTTTTGTGTGAGGAATGCCGTGGGCGCTATGGCATGTCGTTAATCGGGAGTAATCGACTCCGCCAAGGTTGCTGCATGGGTGATGTCAAGGGGAGATATAGTCATGAGATTTTTTGATTATTTTCTGAGCTTTAACATTGCAATAGTTTGCCAGACTACCAGTCTCAGAAGCTTATTGTGGATATTCTTATGATACAGGAGTGACATTGGTCGTCTTGAAGCTACTCAGTGTCTCTCGGCTAGTCATCTACAAACTGCAATTGAAACTTACTATCAACTTGTTTGTTGCATAATCTTGTACCTTTTTATGTGTATACACAAGAGAATATTATATCTGCCATGCAAAATGGGTAGTCATTACCGCTACTCCCAGACTCCAGAGCCAAATAGATGCAGGGCAGTTTCAATCAGTGTGTCCCTGTGACCACACCAGCAAACAACATTCTTAGATTATCGATATTCAAGGGGACCTCTCATCAACTTACTCAGGCGGCGATTTAGTGTCATTAGGAAACACAATAGGTCCGTCTTCGACGCTATTGACTTGGAATGATTTAAAATAATGACAGAGCCGCCCACTTTGACAGCTACAAGATGGATTCCGGCGATTGCACCGCACCCTGATGGCCTGACCTTTTGGTTGTACTCTTGCTTAGCCGTTTATGACTGCTATAAATGCACCTCAATCATCTTCTCATGCTGCTTGGATAACTTACAGACAAGGGATGGGTGGTATGCAATGGGAGTGAGAATCTGAACAAGGATAAAGCTCGCACTGCAACAAGCTATGAATAACTTGCTAGGACAGCAAGCAAGATTGTAAGAGCACAGGCTTCCACGCAAGTCCTGAAACCATGGTGGATCATAGCTGTATGAGTTATTTACAGCTGTTGATCACCTTCCTGCAGCTCAATCATGCAGGGTTGCCCATGACCATCGTCAAAGTTGCGTTACTGGTGAATGTGTCATTAATCAAGAGTGCTATATCAAGAGCTATATCAATTCTGGTATCTAACTAATTAGTGCATGCTGAATAAAAAAAAAAAAAAAAAATTCGAATTTGACCGACTGCCAATGGATCAATAATCCCGTAGCTCAGGAGACACCTCACTCCCACAAGATGAACTATTGTCTAATGCAGTCCGATCCGTAGCCTAGTTCTTCCAACGCCTATTCAAATGGCTGTGAAATGACGGGCCTGTCCAGCCAGCCACACTCTCTCTTCTAGAAAAGAGCAGGGAGTAGAGCTATCTACTCCCAGTCTGCTTGAATGCAAACATCCAATGACCCTCCCCAATTTGGTTAATAGATATGCTGGAGTCATCAAGATAACAAATGCTGCGGAGGGTTGTATCCTTCGAATTCGGGTTAGTACGTCCGGCAAACGAACATGCTTGAGGCAATTGGCTCTTGCGGTCGAAGCATCATTGTTAGCCATCGGCCATAGTATTGACGCTTTAAATATAGTACGTCCCTGGAGTTGGCGGTCTAGGAGGGTCCCGGAATGGATTCTCAGCGTCTCGCTGTTGTACATCCGTTTGCCCCATTGGCGGCTCTGTGTCGGTTGCGGGCTCCTGCAAAGACGACCAATTAGAATTTCATCAGCAGCGCAACACTATGAGATGGAAAGAAAGCCATATCGTACTGGAGGGGGGCCGATGCGAACCCGGTTTCTTCGCTTGATCAGAACGCCCGCGACGATAGCGACTAGAATAACTACAGTTGAACGGTTAACTAGCGTTTGTGGGAACGACAAGAGAAGCATATGTCCTTACCAACAAGCCCAGTAGCAATCAGAGACCCTATAAGAGCGGGAGCTACCCCCTGTGGCCTCCCCATATCGGTCATTGGTTCATTGTCTGGAGACGCTGTGACCTGGCTCGTACTACTCTGAGAGTTGGCTGGCGCTGTCCTCTCGGCACCTACTTCCCCACGACGAGCGGTAGGCGTTGCGGTGACACGTTCAGCCGGACGGATAAAAAGTCCCGTTGACTGTGAGCCGCTTACTACCGCCGTAATAGTGGATTGAGGGAAGGTCACAAGAACGGTTTGGGAATTTCTGGTTATCGTGCTTGAGCGGAGAGTTGTGGGTATCGACTGTGTATTCGATGGCGCATTAGCAGCTGTTGGCGACGGAGGCTCTAGGTCGTCCTCATCGCCACTATCATCACTATCACTTTCAATGCCATCATCGCTATCATCGCTGTTATCACTGTCGTCACTCTCGACCTCGTCTGGAACTACTGATACGGGAGGAGGAGGGGTTTGTCTTCTGAGTTTAGAGCGCATATTGAGAGCTGAACAGGCTCCGGATTAGCCAAAGACTCAGGGCCAAGGGATGAGAGTAAACAAAGAATGAGAAGGAACAAAATTATTGCTCTTGAATTGGTCTTAGGAAAACAAATCAGTCACAAGATGAGAATGGATCTTCCATAGAAAACAAGCATGGGATTGTGACAAGCTTTATCAGAGTTGAGAAAGGCCGGTTTAACCGGAGTCAAGCAAGCTGTGAAGGATCTAGTGTCTCGGCCTGTAACCAAGGGCGAAGGAAACTAGACAGTTCCGTTCATTGCTCCAGCCGATCATACACAAGCACAGACAAGTAGAGCCGAATATTGTCCCATTCAAAGAGTTGATCTGGTGGCGCAAAGCACTCAAGCCAGGACCCGGCTCCATGTTCCTCTGGCGAACATGATGGCTCTTGCAGCATAATGCACTCTGAAACGACGGAAATCTAGGAATCGTCGCAAAAGTCATGAACCTTCAAATTTCAGTGACTTGGAGAATAGAGTGATTGTTAAAGGCGTTGCGTTGCGAAGGCGTCAAGAACGGAGATCGTCAAACGCAAGATGAAACATATACCAGCCGCCTTGGAGGCGGACGGGATATTCTCGACAAACGGCGATACAGCTTCGGTTTTAGATTCAACTGCTGCATCGGATATGGTTCACCTTTTCTTCAAGGCTCTTGCACATTGACGTGTCGCGTCCCTTCGACTCGTCTCTTCAACTGAACTGGTCGCCACAGGTTGCCTTCGCCTGGGGCTGAAAGAACAAAAAGGCACTCAAATGCTGCAATGCCCTAGGGGCAATCATACCGCCAGGCTGTGTTGATACGACGCAATCATATGGCTATTTCGATATTGCTTCTCAACACCCACGGAGGATGAGTGTGCCAGAGCTCAGTCAGGTCCGGAGTGAGGGTGTGGGGTTGTCGAAGTTGTAAACAAACCCAAAAAGGCTCGAAAGCGCAAAGGAAGGATTGTCGCTTCCACACATCTATCAATACCTGCTTGGTCTCTCCAGTGATGCGATTGATATAGTGATTTCAGTCCATCCACTGCATCAGAACCGATGGCGTTCACCCCTGAATATTGTGGGTGAGTCAGCAGCTCGGCATTCGGATCATAATAATTCCGAAATACGGCCCGTGGGCCGTACCTAACCTTGTCAATTGTCAATTGAGCCATGGATGGATGGACATATTCCATATGCGCAGACGAAGAAAACAGAATAATTGTTTTGCATTTGAAGTTCAAGAAAATTCTTATTCCGTCAAATCTTCGGCTCCCTAAATGAGTGAAAGCTAGCAGCCATGCTATCTCTCCCGCTCATTGAGCCCCGAGATGTGAGTAATGCTCTTGCTATCAAGAGCTTGATTGCCTACAACTGTTCCGCGGCGGAGGAACTAACGGCCTTTTATTAGTCTCACCATCTTTGGCTTACGCCCTCACAACGCTCTCGACGCACGTCGCACAACCACAGCCACGGTCAAGGCTCAAACCCCCGTAGAAATGGCCAATCTCGAACCTCCTTTATTCCCTCCTCATCCGATTCCCTCACTGCCCTCATGCTGGAAGAACGCGCTTTGCGAATACGTAAACAAAACATAGCGTCATTTGGGTACTCATGGATCCGGCCCGCAGGTTATCCAAAGACGATGCAGGGAATTCGCGAGGAGGAAGCGGAACGGGAGGAGGCCGCAAATGCGGCGTTAGAAGGGGAGATGGACTTTATTGGGGAGGCAGGATTGGATGGCGGGGTGGCGGGAGTGGATATTGACGACCCGGAAGCATTGGAAGGGATGGAGAGGGATTTGGACGATGATATTCCGGATGCTGACGGTGGGCTTGTGGAGGAGGGAGAGGATGGGTTCGACGAGGACGATTTGGAGGATGAAGATGAAGAGATTTTGATGGAGAGGGATTTGGATGATGATGTTCCGGAGGGGTTTGGGATTGATGAGGAAGACGAAGATGATGAAGTGGATGAGCATTTCGATGACCAGCCTGATCTGGATGAGAATATTCCCTCAGGGTCATTCAACGGAGAAGGCGATACTATGATGGAGCGAGACTTGGATGCGGATATTCCAGAGCAAGAGGAAGATTTTAACGTACACGAGCAGGAGTGGGAGCATACAGATACCGATGCCGACGAGGAGGCAGACGAGGATGAGGATGACGGAGACAGTTTCTCCAACTATGCGCGCTACGATAGTGTTGATCGCCATTTCAACCCGCCAGCACATCGTCTTCGATCAAGCATCTCTCCACGAGTTGAAAATTCACCTCCGCTGCCACCGCCCGTCACTCGTCACCGAGAAACAGAAGCACAGCGACTTTTCCTGGATAGATGGAGTGGTGGAGCTGGCGATGATGTCGAGGATTCCATGGCGGCTTTTCGATCCAGCGGCATGTCTGACCAGAATTTGCGCATCCCAAGAGCGCGAACCCGGAGACGGCGGTCGACGTTGTCGGAGGACTCTCTCAACATGCCATAAAAAAATGGATATTTCGTGCATAGCGTTTTGAGGCATGGCAGGTTTCTGACTTAGCGAAGGCGTTGGGCGTTCAAATTCCATGCTTCTTGATAAGATATATTATACCCATTCATTAGCCTTTAGGCGCAGTTGCTACTGAGGGCTTCATTGGAAATCTCCGATTGATCTCCAGATACTGCATCAGTAGCACTCGGTCGAATCAAGCATTTCATCAGATGAAAATCTAAACCACGCCGTAACCCCTGGTAATATCTCCAGCCCGCAGATGCAAGTGTATCCAATACAAAACTTCAACTTGATGCCTTGCGGCCGTGGGTATTAAAAATACTAGAGAATCCACAAAAACTTCGAACCTATACCTAACATTCAAAAAAGCGGTGCGAAAACGCCGTCCTTTCTTTGAACTCACCGGGAGCTCTCATGCCAAATGCTTTTTTAAAATAGCCACAACGAGAAAGGACATTAAAAAAGAATAAGAAAGAGGTCATAGCTTTCGGTCAGCGTTACTGGTCGCAAACCCTCAGACTGCGCCGGTCTGTTTTCCTGTCCCAAAACAAACGCCAAAAAGCGTACAAAAGGGAGAAAAGGTCGAATGTGGCCCAAAGAAACAGGGAATCGGCAAGGATAGCAGTGGATAAAAGCTTCCCGGAACGATAGGGATATCAACGAAAAAAAGACCACCAGGCGCATAGAGATCCTGGTTGGAAAGCAAAAAAGACAATCAAAATAGCCAGACATAGGTGAACAGCATGAAAACTGCAACAAAGAAGCCTAGCCAGACTTTCCATCCAACACCAGTGCGCTCCGCCATTCGTAGCATTCGATTCATGGTGCCGCGGAGTCGAACGCGAGTATTGTCAAACGTGTCGTTCATTTTATCCGCGAGGGCGGAGGATTCGCGGATCTCGTCGCCGATGGCCATGGTAATCTAAGACCCGGCTTTGGTCAGGCACCTCACTTCAAGAGCGCAGATTCGAAAAAGGGGCCTTGAAAAACATACATCCTTCAACATTTTCACCTTTGCGGTTATACCCTCGACCTCTGAATCATTTTGGGACTCTAGAGACGATAGAACTGCATCCGAGTATTGCCCTCTGGACATTGCAAGATGTATTAGTTCATATATCCCCTTGACACCATCCATAAGCGCTGATATTGGGATCAACTTGACCGTACTTTTTGTTCGGCGTGGCAGACCGAAACGCTCCGTTTATCTGCCCATTCGACGACTCCGCAGCGTTATACCCACCTCCACCATAACCCTGATATCGGCTGGCTGGGCGATTCCTCTCCTTACTTCCGCTATAGGAATCAAACAAACTCGACGATGATCTGGGGTCTCGCTGGTGGAGGGCTGAATGGGGGAATCTAGAAACATTAGCATGCCGACGGACTGGCGCGAGAAAGGAGTGCGTCTGGAACTTCTCGGACCCGACTCACCTTGAAGCCATCTAGAACGACGAAACGGTCAAAGACCTGATAAGCACCATGAATCCCATTTCCGATTCCTTTCGAGATCCTTTATTTGTCCTTGGGCTTGGAGTCTGCACGCCCCTGCTTAGTCATGGCCGTTCGAAGCCACTTATCCTAGAACGGCATGGTGGATAACTCTATTTGAGCGACGTGGCTGCGCTTTTGACTCAAAGGTATTCCGTACTCTGTAGCTAAGGCTACGGCAGGATATTTCAACGGGTACGGAGTACTATGGAGTACATTATCGGTCTTTAGGACTGTAGACCTACCTAGTTCATTGTAGCCCTTGATTTCATACAAGCGAAATTATATTGGGGATGGCCAGCCCGTGTGGCAACGTACTTCCAAGTACCGCTTCCTTCTCTGAGGAACTAAAATCAACATCTATCCTCCATACCAGATCAGAATGACCGTTATCCTGTCTCATTTCTGGAGTCAATAGTGATGACATGCCTTTGGCTAAAACGTGGACAGAGGCCCAAATTCAACCATCGATTGGGCTTGCAGACCTTGATACTTCCTGTGACCCCGGCATGACTCTCATGGCAGCTCTCCGCTGCCTCACTTCTGATCAGAATGTGCTAGATGTGGCCTGGGGACGTGTGGAAGAGAAACGATCCCATGTTTATGTGGTTGCGAGTAAGCTCGTTCGCTGCGACTATTACCGCTTTAGGGAATTCATTAAGAATTTGTTATCGTCGTCTTATCATTACTCCCAACAAGAGCCGACCATCTCGCTGACTGCAAACAGATTGGAAAACCAAAGAGAGCGCGGAGATGTTCCTGACATCCGAGCGCAAAAGAGATTATCACGCAATGCTCTCATCTGCTAGCGATAATGCCCAAAATCCGATAACTTACATTGTCAACTTCAAACCTGGTTTTTGGATCCCCAACCTCCTCAACCGCCGTACCGAAGTCGCAAAAGTTTTTTTCCAAGCCCCCATGAGTGTGGAGCTACAGCGTGAAATCTCCGCCTTTCTTGGCAAGGCTGGCGAGCATAGCAGCGGCAGCTCGAAGACCATCAAGGCCCCGGTGGATTGTCTCGTCTCGCAAGGCTGGGTGGATGGGCTTACTGAGCAGAATGGGAAGACATTGAAGGGTTCTCTATGGCTGCATGGCTGGCGGAATTCAGAACGAGAGAGGGTCTGGAAGACAGAATATCGACCTGGTGTTGACCCGGCGGACCAAAGCAAGTTCCTGAAGGTTGACGAGTACTGGAAGGTGATGCTCGAGCATTTTGGAGCTGTGAGATGGGAGGAAGGACACTGCAATTTCATAAGGATTCCGGATGCTGCATTTCAGCAACCTGAGAACTAATCCAGGGAGAGTTCGCATCATGCAGCTGAAAGGAAGACTGCACTGATAAAACTCATGTGCGTCAAGTTTCAATCCTCATTGCTTCAAGTTGCCCAGGGAGAGTTGAAACTAAAATACGGAGTACGTAACTATTTATTTCACATCGTATTTGGGAATACTCATATTTTGTTTCCACGCTAGATACGAAGAGCACAATATTCAAATCCCATTCTAAGGAAATTGATAGGCATTGACTACCGCTCATTGATTGCCCGTAGTTGCATTGCACATGCTTAACTTGTCAATTTTACTGCGCTGTCATTGACTACCGTTTAATTATGTTGTTCTCCGCCCTCTTTGGCGATTTCTATGCATACAGTCTTTATATAACTATGTTAGCAAATGACAAAGTGGTGAACAATCTGACCAATAGCAGCAAGAATAAAAACACCAAGTATGATGAACCAGCATCAACATTTGCATTCCCCATCCTTGCCATACACCACCCACATCCATTATAGCTCCTTGATAGAATGTCCTCTACACGCTCTGTTGCAAAAGAACTCCCATTGCTCCTGCAGACTGTCGACCTTCAAACGGCCTTGGAAGATGACGAGAACATGCTGCAAAAACTCACTTACCCTGGTCTTCGAGATGATTTTATGCATTACCTTTTTGCGCGCAGATCAGATATCGAAGCCATCGTAGCACGCCATCTTGGTCTCTGCACGGGTAGTTGTCAGGTGGCAGAAGAGGGATGGCTTCATGGCAGCTTCAACCTCTGCATTCCTGTCAATATCAGAGATCCTCATTATGCAGCTAGACGGGTGCTCTTTAGGATTCCACTTCCTTACAAAACCGGAGAGATGAAATATCCAGGCAACTCGGAGGAGAAACTTCGTTGCGAAGTTGCAACGTATGTCTGGATGCAGCAGAACTGTCCTACTGTACCAATTCCCAATTTGCTAGGATTTGGCTTTGCTGATGGCCTGGGTGTATGTGTGTTTTCATGCTGTTGCTTTGATGGCTACTAACACTTGTGTAGTTTTCACCACTTCCGGCGGCTCCCTTTGTTCATCGAATGTTTTGGTATGCTCGATGCATTCTCTTGTCTATTTTTTGCAGATCCTTGCCATGTGCCTATGTCAAACAGACACTCCCAAAGTTAGGCCATGGATACATGATTCTGGAATATGTCGAAGAAGCCAGCGCGAGCATGCTATCAAAGACCTGGAGCGACTTCCGCCATGACGATACCCGCAGGGCCAACCTCTTTCGCGATATGTCGCGAATTAATCTTACACTTGCTTGTCAACCCCTTCCTCACATTGGCTCACTTAGAATAGATGATCAAGGCTTCTTGCATCTCAGCAACCGACCCCTTACGCTTCGTCTTCAGCATTTGGAAAACGAAGGTATTCCAACTCATATCGGCAGGGATCAGGTGTACTTCACTTCCGAGTCCTATGTGCTTGATCTTCTGGCGTGTTACGACAACAAATTGAGATATCAGCCGAACAGTGTACTCGATAAGTTCGACGGATGCGCTCAAATGGCTGCAATAACTGTCATGCGAGCTACCCATCCGCACTATCTTCAACGCGGTCTTCGTCGTGGACCTTTTATCCTCACTCTCACGGATCTCCATCAGAGCAACATATTTGTTGATCAGGATTGGAATATTAAATATATAATTGATCTGGAATGGGCTTGTTCGCAACCAGTCGATATGCTGCGGGCTCCTTATTGGCTTACAGATCGACCAGTAGACAGTCTCCTGCCTGACGATGGTCTTGAAGAATTCAGCAAAACCCATAACGAATTTCTGGAAATATTTGAGCAAGAGGAAAAGGCGATACGAAAAGCGGAGTCTCATAGACTGCTATTCTGCCACTCACTTGCTGGTATAATTAGGAACGGCTTGGAGAACGGAAGCTTCTGGTTTTTCTATGCGTTGGAAAATCCCAAAGGACTATTCTCTTTGTTCTTCTACCATCTTATGCCACGATATGGTGATTCCACCAACCCAAATTTCTACGATGTAATGAGTGCTTACTGGGACGTGAATGCGGCTAATGTTGTAGAGCGGAAGCTCAAAGATAAGGAAGACTACGAGGCTAATCTGCGGAAAGCATTTACTGGAGATGACCCTTGAAACGCGGTTAAAAATAGATATATGGCAGTCCTCCATATTTGACCGAAAAACATATCCTACTGCGCGAAACGATTTGCTTGGGTTATCCAGATGAATTTTGGCCCTGCCCTTCCCCCCGCCCATGATCTCCATCACCTACACCACCAACGGTACGTGCAGCTCCTCCTTGACTTTGTCCTTGGGCTGCGTTTGGTGCTTGGTGCAAAGCCGCTTGAGCTCGGGCCATTATGGCACTTCGAGCGGCCTGGGCCGCTTTCCCGGAAGAGGTCAACTGTTGGATTGTTTTCTGATCACACAAGCCCATGTTGATGGTTGATCTCGACTGTTGGTCTTGTTCAGGCATTGTGGTCGAAGACGCTGGCATCACGCTCGATATCAGCTAAGTGGAAAGTAAAAACAAGAAAATTTAGGCCTTGCAAGAACGTAGACTGAAACAGATCATGTATGGTGTACACAAACCTGGTTTCTCTGTTCGAAGACTTTTGAAGATATTATATGGAGAGGCTTTTTAGCACACTGAAAAGAATTTCACCACAGAACTTTTGAGCAGTGTACTTATACACTTGGATACCCTCTAGATTCAAAGGATTTCCACTTTATATCATTGATGAAAGACGGTCGGGAAGAGTTCAACTAAATCCGTCTGCTACCCCTCATCATGGCTCATCTATGGCTGCTTCCTGCTTTCTCCGAACACAGCCAGGATTGCAATTTAGGCAGCACAGCATGGGATAAACAGGGACTCATGGGCCCTTGCTTGCTTGTCAGGCTGCAAGCAGTTTTCACTAGTTGAAGGCGAGTGTGTTAAACACATTAAACGCTCTCAGACAGCCCACAGAATATGATGTTGCTCATATCGGATCGATATAGAATAAGTGTACTCGTATATCCACAACTCTCTGGTTTAATATGACTGAAAATTGAAGAATACCTTTAGATGTAAAGATATCTTCCGTCAAGGTGGCTTCGGTTGAATCGAACAAATAATTGCATGGGCTGTGGTTGTGCTCTAGTGAAATCCCCCTTTATTAGAGTTGTTCACGTCCTTGATATTTTAATCATTTTGATTGACTATAGATCTCAGGCCCCATTAAACACATTCAAGAGAGTGCAAGACCAAGGTTGCAAGCTTAACCTGGTGCTGAAAACTGCAAAGCAAAAACATATCAATGGGAAACACTGTAATATCCCTCTGCATAAGTCAAAGAGCCCCAAAGGACTTCCCCTCCACAGTCCTTCATCCCGGCAGATATCCCTTGCGTAAACATCTCAAAAAAGTCATGGGCAGCTGTGGGACGAGTATACAATCTCAAAAACGTGCCCATCCGGATCCTCCACGCTTCTCGAGTACATCCCCCAATCCGCGCCCTCCGGCACCATATTGGGGCCCCTCTTCCCTCCGGCCTCCACCGCCTTTTGTACGATACTGTCCACTTGCTCCTGGGACTCGGCGGCCAAAGTCAACAGCGCCTGCGTGGTCGTATGCGCGTCGGCAGTTTTCCGCCCTTGGAAGAGCCATTTCTCCCAGGTCGAATGGTCGTGGTAGAAGAACTGGATGGAGTCGGTATATGTGAAGGCGAGCGTTTTCATATCGTTGCACCATGTTTTATTGAAGGTGAGGCCGAGGCCTATGGCGAAGCGTTTGGAGGCTTCCAAGTCTTTGCTTGGGAGGTTGATGTAGATTGCCTTGCCGGGAGACATGGTTTTCCGGTTGCGTAGAAAGACGGTTGGGTGGATGGGGAAGGATAGCTTGAACAAGTATGTGGTTGCGATAGACCAGAGATTGGTGGTTTGGCAGAAGAGAGGTAAGTTGAGCTTCAGAAGATATTCTTCATCGAATTAAAAAGACTCTGGATTCCATCAAAAGGCGGGGGAAGCGTCCATGGTTTTTATATCCCAACATGTCTCCTCAATTCTCACCACAAGCAGGCCTTTTCGACCGTTCGACGCATCTCAGCCTCCTCACCCATAAACCCAACTTGTCGCTTTCACGAATCAGAGTTTCCTTAAACGCGTGAGGTTGAACGGAGTTTGATGAAAACACGAAGGCACACGAACGCCATTCAGGCAGACACCCTTGGCGCACATGGGAAGGGCTTTCCCGTGTGCAAATTGGAAACGAAGACACCCCTTCGGATGAACTTTGGGAACATCCTGCATCGAGGACGGGAGGAATCATGTCCCCGTTTGCCCGCCTGCAATGATGTCGAGAGCGACTCCATCAGGCTTCAGCGCCAGATTATGTGCACGGAGAAACAGAAGCTTCAAGAACATCGAGCAACATCCCAAAAGGACAAGGTCCAATCTTTCCAGCGTGGTTTCAGTCCGGCTGCTGCCTGAGGAACCGAGATTTTAGTCTCTTGGATGCTGGATGGCAACTGTCTGCCAAGAGCATCAGCGTCACTTGGCACGGGAATTTGATTGATATCGGAACACGGTGGTGGTTGAGAGATCCAAGAAGTGGCCCATTGCTGCCCCCAATCATAGATAGAAATCATTGATCTCATTGGAATAGCATTTCTGCGAGATACATTGATATCGTGAAGCTTCACGTGTGCTCCTTTTGCAGAAAGCACCTAATCTTCTGTAACATTAACCAGCATGGAAAAAAAAAACAAAGGATTACCAGAAAGAGTTCTCAGATTTGTTTATCCTGGACCAGGCCCACCGGTCGCATCAAACACCGCCCACCTCACACCACAGGGAACAATAGCAATCCCGCCGAGAAGGGAAGAAAAAAGAAAAGTGATGGACGCCTTGAGATAGATATGCGCCGCGCGTGGGTGTGCCGAACGGGGAGAACAAACAACTGCTTTAACCCCGCATCTCCTCGTCCTCATCTTTAGGCCTAAAGTCATCATCCTCATCATCGTCCATCGCGTCGTCGTCCTCGTCGACCTTTGATGCAGCCTCGGCGAAATTGATGACCTTGCCGCGCGTGCGACGTCCGCCTTCGATGATGTTATCTGCGGAAATGCGCTCGAGGTTGTCGTCTTCGGCTTCTTCCTCTTCGATGTCATCTAAAACCAGCCGATGCGCGTGAATAAAAATGCAAATGAATGGAGTGCGGGAAGAATGAAACAAGGGTGTTCCAATTCTCCTTTGGAGGGAGAAGAGGGTATAATTGGGGCTCATTTCTTACCTTCGACGAGCTATAGGTGAAAAAGACACATTAGCAAAAACCTCCCTCTGAAGAGTCCCAAGACAGGAACTAATCAACATACCGTATCCTCGTTATCACCACCTTCACTCTCCTCTCCAGAGTCAGTATCCTCAGCAGCCCGTCCCATAAACGCGTCCTCAGCCTCAGCAAGTTTACCCTTGCCCTTCTCCACCGCGCCGTGAGGGGCAATTCCGTCGTTGGCGCTCATTGTTCAAAAAGGAAGCTTGACAGGTAAAAGAAAAATGAAACGATAAGCAGTACCAAGTGCTTGGCGACGACAGTGCTCAGGTGGAGAAGTAATTGCACAAGGTGAAATGGGCGAGATGGTTAAATCGCGTTCCAACAGGAACAGAATCCTTAGCGCGAATGCAGGTGGCGAGCTCCAAGTATGCCTCACGTGATTGCTGAGAAGGGGAGGATTTGACGGAAAATGCCATTGAGAATGAAAGGGCTTGAGTACAGAGTAGAGCCATGATGATTTGGTTTTGCTGATGGCATTGGGTACTACCAGCATCCTCACCACAGCTGAGAGTGAAACTAGTTAACAATGCGGATGAATGTTTAAACTATACAGAGTAGCTACTGCCATGGATGCACAAGCCTGCTACGCACATAATCAAAATCTCAAGGGACTACAGAGGAGATATCTAGCTGAGGCGAGAAAGCCAATGAATCCTGCCTGTTACGATATGGACACTCCTGAGGTTATATCTCTCGAGCAAGGGCGAGAACTATACACTGATTTCAGCTCCGTAACTACGATATTCGGTCCAAATGGAACAAGGACATTTTAATCATCGTAATCATCTCCATTCAATATGATAAACTTTTCCTGCCTACAAATCCATGATAAAGATTCTGTTTTTCTTTTTCATCAAGGAACAGGGGGAGCATGATCTGAAAGAAGAAAAATTCGAATTGGCGACGCCCAACTCAAATCTATGCAATATCATCATAAAAAAGAAAACACGCAGCACATTTCAAACCCATTATGACCCTCGAGACCAGTAAAGAAAACACAAGGGAACACACGTGTCGTAAGGAACTTTGCACCCTAGGAAAGCCATTTCAAACAAGTCACGATTTTAAGCGCCAGGAATGAGAAAACGGTCGAGAAAGGAAGTCATTATCGGAACGGACGGGTATTGATTTAGTCGACCTCCTCGACGGTTGGGCCGTCATCACCTCCATGACCGCCAGGAGCAGCACCGCCTGGGAATCCACCAGGTCCACCGGCACCGGGGAATCCACCTGGAGCACCACCTTCACCAGCTCCGTAGATCTTCATCATGATGGGGTTGGCAACACTGTAAAACATCAGTTAGCTCGTTTCTTATGATATATTCGATATACACTGGGGCACATACCCTTCAAGCTCCTTCTGTCTGTCTTCATACTCTTCCTTGGTAGCAGTCTGGTTGTCATCGAGCCAGGCAACAATCTTGTCGACCTCGGACTTGAGCTTCTCTTTGTCGCCAGCGTCGAGCTTCTCTTCAACCTTGGAGTCGCTCATGGTGTTGCGGAGGGAATAAGCATAGGACTCAAGCCCGTTCTTGGCAGCAATACGTGCAGCTTCAGCCTCATCTTCAGCCTTGTATTTCTCAGCCTCAGCCAACATGCGCTCGATTTCTTCCTTGGAGAGACGGCCCTTGTCGTTGGTGATGACAATCTTGTTGGTCTTTCCAGTACCCTTCTCGAGGGCGGAGACGTTCATGATACCGTTGGCGTCGAGATCGAAAGTGACCTCAATCTGGGGAACACCACGGGGTGCGGGAGGAATGCCGGTAAGTTCGAATTTGCCGAGCAAGTTGTTGTCCTTGGTGCGAGCACGTTCACCTTCATAGACCTGGATCAACACACCAGGCTGGTTGTCGGAGAAAGTAGAGAAAGTCTCGGACTTCTTGGTGGGAATAGTGGTGTTACGCTTGATGAGAGGAGTCATGACACCACCAGCAGTTTCGATACCCAGGGAAAGAGGGGCGACGTCAAGGAGGAGGATTTCGTTGGTGGACTTGGAAGATGTGTCACCAGACAGGATAGCAGCTTGGACAGCGGCACCGTAAGCGACGGCTTCGTCGGGGTTGATGGACTTGTTGGGCTCCTTTCCATTGAAGAAGTCGGAAACCATCTTTTGAATCTTGGGAATACGAGTAGAACCGCCGACCAAGACGATTTCGTGAACAGAGGACTTGTCGGTCTTGGCATCACGGAGGACACGCTCGACAGGCTCCATTGTGGAACGGAAGAGGTCCTGGCAAAGCTCTTCGAAACGAGCACGAGTGATGGAAGTGTAGAAATCGATACCCTCAAAGAGAGAGTCGATCTCGATGGAGGTCTGGGCAGCGGAAGAAAGAGTGCGCTTGGCACGCTCGCAAGCAGTGCGGAGACGACGGAGAGCACGAGCATTGGAGGAGAGATCTTTCTTGTGCTTGCGCTTGAATTCGTTGACAAAATGGTTGACAAGGCGGTTGTCAAAGTCCTCACCACCCAAGTGAGTGTCACCAGCGGTGGACTTGACTTCGAAAATACCCTCCTCAATGGTCAAGAGGGAGACATCGAAAGTACCACCACCCAAATCGAAGATCAAGACGTTGCGCTCACCCTCGGTCTTCTTGTCCAATCCATAGGCGATAGCAGCGGCAGTAGGCTCGTTGATGATACGAAGAACGTTGAGACCAGCAATGAGACCGGCATCCTTGGTAGCCTGACGCTGGGAGTCGTTGAAGTAGGCCGGGACAGTGACGACGGCATTGTTAACGGTGCCACCGAGGTAAGACTCGGCAGTTTCTCTCATCTTGGTCAAGACCATGGAAGAGATTTCCTCTGGAGTGAACTGCTTGGTCTCGCCCTTGAATTCAATCTGGATGACTGGCTTTCCAGCCTTGTCGATAATCTTGAATGGGAAGTGCTTCATGTCGGCCTGGACTTCAGCATCGGCGAATTTACGACCGATAAGACGCTTGGCATCGAAGACAGTGTTGGTGGGGTTCATGGCGACTTGATTCTTTGCAGCATCTCCGATCAAACGCTCGGTATCTGTGAAAGCAACGAACGAGGGGGTTGTGCGGTTACCCTGGTCGTTGGCGATGATTTCAATGCGGTCATCACGGAAGATACCCACGCAGGAGTAGGTGGTGCCCAGATCAATACCTGTTTCAAAGTCAGTAACGACGCCTCTGGACTGTGCAGCGCGAGATCCAAGCTCACGCAGGGTTGTGAGTAGTACATACCAATTGCTGGAGCCATTATGAAAAGAAGTCAATAGTGAATATGATACAGCTGTATAAAGGAAAAAAAACAGTTTACTCTGTGAAAAGAAGAAGAAGGGATCACAGAAGAGCAGAGGATTTGTGAGAAGGATTGTGTGAGGTGGAAAAGTTTGTGAGTTCAAGGAAGAAAGAAGTTGAGGAGAGATGTTTATATGTGGGCGGTCGAATTTTGGCGCCAGAAGCTTCTAGCAACCCTCCCGGTTCGATCACAATCCAACCGATTCCACACACAACAAGCAGCTTCACGAATTTTCTTTCACCACCGCCAATGTTCTATGTTCCCTTGTTTGTGCCGGGCTGAATTGAACACCCTTCTGCTGGCTTCTGGCTGGATTTCCTGTTGAATTGGCGGCTTGACTCTGGTGTCTGCGGCCCTCCAGGCAGTGGCCGCAAGCTCCCTGCCGCCGTTCTTTGGGCACGTATGATGTAATGGTGGTGGGATGTGCCAGGAATTTGCCGCCTGCGCCCAAAAACCTCCTTTTGGCCAGCCTTTGCTAGGCTGACGGGAAAGGTCCGTTTGGCCGTCTACAGAGTACTCTCTACGGAAGAATTGCTACCCAACCTCATCTTCGCTGTGTGGACGCCCGCTTTGCCCTGCGAGATGCTTTTGATTTTGCTCGATTTTGTTTTGCTGTTGGTGGGGCAGGGCCTGTCGCTGTCAGGATGAGTCAGCAGCCACCCATGGCAACAGCAAAACTCTTCACAACAGAACTCGATGAGTCGATATCAAGAAGAGTGGAAATTCTGTTGAAGAATCATCTCAGATCTGGGACAAATTTGGCCAGTTTATTCGCGTCGCAAGATGCTCTACAATACAATGCCATGTCTTTCATGCTCTGGTCTAGGTTCAAAAAGATAATGACTTCAACATTGTTTAAAGATACCCATGCAAAAGATAGAACCTAGCCGTACATACAATTCCATCCCATTATCAATTAACCACTAATCAATAATTCACAACTTGCGCCAAATAAAATCCCGATCAGCTGTTGACCAAGTTTGCAATTAGAAGAACGCAACGGCGAGTCCGACGGCACCGAGCCCAAGGGCCATAGCAGCGCCCTGGAGCTTGCTAGCAGCATTGTCGGTCTGCTGGGGTGGAGATGGGCTGGTGACAGTGGCATTGTTGCCGGGGTTTCCTGGGCCACCAGTGCCGGTTGGGATGATGGTGCGCGAGGTTGGTTCGCCAGTTGGGGTTGGCTCGGTGTCGGTTTCGGTTTCGGTGGGCTCGGGCTCAGAGACAGTCTCGGTGGGTTCACCAGTGGGCTCACCAGTGGGAGCCGGCTCCGTGCTGGATTGGCCCTGTCCTGGGGGAACAACGCTGAGGGTGCGGGTGGCACCGCATTCCTCGAGGCTCATGCCATCAGGGCAGCACCCTCCATCAGTGCAGTATTCGCCCTTGGGGCAGTACTCTGTTTATTCCGATTAGCAAGTGATTTCTCTGATTGGAATGGAATGTTACTCACTTCCGTTGGAGCAGCAAGAATCTCCGACGGTAGGGTTATAGCACATGAGCGGGAACACGCATTGCTCAAAGCCAGGTCCGCAGGAGCGTTCGCAGGTGACTGGTGGAGTAACCGGCTTGCAAACTCGGTCCTGGCGCTTGAAGAGAGAGTGGGAGTCGTTGGATTCGTACTTGGCCCTGGCGAGTTCGGCTGCCTGCGAGGCAACGGCGAGAGTGCCGACGAGAACGATCGAGGTCTTGAACAACATGTTTGCAAAAAACTAATACACCTTGCGGCTTTCTGATAACGAGTGGATCGAAAGGGCAAGAGAACACAAATGCAAAATTGACCCAAAAGCTTTTGGTACAGAGAACTCTTAGACAGAGGAGAGAAAAGAGGAAAAAAGGAAAGGGGCCTCGAAGCCTCGAAGCGGCGTCCTCTTTATACTTCGTTCCCGTCCGTCTCGAGCCCAGACTTGCCCAGCTCACTTCACTAGCTCAAACGAAGAAACGGCTGTCACCAAATCGAAAAAAACACGCATGAAGGGGACAAATCACAGCGACCCGTCCAGTCCATGTTGTGGCTTCGTATCCTCATTCAGGACAAGCTCAGCCAGTCATATCATCCGAGTCTCCCGTGCGGTTCGAAGTGCCTGGCCTGATTAATAACAATCGTCAGGCTCGTATCAAAGCTTGAGAACCAAGTAGTCCAGTCCAGTTGGGAAGCCGAGCCCGAAAAGGGGAACATTTGGCGCGTTGGCAACAAATCTCCCGGCTCCCTGGTCCTGAACGCAGCCAGTAGTTCACCCAAGGACGTGCCACTGTAATCGAGACTGCGAGCGATGCCAACCAAAAGGCGCTGCAGGAGCGTTTTCCATTGAGATTCAGCTTGACATGTTCTGCCCCCATTGGCGACAGGAGAAAGCCTTTTCGGTTGCCCTGTCACTGTGGCGAGATTTCAAGGATGTTTGAGGCTCGAATCCCAAGACGCCAGAGGGCTTGAGGCGTTCTTGGGAGTGGGAAACGTGTGTGCTTGGAGCTCCTGGGGCGGGCCCTTGCACATCCAGATATCATGGGCCGCGATCAGCAAGTGGCCCACAAATGATAGCGCGCAGTAAATTGTCTGTGGGTGAGACAAGTGTTGTTCAATGTGTTGACTGCTTGTCCCTCTGAAGAACAAACAGTATGGGACGTTTTGCTGGGTTTTGCCCTGCGACCATCCCAGGCATTCCTCCGTGTTGGCAGCTGGAACAAAATCCAAAAATAACAACGCTCTTGTTCAGAATTCCCTGCTTTGCCTTTCTGTGCCATATTAAAATCTCCATGTCCCAAGCCAACGTCCGCTCTTAGGCCTCGTACTCTGAACTCCAGCTCGTATCTCTGTGGCCCCGACGCGTCATGAGAGAAAGGAGATTCTCGGCAAGGCTCATCTCAGCTTGGATGTGCCTGTTCAACGCCCATACAAATATCTCCTGCACGCCGCTGAGCAAAACTCCCTGACGTATGTAGCAATCCTCGTCCTCCATCTTTTCCGTGCGCCTGAAGTTTCTGGTTAGCGTGTGTCATCTGAACCTTCATCGCGCCCTTTCAAAACATCAGCAATGAGCTTGCGCGATTATCATCATCATGGTTTATTAATAGGCTAAGCCGCTCCGCTTCGATCGAATTTTCCGCGACTGTGTCACTGTGGATCGATATCGAGATAAGGTGACCCATTATTTGCGGAGTTATGAAGATCCAAGTCTCTCTCTCATACCCCCGCGTCTCCGCCCTTTCATTTGATCTGAAATCGAGCAAAGAACTTATTATTCATCGCTGATTTCGGGACTCACGGAATAATGTACGGAGTATCACTCGGCGAATCCGTGCCGGCGAGATCATGTTGCCAGAAAAATCTCCAGTAAAGAGATTTTCCTAATTTCAGCAGTTTTATATTGCTCGCAAGGTTAATGAGATATTTTACAATGGTCTGATATTGGATGAATATTCCGGAGACTGGAAGGCTTTTCTCTGCGCAAGTTCCATCGCAATCCAAGGATAACTCGGCCCGCTGGAATGGGGTATAGGAAACCCGTCTAGCTGATCAAGCGTGTTCCCGTTTTTTAGGAATGGTGGAATCCTGCCAATTCTTCGGCAGACAGAGAAGATGCGTGTACTCCGTATGCGCATGCAACATTCTTCACGGAATCAAAGCTGAATCATCTACAGGAAATGGGAAATCCCATAAGTTACCAAGCCGACTTGATTGCCGATGATACCCGTTGACTCTTCCTCCTCATTGAGCTAACTATGTTCTCCACTATCATCTTCTCTTAAGTTGCTTTGATTATAACTCGATAACAACTAGGATACATTGGAATTGCGAATTCTTTCTAGCAAATTTTCGGGTTAACTTTACAATGACTGACAACGAGAACATGTTGCCCAAGTGCTGACTTCTTCTCTGTTTCAAATGGCACTTGCTCTTGACCTATCTTACAGCATCGCAGAGTTTCTCGATTGCGCAGCTAGATGAGAGTATGTTCGCTAGATCCCTTTCGGTGGAACGCGTCCCATGCTCATTCCGACCTCAACGTCCACCATGATCTTTCGTCTACTCATGGTGGCCAGATCATCGTCGAATTCAATCCTTCCTTTTTCGAATGCGACAATGATACTAGATCCGCCGAATTGGAACAGGCCAACCTCTTCTCCCTTTTCCAATGAATAGCCAGGCTTTTGCAACTCGGGTCGGATTCTATTTTGATGTTAGCATCCTCCCGGCCACTCACATAAGAATAGGAATGTACTCACTCTACGTCGCCCACATCCGTCGCACCGATGGCGACAAACAGCACTGAACCAAATTCCTTGCTGTCGATGCATATGCAACATCGCGCGTTCCGGGTCAGAATGTCCACTCCGCTTTGCAAGCATATCGGATCTACTTGATAATAATCTCCAGGGATGCGCTTATACCATTTCACAGTGCCCTTGACGGGTGAATGGTATCTGTGGTAATCTTGCGGGCTCAATCGGAAACTTGCAACAGCGCCATCGGCCCACGGCTCCGCAGCTTTCTCATCCTGGATCAGATTTCCAATCGTGAAATGTTTCCCTTTAATCCATAGACTCCGGGTTGCCGTCACTGTTGGGTACACAACGACACGCGAATCGGCGGCAATGCATGCCTCTGAAGGATCTGACGCTTTGTGGACGGGTCGTGCCCCGACTTTATGTTTTCGAACGAAAAAGTCTTCGAACGTGCGGTACTTGGATATCTCGGAAGGTTCAAAGTCGTTCATGTTGATATGGAAAAAATCGACAAAGGACTTGATCTGGGAATGAGATGCCAGGGTCCCTTCTTTCTTACCTGTTTACCGCGTCGCATTAGGAAAAAGGATAATGTTCAAGACCAGTTCTTTTTGGGCTGGACTTACCAGAATTTACAGTCTTCTCATGAATCCACATTCTCACGAACGACGTGCTATCAATCCAGTCCATAATCGGATTGAACAGCATTATCAGCTTGAATTTCTTCCATAGCGGCTGCTGTTCCCGCTTGTATTTGCCGGTGCGGCGATCAAGTGTCTGCCAGCCAACTTCACGATTCTGACAGAGCTTGCAGAAACCGAGGATCCAGTCCGCGAAGCTATGGAACAGGGCCCAGAGCTGGGTAAACATATTGATTGATAGATTAGTAGCGCACACCAAGTATGGTTAATTTAATTATATTCTAGATTACAACTCCAAGGTAAATAAAGCATTGCGCTGCTGGCTGCATGCATGGCTTTTATCCAATTGTCCCAGGCGAATTACGTGCGATGACAGTTCAAAAGCAACAGGAATGCAGGATTTATTCTGATCCATTCTCCCTGGTATCTCGAGTTCTATAGGCGTATGACATCATTAGTTACAGCTTCTGTCGCCACCCAGGATTGATTGTATTTCTTCAAATTTGAAAAGTAATTGTAAATAAACGGCATCCCAAAAATCCACGACGATTGAGCTAAGCTTAGCTGTCAGATCTAAGAGCAGTCAACAAAAAAAAAATGATAACACATCTAAATGACAAGAGAGGGATTCGAACCCTCGCCCCTTTCGAGACATGGAATATTGAGATCAGGTGGGCCTGAACCATGCGCCTTAACCACTCGGCCATCTTGCCTGTACCAGAGTGCTTGCCAACTTTTGATAAACGAGCGTTATTCAGTCAAGAACCAGCTATTAGTTACTCCGCAGCTATCCATGCTTTGTTTTTTTGAACCTCACCTTCAAAAAGCTTCCCCTTTTCTCCAAACTTTGCTCTAACAACAGTCTTCTGATGCAACTAACAATGAACTCGCTCATGTCTCACATTGTAGACATGGCTATCATGCAGCCTGGAACTGATTGATGATTACTTTTGACATAGAAAACGGGAACTCGGGCCCGGTTCAAACATCAAAGTAGTCCCGGGCTGGAGCGTGAGTTTACAAAGCAGGGCGTGATGGAACCCTTTCTAGTGTTGGCTGATTGTTCTGCGGAGTACTAGCCACCATTTGCAACAATCATTTGACGAATATGCTGCCTTGCACCAAACCGGGAAGCTTGCATTTCATAGAGAGAAGAAGCAGCTGAAGAGAAATTTCCCACCCGAGGACATTATTGCTGCCATGCAGTTCGACTGTACCCGCGATGCCCACCAGCATCGTTTGATGGAAGACTGGGCCAACAAATTTGACAGCTCTCTTCTCGAAATCGGGGAAATGGCCGGAAAGTATCGCCAAAATCCTCGGTGTCTCTTAGTTTCCAAGCATTGCGGTTCTTTTAATTTTTGCGTTCGATTGCATTGGGACGATGACGGACCGGATGGCTGATTCGGTCTCAAATCCCTGGGAAAACGGTGTTTTCAGAGGAAAAGCTTCGCGGTGAAGTTGCTGTGATGAATCTCGTTCGCCAGAATACTTCAATACCAGTTCCTGAGGTTATCGCTTATGGCACAGCTGCCGAGAACCCAACTGGGCTCGGTCCTTTTATCATCATGACCTGGGTTGAAGGGACGCGGATGAAAGAGTTGCTGGAAACAAAAGTCCGGGTGCCAAGCGGTTCTGAAGAATCGTTGTTAAACCCAGAAATCGATGTCACTACGCTGAGGACTTTGTATGGCGAGGTTGCTGGGATACTTCTTCAGCTATGGGCCCTGGAGTTTGATAAGATTGGCTCCATTGACTTTGATTCTCAATCCAGTTCATGGGATGTCAAAAGTCGCCCAGTCACACTTGGCATGAATGAGTTGGTGAGGTATGGCGGAATACCTGAGGAGGATTTAACCTGTGGCACTTTTGGATCATCGCTAGGCTATTGTTTTCACCTTTGCGAAACCCGTGAGTTGCATCTTAGGAAGCAGCGCAATAGTATCAATGGTTCCCGAGACTGTCGGGCCAAATTTACATGCCGCCGCCTTCTTAAATCTATGGTTCCTTTATTCACCTCAAACCACGATATCAATGGGCCATTCAAGTTATTTTGCGATGACTTGGGGCCCGGGAATATCCTAGTCGACCCAATAACAAACAAAGTCACCGGTGTCATTGACTGGGAGTTTTGTTATGCTGCCCCTGCGCAATTCTCGGCTTCACCACCACCATGGCTGTTGTTGAAGCCCATTAGTCATTGGGTAGAGGATGAGGGACTGCAGGCATTCTTGGATGCCTACATCCCAAAGTTCAATGTTTTTTTGCAAGCTCTACAGGAGCACGAGGCACAGCAGCAGTTTATAAATCCGGACAAAATTTTGTCTAAACGCATGCGAGATTCGTTGGAAAATAGGACAGTCTGGTTTAACTTCGCCATACGAAATGGGTGGAGCACAGATAATCTTTATTGGAACGTGCTCGATAATTTTGTTTATGGGACAGCACCACAGGCAGAAAGGATCGCGCGAACAACGGGCGAAGCCCAGCTCCGTGATCATCGGGAGTCTTTCGTGCGGCTCAAGGTCCAGGAGCTCCAATAATACAACTGTGAGATTGGGGCGGACGTGCACGTCGAGTACCAGCAAGAAGAAGAGGACGAGCAACCTGAACACTGGTTATACTCAAAGTTAAGTGTGAGAGTTACATCTATGGAACAGTATGGGAAATCATAAGCACATCATGGTGGTATGTCACCTGTAGGGAATAGCAAAATTCCTCAAACTGGAAACCCTTGGCATATCATGGGGCACATCCTCGGCCTGCTGGTAACCCAGCCATGGCCTCGCTGCTGTGCTGACTGGTACTCTTCATATCCTTGCTTCCCAAGAACAGCACAATACACGTAGCATTGTCTGAATGCTTCCTCGATGCACACTTTTGGACAATCTTTTCTGCAATGGATCCTGCCCCCTCGCCATGTTCAGTCAGTTTCCCAATGAACTCGAATAAGGAATCGTCTTCAACCGCAGTCCATATACCGTCTGTGGCTATCACGAGAACGCTTAGGACGTTTGGGTCGGGGGTATAGCGAAGGATGTGTGGTTGGCTCGATATCAAATCCGCCGTGGCTTCTCCTGTCACCAGGGGCTTTTTGTACTGGAAGTCGCCCAGAGCACGAGACATGTTTATTGTTCCTGCGGAGAACGGAAATTACTTTGAGCTTTTTGTTTTTTTCTGCAGGAGGCTCATCATTATAGGGCGAGGGAAAAATACATACCTATACGTGCCTGGCCTGCGATCTGACGAACGCTTCCGCCAGCATTTTCAACGCGTTCCCTTTCTCCTGGGGCATTGGGATCATCGGCTTTCGTTAAACGTTTCTATATACATGCGTGTCAGCACAGCGCTGCAACAAACAGGGGAATCCGGGGGGACTCCCTACGGGCCTATATAAAAACCCGTCTTTCGTGCGTCCTTGTTCCCCTAATACGATATGCGAGTCTCCCAAGTTCGCAATTACCAGTTCCCCGTTCTTCACGTCCACCAACGCCAAAGCAACCGTCGAGCCGCTAGTAGCAGCTTGATTCGCGCCCTGCACGAAGCCCTCGTGTAATAGTTTTTCTTCGTAACTTATCGCATCGCGGATGGCTTCTTCATAGTTGCCGGCTTGGAAGGCGGGTGATGCAACGAGACTGAGATGAAGATTGCTGCTTGCGTGATTTGAGATGTCCGGACCTCCACTGTAATGGAATCGAGTTAGACGGCCTATCATGATAACCTTGCATGATAGTTTGCCAAGTACTTACTGGCCATCATATACCGCAAAGAACCCAACTCTGTCCTCAGTGTCTCCGATGAGGTCCTGTGGCTGTATACAGATATATCGATCTTCTTGATGGGGTCGGCTTCCTTGCTCCTAATCAGACCGGGAAATCCTGTCAGGTAATTGAGTCGCCATAATACGGTTTCATGGTGGAGCTCACTGTCGCCGCACCACAGTCCAGAATTGAGAGAGACGCCATTGTAGTTGGCTATCGTGTGGAGTATTGCAACGACGGGTGTCTGCGATATATCAGTCCCCAATTCCTCAACAAAAGCTCGTATATATTGCCTCTTATCGCCTTGTTCTCGATTTTTCTAAGAAGAAAAAAGGGTTGGACCTCAGATCAGAGCTTGGTCGGGAGGTTGTACGCTACGTCATAGGGCTGTGATCGGACGGGAATGCCCCGTATGGCAACTAAGTAGTTAACTCAACGAGTGAACATTTTTGAAGTCGCTATATGCTATTGATGAATCTGCAAACGCCTTTGTGGCATCGAACCATTCCGGGGAAGTTGATTAGATCGGTTTGAGAGCATGGCATTTGCTTGAAGGTAAGCGCATAGATTTGCTAGGAACTACATCAACCCTTGTCAACCGCGCAGAACTCCACGCCCCGTTTTCGGGTTCTAACTTGTAAGCATTGATTGGCATGGGTATGAGTGAGCCGTTTACATTATGTTGCGGGAAATTTGCTAATCCACACTTATCAACACTGGGAGGTTGAAATTAAACCCCTATTTTTATTACACTAGAAAAGGATGATAATCCATTCATTCTGTGTACATGCACACTCACTGCAACTTCTGATCCCAAACTAAGCCCAAATGCGCTTTTCCTTTCCTTAAGCCTCCCCGAGGATATTCTTCTCATACACAGTTGTCGTTTTGCCGGTATTCGAGTTTCGAATCTTTACGTCGGCTTTAGCATCCACTAACCGTATGAGCTGAGACCTATAACACAAATGCTTACCTCGTATCTAGGGTCTGCATCACTGGCAGAGACATTGCGGCCGGCTTGCTGTGTCGGCTCAGTCGCAATGGACATAACAGTGCCTGTGCTCACAGAAGTCTGGGAGTCGGGGCCTGGAGTTTTGGTGAGCTTTCAGGAGAAAGAGGCTTTGTCCAGAAACGCCATCACATACCTCCAACAGGCTTGTAGCGAACATCCATTCCTTCTTCGTAACGAGGCATATTGATAAAGGTGTTATGAAGGTTATTGTTTAGTTTTGTATAGAAATTTGCCGAGTGTAATTAGTTGTTGGACGAACGGTCAAGCTCCTGGGCATTCGGGGTTTATATAACCGTAGTCGAAAGAATGAACGCCAGCTACGTCAAGCTCGAAAGCATACATAACGTCATGGAGCGTCATCTGCGAGAGAATACCCTTACCGCGTCGATGGAGAAAGCAAGGGAGAGTATGTAAAAGGATACCTAAGCACCATGCAAAAGTCCGGTTCGGTAGACACGCCGTTCAGGTTTCGGCATGCTTGTAACTTGGGTATCTTTCAGGAGCTCACTGTAGAATAAGCAAATGTGAGCTAATTAGTTGGAAAATCATTTCTAGATCAATTCAGTGCACTGGCACCTTGTTGCATCTTCCAACCGTCCTGGGAAATGGTTGGATAAGGTTGATGGAATGATGTCAATTCGCAACGGTCTCGGCCTTTCTTTCTATGTAGATCATGGAAGAAAGCAGGTGTCGACGCCCTGATGGAGGAAATGCACAGCGATTCGCCGCATAGAGTCAACAATGCAGGAAACTCGCCGGTGGTGCTGGCTCGGAGGCCTTCACAGGCCCTTGCATCAGGTAGCGTTTTGCTCGACCTGGTCTGAGGTGACGCTCTCTTTAGCCAACGGCTCGTGAGTGTTTCCTGTGCATGCTAGTGATATCTCGACGCCACATATAGCAAAGCCTAATCTTAGTATTGCCATCAGCTTTTGACTGGAAGGGGATGCTGTGTAGTGTGAGGTTGATATTGAAAGACATGCCAAATGGGGGTAACTAAGTAACTAGTTAGTGAACTAGCCGCGTTGTCAAGGGAGCACGTGAGCAATACTCTGAGCCTACCTTGCGTCTCCCGAGGCGAAATTTGGCCTTGTGGCAGTGACTTCTATAATATTGCAATGAGGTTTAACTGCCAGCTTCATATGAGAGGAGCTCTGAAGGCATATCAACTGTTTGGTCCACAATAGTGGAGGAGTTGGACTGGCAACTACCGCAATACGTTATTGGTTGTGGTTTGGTGTATCATTTTTATATAGTGCTGCTTCTCCTGATTCCACCTGAAAGGTCACAGATTTCCTTTGCTGCATTCCTCACACTTCTTGCATCAACATGGTCTGGCCTGTTAATTTGGTAAGTGACTCTAAATCGAGACTGATCTACGGGGTATATTTAACTCCTCTCAGGCAGTGATAAATGCAAAAGAACAGGTTTCATATTTTCAGAAGCTTACCAAACCATCTGGACCGGTGTGGTGTACAGCATAATGGCATTTTCTAGAGCATGAGGCTCTACAACCTCGGCACGATTGAATTGGATGCATTATGACAAACAGTCATTGGAGCCAATAACAATACCTGCTATTACAATCCTTGTGTGACTGGCGTGGTGAATGATATCCTGAATGAATATATTGGGAATCTTATATGTTTCCTTGCGGGGGCATGGATATGCAACAGTTTCAGAAGATCCAGGAGGGAATTGCGTTCCGGATACCAAATGGAAAGAAATAATGCTTGATGACGCTGCCCCAGTTCTCTGGCAAAAATCTATGAATCATGCTTTTGCAGCGGTGGTTATGCTTATACTTTACTCTTTTTGGCTCCCATTCACACCCTCTCCGATCTTTCCCAACCGAACCTAAAATGGAACCAAATTTATGATGAAATCTCCTTGATAATGGGCGATTAGAGACTGAGATTTGCTCTTTCAATATTTCACTAATATTCTTCAGGGTGAGGGCATACGCAGCAGACTAGCCGATTAGGTCAAACCCAGGCGCAAGTACTTACCTCCATAGCTCGGCCAAAGTACGAAGCATGAAATCCGGCGGTTAAAATGGTTGGCTAGACGGTTGGTGATCCATGGCAATCAACGCTACTGGAAGCTGGAGAAAGCTCCCGGCTGAACCTTGACCAACATGCAAATACAACACAAGCTACATCATTGAACAGATCCCTTGGGAGTATATAGCGCTGGGGTGGGCCTAGGGTGAAGAAGTTCCTTACAGAGTAGTGGTCTTATTCGAGGTATAGAGAGGAAACAGGTTTACGAGGTCGACAACAAGGGTTTATTGTCCTTATTTGACACAAAATGCATTTCATGCTCTATCTTCTCGGTGCTTTCTGCGCTGCTCAGTCCGTCTTGGGCCATATGGAGATGCGGCAGCCCTACGCGCTCATGAGCAGATTCGACCCACGTCCGTACCCTTTTCTCTTCCAATCTATGCTTTTCAGACCTATCGCTAACAGCGTGGCAAACATCTAGACAACAACAGCTCCCAGATCGACTATGACAACAAGAGCCCATTGAGTCCGGACGGTAAGCCGTTGGAATCTCTCGCTCACAAACACGCTGTATAATAACGTGGGATAGGCAAGAATTTTCCCTGTCGGGGCCATCACAAGACCGTGGAATTTCGTCCGGTTGCTACCTATGAGGCAGGAAAAGATTATACTATGATTCTTGACGGCACGGCCACCCACCACGGTGGCTCATGTCAGATTTCCCTCAGCTATGACAAGGGGAAATCATGGAAGGTCATCAAATCATTCATGGGTGCCTGCCCACTGGCTCCCGATCAGAAATATTCGTTCCGGGTACCCGCCGATGTCGACAACGGCAAAGCCATGCTCGCCTGGACATGGTTCAATCTTGTGGGCGCTCGAGAGATGTATATGAACTGTGCCCATGTCATGATCGAAAAGGGCAAGGGCGGAGGGATCAAGAAACTCCCTACGATCTTCGAAGCTAACATTGGAAATAAGTGCCATACTAGTGAGAGGAAGGAGACTGTGTTCCGCCATGCTGGCCCGGCGGTGGAATATGGGCCAGGTGTAAATCCGACAAGCACCCCGTTCCCGGACTGTGATGGGAACACCAAAGGAATGGCGCAGTATATTGATCAGCTGGGGCAATTGCCTTTGTGGGGATGGTTTTAACCCGACGGTAACTGTATGGCGGTGCCTCTACCTGTTTGGAATCCTAGCCATGGATGGGACTAGGGTTGGATGATGCCTCAGGGACAGGCTCAGCCTTCGGGCTTTTGTCATATAGGAAATAGTGCAGCTTTCGAAGTTGTTGGAAAGAAAATAGTTGGGATCAACTATTTTGAAGAACAAACGATTGCACCCCTTTGAGACAACCATCCCTCCTCTATGGGCTTTTTTGCCTAGGTTGTGCAGCTGGAGTGTGTTTGGATTCCGGCGGGAGGAAGAGTGCGACACATTTCCCGAAAAACCCCGAGGCTCAAGGCGTCGGGTGAGACCGGAAGTTGACCACCCGATGAATGCGTAGAGAGACAGATTCTTACAATTGCCTGAGGATATTGAGTGTTTTCGCAAGTTCACATGTGCATATGGACCCTTATGCTGGGCTCTTGTGTCTAGACGGTTCGTTAGAATGGCCTATAGTTTGGGCTCAAAGTAAATGATTATAAGCCAGGCTCCTCCGTACGGAGTACGTGGTACATCCGCTCAACGAAGCAGGAATTGACCCTAGCATTTCTATTTACCCCTCACCAGCCGGTGGTAGTTGGTTATCATAACATTGAATTATCTAAAAAGAACATTCACTTTGAAGCGGAGATATCTCTAAATCTACGGAGTACTCCGTACTAGAAAACAAAGTGAGTGAAGCCCTACGAGCTTGCGCGTGTCTTCGGGCCCACTTGGAGGAACAATCTCAGATAGTTGGAGATGATAATTGAAACCATGACTTGAATTTATGACTTCAGGATGCAATCCATGATTGTGTGGGGGTTGTGCTGCAGCTGCGGCTCCTGGAACGATCGCCAGCCGATGTCGGATGCTTATTCGGTGGGGCGATCTTGCATCTTCGGTTTGGTTGCACATGCCAGCGCAGGGTGTAACGGTACCTTTGATTCTCCCTGAAGGAAAGGCTGGGGATCAGCTCTTTTTCGTGAAGGGAACGTATATGTACTTCCGGTATCCGCGGGGCGTTCAGCCTCAAAGACTGATTTAAGCCCGGCCAGTCTGTATTCGCTTGACGGGCGTCTGTGCTGCTCATCGACGGGATGTGCCAATAGAGCAGAGATATTTGCATCTGGATAGAATCCAATTAGATTAGATATGCATATTTCACAGCTTCTTACTGTCTGCTGTCCAGGACATTCAATAATAGTACATACATGCCGATGACCATTGCCCAGTCTTGGCTGTGGTTCCAATTTCACCATGTCTGACCTGCAAACCGCAAAGGAAAGGGTATCCAAACCTGTCCCACCAAAAGCACGTTTTAGTCTGCTTTCTTCTCCGGGGCAAGTGGCATCGCTGTCCCGCACGCTCAACAAAGAAATGGGCGCCAAGGAATGGGAAGCAGCGGAATCAGCCATCACCTCACACAAGAAGAAGGATACACCGTACAGTCCCAGCAAATAGTCGAGAAGAGGAAGTCGTCCGTTGAGAGCAACGGTGAGATAGATGTTGGAGTGCCTGCCGTTATCGGTCGCGATTAGCTTTAAGCTTTCCCAGAACCCTGATTTCCGCCCCGTCCAGACCCTTGTCAATCCGACGGCTCTCATTGGTCGGACGTGCTTATCTAGGCTTTAAGGTTTGGAGCTTCGCTCCTTCCCCAAAACGTCCCTCTCAGACCCGAGGGCGAAAACAGCAGGAGCTCCCAAGGACGACAGAGGCAACAAGGCCCGGCTTCACATGCCGTGTCGTTACACGTAGAAGAAGTAAATATCTGTCCATGAAGAGCTGCAAAGAATCCAATTGAGCCACTGAGGCAGCTTTCATTGTTGACGCATCATGAGCATCATTGGCAACCCAGCATCCATAGATGGTACTACAGTGCCGTGATCAATTGTCAGGCAGCTGCGATAAGCCCTGTCACTGGCCCGCCTAGCTTTCTCTGGGCCGTTTGCCACGGGCGAGTATCGGGACTGAGCTCCACAGAAGCTGGTCTGCACCAGGACCCTTTCCGTCACCTCTGCTGGACTCTGCTGTCACTATTTTTCCTTCACATATCTCTCTCCCTCTGCTTCTCAGACTTCCCTCCTCACGTACTTTCAACTCCACCAGAGACTATTTCAGAGATTTACCTCGTCTTCTCAGAGAAACCATCATTCCTATATCTGAGCTGATAATTAATCCCACCTCTTAGCTTGATCGAACTCCAGAAGTCACCGTCGCCATTCTCTATCCGTCACAGGCGGAAGAATGGGGCTCCCGGGAAAGACATATGATCTGAGTCTGGAAGAGGAACAACCCCACGAGTACTCGGAGTACCAGGCGGAGAAGGGCTATGGCTGGGCGGAGGCCTTGCCCCAGCGGCAAGGCCTCTATGATCCCGAGATGGAGAAGGATGCCTGTGGTGTAGGGTTTACAGCGTGCGTTGATCAATTGTCATGTCGACGATATTGTTTTGAGCGCTGCTGACTGACTGTTTTAGTCACATAAAAGGGCAACCGAGTCATAAAATTATTACTGATGGTAAGGTGGTGCCTTTGTGTACTGGGAATCGCTGTCAGTGCTAACTGAGCTCTCATCGAACAGCACGATACCTCCTGTGCAACATGACCCATCGAGGGGCGGTGGGCTCGGATGCGCGAGACGGCGATGGAGCCGGGGTCATGACTAGCATTCCGCATAAGTTTTTCGTCAAACACTTTGCTAGGGAGGTCGGAGTGGAACTTCCGCCCCTGGGCCAATATGCGGCTGGTAACTTGTTTTTCAAGCCAGACGTCGATAATGTCATAAATTCGAAAGCTACATTCGAAAACTTGGCAGAGTCACTGGGCCTTCGCGTCTTGGGATGGCGTGATGTCCCTCGCGATTCAACCCTCCTTGGCCCAGCGGCGTTGTCGCGTGAACCGGCCATTGTTCAGCCATTTGTTGTTTTACATTCGGCTTACGGCGATGGTAAGGCTCCAAATAGCGATCACGGAGAAATATTTGACGAAAATACTTTCGAAAGGCAGCTCTATGTCCTACGGAAGCGGGCTACCCACGTGTTGGGGCTAGCCAACTGGTTCTATATTTGCTCGCTCAGCAACAAGAATATCGTTTATAAGGGTCAACTTGCTCCAATCCAGGTATATGAATATTATCACGATCTCCTCTCGGTGGATTATGAGGGTCATTTTGCGCTTGTGCACTCTCGCTTTTCGACGAATACATTCCCATCTTGGGATCGAGCGCAGCCTCTACGGTGGGCCGCTCACAATGGTGAAATCAACACGTTGCGTGGTAATAAGAACTGGATGAGGGCTAGAGAGGGGGTTTTGAAGTCGGACGTTTTCGGCGACGAGCTCGAACATCTATACCCGATTGTAGAAGACGGTGGTTCGGATTCTGCTGCGTTCGATAACGTACTTGAATTGCTCACAATCAACGGCGTGTTGTCACTCCCGGAAGCAGTCATGATGATGGTTCCTGAGGCGTGGCAAGATAATCCAGCAATGGACCCGAAAAAAGCTGCTTTTTACGAATGGGCTGCTTGCTTGATGGAGCCCTGGGATGGTCCCGCCCTGTTCACATTCTCAGATGGCCGCTACTGCGGTGCGAACCTCGACCGCAACGGGCTTCGTCCTTGCAGGTATTATGTCACTGACGACGACCGTATCATATGCGCTTCCGAAGTCGGTACAATCGCAATCGACCCGGAGCGCGTGATTGAAAAAGGAAGATTGCAACCTGGAAAAATGTTGCTTGTCGATACAGTCGCTGGAAGGATCATTGACGATGCAGAATTAAAGAGAACAGTGGCAAATCGCCAGCCGTTTGAGGATTGGATTGAGACGTATTTGCTCAGCATGCCTGAAATCCATAAGCAGGTCTCTGAAACTGGTAGTCTGGCACCCATACTGGACGACATCACGATTCAGCAAGACCCGCGCCTCAAGGCCTTCGGTTACTCGTTTGAGCAGGTTAGTCTTCTTCTCGGTCCTATGGCCGCAGATTCAAAGGAAGCTCTTGGCTCGATGGGGAATGATGCCCCGCTGGCTTGCCTAGCACAACAACCGCGTTTGCTGTACGAATATTTCCGCGAACTCTTTGCCCAGGTCACAAATCCTCCCATTGACCCCATTCGAGAGGCTATTGTCATGTCCCTAGAGTGCTACGTTGGGCCACAGGGTAATTTACTGGAAATCAACCCTTCCCAATGTGACCGGCTTCATCTTCCCTCACCAATCCTGTCGATCAACGAGTTCAATGCGTTGAAGGCGCTGCCGTCGATACAGAGCGAGTGGTCAGTCAAAACGATTGACATCACATTCGATAAGTTGAAGGGTATCCAAGGGTATCTTGATGCTCTGGATGATATCTGCGCTGCTGCCACAGAAGGTATTCAAAACGGAGACCGTATCATTGTCCTATCCGACCGTGCAACTTCGGCAGATCGAGTTGCGGTATCGTCACTCCTTGCAACTGGTCTCGTCCATCACCATCTTGTTCGGAACAAATGGAGATCGCTTGCTGCCCTTGTTGTTGAGACGGCTGAAGCCCGCGAAGTTCACCACATGTGTGTCCTCGTTGGATATGGTGCGGATGGTATCTGCCCATACTTGGCGATGGAATGCATTCTCAAGATGAACCGTGAAAACCTGATCAGAAAACAACTTTCCGATGAGCAAGTCATCACAAATTACAAGACTTCGTGCGATGGCGGTATTCTCAAGGTTATGAGCAAGATGGGTATTTCCACCCTACAGAGCTACAAAGGTGCTCAGATCTTTGAAGCGCTAGGTATCGATGATGTGGTCATCGATCGCTGTTTCGCAGGCACTGCCAGCAGGATTCGAGGAATGACATTCGAGCAGATAGCACAGGATGCATTCTCATTCCACGAACGGGGATATCCGATCCGCAAGATAACCCACATTCCTGGTCTTCCAGAGTCCGGTGAATACCATTGGCGAGACGGCGGCGAATCCCACATCAATGATCCAGTTAGCATTGCCAATATTCAGGACGCCGTGCGCACTAAGAATGATAAGTCGTATGAAGCATATGCTCGATCAGAGCACGAACAAATCAAAAACTGCACGCTTCGTGGGTTACTCGACTTCGACTTCGAGCAGCGGGCTCCCGTCCCTATCGAGCAAGTTGAACCATGGACAGAAATTGTTCGTCGATTCGTCACGGGCGCCATGTCATATGGTTCCATCTCTTACGAATCGCATTCAACTCTTGCCGTCGCGATGAACCGACTTGGGTGGAAAGTCCAACATCGGTGGAAGGAGGAGAAACCCCCGAACGTAGCAAAGTCCTCGAAAACGGGGACACAATGCGATCCGCGATCAAACAGATTGCTTCCGGTCGCTTCGGTGTCACGTCGGCATATCTGGCGGACGCGGATGAGCTGCAGATCAAAATGGCTCAGGGCGCCAAGCCTGGAGAGGGCGGAGAACTTCCCGGCTCAAAGGTCACGGGGCCGATTGCCCAGACTCGCCGCTCCACCCCTGGCGTTGGCCTCATCTCTCCACCACCACATCACGATATCTATTCTATCGAGGACCTGAAGCAACTGATCTACGACTTAAAATGCTCTAATCCGCGAGCCCGGGTTTCTGTGAAGCTTGTCTCGGAGGTCGGTGTCGGCATCGTCGCGTCCGGTGTCGCCAAAGCCAAAGCTGACCACATCCTCATCTCTGGCCACGACGGAGGTACGGGTGCATCCAGATGGACGGGTATCAAATATGCCGGGCTGCCTTGGGAGCTGGGTCTTGCAGAAACTCACCAAACTCTTGTCCTAAATGACCTTCGTGGCCGTGTAATCGTGCAAACTGACGGTCAATTGAGGACGGGCAGGGATGTCGCCATCGCGTGTTTACTTGGAGCTGAGGAATGGGGTTTTGCAACAACGCCTTTGATTGCTATGGGCTGTATCATGATGCGCAAGTGTCATCTTGGCACCTGTCCTGTTGGAATCGCAACTCAGGATCCCGTATTGAGAGAGAAATTTGAAGGCACACCTGAACATGTCATCAACTTTTTTTACTATGTGGCCAATGAACTCCGGGCAATCATGGCTAAACTGGGTATGCGAACTATCAACGAGATGGTCGGCCGTGCAGAACTTCTTAGAATCAGAGATGATTTGCCATCTCCTAAACTAGAAAATATCGATCTATCCCTTATTCTTACGCCTGCCCACTCCCTTCGTCCAGGCGTGGCAACGTACAATGTTCGGAAACAAGATCACCGTCTTCATGTCCGCTTGGACAATAAGCTCATTTCAGAGGCTGAGCTCGCGCTGGAAAAAGGCCTTCCTTGCCGGGTCGAATGCGATATCGTTAACACGGATCGGGCTATGGGCGCTACACTTTCATACCACGTGAGTAAGCGTTATGGGGATGCTGGTCTCCCACAGGATACAATACACGCAAATATAAAGGGCTCTGCTGGCCAATCCTTTGGCGCTTACCTCGCTCCCGGTATCACATTGGAGCTTGAAGGTGATGCGAATGATTACGTCGGCAAAGGCCTGTCTGGCGGTCGTCTCATCGTCTACCCTCCTCGCGGTGCAGTCTTCAAAGCCGAAGAGAATATCATCGTTGGAAACGTTTGTTTATATGGTGCGACCGGTGGCAGCTGTTACTTCCGTGGTGTTGCGGCCGAGCGTTTTGCTGTCCGTAACTCTGGCGCCACTGCGGTTGTCGAAGGCGTTGGAGATCACGGATGTGAGTATATGACGGGTGGCCGGGTCCTCATTTTGGGCCCTACTGGTCGTAACTTTGCCGCTGGTATGTCCGGCGGTATCGCCTATGTGCTGGATATGAGTGGTGATTTCCACTCCAAGGTTAATATGGAAATGGTTGAGCTATCTGGGATTGAAGAGCCGAGCGAAATTGCGTTCGTTCGCGGGCTCATCGAAGACCACCACCACTACACCGGCTCGGAAATCTCTACTCGCATTCTTGTGGATTTCACCAAGGCGCTGTCCCACTTTGTCAAGGTTCTGCCTACTGACTACAAGCGAGTTCTAGATGAGGAAGCGGCTAAAAAGGCTACAGCCAAGAGGGTTGGGTTCACGCCTTTGAAGTCTCCAGATCATGCTGCAAAGGAAAAGTTAGAACACGAGCACCGGGAAGCAGCGAAGAAGAGTGAAATTCTTGACATCGAAGATAGCATCACCGACACGAAAGCGGAAAAGAAGCGCACAGCCTTGATCCTAGATAAAACTAAAGGCTTCATGAAATATCACCGCCGCAATGAGAAGTACCGTAGCTCCAAGTCTCGGACACGGGATTGGGCTGAACTGTCGCAGCGTTTGAATGACGATGAACTTAAATACCAGTCCGCCCGTTGCATGGACTGTGGTGTTCCATTCTGTCAATCCGATACTGGTTGTCCTATCTCCAATATCATTCCGAAGTGGAACGAACTTGTTTTCCAGAATCAATGGCAGGATGCCTTAAATCGTTTGCTCATGACCAACAATTTCCCTGAGTTCACAGGCCGTGTTTGCCCTGCTCCTTGCGAAGGTGCCTGTGTCCTTGGTATCAATGACGACCCCGTCGGTATCAAGTCGATCGAATGTGCTATAATCGATCGAGGATTTGAGATGGGCTGGATGGTCCCCAAACCCCCACCAAACCGTACTGGTAAGACGGTTGCGATTATTGGCTCTGGTCCCGCAGGCCTTGCTGTAGCCGATCAACTTAACCGCGCTGGTCACAGTGCTGTCGTCTATGAACGTGCTGATCGTATCGGCGGCCTTCTGATGTACGGTATCCCGAACATGAAACTTGATAAGAGGATCGTTCAGAGGCGGGTTGATTTCATGGCTGCCGAAGGGATCAAATTTATTGCAGGTACGGCTGTTGGACCAGATTGCGACGTGACTTTGGAGTCTCTACAGAAGCAAAACGATGCTGTCGTTATCGCTACCGGTGCGACGGTTGCCAGAGACCTTAAGATTCCGAACCGTGAGCTGAAAGGTATTCACTTCGCAATGGAATTCCTCCATAAGAATACCAAATCTCTACTTGACTCTGAGCTAGCTGATGGCGCATACATTTCAGCTAAGGAAAAGGACGTTATCGTTATCGGAGGCGGCGATACCGGCAATGACTGTATTGGCACCTCCGTTCGTCATGGAGCCAAATCGGTCACCAATTTCGAGCTTCTTCCTCAACCTCCTGCGGAGCGTGCCAGTGACAACCCTTGGCCTCAGTGGCCACGCGTCTACCGTGTGGACTACGGCCATAATGAGGTGAAAGCGCACTTCGGCAAGGATCCCCGCGAATACTGCGTAATGTCGAAAGAATTCGTCGGTGATGAGGATGGAAATGTCAAAGGAATCAATATCACCCGGGTCGAATGGGCCAAAAGTAACTCCGGAGGTTGGGATATGAAGACAGTTGAAGGAAGCGAGCAATTCTTCCCGGCAGATCTTGTCCTGCTTTCAATGGGTTTCCTGGGCCCTGAGGACCGTGTGCTGGGCGACAGAATCGAACTGGATGCCCGGAAAAATATAAAAACGGCTCCTGGCCACTATGCCACCAACATCCCTGGTGTATTTGCTGCGGGAGATTGCCGACGCGGCCAGTCACTGATCGTTTGGTAAGTTTAGCAACCGTTTTCCTATACTCGCCGATCTAATGGCTTGAGCTTACAATTCAATTTAGGGGTATTAACGAAGGTCGTCAAACGGCCCGAGAAGTCGATTCTTACCTCATGGGCACATCTTCTCATCTTCCAATTACTGGAGGCATCGTGCGCCGCGCTGCTATTGACTCTGTGCCGAAAACTCCTCAAACTCAAGTTCAAGCGGTTGCCGCTTAGAAAGAATTAAGCGCTTGAATCCAGCCATGTCTGCTCGACAATCTACCCTTATGTGCAATATTTTCAACGAATTTATTCCGATAGCGATTTTGTTTTTCTGTAATTCCGAGATACCTTCTTGTGATTAAAAGCCAGCGGATATTTCTGTCAAAAGCCGATTTTGGTCTTTCGTTCAATTTCCTGGCAATGAAGCATATACCATTCCACTCGATGTTTTCCTAATTCATGAATTGTACTACTATGCGCCCGGCAAGGTTTGGTTGTGGCGGCTATTATGCACTGAGACTCTGGAGATGCCGTTGTTTTGATACCGGGGCGACGCCTTATCTTCTTTGGATTTAGAGCCTGTTATGATATGAGAGTTTGTATCAATGACATGGAACCGAAAGATTCATGATATATTCGTTGGTAGTCCAATTTCCCGAATACGCTATTTGAACAATACGAATACCTTATTTCCCCTCTGGGAATGAATCCATTTTACCTTCTATAACCCCAATTATGGATTTAGTGGACTTTATGATATTCAAAAATTGCAAGCAGGGGTAACGTTCTATCGCAGACCAGAATCAAAGGCCCTGATAACACCATATTGTACAGTAGTTGGATATCCATCCCATATCCGAGTATAAGGGGGGCGACCAGCCATCAAAGAGTAATTGCCACAAACATAACACTGTATGTAGAATCCATGAATCGCCAAATCATGCAACTCCAGTGACCTTCATTTCGCTCTTCTGCTCATCATTCCTCTGCTCCGCGAGCTTCATCTCCCTCTCCAGCGCCGCAAAATCCCCTTCAAACGCCCCTTTGACCGGCTCAGTTCTGATATCCCATACATCCTGGCTTGTCGGCCCCGTCTTCCACCTCGAGGCCTTTTTCCGATTATAATCCACAACCATTCGCGCCCGGTCCTCCGAGGAGTACGACTTTGTGCGCATGCAGAACCAGAAATCCGACCAGTGTTGGCTGCAGTCACGCAGCTCGCCGAATCGGTAGTAGTTTACCCACTGGCCTCCGAAGGATTGGCAGAAGAAGGCGTAGTCGAAGGCGTCGCGGCAGGACATGGTGGATGGGTAGAGGGCGTCGGGGTTTATGGACGATGGTGGAAGGGCGGGTGCTGGGCTGGGGGAGGAGGAGGAGGAGGAGGAGGAGGAGGAGGAGGGCGGGGTTTGTGACTGTGAAGGCTGGCTGGGTTCGTTGGGGGCTTTCATTCCGGAGAGGAATGCTTGGAGTTCGGCGTCCGCCAGCTCATCGCGGGTTACTGGTCGCCGTGGTTGCGGCGGAGGTGCTGCAGGTGGAAGGTCTTCCGCCTGGCGCGGGAGTGAATCGTGCTTGTTGTCCGGAGCGGAAGCTTGCGAGGGCTGTTGGGATTGACCTGATGAGCTCCACCACCACCCCATTTTGGCTTGAATTGCGTGGGCTTGCAATGAGCGGGAAGTGGTGGTCGCCGTGAGATGAGCCGCTCGAGATGATTTGAAGCCGCTTGAAATTTTGACGTATTGCGGTGGTATTCTTCGTACTAGCGTAGCAATAGAAAACACCAGCCTCACGACGTCATCGGCTCCAAGCAACTCCGCAACGCACTTGAAAACGCCCTGATTGAATCTGCTCTCCTTTCGCACGGAATGCAATGGAGTCTACGGGGGAACAATGATCAGATTTACGGGAAGGACATGTGTGGGACAGGGCTGGAAATCCCCCGCTCATTTCTCTGGCGGGGGTTTCCAATCCGCCCGGCCTCCATTTCTTCAGCAGCGGGTGCTGGGAAGATGCACGGCCACTTACTCAAAGGCTGATGAAACTGGCCATATAAGCACAGCGCCCAATGAGTCTGTGTTCTACCTAGATAGTAGGTTCCAGCGCCCCTTCACGGGACGGTCAAAGAGCTAACCATAAGCAAGATATGCTGCCCGTTACGGTCTTCTCGCCGTCGCGTCTCGAATACCGGGGTCCAGTGCCCTCGATGCTAAAGCGCGTTGGAGCTTTCATAAAACGGATTACTGGCGCAAGCCCATTGAATACTATTGAACACGCATTTCCCTTGGAATTGCGGGAAAGGATTGGACAAGTAATTCCCCGCTATTCAGAAGGCGGCGTCTTCGTTAAACTTTCGCACCCGCCCAACATGGACAAGGAGGGAGTCTCAAAATCAATAACCGCGTATCTTGAGCAGAATCCGATCAAACCATGGTTCAGCCCTTTCAGATCTGTAAAGGCTGCGATGGTTCGTGGACATCCCTGGCTTGAAGACCTCCAGAGATTTCCTAGTTCAAGGGTTAAAGTGGAATTTCTTCCTACGGCCTCGGGGACATCACCGGCGGAATTGACTCCGGAACTACTTTACTCGTTGACCCGTCGTTATGGCAAGTTGGCAGATATTATCCCACAGCCGTCTGATTCAAAAGTCCAACCTAGGTATGCGCTTCTCGATTTTAGGAGCACTGGTTATGCTGTTATGGCGAAGAACTGTCTGCACGGATACAAAGTTTCTGCAGCTGAAGGTGGAGGAAGTGCGGGCACGCTCTTAAAGATGTCATACGAGCAGAAAATAAAACCCCATCTAATAAGAGACTGGATAGTCAATCACCCGAGAATCGTGATACCCATTATAGCTGCGCTCCTCGCCACTCTCACCGTTATTATATTCGATCCCATCCGAACTTTCTTCATCAAAATCCGGATTGCGCCGCCTCTTGACGTTCATAACAGCAGGATGTGGTTATGGGTCCAACGACAGGCAAGCAAGGCCAACGATATGTTCTCTTTCCGTCAAAGACAGCGCTCGGATTCTGGTGGCTTACAGGCGATATGGGAAGATCGCAAAGGCGACATCCAACAACTGCAAAACTGGTTGATCGAAGCTACAAATACGTTCACGATCGTGCAGGGCCCTAGAGGTTCGGGAAAAAGGGAACTTGTACTCGATGAAGTATTGAAGGGTTACAAGCACAGATTAGTAATTGACTGCAAGCCGATCCAAGAAGCACGAGGCGACAGCGCAACTATAAACGCCGCTGCGGCAGAAGTTGGCTATCGGCCGGTGTTTTCGTGGATGAATAGCATCAGCAGCCTCATCGACGTAGCAACGCAAACACTAGGCGCAAATGCTGGCCTTTCGGAGACTCTCGATTCGCAGTTAGGGCATATTCTCCAGAATACTGCCAATGCGTTGAAAAAGGTAGCTCTGGAAAAGAAAAAGATGAATGAAGTAGATGCCGATATGACGGACGACGAGTTCCTCGAAAGACACCCCGAGTGCAGGCCAGTTGTTGTTATTGACAACTTCCTACACAAAGCCAACGACAACCAGATGATATACAATAAACTTTCGGATTGGGCCGCAGGGCTTACGGTCTCCAACATTGCACGTGTCATTTTTTTGACTGGCGATATCTCGTACTCCAAAACACTCAGTCGAGCGCTGCCGAATCAAGTATTTCACGAAATTCAACTAGGAGATTGCACACCCGAGGTTGCCAAACAATTTGTTCTCGATCACCTCCACACTGATAGGAGCAATGACGGCCATAAGACCAAGGTTCAACTAGAAACCTTAGAGGGCGGTCATATGAACGAGCTTGAAAAATGTATTCAAACTTTGGGTGGCCGGCTATCAGATCTGGAATTTTTTGCAAGGATGATCAGCAGAGGAGAAAGCCCAGAAGGTGAGCAGCGGCAACTATTGTGCGCTCGTAAATGATAAAATGCTAATTCCCACTGCAGCCGCCGTCAACGACATTGTTGATCAATCCGCTGCTGAAATTCTGAAAATGTACATCGCTGATGTTGATAATGCGGTTCGAAATTGGTCACCGGAACAAGCCTGGTATTTGATCCGCAATCTTGCGGAAGCCGAAAACGACAGTGTGCTTTACAGCCAGGCATTGTTCTCTGACATGTTCAAGACGAACGGGGAGAACACGATCCGCGCCCTTGAGCAGGCGGAGCTAATCTCCGTAACGACACTCAACGGTCGCCCTTCAACCATTAAGCCAGGCAGGCCTGTGTTTGCAGCTGCCTTTAAGCGATTGGTTGAAGATGATGTGCTCCGGTGTCGGCTGGGGCTGCGTACACTTGGGCAGCAAATAGCGATGGAAAACGCAAACATCACCAAGTACGAAGGAGAATTGCAAGTACTGGGCTCGTTGGAAAAGGAGCCCAAGGAAATTAGACCTCGAGTTCGGTGGCTGCTTACCAAGCTGGAAAACAGCCATGCGAACATTGAGAGGTATGAGCAGGAAAGTGCTGGGCTGAAGAAGATCCTACAATCCAAAATGTGATTGTCGGCGTGTAAATAATAGTGTCAGCCTTGGTTGTGCCATCTGTGTACTTTTATATATATACCCCTGAAAGATATCGGACGAAACTAGACTTGCACGTGATATCTCTTGGCATTTTAGATAATCAGCCATCTCAGCTCTGAAACTGCGATTCCACCGTTTAGTCTATTCTTCACAGCAGACGAAATCTTCAAGTTCAGGCTTTTTTCCCTCTATTTTGTACATTCATCGTTAGGTGCGGCTGGCTATTCTTCAAACCTTTCTTGTACAAGCCTTAGTTGACCCCGTCGTGGCCTGCGTCTACCTTTTGGTTTTCAGGGGGGATATCTCTGTAGCTGGATGTCCAGCACACCATCTAAACTCGACTGCGGCGTAAGAAGAAGATATTCTGCTTCGCTTCAAAAGTCGATCCCATACAGATTTCTCGACTATGGAAGAGCAACCTGAGTCCGCTCCGCTTCACATCATTCAATCCGTTACGGACCTTGTATCAGACATATCCCCAGCTTTTATCATTGTATTTTTTTTCGCAGTTTGCGTTTTGACCAGAATAATCACCGGGGTTACATGTTTGTTTAACAAGAGATATCCAGATGGAGCAATCTCGGTGCGGGGAGTGCCGTACTGGCTGCCATATTTGGGACACGGGCTGTCCTTGGGGTTTCGGCGGCGAAAGCTATTTTGGAACGTAGGGTATGTAGTTGTCTAAATTCAACTCCTAATACTGGCTTTTTGCGGCTAACGCTCAGCAGGAAGGCCAGCAAGGAGCCAATCGTCGGTCTCCATATCCGAGGAAGAGCTCACAATATTGTAACCAGCCCGTCTCTTGCAACAGCATTGTTGGAACACTCATCATCCCTTTCTTCTGAGCCTGCAACGAGATACATCATGGAGAATGCGTTTGGTGCAAGGCGCAGCACCAGAGCTTTTAACCGTGCCAGTTTTCACGCGGACTCTGGGCCAATTCAGTTCCTAAGCAAGGATCCATGGCTGACAGATGTTTCGTCAAGCCTTGTACGCGAAGTCCAGAAGGCTATGCCAAACCTTTTATCATTCTCCCCAAGCGTTGTTGACCAGTCGACTTGGGAGAGATTGAGCGATGTATATTACAAGCAGGAAGACGGCGGACCGGTTTGCGAAGTTGGCTTATTCAGCCTGGTACGAAATTTTGTTGGGATGATATCCACCACAGTCATCATGGGCACAGCATTCACAGAGACCTTTCCGTACGCTCTCAATGAGCTGTGGGCTTTTGACAGTCGATTTAACGCGGTATTGTTAGGTATCCCACGCTGGGTTCCTTTTCCGGGACTTGTGACGGCATATGCGGCTCGTCGCCGTTTATTACTTGCCTTGAAATCGTTTCACAATGGGCTTGCGGCTTCAGAAACTGGTGTAGACGCTGGATTTGACTGGCGGGACATGGACGACGTGTCTGAAGTCATAAAAGCTCGTTCACGGGCTCTAACCGACGCGGGCTATACAGCGGAACAAGCCGCCTGCGAACACCTGGCTTTCTTCTGGGCCATGAATATGACTACCAATACTATGATTTTCTGGAATCTGGTACACATTCTCTTGGACAAGCAGTTAAAGCAAGAGATAATGGAGGAAATAAAACCTCATTCGAAAGTGACTCGCTCGGATTGGGGTGAATCCGGTTTCAGTATACCGGAACCGCCTCGTCTGCACATAGACGCTGCTGCCCTTGTTTCTGCTTGCCCATTACTGAAAGCCACTTATTATGAAAGCATTCGCGTCTATGCCACACCGCTAAGCTATCGACAGTTAATAAACGATATCACCTTATCGGAACCCACCGCAACCACTACAGTCGCCACAAGCCGCCCGAACACTTATAAATGCGACGCGGGTAGTTATGTTGCCGTTCCACATTTTATGCATAACATGGACCCCAAATCCTTCCCCGATCCGGAAGATTTCCGGCCATGGAGATTTTTACCTGAGAAGTCGGAAGAAACGTCGGATGTGTCTGACGAAGATCTATCCCTTGAAGACGAGAAGCTCATTGCGGATGATGAGTCGATATCTCAAAAGATGCGTGATGTTTGGCCGCGCGAGGGAAGCACAATTCTTAGCTACAGCCCCGAGTTTGCGGAGCGACAAGCATTGATTTTTACTGCTGCCTTTCTCACAATGTGGGACATTGAGCAGGCCGATGGTAAGGCATGGAAAGTCCCGCGCCCAACGGATGGGAGTGCGACCTGTGTACCTCGGAAAGATATTAAAGTGAGGATGAAGCTGAGGGTGTAGACTAAACACAAAATGATACGTTTTGTGTACGGAGCTGGGTAGTATCCGTAGCTCTAGGCTGATATTTCTTTTCCAACAAACTGCTTTGTAGCTGTGATAACACAAATTGATAGATGGTTAGTTACAGGGGTGACACTAAATAAACGTTAGTTGCCTTGAGTTCCGACGCGTGTTGACGCGCGAACGCGTTGGCCCATTTAAAGAGGACGACCAAATATCATCAGACCAATGCTCGCTCAGCTATGAAATATCCAAGGAAGATAAAGACCCCGTCTATAACTTGTCGGTCTTTGCAGCATTCTACTTGAATTTTGCTAAAAATCGGTGGAATCGGTTAACTTACGCAAATGGTGGAAGCCGCCCCAAGGGGCAGACCAGCCCGTAAGACAGCTCTAAAACAGTCATAAAATCTAGGCTGCATATATGGTCGTGTTCACTAACTTATCTCTGATCGCGGACTTTAGACACACCTGGAACAACGGTACTAGCATACACACCCCGCGGACACAAAGTCGTCACAGGCGGTTCGAACTCGGCGATCCGAATATACACGATTGGCGAAGATGGCGAACCGAAAACCATTGACGAGGGCGTGGAAGGCCATTTGGCTATTGCTGCGCTAGTATGTTTATATCTTTGTACAAAGAAAGGCTTTCCAAGAGATGGTGGAATACGTTTCTAATGCGCGGGGTTTAGAACGACTCGTTTATCATGGGCGCAGAAGATGGAACGGTTTGGCAATATGGCTTGCCGGACGGGCAAATGGACAAGATGCTTGTCCGATGCTCGTTGCCCGTGCGGGATCTGGCAATTTCGAAAGACAAGGACTGGATAGCCGTTGCTAGCGAGTAAGTGAACAAAATCGGAGTCATTCGGAAGGATTTCGTGCTAAGACAGGGCATTTTTCTAGCGACCTTACCGTCAAAATTGTCAATATAGAAGACATGAGCCATGTTAAATACTTGCGAGACCAGACGAAGGGGGTTAAGCACGTTACGTTCGATCCCAGCGGGAGATATGTTACCGCTTCCTGCTCGGATGGAGTTATCTACGTTTATTCTTTTATTGAAACGGAACCTACGCTGGTTAAAAAGATCGATGGTGTGATTCAGAGGCTTGAGACTGAGGATGAAGGCACTTCACAGGCTGCATGGCACCCCGATGGGACCGCTTTTGCAGCTGTGGGAGCTACCAAGGACATCGTCGTGGTGTCTAGCAGAGATTGGACGACGCAGAAGAAGTTTGCCAACGGCCACACTGCAGACATCACGGCCCTTGCTTGGTCTCCGAATGGCGCGCTGCTAGCGAGTGCCGGTGCAGATGGGTATATTGTCCTCTGGGAAACTCGCACTCAGAACATTCTTCGGAAATACGAGTTTTCAAACGTTATCAATCTTGCATGGCATCCTGTGGATAATGAACTGTCATTTACTACGTCAGATGGGGAGCTCTACATTTATGCAAATTTTGTACCGTCAGAATATCAACGGCTCCTCGAGAAGATTTTGGAAGTTGCCCCTTTGCTTTCTACTGGCGTTGACGTTACAACCACGCTTCCGAACAGAATAATTTCGAATGGGACAAATGGAGCACACAGCGGGAGGCAGATTAGGCAAGGCACTCCTGATTCTCTGGACGACATCCTTGGTCCTATGGATGAAGATGACGATTTTGTGGAGGACGACGACGGCGCTGGTTATACCGAAGGAGTTAACGCTTATGGCAAGCGTACAAATGACCATTTGGCGAATCCATATGGCCATGATGGTAAGAGAAGAATCGGGGCATCGTGGCGGCCACATAAGCAAGAGGCCTTTCAGCCAGGGAGCACGCCGTGGCGTGGTGGCAGGAGATATCTTTGTAAGTCTTTCAATATACAAGTCTGCTCTCTCTCCCGTCCGTATCTCCTGCTAACAGGGCACTGTTAGGTCTTAATCTCGTCGGATTTGTATGGAGCGTGAACCAAGAAACCCACAACACGGTCACCGTTGAGTTTTATGACCGAGAACAATATCGCGATTTCCACTTTACCGACCCATTTTTATATGATAAGGCCTGTTTAAGTGTGTAAAACCAGCTACGTGGACTCGAAGCATAGGCAGGCTAACGAGAAATAGATGAAAAAGGGACCCTGTTCGCTTGCCAGCCTCTCGACAAGAATCCCGCCGTGATCTTCTATCGGCCACATGAGATGTGGACCACAAGGGCCGATTGGAGGACAGAGCTCCCTGAAGGCGAGCACATCACAGGTAAGGACACACAAGCACTCCTTTTCCTCCATGTGCTAAAGCCTTATAGCGATCGCATTAAGCAGTTCGTATGTGGTCGTAAGCACTTCGACAGATTACGTCCGGGTTTACACCTTATTTGGAACGCCTTATCGTGTCTATAGACAAAAGAGTCAAACTGTTACCTGCGCTGCATGGCGGGACTATGTCTTGACTATTGGCAACGGTCCGATAGGCGGTGATGGGATCACAAAATTGACATATTCGATAGAAAATGTGCGAAAGGATCAGATCTGCCAGAATGAAGATACGGTTGCCTTGACGGAAGGGCTGGAACTTCGCAGCGTTTTCTTCTCGGACCAAGGGGTAGGTGAAATTTACCATCTCTGGTTTTCATTCTGTGAGCTGACTTACTAGGATCCATGTATTTATGATTCATCTGGAGTGTTGTTGGTCTTGCAACATTGGCGCAAACCAGGCCAGGCTAGATGGGTGCCACTCCTGGATACTAAACAACTTGACCGCGTTGCGTCTGGTAAGAAACAAGAAACTTATTGGCCCGTTGCAGTGGCCGATGATGCTTTCCACTGCATCATCTTGAAAGGAGGGGACCGATACCCGTACTTCCCTCGGCCACTGCTCACACAATTCGAGTTTAACATACCCATTTCATCAACGCGCAAGGCGCCTGCGAACGATGAAGACGGCGACGCTGATATGGACGGATCCACGGGCCGAGATGCCAGCCGCAAACTTCAAGAATCATACGTCAGAACAAGCCTCGAATCCAGCCTGTTGGAAGACTGTATCGAGGCTGAAGAAGCCACGTCGCTGCAAAGCACAGAACAAAGAAGGAAGGATATTGAAGTTGATAAGATCATCCTGCAGATGCTGGCGGTCGAATGCCGGGAAGGGGAGGAGAAAGGCATGAAAGCTTATGAGCTTGTTACTCTGCTAGGGGATCGGACAGGGAAGATGTTGGAGGCTGCGAGTAAGATTGCACAGAGATATGATCGATCCATCCTGGACGAACGGATCAGGAAGCTGGCTGAGAAACGGCTTATGGGCGAGGATGACAATGACGATCTTGCATGATGTGTTTGCGGCTTCCAATCTTTCAGCGTAGATTGTCATTAGATTCTGGAGGCATATACATGGATTGAATTGCCATTTGCATAGACATATTGCTATCTATATCGTTGTATTGCTGGGCGGACGTCATCTGTCTCGATCTTGGCGTCTTGAAAGTTTCTCACCAGCTGGAAGGCGACTCTGAGCTCTGTATCGACACGGACGGGAGCACACTCTCCCTTGCAGCACTCAAGCCAATTCATGGAGTGGAATGCCCGTGTTTTAGCTGCCCATACGCTCAAAGCACCGTGACTTTCCTGCCCTTGCACAATGCCAAAGCTCCTCATCGGACCATCAGCCATCTCAGCGCCCCCCAGAGTTTCCACAGCCAGTCTTCTGCGGCGCTATTCATCCTCGACAATCCCTGCAGCTCCGTCTCCTTTGCAGCGGGCGCAAAGCCAGGACACGACCCCGCCATATCCGTCGATATCGCAGCGTTCCGTAGCCCGTCTGCGGCGTGAGCAAGCGCCTAGGTCGGAGCTATGGTTTACCTCCTCACGACCGGCGTTAATATCCCGCAGCGATGCGAGAGCTTTGAATGGACGAGATGAACGTGTTGAAGGCCACAAGCCGGTTGATGAGAGGATACTTAAGCTGGGGAAGAGTGAGTGGTGATCAGACTGTCGCAAGCCTGGCGTAACAAAGATTCCCGAAAGATCGCTAACTCCTCAGTCTTTTAGCTCTTCGAATACTCACTACTCACCTCCCTACTTTACTTGTTAACCCGGTTCCGCAGGAAATTCTTTCTCCGAATATCACGCTCCACCTCTTCCCGTCCACGCATCCCCATCTGCCCACCGTCAAGGGCAGAGTGGCGTATAGAGCGGCGCTCTGGACAGCTCCGGTGGCATGGGGAAGTGTTCCGATTGTTGGGAACGTGCGACTACAGATAATGAGCGAGCGCATGGTTCGCGGCGGCGTCATGAGTGATTTCAACAGTGAAGACTCCAACGGGGATGAGAAGCTGGTTGTGCGCTGGGTAACTGAAGGCGGCACGCCAAACCCCTCATCCGGGTCGGGTAAGAGAGTTGGGACAGGGGACTATGCATCGAGCGGGTCTAGCGGCGGGATCAAAGGAGCAGGCAACAGTGCAGCGTCAGCATCCTCCGCGTCGAATGGAACGAATAGGGGCTTAAGCGCATTGCTTGGTGGCGACGCGCCAATATTCAAGCTAGGAAAGGAAGAGCAGTTTACGGGGTTGTTTATATTCTCGTTTGACGAAGAAGGCCGGGTTTCCTCGCATACTATTGAGCATGCGGATGAGAATTCCGGATGGGATCGAACTGCCAAAGTGGTTACCCTGACGGACTGGCTGCTTGGGAAAGCGAGATGGGGCTCAAGAGAGCCGTCGAATCCTGCGCCAGCGCTTGCGGTGGGATCTCGAGCGGGTGAATGCGATCAGTTGAGGTTTAGGGCAGCTGGGTCAGGGCTCTCTGATGACCGGGTTCCTAGTGAGTGCGCATTGTGTGAGGACAAGAGATGCTGGTCGACCTGAAGCTGTCCCCTAAAGTGCAAGCGATCTCTTTTTGCAGACACGATATTCTTAGGTTTTGTGATTGTGGAGTTTATCTTGGAGGAAGAACAATTGTAACAACATTTGCGGCGGTTAAATTTGATGGTTATCAAGGCGTGGCTCCTCTCTCCTCCGTCTTTTCTTTGACTCTAGTCTTAGAGGCAGAAAAAGGAAATGTTGATACTCTGGATAGTTATTTATACAAATTTGATATCCTCTAGGTAAGAGTTGAAAAAGCCAAAGATACCAAGACAGTTACCCGGGGTAGTCTATACGGTTATGAAGAACACACTGAAAAAAAGGCCTTTTGAGCACAGTTTTGCTATTCTAGTAAGGGTATTGTTGCCCAACAGTGGGCGCGAACTTCTCTATGTATGGATAAACACAAGCACCGGAATTCCTCTATTCACTCCAGAATCAAGCCAAATAGACAGAGCAGATTATGCCAACCTAGAACCAACTTACACCATATGTGCCCCTTCGAAATGCTATATTTGATGGTCATACAACCCGAGAAATATCACTTTTTGGCCACTTTCGGGCGCACCGGCGACCTCAATGCCCCAAACACGATCGCGCAAACACCCATCATGGCCGCACAGCCAACATTATATGCGACCTCCCTACCGCCCCACCAAAACAGGGTGCAGAATAGTATAGGCCCCGTCGCTCTTCCCGCCTGTCCCCAACTCCTCAGCCGGCCCAAGAACACCCCTCTCTCGCCCTCACCGGCCTCGAGGCTACCCAGGCTATTCAGCCCAGTGACCACCGTGGCGCTGGTCACAGCCAGCAAGCAACTGGCGGCGTACAGCCCGGAAAGAGTAGATATACGCGCCAGGAAGAAAAAGGAAAGCGTGCATGCTAGCACGCCAATGCGGATGGTGAGCAGGGGTGGGAGGCGGCGGATTATTGAGCCTTGGAGGATAGAGGAGAGGAGGCCCATGACGGAAAGGAGGCGGCCGTTTAGGGCCGAGGGGCTTGTGGTTGAGTGAGAGGGCGAGATTTGGGAGTAGAGTGTTGCGGTGAGGAAGGGTAGAGAGTATTCGAGGCCGGAGAAAGGGAGGAGGAAGAGAAAGTGCGTTATGTTAAGGAGGGATGGGTTGTTTGTGTGCTTTCGGGGTGGACTTGACGCTGGCTTTTTGTCGTCTTCCTGGGGTTGCTCGGAAACCTGTGCTGCCGTCCGTTTCTCCGTAGAGGGCTGGTCCTCCGCCAACCTCGAATACCGTGGATGCGTTTCTGGCAAGTAGACATAAATATAAACCGTCTCTATCAGGATCAGGAGAAGCGAACATCCCGCCGCAACACCAAACGGATTCTCCGCGACCCCCGTAACATTCGCCAACGCCGCCCCAATTGCCGGCCCAAACGTAAAGGCGATGCTGAAGCAAGCTCCAACCAGCGCCATCGTGCCCCCCCTCTGACTCTCATCACTGATATCCGTAGCAATCGCATTCGCAATCTGCACATTTCCCTCACTCAGCCCACCGACGATTCGACTCCCGAGAAACGTCCTGAAATCCGTCGCGGCGACCCACAAAGCAACGCTGGCGATATTACCCATCATCGACCAGAGCAGAGCGGTCCGGCGCCCTTTCTTGTCAGAAATGTACCCGATAAACGGTGCTGCGATGGCTTGAAGGAAGGAAAAGAGAGAGCCGAGAGCTCCGCCCAGGAGGACCACGTCATACTTGGAATCGATGGGCCTCGCAAAGGCATTCTTGTAGGCGTTTAGGTAGTGAAGGATCCGGTTCAGGAGAGACGTGGGCGAAGGATCGCGTTGGAGGTAGAAGCTGATGAGGGAGGGATAGAGAGGCAGGATGAAGGTGAAGGATATCTTTCAACCTAGTTAGCACGACGACTTGGGAAAGGTAAAAGGGCTGTTCCGAAACTTACCAGGTCTAGAAGAAGAGAGACAAATAGCACTTTCAGAATGCGCTTCCGCTGTGGCGAGGATATGGTCGTGGTCGCCATTATGCTCGAAATGAGAGAATCCAGAAGAACTCGTGCTTTAGTCGCATTGCACGCAGAGCTCGCCCGGCTGAAAGGGAAACTGATTGCCTTTATAAGTTACAAAGCTGGACGGCGTTTGTTGGAGTTTCGAAGCTCTTCTGAGACTGAGACAGCCCCAGCGGTTCGAAACGTCAGCTCCTGAGCTCGTCCGTGAGGATCAGCGGCTGACCTGTTAGGCCCAACAGGCACAGCCGGCGAAACGCCACAAGCCAGATATTACAGATATTCAGCTTCTAACAAATGCCTACGGTTTGAGAATCATGATGCCTGAATAATTCACATTGACTAACCAGGCTACTCCCAGTGCCATTGCCATGGATGCACCGCGATGCAAAGTACCCAGTAACTACCTCCTTCGCCCCATGCCATATCCGCCCCGATTGCTAGGTCATTTAAAATACATTTAGAGCGGGAGAAGAGAAAGCTTTGTCACGAAGAAAAAAAAGCCAATCCAAATCCCTCGATGAGAGGAAAAAGGCGAGAAAATCTTTAGGAAATAGGGAATAGGAATAAGGCAGAGCAGAACTGAATGCACGCTAAATGGTCATAAAAGCCCTTTTAATTCCCGTGTAATTTTGCTTTTGCAAATGCGAATTCAGATGGTTGCATTGATTTGTGGTCATGCGAGATCGAAGTATTAAAGAGCGAGCAAGAGGCTGTAGGGATGGGGCGATGGAGATAATAGTCGAATAAAATGCAATCGCAAGGCCATAGAAGCAGAGCAACAGCTAGAAGGGGCGCATGGAGGACAATATTCGTAACCAGGCAGATATCGGAATCGTCACTTCACGAGCAGCTAAATTGTTCGATTCCTCACTCGTATCAGTTTGGCGGAATCACCTTGCTTCTACTGCGCGGGTGTAGCTTCGCCTCCTGGGTGATGGAACGATCCACGGCCCCGGCCACCTCTAAACTCCCCGCGACCACGGCCACGGCCACGGAAATCGCCACGGTCTCCACGGAATTGTCCTCCTCGACCGCGATGGGGATTCGCGCCACGGTTACCGCGGAAGGAGCCTCTGCCTCGCCCGCTGTTCTGTCTAGTATGGTGGAAGACACGCTCAAACCCATCACCTTGACGCGGTCCTTCGGCAGGAGTAGCTTGTGTCACTGGGACATCATCAGCCCAACGATTTGTCGAATCAAGGGGAGGGCGCGGACCTTCTTGTGTTGAAGCCGGAATTTCAGCGGCCTTTTCGGCCTCAGCATTCACCCATTGTTCAGTAACTTGGGTTTTAGTCAGATCAGGCTGGGGATCCCAAGCAGCTTGTGCCATAGGATTAGCAGAACCATCGGTCACAACAGTTTGGGCCGGGACCGTCTCTGCCGGGTGAGAAGTAGGAGGTGCGAAGCCGTTGGTTGTCGAAGCTTGTTCCGCTAGGGATTGGTCGCGCAATTCCGTCATTCCAGCATTGGTTATGGTCGGGTCACTGGCTGGCAAAGTCTCGGCTGTAGGTGTTGACTCTGCGGGTTGCTGGGCCTCCTCGGTCCACGTTTCTGAGGGAGGCATGTAGTCCAATGAAGCTTGTTTAACTCTGGAGTCTAAACGGTTTGTTAGCATATCACATTCAGTATGGTTGGACTTCCTGGAGATCACTCACATGCAACCTCTAGTAGGTCGCCTTCAACACTAGGGACCTTCTCATCTGCGCCATTGATCAACTTCGTCATTGCGTCCACTGCTTCTTCGCTACCGCCGTAGACCTGGAATAATGAACCTTCGAAGGCACGACTATCGTTTGAAGTTTCATCTCCGCTGCGTCTCATTGCGGCAGCGGCTCGTAAGAATTTACTGAGCACCAACAAACGCTCTTTAAAGTCTTGTTCCGCCGCTTGCATGGTTTCGGCAACAATACTCTGCTTGATACTCTCCAGTTCCTCTTTGTGGGCCTTATCGAGCTCGTCCTTTTGCTTCGCGAGGCGATCATCGTAATAAGCGCCATACTGTTTGAACTGAAGGAGCTGTTCTTCAATGGATGCAACGGTTTCTTGGAGGCCGGGTTTCTTCAAAATTTGCGCCTTTTGGTCTGCATTGATTTTCTTGGCTGCCACGAGGTCGTCGAGGGACTTTCCAGGGTTTTCAGCAACGATTGCGTCCACCTTGGCTGTAGCATTCTAAGGAGAAGCGAAAACTAGTCAGCTTCCAAAGAGTTAAGACGGGCTTGGAGATGTGCGCCATACCAGTTTCTTAGTCGCGTTTCTCAAGCTCCTACAAAATAAATAAGAATGAGTAACGCGTAAACTCCCAGCCAAATCAATTGAATGGGTCTAAAACGGGACAGGGGCATACTTTTGAAGTTCTTTAACAAAGGGGAATTCGTAGGAGGCACCGTTGGCGGTAGGTTCGGCGGTAGAGGTTGATTCCTGAGGTGCAGGGGTAGAGGGGGCAGCGGGAGCCTCAGTCTTGCCACGCTTCTTTTTGGAGCCCTTGGGAATCGGCTGGCGGTGCATTGCTAACAGCTGCAGCAGACATGGCTGGGAGGTCGCGAGGTGGGTTGTGTCGTGTGAGGTGGGATCGATTGGAGAAACCGTCTGGTCAAAGAGAAAAGCGGTACACGCGAGGCGGATCGCAAATAAATATGCTCAGGAAGACTTCTGAGATGCAAGAGTGAAATGTTTTAAATGCTCACGAAGGTAGAAACAAGTTGGTGGTGGGAAGGGAATGGACTGGTCAAGGTGGTTGTTTGGTTTTGAGGCGAGAGGTTTGTGGAGTGGTCAAGGTGCAGGAAAACGGCGCATCGCCAGCACAGCTCGACGGCAGTTGGCGCGTATTTTGCATCTATCTACACCCTGAAAATGGACACGTTGGACATCTAGCATTCATGAATAACTAATTGAGCCTTTACGAGGGAATACAAAACAACATCGGCAACCATTGCTCTCTGAGGGTATCATACAAATCCGTTATACTCGCTTTGCTATTGTAATCCGCACTCCAAAAACGCCAATTCCGTCTTATCCATCCTCTCGTTCGTTTCTCATCCCTTGAATTTCCGTAACGTGCCCTAGAAGCAAGGTAGGCTTAGTACCCAGGCGCAGTAAAATCTCCCGGACGGGACGCCTGAACGGCATACCTCGGTGACCCGTCGAATGTTTTTCGCAGATATATTTTTCTCCCCCGCTTTCTTCGATCGAATGGAAGCTTCTCGCATCAGTCTTCAACCGGAGAGTACTGTCAGAATCTCACTCGGCCATGAAGTGCAGTATGAGATAGGGGCATCCAAGAGAGAACGGCATCACTCACTCTTGCATGAAGAGCATGTAGTCTAGGAATATCTGCACCCCCAAGACCGTTCGATTAGCTAGCGAGCTCCGATGTACTAGAAACACAAGGGGTCGGAAGACTTGCCAGAATGTCTGCGTTTTTGCTCAGGCTCTTCCGCGTGTGCGCCTTGACAATTCGCTTGACTGTGGCGCGAGGATACAGCTTGGGCGTGACCACCATGTTTGCGAATGAAGCTATCACCGGAAAGCAAGCTGCAGCTGCATCGCCGGCCATCGCAGCGACATCTTTTGCCTGGTTGACGGGGGAGCTGCTGCTTGTTTGCTCTGTTTGGATGCAAGACAAAGCACTCAAACATGCCAAGGAATAGAGTACGATGATGTAATTACGCTAAGCAGAGGCTAACTACACGCTAGTCTAGAAAAGGGAAGGCGCAACGACATCCTTGGATAACGTGAGCAGACGTGGGATTGTGATTGGCTGGGCCCTCGAGACAGCTTCCTGAGAGGAGAAATCGGTGGTGATGCTCCGCAACGATTGATCTTCTCTGCAAGCCTTACAGGGCTCGGTGTTGCTCTCGTTGCTTCTTTGATATAAGACTCCCTGCCAGTGGAGACGACGACAGGCCTCCTGCTCAACCTCAGCGCCTTAAGACGTTGTCATTCGCCATCAATTGACCGAGTCGTGCGAACGCCTCCCCGAACAGCACACCAGGACTCAAGCTGAGCACGGCAAACCCACCATGCGTTTCGGAAAGACACTCAAGACGTCAATTTATGCGCCATGGAAGGAACATTATATCGAGTACCATAAGTTGAAGCGGTTGCTGCGAGAACACGAGGCGAAGGTTCAAGGAGACCAAGCCCAATGGACTGAGGAGGACGAGGAGAATTTCGTCCAAGAGCTGGTAAATGTCCAGCTTGATAAAGTCAATGAGTTTCAAGGCAAACGTATAAGGAGCTTCGGGACCGGACGTCAGAATGCGAGGCAAAATTGGAGCCGCTGACTCTTGACGCCGACGTTAGCCACATTGGCGAAGAAGAGAAGGAAACCATTGCACGGGAGGCCCTGGAGAAGCTGGATGGGATCACTAAGGAGCTGAGCGAGCTCGAAAAGTTTAGCCGCATCAACTTCACGGGCTTCTTGAAAGCTGCCAAGAAACATGATCGAAAGAGAGGTGCACGGTACAAGGTCAGACCGTTGCTCCAGGTGCGGTTGTCCCAGCTGCCCTTCAATTCAGAGGATTACTCCCCGCTCCTATACCGTCTATCCGCAATGTATTCGTTTGTTCGCCAGATCTTGGATTTTAGCCCTAGTTTTGTGAAAGATATGCCTAGTGTCGACGTTCGCCTTGGCCACGATGTCTACACCTCCCACAAGTTCTGGGTTCATGCCGACAACATTATGGAAGTGAAAACCTATATCCTTCGCCGCCTGCCGGTCTTGTTGTATAATCCGAATGCGTCAAAGGACCTGGACCTGGGACAAGGCGACCCAACCATCACTTCCCTCTATTTTGACAATCCTAGATTCGACTTGTATACCCAGAAAATCGAGAGGTCAACAGGTGCTGGCTCCCTGCGGCTTCGCTGGACCGGAAACCTGAACGATAAACCAGAGATATTCCTGGAAAAGAAGGTCATGGGCGAAGGAGGAAGCAGCCGTGAAGTCAGAATCAGTCTTAAGCAAAAGCGCATTCAGTCATTTCTCCAGGGGAATTATAAAATGGATAAGATTGTCGAAAGGATGAAACGACAGGAAAATGCGGATCAGAACCGCATAGATACCCTGAAGAGTGATATCGAGGAGATTCAGGGTTTCATCCGGGATAACCAGCTCCAACCGATGGTTCGAGCAAACTATACGCGAACAGCGTTTCAAATTCCGGGTGATGACCGTATTCGGATATCTTTAGATACAGATCTGGCTTTGATACGGGAAGATGCGTTGGATCCAGAACGGCCCTGTCGAAATCCAGATGACTGGCACCGCCGTGACATCGACGACAATGAAATGGAATTCCCGTTCTCCGATATCAAGGCGGCAGAGATCTCCAGGTTCCCGCATGCTCTTTTGGAGATCAAAGTGAGAGGAGACAACCAACGCAGAGCCAGCGCCGAATGGCTTGCAGACCTTATGTCATCCCACCTGGTTAAGGATGCTCCCCGATTCTCTAAATTCGTACATGGAATCGCTCAGCTCTTTGAAGATCAGATCAATAGCTTCCCATTCTGGCTCAGCGAACTGGATACCGACATCCGTCGTGACCCACAGACAGCCTTTGAGGAAGAACAGGAAAAAATAGCAAAACGTGCCGAAGACCAAATCGCCATAGGAAGTTTCTTGGGGAACAAGACTCCGATCATCCAGCCTGTCGTAGGGTCGCCGATTAACAACAGGTTTCCCTCTGAAGAATCTTCAGAACGTACGAGACCTCGCACTCTCCAAAAGCTGGAACCAAGGCCTATTCCGGCTGATGTCCCGGAAGAGGAAGAAGAACAAGGAGAGGTTGAAACAAGGGCCCAACCAGGAGAACCGCCTGCCCAACAATCGGCGAGTGCGCCTAGTTCTGTAGCTGATGGCCTTCGTTCAAAGCTCCCCCGGTTCTCTATGTCCCGATACGCCCGCGCTCATCGACAGCGCGCGGCTCCGCTCCCACCAGGAGTCTACGCACCTGGGACATGGATCAAGGACGCCGGACCCGTCCGTGTCGAAGCCAAAGTCTGGCTCGCAAATCAACGCACCTTTATCAAGTGGCAACACATCTCCATCCTCCTCGCGGCACTGTCACTCGGACTCTATAACGCCGCCGGCCCAGCGAACCCCATAGCACGGGCATTAGCGATTGTGTATACATGTTTTGCAGTATTTGCCGGCGGGTGGGGGTGGTCTATGTATATCTGGCGGTCAAAGTTGATCCGGCAGAGAAGCGGACGAGATTTCGATAACATCGCGGGCCCTCTGATAGTTTGTCTTGGACTAGCCGTAGCGCTGGTGTTGAATTTTTGGTTCAAGGTGAGTCTCTCTGGCGGCAGTCATGGCGCTTTATATCCGCTCGACCGCTTCCGTATCATTTCCCCTTGCGCACATACGTACGATGTGTTGCACAGATAGATACTTCCCTTTCTAGCCTCCCACCACCCAATGATTTCCTGTGTCACGCGACACAAGACAGTCAATGCCGATGGGATATCTCGGTAACCAATAACACATCTGGTCGCGAGCACGTTTGCCCCCTTCTGCATGAACCCCATTTGATTATCTGATTTTGATATCGAGTGGCACAAGACGCTAATCAAAACCGCCATATAAAATTTACAGTATGCCACGGTCTGGAATGCAAGGCCAAGTCCCAGTCCTCCGCCCGTCCAAGGTGCCAGCTCGGGACTTGCAACAGGTGTCTCGCTTGGAACCGGTGTTGCGGACGAGCCGGTATTGCAATTTGTGAAGCAAGTTGGAAATCCTTGATGCGGAGTTGGGCGTGATGTTGTACTGGCTTACTTTGGATGCCCGCCCATAAGACGGTGCAGCAAGGTCTACTCGCTTTTTCTTCCTAAATTACGTGTGTATGCTAATCTGGATGAAAATGAAAATCATGATAAGTGGATGGTAAACTATCTAGAGGCTTCAAGCGATTTTCACCTAGGTATCTCGCATGGGGACAAAAGAAATGCAGATTCAGAAGAATGAGCCAAACAAGAAAAACAAAACGCATAGCTTATACTCCTACAATAATCCCATTATTAAGCATTAATACTTCACGCCCGCTCAACACAGAAACCCAACACAGTCAGATCACAATGCAAAATGAACCCATGCTAATCAGTCCAAATCAAAACGCCCTCCGTTTCCCAGCATCCCAAACCGCGTCCCCTCCCAGAATTCATCCAGTATTTGACCACCTGCATCGCATAATTCATAGCAGTTTTGCCAAAAAGCTTACCATAAAACCCAACACCGGGAACCATGCGGGGTGGGAGGGGGGGATAAAACAGAGAACGAGAATAGGAAACAGGATATCAAGTAAAGGGTATGATGGTATGGGAACAAATCGAAAAGGGGGATAAAGCTGGGCGAGGGTCAATAAACCCAAAGAAAGGCGGGAGTGAAAGTGATACAGACAGTTTGACGGGGTGATTTACTAGAAGAAAAAAACAGACAGGAAAGATAACTGAGGTGAGAATACAAGGCCGACATGGAAAACTGAGTAGAGGCTAACAAGACAGAAGCAGGAAGGAAGAGGACATGATACAAGCACCGTACTCCATGCGCTCACAGGGTTGGATATTGAATTCCTCAGGAACAGAGAGTCCAAACAGGCAATGAAATCTGGCATTAAAACGTATTTTCTGAGTGGTGAAACGGCAAGGGAGAAGAAGACCGCCAAAGGACGAACATTATGGGCAAGTAAGACCCCGCGCGAAAGAAAGGGCGAACGCAGAAGGGGAGAAGCCAGGACTAGTAGTAGGTCTCGTGCTTCAGTTCGTAGTTGGGAACCTCATCGAACCACTGTTTCTCGGGGTTGTATCGGAAGACCTTAAACTCAACGCCATACGGTTTCTTTAAGGGTAATGCGATGTTAGTAGCTGCATCAGACCTCTTAAGCACATTCTACCGGGGAGGGTATGAGAGATAAAGGGGACTTACTGGTTCGAGAGCATAGATGGTCCCAAGAGGCACATCCAAGTCGGTTAGAATCTCCCTTTTGAGTCCGAGGAAGTACGCCAGCAGGACCCTTGCAACAGACCGGTGGCCAACGAGCAAAACGTGATCGGTCATGCGTTCGACTTCGATGATGACGGCACGGAGACGGTTGATGACATCGAGATATCCTTCTCCCCCAACGCCTGGGTACCGATAGTGCAGCTTCTGTCGACGACGTGAGGCGTAATCTTCCGGGTATTTCTCACGGATCTCTTCGTACGTCATGCCTTCCATCTTACCGGCATTTAGTTCGTTCAACATGCGCATTTCTTTGACATCGTATTTGTCTTCGTTGAAGAACTGCACCGTCTGGATGGAGCGCTGCATCATCGACGACCACACGCAAAAGTTGAGGTCGTTCTCGACAATTGAGAGAGAACGCTGGGGGTTGGGGGGCGTGCTGTCACCAGGCCGGGGTGGGAAATGGCTTGATTTTGCCTTGGTCTTCCTGGCAAGCTCCCACATGCCGCGCCTAAAGTCAATGAATGCTGCGAGGGCACGAGCATAACGGACTCCGTGTTCACTCAGTTGCGAGTCACCTCCAATCCTGCCAGAGACATCATCAAGACTCTCACCGGTGCGAGAAATCCAAATCTGACGAGGAGACAAATTGAAGTTGAGGAGGTAGTAAACAACCTGAGAGGACAGAAAGCCGTTCACCTCGAATGCGACTACCTTTCGGCAAACATCAATGGTCTTGACAAACGGGATATCATTCGCCTCTTCATATTCGCCGAGAGGGACGTATGACTTTTCGTACAAGACCACACGTTTCTTGAAATCTGCCAGGGCGACAGCAGGATCCATACCCTTGTAGTCGGGACCAGAGAGCTTCAACAACATGTTGGACTCTAAACAAGTTCTGGGTCCAGACACTGGCTCTCAACGAACAAGACGTTTCAAATCGGGACCGGCTCGTGCACGGATGTGGTCCATGATGGCCCTTGCGACGCTTGATAGTGCTGTTCGTCGCATCGAGGATACCAACACTGCCTCCCTGCTCTAGGATGTAGTCTAACAACTCATCCAAGGTTTCCAAAGCAACCCTTTCTCTGAGCTGTAACGCACGCTGATTTTCCGGGTCGAAAAATTGTGCCGATTGGTCCATGGCTTCATGTGCCTCGTTGTCAGGCTTTTCCTGTTCCTGAGTCTCGCCATTGCGAGTGGCACTCTCCGAACTCGAAGCACTCGGGCTCTTGTCAGCAGGTGTGCGAGAGCCAACGTCGGTCATTGGGCTAGCGGCGTGCATTTCAAGACGAGGATCTTCCAAAGGGCGGCCATTAACCAAGATTCTGGCAGGTGGGACGGCAAGGGTAGCGTCAACTTGTTTCTGGACCTCCTCGCTCTCTGAGGGCTTCCTTTCGGGGACTATGTCGCGAAGGGAATCCCTCAGCTCTTCCTCGACGGTAGCTGGCTCCTGTTCAGGCTCCTTGTCGGTCTCGTCGTCTGGCTTCACTTCCGGCTCCTTTTCGGGCTCGTGCAGTTCAGGGACCTTGGCCCTGTGTTTATCAGGGCCTTCACCACTAGCAGCGACGCGTCGACGGGCTCCCACATTGAAAATCCTTGTGTCATGCTGTAGCCAGTTCAAATAGCGTGACATCTTCTTGGTGATATAGCTCTTGCCTCTGGCGGGCAAGCCAACCATGACGATGACGAGTTTGGAGCCGACATCACGCTGAGCGATACGGCCGTCGGGAGAGACCTTGGATTTGGTGAGACCGGGTATGTCGAGAGTTGTCGCACGGGTTTTTCCAGGTGTCGAGGTGCCAGAGGTGTGAGATCTCGGGTTGCTATTCAAAACGGTGTTAATTTAGTTGATCACACGAACATGCAAAGCTCAGGTTTCTCTCCAACAGAAGAAATGAGGTTAAAAGGAAACAGCTCCACATAGACAAACGCTCAGGGCGAACCCTTGCAAAAAGTAACGTAATAGCCAGACACAAGCCAATTTAGCAGGGACAAGGAACCGCCTCTCAAGCTCCAGAATTAGAGGAGTGAAAGGGGGCAACGGCGACTTACATCTGGGGCGATGGCGGCGCGGTAGATATCGGGGTGTCCGTCAAAGCGCTCCCGACACCAGCGTGGGTCGAGGCGTTTTGGGAACCGCCCGAAAGGCATTCATTGCCAAGAGCTCTTCCAACCACAGTTTTCGGTGGAGGCATCAAAGAATCAGAGTCGTCTTGTTCCTGATCAGAGAGCGGAGGGCTGATGGAAGGGGCTGAATCGCTGCCAGTGCTGCTGGTGTTGGCGTTGTCGGTGGAGGGAGTGCTCTGCTCAACCATGCTTGTAGTTGCATTGATGAAGTTGGTCAAGACAACCGTCCTGGCCAGAACAGAGTACTGTGACATTTCCGGGGAATCCGGTGGGTTTTCTGCTGTTTGGTTCTCTTGTGCACACGCACCTATCACGCGCCGGGGATGAGAAGTCAGCCCTATCAGACCGAAACTAGGTGTGAGATTTACATCGTGAGATGCAGAGCTGGAGGTGTTAACGACGACTTACGGGGATGAGAAGATAGAGTGCTTCCGGAAGAGGTCCGGATGTTGTTTATCTCTGTTAAGCTTGGGAGACTGGGGAATAACTATGAGCTGAGATGTTGATATCCTGTGCAAATGTACACAAAGAGTAAACAAAGGGGCTGGAGTACTAAAAGAGTAGTATAAAAAACGAAGAGGAAGAAAAAAGAAAGAAGAAGACGATGGGAAAAGCAGAAGAGAAAAAAGAAAAAGAGTGAAGAGAAGAGAAGAGAAAGAAAAAGTCCCTGGGGGGATTTTAAAAGCAGTTGATCTGTGTGGGAAGACGCGGGTTTGTGTTGATATCAAGCGTCATCTCACTTTGGCGGCTTCCCTCTACCAGGGGCTGATCAGAGGCGTATCTCGCTTCTGGTGTAGGGAGCAGGCCCGGGACTGCGAAGGCAGAAGCGGTTCTTGAACCATGGCTTCACGGGAGCTGCCTTGGTGACTACGGCTGCGTTATATAAAGTTGAATACTCTTTACAGGGTGATTCCTCAGGACGATGAAGCTGAAGGCACGATAGCAGACAATTCACTAAACCATAGGTGATTCCGGCAGGTTGAAGAGCCTCGTTACACTTGGAGAGGTGTGTCGCCTGATAAGCGAAAGATCATGTTCTGGTCTGAAAGTGACGGATTGGGTTGAACAAGTGAGATATACGCCTACAAGCCAAGGTCTCTTAGGGCTCCGTCATATAAACCGGGCACACTTTGCTGTATTATCCAAAACTAAGCGAGGCCTTCCACCTCGTAGACTATACCTGGCCTAGACACCATATCAATGCACAGTATTGTGCGCACAACCCGTGGTCGCGCGGGTAGCTGCTTTCATCACACTCGTCCCCATCGTTGACCCGACGCGTAGAGAGTCCTAAAGGCCATCTCGCAGCAATCTCGCTGCCGCCATTGGACCCCCCAAGTTGACCCCCATTCTTGTCGTTGGCCGTCCCTTATATTCTTGGCCCGGTCGCGTCCGCAGCCTCTCCCTGGCACGTTTGATGCAGCTCCGTAGGCGGAGACAGCAGTGCCGGAAGCTGCACACAATTACGCCTATTTCGCCTCGCATAGGACAATAAACCCTTAACCGAAAGATAAACGCGTTTTGGGACCGCGCAGAGCCTTCGCCCCGCAGCCCGCCAGCAACAAGTCTCAAATCTTCAGCGTCAACGTCAACGCCATCAAGCACGCGTATGCCGCAACGCTCAACGCCGTCAACACCACCACCACATTCCCGCTCGTCCTGAACTTCTTCCGATTCACGCCATCCTCATCGACTTCCTGGAAGAACGACTTGTTCCCCTGCTGGCGCCGGAACAGCCCGACGACCATCACCGCCGCTCCATAGACGGCAAACAGCGCGCCGATACTGTAGAACTCGGTGGTGAAGATCTTGAGCACGACCAGTGCAAAGGAGAACTGCGAGAGAGAGGTGCGGATGTATGCTCCCTCAAAGGTACGCTGGGCAGCGCGGACTTCGATCATCTCCTGCTCCGTGAGAATGACGGAGCGGGCGCGGTGGAGCCGCAGGCGGTATCGTTCGCCGGCGCGACGCTGGGTGGGAAAAGAGCCCGTTAGCCTGCTTGCATTATAGCTGGAGATAAAAAGGGCAACGCTGCGAGGATGTTGGTTGCGATGGGGGGAATACGATGGCGGCGGTCAGGGTGTTCTAGCGTAGTTTGACCCCCCGGACTTACCTCGAACATGATCGCCCAGGCAGAGAAGTCAAAACGGATCAAGCGTGTTTAAAGGCTGCAGGGATAGAAACCTCCGTCTGTGTTGCTCCCGGAGAGAAGAAGGGGAATCGCCCATAGCATCCGGTCGTGGAGAAGAAGAGTATTCTTCCTGTGAAAGAAAAACCGCAGATTGTGGCTTAACTCTTCGAAAAAGCAACGGAAAAGTTTCTGCTCACTAGTTAACTTGTGACTAGCGAGAGTGTGCCGCCCGTCAGCTGAGCGCATCAACCTTACCGGCGCTTCTGACATCATTGCAGCGATTCTACTTCTTGTGCTTGTGCTTCATCCTCGTCGTCAGGATGATATTCCCTAGGCTTGCTGCACGGCACCAATGCATTGGCAGTGATTTCTCTCGATACTACTGAGTACTACTGGGTCACACATCATCAAGGATATCACGACAAGCCGGGAAATCGAGTAACTAGTTATATAGAACTAAATGTAAAAATAGATTCGCGGTCAATAGCAGATAGATGTCGCACATAGATTCTCCTCCTACGTATTCTTTCCAGAGTCCTCTGTGTGGAGTTTACTATTCTCGTCCCCTTGATCTGATATCCACCGCGGAATAAAAGGGAACTTCGGCATCTTGACGATTGAGCTTGCTGGCCCACTTCTGCCCTCGCATCCATGATCCCGGCCATGGAATGTGTTCGCTAGTGAGTTCCCCTGGCGTGGAGCAATCCCACTCCCCCCCATAACTACCGAGTGGCCACTCCCGCAGCAGCAAAAGCAGACCGGTTAGAGTTCAAAACCCCGGGCCCAATTCTCGTCCCAATCTTAATGTCGGCCGAAATTGCAGAGCATCCAGCCAGTCAAAACGGTGCGCGATCAAATCATGGCCGATGAAGATGGACCGAGTGGGTGAATCGAGTTCAACTCCACCCCCGCAGTTGATATCGCCGGGTCTCTGGCAATCATCACCTGTTCTTCATCTCTGGGTGAATTGAAATACAAGCAATTGCTCTTTTCATCACTCGAGAATTCGCACTGCCTCATCTGCCTCTCCTCAGTGCCGTTTCCCTCGTTGCAAGGCCGACATCCCGAAAGACTCCCGATCCTGCAGTCCCCCGCGTACACGATTCCCCAGGAAAAAGGAAAATGACAGAAAAGAAAATTCTGGATGCCGCAGAAGGTGCGCTTTGGAATCCCTTCCCATTGGCTCGCAGGATACCGTGGTTACAGATGTTCTCTCATTGTCCGCATGAACGATGGGGCTGACGGGAACTAGTCGCGAAGCACAACACCGCCAACAGCTGCTGGGTGGTGCTCTATGGAAAGGTGTACGATGTGAGTTTCCCGAGCGCTGGAATGCAGTTTTGTCTTCAGATCCCCAGGCTGACTTTACCCACGGGTGACCGATTTCCTCCCTGATCATCCTGGAGGCGCAAACATTATCCTCAACCTAGCCGGGAAAGACGCCACGGAGGAATATGACCCCATCCACCCCAGCGGGACACTGGAAGAGAATCTACAGCCGGAAGCTTGCCTCGGAACGGTTGACCCGGCCACGCTTCACAAATTGACACCGAAGAAAGCCCCAGAGCCCCCGAAGACGACGGAAGGTCGGCTGCCGCTGTCATCGCTTCTGAACCTGGACGATGTCGAGAAGGCGGCCACGAGCCAGATCAGTAGAAAGGCATGGGGATATTACTATTCCGCCGCTGACGATCTCATCTCCAAGAGTTTGAATAATACCGTATATCGCTCCATTCTCCTCCGCCCGAGGGTCTTCATCGATTGCAGAAAATGCGACCTGACCACGACACTTCTCGGGCACAAGCTCTCTTCCCCAGTTTACGTCTCCCCAGCCGCCATGGCCCGTCTCGCCCATCCGGTTGGCGAAGCAGGTATCGCCGCGGCTTGCTCTGAGTTCGGGACAATGCAGATAATCTCCAACAATGCCTCCATGACGCCGGAAGAAATAGTCAAAAACGCAACTCCAGATCAAGTCTTTGGATGGCAGCTGTACGTACAAACAGAGAAGCGCAAAAGTGAAGCAATGCTGGCCCGGATCAAGAAGCTCAAAGCGATCAAGTTCATTTGCCTGACACTTGATGCCCCCGTGCCAACCAAGAGAGAAGACGACGAGCGAACCAAGTATATCCTTAATACCGATGACACATCCGATATGCTCCGAAACGCTGGTGCCAGCTCAATTTCGACACGGGGCGGAGGGATCGGCGAGCAGTTGTTCGGCGGCACCGATGCATCTCTAACGTGGAAAACCACACTTCCGTGGCTGGCAAAACATACCGATCTTCCGATTATCCTCAAGGGTATCCAGACGCATGAAGATGCATACGTAGCGTCCTTGCATGCTCCTCAAGTCAAAGGCATCATCCTCTCAAATCACGGCGGTAGATCCATGGACACGGCGCCTCCCGCGATACATACCTTGCTCGAAATCCGCAAATTCTGCCCCGAAGTTTTTGATAGCCTGGAAGTATGGGTCGATGGTGGCATCAGGCGTGGAACGGACGTTGTCAAGGCCCTGTGTCTAGGTGCAAAGGCCGTGGGAATTGGCAGAGCAGCCCTTTTCGGCCTTGGGGCTGGTGGAACCGACGGCGTTAAGAGAGTATTGCAGAGTAAGTTGTCCGTTGGAATAGCGATGATCCCCATGCCCCGTGCTAATCACCCGGCTCCCAGTCTTGAAGCAAGAGACCAAGACAGCCATGCGCCTGTTAGGGGTAGAAAAGGTCGAAGATCTGGGGATGCAGCATGTTAGTATCTTCGTATCTATATCAAAATTCTGCAAACTCGTACTGATATTCGACTAGGTCAATGCCCGTGCCGTAGAGCGGTTTATCTATGACGGTCCAGCTGGTTTGGATGTTCTCGGCACTCTTCTAAAAGCCAAGATGTGAACTGGGTGGAAGGGTCAAGCGTTTTATATTAGTACCGTCTTCTTTTAGCTGTTTATATTAGCTACCCTGGGCCTCGATGTACATAATTAAATGTATAATTAGTTAGTCGGGCCGAACCTAACCATGGTGGAGATTTTGATATCCCAAACCCGAATGTACGCTCGTCTTTTTTGATACAACAAAAGCGCCTGGTAAAATGACCCAAAACAATTGGAAGCCGCCAGAGCCGCCGACTGCCATATCTCAGCTGCATACCGAATAACACGCAATTACCGTAGATTCGATGCTACTAGCGGTCCTAGAGGCTTAATAGGCCTAAGAATTATCATATGCAGCTATCGAGGGCCATAGGAATTTTTTCGTCAAATATCCAATAACTAGCATATCTTGGAGAGATATCTGTCCTGGATCTGATACGACCAAGACATTCAACGAATTTGTTAGGCTACACGTCCTACCGCGGTGCCGGCGTGATTATACGGACCCAGTGATGGATAACTGCTCAATTCGCCAGTCAGAGGAGCTTTAAAGCATGTACAGGGAGGCCGGAATTGAAGTTGTATTCCTACCACCATATTCATCTGATTACAACCCAGTTGAACATTCATTCCGCGTGTTGAAAACCTGGATCCGAAGGCATAAGGATTTGGCAAAATAGCAGCGAGTTCATTGGCGATTTTGAGCGGCTTCCCGTGGCATGCAGTTGGCAATTCTATGGCTGGAAAGGGATGCTACGGAATTCTATCGAAAATGCCATAGAGGATATTAATATTAACGAATTCAACCTGAATCATATAAGTTTGACCCCAATCACCCGGATATGTAGCCATTGCTGGTGGGAGATCCCATGAAAGAGAGCTGGAGTGCGACAAACTCAAAGACCACCAGCCGGCCAAAGCTTCATCACCGACCTTCCCTGAGCATTCTTATGGGACCAGACAACTAGTTAAACGAAGACAAGCAGCACAGGCATCGTTACAAGCACCCTGCCAATCTCCGACCGACCGTCAGGCCATCCACGGCCTCGCAGCCACAACGTCACGAATCACACCCCACCATCTTCCCTTGTGGAAGCGCTTGATCCAACTCCCGTACACCTCGCGCGCCTCCATCCCGTCAACGCCGTTACCGCGATCCTTCTTTACCTCTCCAATCTATATCCAATATCCGTGGACGCCATTCATGACTTCAATCCCACCTTCAAAGGGTCGCGAGAGCCCCGGGCGCTCTACGTCTCCGACTCAGTCGACCGCGGCTCCCGCTGCCGTTGCTGGAGCAAAGCGAAAGAGGGGTTCGGGGCAGAAGATATATGCTGTGAAGAATGGTTTTCAGCCGGGAATATATCATTCTTGGGATGAGTGTTTTGCTCAGGTGAAGGGCTTCAAGGGAGCGGTTTGTATGTTTTATTTTTTCTTTTCCCGACATGTCACCGGGGTCGTTGCAATTTGAAAAGTTACCTCGATGCTAACGGCAGAGTGACATTTTTAGTTCAATCATTCCTCACGCAAACAGAAGCCAACGCATTCTTGACTGGCACTCCTCTGCCCGCATCAGCGACTTCGGCATCTGGGAATAACAAGTTCTACGGAGTGCAGCGCGGCAGGCAGCCTGGCGTATATACGGATTGGGCCGTGGCACAAGATCAGATTAAGGGTTTCCGTGGGCCGAAGTACCGCAAATTCGCTACGTGGGCGGAAGCAGATGAGTTTGTGCGAGAGGGCCGGGAACCAGGAGATGGGGCTGGCGGCAATGAGTCGTCGAAGAAGGATAAAACGCCTAGTGCGCCGCCGGGCATGATGGCCGAGCCGCTCAGAGATGAAGCGGGGAACGTATATCCTGCAGGAACGGGTCCGTTGCCCCCTGGTGCAGAAGACGGCTTCGATCCGAATGTGTTGCTGAATCCGTCGACTGGGCGTCTAGTGTACAAAACCGCAGAGCAAAAAGCTGCCACAAAATTACAACCTAAACAAAGTACGCTAGGTAATATGTTGAATATATACACGGATGGCAGTGCGTTGGGGAATGGCAAGTTACGGGCAAAAGCGGGTGTTGGGGTATATTTTGGCCCTGGGGATGAAAGGTAATCACTAACTGTCTTCAACTCGATATTTATTAGGGAATGCCGGCTCACGAATTTTATATTCAGAAATGTTTCAGAGCCGCTCAAAGGCAACCGCCAGACTAACCAACGTGCCGAATTAACGGCCATATCCCGGGCACTCGACATCGCACCTCGTCACCGCGACGTTACGATTTACACAGACAGCAAATATTCAATTGACTGTGTTACGGTGTGGTGCATCCGATGGCAACGCAACAAGTGGATGACGGCGGACTCTAAGCCTGTTGAAAATAAAGACCTTATCCAGTCAATCCTGACGAAAATCGAGGAGCGGACGTCGTTGAATGTGAAGACCTTGTTTGAATGGGTAAAGGGGCACAATAAGCACCCGGGAAACGAAGCTGCAGATAGGTTGGCGGTGAGGGGAGCTCGGGTCGGTTTGCAAGCAATCAACGACGGCGTGGGTGAGAACGGTGGAGGGCAGAATGAGGTGAATTCGAATCTCGATGACAATGATCAGATGCAACGTGAGTGAGGTTTTCGATCCTATACTTAATCATCTTTTTTAATTTAATACCCCGATGCATGCTACTTCACCCCTACCCTTTTTCAGGGGATTTTCCCTTGTTGGTTTATATGGCGCCACACCACGGATATCAGCGTTGAGGACTCTGGCATGTTTTCGGGAAGCGGCTCAGAGGTTCGAAATTCTTCTACTAAAGAACTAGGAATATTCAAATATGATACCCTTAAGATATGTCAACCGCGATATGTGTTTTGGTTTAATCTCCTAAAATCGGTAGTGAGTCCACGCAGCCTGCAGTCACGGTGCCCAATTTCATCTCAAGAAGGCTCCATTGCTTGGCCGCGGCGTCTATTTTAGGCAAGTCCATAATACAATATAAGTATCCGCCTTTGGGTACTTATTTCTTTCTCTTTTCCTCTGTGTCATATTTTATCCTAGGTTCAGCTCACCAGTCACTTATTATCATTATTGCTCTCGGCATATACTCTCTAAATACGCTATTTACCTCTTCGCTTTGACAAACGCTTGAATTAAATCGGACCTCTGTATCGCCGTACCTCTGATTCACGAGTCGCTGAAAAACTCAACGCGATCGAGCAAACCTTTTGTGAAGTGAGATGGCTTCCGGAGACGCCGATATTTCCTTCCAGACGAGGGCGAACCTTGAGCTGTTGGCTGAACTGCCATATCGCGAAGAGCTTCGTGGAGTAGCCGGACCGCGAAGAGACGGTTACGAGACACCGAGACCTCAACCGAACCGCGCCGCACTTGAACAGAGGTTGGAATTGGTCAAGGAATTGCATAAGCTGGTGGCGGCAGCTCCTTGGTCGGAGACTCAATCGCGGCTAGATGGGTTAGGACGTCGATGTGAAGTGTCGGAAAAATCCCTTGATGCGCTGGACACAACAGCCAAAGCGCTGGAAGGCAAATTAAGTAGGCTGGAAGAAAGTACTCGGTTGACGTACACCAAACTTCAATTTGATTTGGATCTTACGGCCAGGATCCAACGGAGTATTATCGTGATTTGTTCGAGACTCCTTGATCGCCAGCCTCGGATAGGTCACCCGCCCCGGCGCCAGCAAACCATTTGAGTGATTATGGTTTCGATGTGTAGTTTTGAGGCTCTGATACGAGAGTGTTGACTATCAAGAGGGATATTTTTACTGCTATTCAAGGAGTTGCAACATATTGAGCAGGAAGCATAGTGCCCGTTTGGTTGCTCTTTTTCCGTTTGGAATTAATACATGTACGGAGTACTCTTAATAGACCGTTTCCCTTGTCGTCGCACACCCATCCACCTTATTTGATGCCATGTGAATGCTGTGTACAATATGACGTCATCTCACAACCGCGGTTCAACGGGAAACGAACACACGCAAAAACTAAGCTGGGGCCTGGATATGTGAAGCTCCTTGCAGCTCGATATATCCCATGGCCCTCGCGGCAAGATAATCGATCACACGGACCGCGGAAAGCACAGACAGGAAGGCGCCAAGCCCGTTGCCAAGAGTCAGCTGCCCGGGTGTGGGGCCGGGAGGGGCTCTTCGGGTTCTCGTCCACAAACTTGAACCCGCTCCCTCCCCGCTCGCTGCCTTTTACTCTGACTCCCTCTCCCTCGCTGTTCTCTGTGCAATCTTGTTACCACTTCTGCCCTGTCTCCCTAAAGCGTTTGCGATTCCGTCTGTGCTCTTCTTACTAGTTACAGCCCGTCATTTCCGACCAAGTTGAGCCTTTGAATCCTGCTTCATCCTAGATTTCGTTTCCGCAAAGAAGCCCCGACTCGACCCTCCTCTAAGCATATCATCAGTGGTATCCTTCATCAGTTTTTGTGTTCGGGTGTGGAACATCTCCAAGCGTCCAACCCCGTCCAATGAGCAAGAAACGTTTCTTCCTCTCGCATGCTCGTAGGATGCTCTTGTTGGAATAACACGGATTGAATATTCCTTGCTTCGGAATCTTTTATTAGTTATTATCGCATACTCTTTTCGGGTTCTTGAAAGAAACAAGTTAAATCATCACCCCTCCCGCCGGCTAATAGTAATACGGCCCAGGAGCATCCTTGAGAAACAAACCGTTTGCTCCACTAACATACCTCTTGATCGCATCAAGCAATTCTTGGCTTCCGAGTTTCTGCATTCCGCCCTGGTCCGCCCCGGCCGCCAAGAACGATTTGACAACAAAGGCGGGAACCTTGGTTGCTCGGGATGCCGACTCTCGCGGTCACCAACTTCAACGTTGTTTGCGCAACGCTGGGAGGGTTTATTTCGCTCTTCGGCTTGGTCTCGTACCTCTTCAAAGAGCGCTTTCATCTGTCTGAAGCTCGTAAGGAAATATTCTTGGTAACCATGTATATCTCGCTAGGTACCTGTCTAACGTTTCTGTTTAGTAATTTCCCTTTTGGCTGGCGTCACTTTCTCTCCTCATGGTGCCAATTTTATCAGGCCGCAAGAATATGCCCTGGGATCCGAAGAGGCATTGGAGGCGATAACTCTCTACTTTTCTCGTCTGGTACTTGGGGTACAACTTGTACTGGCTGGAGTCCAGCTTCCAAGCCGCTACCTACTAAAGGAATGGCGGAGCCTCTCCCTCCTGGTTGGACCTGGCATGACGGGAATGTGGCTTTGCACCAGCCTGATTGTATGGGGATTAGTGCCAAACACACCATTCCTCCATGCCCTCGCTGTTGCCGCGTGTGTTACTCCAACAGATCCTGTCTTGTCCAACTCCATCGTGAAGGGTAAATTCGCCGATAAAAACATTCCACGAGCCCTGCAGCGGATCATCATCGCTGAGTCTGGTGCCAATGATGGCCTCGGCTATCCATTCCTGTTCTTTGCGGTATATCTCATCCAATATACAGGGTATGGCGGCCTTGGTCAGTCCGGTGGCGCTCAGAGGGCCATGGGCTTGTGGTTCGGTGAAATTTGGTGTTATACCATTTTGCTGAGCGTGCTCTATGGCATTACCGTCGGCTGGTTAGCCAAGGAACTCTTGCACTGGGCCGAGGAGAGGAAATACGTCGACCGAGAAAGCTTTCTTGTCTTTGCGATTGCTTTGGCGGTGAGTGTTGACTTGAGTCGACTTGGATTCACAAAATAATATCTAATCGGATATCCTAGTTGTTTATCGTTGGTACTTGTGGAATGATTGGAAGTGACGATGTCCTTGCGTGTTTTATCGCTGGAAATGTTTTCACCCTTGAGTAAGTCCACCGTTTCTCGTCCATACTTCTCCCCTTTGCCGCGGGATTAATACAGCTTGACCAAACCAAACAATTGAATAGTGACTGGTTCCGCCTTGAGACCCTGGATGACTCTCTTCAACCCACAATCGACATGTTACTTAATTTAGCCGTCTTCATGTGGTTCGGTGCAGTTTGTCCCTGGTCCACATTTCTATCCAACGACATCATTCCGATCTACCGACTCATCTTTCTGGGAGTCCTTGTTCTCCTTTTCCGCCGGATCCCTGTCGTCTTCGCTATGCACAGGTATATCCCGCAGATTGAGGAATTCCGGCAAGCAGCTTTTGTTGGCTTCTTTGGCCCAGTGGGTGTCAGTGCTATTTTCTATCTGTATGTCAGCTTGGAATATTTGAAGCACCACGTCAAAGTAGATGGCGAAATCCGAGAGGATGCGAAACGACTGGGGGATACCATGTTTGTAGTGGTTTGGTTCATCACCATTTGCAGCATTGTAAGGGCCATCTTCGCATTTCCGTCCTTTTACTTGTTGATTAACAGATACACAGGTTGTCCACGGCCTTTCCATTCCGCTTGGGAAATTGGGCTTCTATCTTCCTCGCACTCTCTCAAACGCCATGAGTACCAGTGCAGATCTCGACCCAGACCCATTTCCCATTCCGTTCCGTGACACTATTTCCGCAGCTGCATCTCGCGTTCGCAATAGAGTATCTTCTAAACAGCGTAGCCGTGTGACCACTCGTGACCGTTCTGAGCCGCCAAGACCTATCGCTTTTCGTATCGGCCGCACCGCTATTCCAAACAATCAATCTGGCACCGCATCACCAGTGCCTATAAATTTCCCGATTTCTCCCGTCGGATCTCCTGCCCCTCCAACGGCTCCGCCGGCATGCTCGCCGCCGCTGTTGGGCATCTCTCTGGCTGCTCGGAAATCGAGTGAAGAAGATCCTAAAGATGGCGTAACCATTGATGGAAATTCAGCGCGGAATACTAATGAGAACGGGTATGGTACTGTTGATCGATCAGCCGGTTCACCGCAGCTTGGCTTGGCCAGTCACAGCAGTGGGGATGTCACAAATGCTGTACAGCTTTAACCTACAGGCGGAAGGCGGAGTGGCATCCTGCGAGGCGCAATATGCGAGGAAGCGTGTAAAGTGTTGTATCTAATGTAAGTAAATAGGGGGTGATGCTGACTGATTAGATGAAGCTGGTAGATTAGATTGATTAGATTCAGAATTCGAGGCTGATTGAATAAGTTGATTATTTCCACGTCCCATGATGTCATTCCGAATTCCAACAAAAAGAGCTTCCAATTGAGCAAAACTGCGACAAGGATTCTTCTCTTAACATCAAGCGGAATAATCATCCTTTCTTCTCGTGCGTGCCTCTCAAAGGCAGTCCAGCCGCCTTGTAGATTGCATCAATCCCCTCCATCTGCGCAATGCTATCCTCATTGCTAACCCAACAGGGCGGCTCCTTATTCCTGACCTTGTCCACAAACGCCTCCAGCTGCCACCGATACGTACTCCAATACGACTTGCCTCCCTTCCCTCCCGTCGTCCACTTATCGCCCCACACCGGCCCGCCGGAAGCTCTGCGTCCGATACTCCGTCTTGCCCGTGCGCTTATCCGTAATGGCAATGTAGTGATAGACATGCGGCATCATGGCATTGTAGAAAAACACAGTGGCCGTGTCGGTCTCGACTTCGATGGAGGGAAGTTCCCAGAGGCGCGGAACGAGGCCGAAAAAGGTCCAGCTGCGGGAGAGGTCGGTGTAGATCCGGCTATGGATCGAGCGGTTGGGATCCGTGGGGGAGGCGAAGAGGAGGTGGGCGTGCATGGCGGCGTCAACGCGGGGGTCTTGCTTTGAGGGGCGGGAGATGGCGGATAGGACGGTTTTGGGGGGGTGTGGAGTGTGGATTGCGTAGCGGGTGAAGGAGAGAGCGTAGGTTTCGTCCATGAGGGAGCCGCCTGGTGGTTGGGAGGTATGGTCAGTCAAAGGTAAGTAGATGGATTATACGGTGTTTTTACCTGCGAGCTCAAATTGCCAGCGGATATCTCCTTCTGGGATGCCGGGGCTGGCGGTCATCCAGGCGTCCGTGCTAATGATATTGCCGTATTTGCCGGAGTCGAGGATGGAGCGGAATAAGTGTGCGGCAGGGTGGAATTGCCAATGGAACTGGTTGGGAAACTGGGTTCAGCTTGAGACTTTTCGAGGGGAGCCGAGTCAGGGCATAGTTACCGCTTCCTCCAAGACTAGCTTCTTCTCCTTCGCCAGCTTCACCAACTCCCTGGCCTCCGCTGCGTTTGAAGTAAACGGCTTCTCGCACAGAACATGTTTCCCAGCCAATAGGGCTTTCTTGGTCCATTCAAAATGCATGCTATTCGGTAACGAGACGTATACCATATTGATATCTGGATCATTGAGCAATTCCTGATATGACCCGTAGTGCTTCTTGAAGCCATATTTCTCCGCGTAGCTTTTGGCTTTGGATGCATCTCGCGAGGCGATAGCGTAGAGGTTGACGTCCGGATGGGTTTCGGCGGGATGGATGACTGGGAGCGGACCGATTAGCAACGTAGATCTGCGGCTATAGTTTATATTGGTACTAACCGCCTGCGGCATTGATCTGAGCGGACGAGAGCACTCCTAGATTCAGCGCCATGGAAGACGTCTTGGTCTTGCCGTGCATCCATGATGTCGCGTATTGCTGGAGAAAAGTGAACCCTTGAAGAGCGAGAGCCATGATGACGAGAAATCGACGGTATCTAGCTTATGTTGATAGAAACATCATTCAGTTGGAGGCATGAATACTTCGTTCCACAATAGATATATACGATCGAAGAAGGGAGAAGCTCCGCATCTGATGTCATTCCCAACGTCATCAGTCAGGTTTCTCTGAGACTTGTGTCCTCGGTGAAAGCAGATACAAGACAGTTGACTTGTTTATCGTCTGGATGGCAGGTATCTCCAGGCCGGTTCTCTTGTGCGCACCCAAAGCTTGTCCAGGAAGCAACTTGGGAACTTGGAAGCTGCCCTGATTCGGACGGATAGCTTGCTGATATAGCATCGTCTGTCTCACAGCGTACAGAGAGAATATCCAAAACCATATTAACTGAATGGAGAATATACAACTACAGACACAATGAGCGGGCAATTGAAAGACAAGGCCGGTGAGCCCATCCACGAAGGCGATCCTGTCGAGACCAAGATCCGAGGTGGTACACACACGGGAACTGTATGTCGTCGCCCGAAGAATTGCTCCGTGATTTAGATCTCAGGTTCTGATTGTTTGCGTTGTAGGTCGACAAGATTGTGACGAGTCAAGAAGAAGCCCAAGAGGAGAATGTGAAGAACCCGCCAAAGGTAACTAGCCAGGCTGTCGTCGTGTGGATGCGATCGAGTTAACGTCGTCTAGATTGTGTATGAGGACCAGCATGGCCATCGAGTCGCGCATAACCCACAGACTCTGAGAAAGGGAGGGGAGGATTGAGGATTTATTCTCCCAAATCGTCGCTATAACGATGCTCGTTCTGTTTTTCAATGAGGCGCAAATATCCCATTCCACTCTCTAACAGTGCTATGGAAATGGACGGTGCCATGGTCGCTATTAAAGAGGATCAATTGAATAAAATTAAACCGCCAGCTTGCTATGCTTATAAATGCGTTGGAGCGCCTGCCGAGGCATCCAGATAATCGTTAAGCAGGGCTTCATCCAGTCATGTTGGCATATCTATCTCATAGCGGACACTTAGAACTGCATCCTCGGTGATTGGAAGGAGCCGTATAATCGCTACTGAAGCGCCGTGGCATGTGTCCTGTGGCATGTATCGGAGCTTGTACACAAAGCAAAGGTCAGATAAAGGACTGTTGGGCAACACATTCCATTATAAAACACTATAAAAGGCTATCCGAGTTAAAATCATGTAGTGGTTGGTTAATAAAACATGTCCATTGAATCACCAAAGGAATTGAAGTCCGCCCCTTAGATCACATACTACATATCAGTTTATCAGCAATCTAGTCCAAAACACACTCATTGGTATGAAGCAGAGCGCACTCACCGGGATAAAAAGATATGGCACCTCCTTCTCATACTGAGTCCAGGCGTCTCCGTATTTCGCCCTGCACCGCTGGATATCTCTCGTTGCACGGTGAGTAATCATAATCGCAAAGAAGACCGGATAAAACCATGGGAATGGGCTGTTAAACCCGGTAATCAAGCCCCATGTGGATGCGAAGAAGAGGTCGCAAGTGTAGTGAATTTTGCGCGCATAGCCGTCTAAATCACGGTTAATACTGAACGAAAGCAAAAAGAAAGGGGTTGAATTGGAGGCTGTATACTCACACCAACCATCGACCAGAATGGTATCCCCTTTCTTGCTGGTAATAGTTCGGGGGTTCTTGATCGTCTGCCATGGAAGCTGCGGGAAGGTTTTTCGCATTATCATGTCTCCACGCTGCTGTTGGCGGAAGCGGTTCTTCTGGCTGTTTGTTGTGTCCCAGACCCAATAGACGAACACGTACGAAATATACAGGGCGGCAAGAGCATACTTGTTCCACCGGTAGGTTTCGGGTTCATGGCTTGCCAGGTAGACAGTGCAATGGCAGTAGCTGAGAGGAACACCGGCAAGGTTCCAGAAGATAAGCATGAAACCCCATTTTTCGTAGTAGATGTCCCTACAAACCAAGTAATCAGATGCTTTTCTATATTAGTCGGCATTCTCTGGCTATCACTCACCATGTCGGAATAATGCACTCCTCGCCCTTGGAGCAGGCATTGGCATACAAAAAGTGCGCCATAAGAACGAAGCCGACTTCTCCACTCACATAGCCATAATTCTCATATTGTCGCGCGGCTGCACCCATTGAGACCAGGAGCAGGATATACCAAGGGAGTCGAACCTCGAAAAACATCTTAAAATCTAGGATCCCGAACATTCTCGGGTTCAATTCCGCACCCATGAAGAAATCGTAAATCGGGTATCCCGTAGTGCGATGCTGTACTCCACGAGCGAGGGCGGAGAAGTATGCGATAAACGAGATTATAAAACCGGTGAGAATCGCAACGCTCATCAAAGGGCCAAACTCATCGATGATAGTGTAAAGCTTGAAGAGACCAGAGACATGGAGACCAATAGCCACAACGATAGTTGTATAGAAGGACGCGACAGCAGAGCAGCGATAGGTGAGCTGCTTTCCACCCAGGTGATCTAAAGGTCTGCCCTTCGCTTCAATGCCCGGGAGGAACATGTAGCACAGAGCCTCGAAGATGAAAAACGCCCAGTAAATAGTCCAGGCTTTAACGGACGGGAAAGCGCCTTCATACACCAGCTGTCCCATATGCTTCACGAAGCTCACCATAGACTGTCCTTCCGCGGGCAGTGGGAGGTGTCCATCATAGTACACCGCGCCAATCCACATATAATACATCAAAGTCGGAAAGCCAACCATCATAGCCAGCACACCCAGCGATCCGCCAAACTCGAAATGCTCCGTGCGTTCGACATCAGTTTTGGCTTTGATTCCGTTGGTTTTCGCATTGCCATTCGGTTTGTGATCTTCCACCTTCGTCTCAACCTTGGCTTCACCCCGTTTTCTAGCCTTGTCGGAAAGGTGCATGTGGCCGGCAGGGGGGTCTGCTTCGTCGTACTCCGGGCTCTTGGATGCGCGACTCCGGGTCATGCGTCGAGTGGGGGTTTCTACGAAGCCTGGAGGCTGGACCTTCCTGGGAGAAAAATCAGTCAGGTGTTCAGAAGCGGGAGGCAGCAGCAAAGGATCCGGGAGCTCATCAGGTAACGGAGCTCAGACGCAGCCCGGCCCAACAAGCCAAAAGGCATGGTTTCACAAGAGGCTCTGCAGCAATTGCGGCTGTCAGGAATAGGGGATGACTTACTTTGGCGTCTTGCCGGTTTGCGAACGAGTGAGTGTCATACTGGGGAGCAGGGTAAAAGCGACGGAAATGAGCGACTAGCTGCCCATATATACTCCGTACTGACAGCCCAAAAAGCGAAAGAAAAAAATAGAATTGGTTTGCCCTCAAGCCATTATTGAGGGATTGAGAGAGTGGCCTCATCAACAAGCCAAATAATATGCAGATCAGACTTGGCTGGGGGGTTGTACCACGACGTTTCTCTGCAGAACGGTACACCGGCGTTACGGGCCGGACGGCGGGGATTCCCCTGAATCTAGCTTAATGGCGCCTGATGATTGGTGGGTTTCGTGCCCTAAAAGGCACCAGTGGTAATTTATACAGGAGAATACAGGGCCCGTTGCTGGTGGAGACAAGGCGAAAATATCAGACGAAACGCGACTCTCGGCCTCCGGCGCACAAGATAATAATACATGGGATTCAACGTGAGCACGACTTTCTCTACTATGAACATTATTATTTCGATATTGATATCTACCAAGGAAAGCCCTCTGGATCGCAGAAACGCCAGATTCTCACTCCAGCTTCCTGCGCGAGTCTATCTGCACCCAGATAGTAACGCAACTATCACTTGCTGCAACATTGCCCGGATGCTGTTCATGCTGCTCTCCTGGCGTTAGTAGACATCAGCGTAATCTTTTTATGTTTCTTCTTTTTGTTACTACTAGTGGGAGGAGCCGGTTTCTCTGCCGAGGCAAGTATTTCTGCTTGCTCCGCTAACAGCAGTTCTCGCTCCCAGCCCTGAAGCCATCCGTCATCAGGCTCGTTTTCGCTCCGGTATGGCAACGGTTTAGCGCTAGAGTTAGTATCCACTGCTGTTGTTCCCCAAACCGTTCGATGGCTTGGTGGACTACTTGACGGCGATGCTAGGGCGGCCAACGAAGGGTGGTTCTGCCCTCGAGAAGGTCCAAATAGAGGCGAAGCTGGGGTTAAATCTGATTTGGATGCATTTGGATCCGTCCTAGATGGAGTTGTAAGAGGATGGAAATCGCTGTCTGACAATGGCCGGTCGGAGAGACCGCTTATGCTTGATCTCTTCCTCCAGACCGCTGCCCACCGCTTGTCTTCCTCCTCTTTTTCTGCTCGAATGCGCTCTTTCTCTTCCCTCGCTGCTTTGTCCATATTCCGCTTCCGACGGCGGTTGATTTCGTGTGCAAATTTTTCAAGAATCGACGGGCCAACGAGGTCAGTCCAATCACACTCCAAGAAGCTCACTTCGCAACCGTAGGGTAGATGGCCAAGATATTTAGCACGTTTGCGCAAATCATCGTCGACAACATGACCGGTTGAAATGTGTTCCACTCTAGGTAATATGGTGGATGGAAATTGCGAAAAGTCACCAAATTCCGCCTTCAAAATGCGGATATCCAGAGGTGAAAGGTAAAAGTGAGGGAGAGCTTGATAGAAATAGTATGGCTGATCGCTGGGATGCGCAGCACAGGAGGATTTTGGTTTTTCGAAGTTGGGCGCGGTGCTGAGATCCGGTTTCGCGGCGGCGCTCGTTCCATTCGAAGTAATAGTCAAGTTCGAGAGATCGGATGCAAAACTAGGTACCTCGACGGTAGCCGTGTTGCTGAGATTCAAACTGCTAGGTTCTGGGTTCGTAGCGGTGATGGATGGACTTGACGAGCTATTGCCAGACCGTAGGGAGCGTTGGTAATGATACATATCAGGAGTATCCTTTGGTGGCTCATCGAAGGATGGTACGCTTTTCACTGGCCGGCGCCCTACCGACTCTCTCGATAATTCAGGGGGGTTGCCAATCCCTTTGACCTTCTCTTTCACATCTTTGATGGCAGCAATCGCCTTGTTTGTCCAGGTTGAATCCTCCCCAAAAAGCAATTCATCTTCATGTTCCAGCTTCCTAAGGTCGTCCATTTCACTATCATAATGGGCAAGCATGTAGTCTTCACCACCTTTCATGATACGAGCGTAGTCGGGCACGTCGGCAATATGGTACCATGGAATATCCTCTTCGGGGCCCATGACTGCACCATCGCGAGGAAGAGCGAGGGTGCTCCCTGGCATTCTCCAAACCAGCCGGAGTAGAACATCACCACCCTCCATTAGCATATCTGCCTGCTGCCCCGTGTACCAGGCAACGCAGCGGGTGTCCGATATATAGATGGCATCCCAGCAAATTGGGCACTTCTTCCACCGAGCTCTCTTCTCTGGAGTCGGATTCGAGTCATCTGTAGAATGCATATATCGAATGATGCAAGGAAGACAGAATATGTGGCCGCATTTAGCCATTCGTGGTGCAACAGGGATGGAGAGGCAAATCGGACAACTGGTTGTCTGGATTTCGGAGGAGACTAAAACCTGCAAGACAGTGTCCCAATCGAGGTGCACATCCGCATTTGTCGCTTGAGAGTGATAATTCTTGGTAGGATCAACGATGAAACGATAATTAGCGTGGACATATCTAGAGAAGAGTCAGTGGCGTTTGGTCCTCCTTCCATCGGGGATTCGAACCTGGCTTTATCCACTGCTCCTGAACGAGGGCTCCATCCATGGCTACGGCGAGGAGGTCGTTGGGACGTGAAACTATTGCGGGGGCGGGGAGGAAGGGAAAAGTTCATAAGATGAGTGATCGAGGTTTGGCCTTTCCGACTCATCGTGTTATTCACTGCAACCTATCGAAGTGAGCATGACAACCGTGGTATGGCAACTAGAACAGAGTCACATACGGACTCTGCAAATGCATCCTCATCCACCAGACGGGGTCGGCGATGACGTTTATGCTGCTGTTTGCGGGTCTGGTTGTTTCTCGGTGTCGACGAGTTCCTCGCAGGGAGAGGGTTCCCAAAGGCTCGACGCTGCGAGCTACTTTCAGCACCCCCAGCAAATGTCTGAACCGCAGGTGCAGGTGTAGGCTGACTCTGTGTATTCACCGATTTTGGCGGGTTCGAGGACGGTCCTGAAGCCGACATTGCTGGACGGATCCAGTCTGCAGCAAAGCTTCACAGGGTAGCTTGCTGGTGGGGTTCCACGTCCTAGAGCGTCAATCGCGCCCTCTATACGGGAGCTAAGGAGACAAGAATTCAAAAGCGAAAATGAACTGGAAAAACCCAAGCACTATCTCCCTTGAATACCCCGAGGGGCCGTCGTGCAGCAATCGCCTGGTGGAAAACAGCTTGAAGATGACGATGAGGGGCGACGGCGAGGTGAGTAAGCCGGAGTTTGGTACGAACACGTTTCATACAGGTTTTGTACTTTACTCTTTGAAATCCTCGCAGTCCCTGGGCTAGGGTACTCCGTATTGCGTCGTAAAATGCAATACAGGACGTGACGCCACCTCGTCTGGTGAGCCGCCCCGTGACCGGTTAGTCATCCGCGGCTGCGACTCACGAAAAACATCGTCCAACACAAAAATTATCAGCTTCAAGAGACGAAGATCCCTCGCATCTCCTCGCTGCCCTCCTCTCCACTCAGCCTGCGCTCACTATCGCTACTTGCTCCGCCGTCTGCTGCTTGTCTTCATTGTTTCTATTTGTCATTAGGCCCCGCCCATCGCGCCTCTCGCTGGTTGAGGTAAGGCGAAAGTTCACGCCCCTGGCCCCAAAGACCTGTTCGGCTTATTATCTGGTCCAGCGATCACCGGCACCCAACTCTTGTTAGGCACCCAATTTTTCGCCGCGATGGGATTCTAGGCTTTTGCAAAGCTTGCCCGTGCTTTTATATATTGGCTGTTTTCCGTTTCGCATTTATGGCTCCCCGCTAGGTCGCTTTTCACCAACGATCAAGAAGGCCGGGGCATGATGAACCACCATCTGCCCCCGCTGCCTCACGGGCAACCACCCGTGCCGCCCCCTCGCCGGCAGCATGATATGCCATATGCTTCTGCGCCGCCTGCTATGCGCTCTTCTCCAGCCTATATGGGCTACCATCACCCTCATTCCCATGCGACCGGCCCTCTTCCTCCATACGCGCCGCACCAGTATCAGCAGCAATGGTATCCTTATCAACAGATGCCACAACCTCCGCCACCTCCACCGTACCAATCATATAGCCCTTTGATCGTTTCCTCTTACCCTCGTTCACAGCATATCGCGCCCGGTCCTCCGTCCTTCCCTTTACAAACACCGCCAACCTCGTCAACACCTCAACATTCCTCCTTCACTTCCACGCCACCCCCTGCAGCACCCACTTCCACCACGTCAGATTTGCAAGAAGATGTTTCTTCAGCAAGACAAGGAGAGGCTCAGCCAACGAAAGTAGATGAAACTTTGACATCTCCCGTTGCTGTGCGGACTCCCAGTTCAGTGATCCCCCAAGCCCCAACCAACGAATCCTTGAAGGATCAAGCAGTTGCTAGAGAGCCGTTTCAGCCACCGGTTAGTGTTAATATCTTGATATCAAATAATTCTAAGCACGATACTAATTTGGTGTTCTTTTATAGCTTCCTTGGTTATCAGTTCCCGAGGTTCCGTTCCCTCAACGATCGTCAAGACGACGTCGAAAACCCAGAGTGACAACGCAATCTGTGGCTCTTTCATTCAAAGCCAACGACGCGACCAATGAACCCCCTAAGACCACCAGTGAATTAGTATCCCCGTTGCCTGAGCGTTCTGTTACTCCCACTCCGACAACCTCTCATCCCCCTTCTGAGCCTGCATCGACACAACCAACAACTCCGTTGTCTGCTGCCAACCCACAAGCAGCAATCCATACCCGCCAAACTTCGCAAACGAATGCGTCACGGCCAATAGTCCCTATCATCCCAGTTGTTCCCATTGTGCCAACTAGTCCCGTTGTTCCGAAACAGGGGCAACAAGTCACTAGGAAGCCTAATGGATCCGCAAAGCCCAGCGGATCGAAAGATACTGATGAGCCAACGCAGCCTAACGAGAGCAAAATAGAGAAACAGGATGCCAGTATCGTGCCTCCCCCTCGTTTACAGCCAAAGTCCTGGGCCGACCTTGTTCGAACAAAGAAATCGACCACGGCTCACAATGTCGTGTCTTCATCGGGAACCAGCGGATTGGCGCCATCGAAAACCGAGTCTCTTGTTGACGTTATTAACAGTCTAGGCTCCGATGTAGATCTCTATAACAATAAGATTACCTTTATCGAGCCCCGAGGCCTTGTAAATACAGGGAATATGTGTTATATGAATTCCGTAAGTTTTCCGGGCTCTGATTCTATCATTCATATAGGGTTGTAGCTCATCTTGCCCAGATTCTGCAAGTTCTCATCTTCTGCGTCCCGTTTTATGATTTCCTTGATCGGATCAGTCGTCGTGCTGCGCACAGTTTCAAGAGCGAGCTTCCATTCCTTGATGCAATGTAAGTTACTTTCCCCAAAATTCCAAATCAGTTTTGTCACTGACGTGTTACTGGTGTAGGATTATGTTTATGAGAGAATTTAGAGTAATCGATTCGGCGACCTCGGTTGAGCAGTTGAGACTACGCCTGAAGCAAAACGAACTTGAGCAATACGGGGCATCATTTATTCCAGAATATGTTTATCAGGTCATCAGGCATCTTCCTCGTTTTAGAGACATGCGAGTAAGTTGATATCCGGACTCCCAGCTGCGTTGATGGATTTCACTCTAACGGCTTATAGCGAGGTCACCAGCAAGACGCTCAAGAGTTTCTCGGTTTCCTATTTGAGGAACTTCACGAAGAATGTTTGCATGCAATGAAAAGTTCTGCTACAACATCGGAAACGGCTAGCGTTAATGATGTCGACGCTACTTCCATGACAGATGACTCCACTACAGAGGGATGGCTGGAGGTTGGGCATAAGCAAAAGCCCGCTGTGACACGGTCGGCCGGACACATCGCTGCAGAATCTCCTATCACAAAGATATTCGGTGGGAAGATTAGATCCGAGTTTAGGGTGCCTGGAAATAAAAATTCGGTTACCCTAGAACCCTACCAGTCGCTTCAACTTGACATCGGTTCTCCTCAAGTTAACAATATCATCGATGCATTGAAAGGGCTCACCAGACCAGAAACTATGCATGGAGACTTCAGCTCATCACGCGGTACCAAAGCCACTGCCACCAAACAGGTGTTTATCGAGAGTCTTCCACCGGTTTTGATTCTTCACTTGAAGCGTTTTCAATATGACAATGTAACGAAGGGCACCCAGAAAATTTGGAAGAAAGTTGGATACCCCTTGGAACTTGAAATTCCGAAAGAAGTTTTCCCCCCACACCGACGGAATATACTCGCTGCCCAGGGTGGAGGTCTTCCCAAGTATCGACTTACTGGTGTTATTTACCACCATGGCAAAAATGCAAGTGGGGGCCATTATACGGTCGAAATCCGCCGTCAAGATGGACGCGAATGGGTCCGTATTGACGATACTGTCATCCGCCGTGTCCGAAGCGAGGATGTTGCGTTTGGAGGAAATGACGAAGACCCAAAGGCCTTGGCGGCTGCTCTTGAACAGCACAAGTCTATGGAGGACGGACAGTCGAACATCTTCCGCCATTTCGATCAAGACGATGACCAGGACAACGATCGTGGATGGAACCACGTCAACGGCTCAGGCTCAGGCCATGCAAGCAAAAAATCAGTCAGCACTCTAGCCAATGGAACGGGCACGCAGAACACCGCATCTGGCGACGCCTCTGGGAAGGGAACCCCTAGCAGCCGGTTGGCAGCTCGGGAGAACAAGGTCGCATATCTCCTCTTTTACCAACAAATTTAATACCCTCCACGGAAGGATTACTTGATTCTACCAACACGATCCTGCTTATCAACTACATCTCTTATCTTCACACATGTCAGTGACAGTTTCGAGTTGAATATCCAGGGTATCTACTCCCTTCCATCCAACACCCTCTGAAGGTTGAGCAGGTGGTAGTGGTGATGCCTAGGCAGCGCTTTTGTTAGCTGGAAATCGATTCGTTTTTTGCGTGGTCAGCTGCTCTCTTGGGCTTAGTACGCGTATCTGCGCCGCTCACCTATTATTTTTAATCGATGGCATACGAAGATGCGGATGGCTCCTATTTATATTTATTTCGGTCCTGGGAAAAGCACAGCTCGGAATAAAAAAGCATTCTGGGTTCCTTGAGGGAAATACGCGCAGGATTGGGAGGGGAGGGATTGGACATGTAACTAATCAATGCCCTGAGATGTCTATGGAAGGCTTTGCTGGGCGTGACTCTGGAGTTGAAATGAAACAGTGTTTAGTTGTATACTTTGACCCTCGATATTCAGTGCTAAGATCGATGTGCTCGCTCAAGCCGTATATTACAGGCTCGAGAGAAAGCTTGTATGCCGCGATGATGCCTGTTGCGAAGTCGTGAATATCATCCCTCGTCAGCCAGCTTGTTTTGGGCCAAGACTCGGTCGCTCTCTCCACCAAGCATCGACCTCGACCACAATCCATCAGTCATTGGACAGCCTTGCGGCCTCGACGCTTAAACTGTGCGACTGCTCAGGTAAACTAGTAATAGTTAACCAAGTCCGCTAATCGGGGGGATGGCTAGCATTCTGGCCAAAGGTCAGCGAGTACTGAGTACTGCTGCTCAGAAACGGCCACCGACAGACAGCCATCGCCTTCATAGCATGACGCCCTTGACCTTCAATCTATGTCAACAGCGAGAACGATGGCAAACATTGAACTCGACGATATCGCGACTGATACAAGTGCAGTGCTTCGCAGCGGTCGTGGAGAAGGCTCAGGCACTCAGCTTGCTGCCACACAGCTGCACGCCTCTCCCGCTGATGTGGATTTCTTATCGTTCATCTATACTCTCTGGCAGTTGAATATCCCTGTTTTAAATCCATGTTTGTTGGATACCCAGACCGCGATTTCAGCAAGTGGCACGCTTGGAAGGGGCGGACAGTCGGTGGTGGACGCTGTATATGAGAATCAACGGTGAGACGGTGCGCGCCTCCTGGATGAAACAGCAGGCTGATGCTTTCTTCAGGTACTCAAACAAATATGACGAATCTTCAGCCTCAAAGGTCATCTACAAAAGGACAGTTAAACGAACTGCCCAAGGAGAGGGTGATCCTTCTCATGATACTGCAGCACTCGAATCTTTTGTCCGCGAAGTATCTGTCCTCGGTAGACTTCGTGGTCACCCAAATGTTATACAACTCCTTGGGGTAGCATGGGAGCAAGCAGAGGGGTGTGAAATCCGTCCCGTCCTTGTTATCGAATATGCCCCCTTCAATTCGTTAGCCTATTTCCTTTCGGAGCAGACCGCTACTGCCCTCAATTTTCATCAGAAGCGAGAATTTTGCGCGGATATCGCATCCGGGCTATCGTCGGTCCACGAGAATGGCATCATCTGGGGAGACTGTAAGCCGGAGAATATCCTGATCTTTAAGGACGACAGCCGTCCCGGAGGCCTACGTGCCAAAGTTAGCGACTTTGGCGCATGCGAGCCTGAAGTTACTATTGAATCTCGGTTTAGAGGCTTTTCTGTGCCTTGGACTGCTCCTGAAGCCCTGACGGCGACGGGATTCGCCCAACTTGTGAGGTCTGAGATCTACTCGTTTGGTCTAGTGGTTTGGTCTATCGCTATGGACGGCCGACAGTTCCAGAAGCGATATTGGGGCGAAGCCATGTCTAAAAATCGCAGAATCGATGACGAGGAAGTCGGCATTGAACATATTCAACGGCTAAAAGCGACCAGCTCAGAAGCAGCTGGGATCTTGAATATAGCAGTCTCGTCCACGACCTCATACTTGAATTGCTCTGGGACTGGGGCGCATCCTCTAGCGTCACATATAGAGATCGAGACATTTACCAGAGTGTTGGAATCTACGCTTCAGCACAACCCGAATCACCGAACTCAGGATATGGCATCGGTAGCCCAACGCTTGTATCTGCTTTCTCCAAAGTATTTCTGTCTAACCTACAAATGTTTAATCCATTAGACTGATTTGAACCTAGATCAGTTACGAAGCCGATCTCTATATCCAGGTTTAATGGGGAATTGAGTCTGGAATATCTCCTATCCACCTATGGAGCAGACTCGCACCTGAAACCTGTTGCCTCGTTAATTCTCGAAAAGCTCATCAATCTCAACTCTGTGGCGGAAAATCCTCAAAGTCGTTTCCAAGCCAGCCTCTGTTACCTTGTTGGGTTCGGGACTAAAGTGGATTTGGGAAAGGCAGCTGAGTTGATGAAATCATCTGCATTTCTCGATTATCCCAAAGCTCAAGGCATGTATGCGACTATTCAGGCCATTATATCATTAAAGCAGGAATGTAGGGACCACACTCAGGAAAACAGCACAACGACCGAACAAAATGCGGATTTGATCATGTTCGATGACTTGGAAATAGAAAATAATCAAGAGACAGCGTCTAGCCCCCCTGTGCAAGTTCACACGGATGAAGAAATGGAATGGCTCAAAGACGCTTCCGCCGCTGGCTCATGGCTTGCTGCAGCAGAGCTACATAATCGGAGCCCTACCGATTTCCAAATTGCAGTTAGTCGTTTCCGTTCATCTCTTGTTGACTTTCCTTCTGCCAAGGAAGAGTGCGATGAGTTTAGTACTCTCAGTGAGCGCTCCGGATCGCTCAAAGGAAATAGCGCACTTCATCTTGCTGCACTCAAGGGAAGCGAGACTAGTCTGAAAAGACTTATTGATATCCATGACACATTGGAGCTAGTCAATGGCATCGGTGAAACGCCGCTAATCTGCGCGACAAGAGCAGGACATGCTGGTATTGCCGCCTTTCTCCTTACCCATGGGGCAAACATCAACCATGCCGATAATCGCGGGATCACTGCTTCACACTGGCTGGTGTTCATGAATGCTTCTGAGCTCCAACTACTACAATGCCGGATTTCGGATGCATTGCTGGATGCGCAGAGCATTTCAAGAGTCGACTGCTCGGAACACTGGGGGGCAACATTACAACCAGGAACTCCTCTGGATTGGGCAGTGGATCGACGGAATTTTGATGCCGTAGATTTGTTTTTAGAAAGGGGTGCTAATCCGCAAATCCAAACCTTAGGCCGCCCGTCGGCTATCAATCGGGCAGCCGGCAGACACGATTTCCAGATGTGTGATCGTATCCTCAGGAAATATCCCTGCTTATCACTTGATATATTTGATTCGCATGGCGAGTCGCCCCTGTCGTACTGCTTTCAAACGGATTATACTCTAGAAAGACTTTTGATTTCTGGTACACAAAGTGAAGCATTTCTGGAGGTTTTAGAACTATTCGCAAGGCACGGAACCGACTTTACCTACATCAATGCTCATGGCGAAAACGTCCTTTACAGTGCTATTAAGCGGGGAAACCTGGAAGAGATCGAAATACTTCTTTCCTGGCTAGAGAAAAGGCAAATTCATCTCGAGTTCATATTCAGTGCTACTGGGCCTAATCGATGGTCAAGTTTTCGGCGTGCGCTCTATGCCAGTGACAAAAGGATATTTACCACGATCTTTAGCCAAATTGATATCGGTGAGCTCAATGCCTTACATGTCGACGAGTCTCCTGATGGTCTCAGCATCTTCCATGAGCTTGCTTTTGTTCCAGAATCGAATGCTCGTGAGATTGGAAAAGTGATTTTCTCAGGAAAGGGTATGCAGAAGACTCGGCTGCGCAAAGCCCTACGGAACTGCCGCCTCCCAGCATGGGGGGGTCGCGCTCGTATGACTGCTTTCCAGCTAGCGGTTTTGTGCCAGAACTTTTCACTGGCAGATTTCTGGGTCAAAATGGGAGCCAACCCTCTCGCAGGCCTTGAACGACAACGTTTTCTGGGGTATCTTATCTCGTATCAGAAGATTTTGGCCGCTGAACCCAGCAAGTGGCTTCTCTACATGAGAGATGACGGTGTTCCGAATGTTTTGAGGCGGTTTCCGCATCCAGCGGCAATTGAGAAATCAATTACATACCTGCTGTGCAGCGATTCTGTGTGGTGGAGCATGCTTCGAAGGCCCGGCTGGAGCGTTTACTGGCATGGCCCCGAATTTGATCGTGATTCGGAGCATGAGCCGCTGATTGCCTGGAGGCCTGATATGTTTACCGCGTTAACGGCCCTCATGAGAGCTGACTCTTCAAATGAACGCTCAATGAATAGACATGCCTTGCAAACTTATGGAACATCTGGATATCTGGATGCGAATTCCTTGGCGTTCTCGCACCGAGTTAGGCACACGCTTGATTTCGGTTCTTTCCTTATCTCATATGAAGCCAATTCTCAGAAACATGCTCGCTCTGGCCATAATTTGGTCACGGCCCTTGACCTAGCGTTTGACATGGTGTTGCACAGTTCGTATTCGGACCAAGCCGAGCGCATCTTCCTTGCGATCCTTGACAAGTATAGCGGCCCGTTGCATTGCAATTTTCCGTATTTCCATTATTCACCGATCGGGAGATCGTGGATGAGAAATTTGACCCGTCGTGAAACACTCCTGCACCGAGCCATTCGCGCAGGGAAAATAACTATCGTTGAGAGGCTCCTAGAACACGGGGCGGATTGGAACATGGCTAACACGAACTGGCAGTCTCCTTTACGACTTGCAAATCTGCTATTTTACAATTTGAACCCAGACGACTTAGCAAATCACGGATCATTTTTGCAGAGATTAGGCCCCGCCGTGCCACCGAATTCCGCTGATATTGAGACTGCTAACACAGTGGACAACAGCGACGGTTCTGCATCTGTGATCTTGGCTATTCTCAACGAGCATGCTCGATCAAGTCCTCAGCATAAACTCTGGGGTCCAATTCGCGCAATTCGGGAGGTGCATTGGCCATGGAGCAAGTATGAAACGGACGATCTCGGCATTCGATTTATCATATATTATGTATTCGTACTTACTTTGGTGGCTTTGATACTCGGTATTCCGCTATACGTCTGGAATTCCATAGCGTCAACGACCTCAGTGAAGCTCTTGGATGTCCTGGTCAATTTACAATTGGTAGGAGATTGTGTCATGCTTGCGAAGCGCAACGGCTCCGACCCTCGAGCCCAGTGTTCGGTTGAAAACTCGGAGGCCGTACGGGCTTTTCAGGACGTCGCACTGCCACCAGTGGCTTCCCTGCGGAATCTGACTACTGCAGTTGTTGATACGTTTAGTGGCTGTTACAATGGGTCACTCCCACAAAGGTTGCATGGCAATAGCACATGTCCCTGGCCATCCACCATTGGCGTTCCCGGCTGCGATGACGACACGGATCAAGGGTACTTTGATGCGGCGGAGGGTGAGTTCACTAGTCAGATGGAATATTATTTGAAAAAGATGGTCAAATGCAAATGTACTTGGCGAGGAAAGCCATATCGAGAGGAGCCATGAACTTGGTATGTGACTGGAGCGAATTACGACGCGAGATGGTGTAACGATAAATATATGATAAGTATTCTAGAATCAGTGGCACTAGGCTATGCGGAAGCAGTCCAGTAAAACAGAAATATTGGCAAAAACAGCTGGGCTCCCATATAGAATCCGGTCACACGAGGCCCAAAATCCAAATACAGAACGAGTGTCAATTGAATCAGCTCGGATTTGAGATTAAATCTTCGAAACACCGAGTATGCTACCAGCGCAACAGCGACTGTTATCCCGGAAGCCAGAAACGTGAGATGGAAAGCCATTCGGAAAATCCGTACCCAGCCAATGCCTCGTAATCGCGCTTTCAAGAGAGCCGTGTTGTTCCGGAAGTAGCTATAAACGGGATCAAACCGGCAAGGTTCCGCAGATGCAGGCGGCATGATGCTTGGCCGTCGATTGTATCTAACGATACTATGTTCAGAGAGGGAGAGATTTTGGGCATGTTCGCGGACCAGTATGCAGAATACGGGCAGGTCCAGCGTGATACTCAAAATCAGCCAGACCACGGCGGCTTTGATGAGATAGTGGATTGCGTTTGGGTCAGTGAGGAAGCGCAATCTCACTTCTTCAGGCTCAAAGATACCGACGAAACGGCGGACCATGAGATGGGGAACCAACGACGAGATGAAACGGGTAATGGTGTGAAGTACAAGGAGATGGGCGCCGAGAGTAGTCCGTCTTTCGCGGCAAAATAGGTTGCGAGAGAAGATGTTTGACGAGACGAAGTTCGTGCCGAAACCGGTAGACATGGCAAGTACTCGTCTTGAGGGGAGTGGGTGAACCGTTAATTGATGCGGGCTTAAAGGGCCGAAGGTGCACTTACAAACTATGCCAAATGTACCCTCTCTCAAGCAATACTGCCGCGACCACATCTGCTAGCAGTGTAGCACCGCACGTAAAGGAATCCATCGCTTTCCAGGACTCCGTCAGATCAAAAGGCTGACCTCGACCGGTGACAAGTGCAAACATCGCTGGGATAATCAAAGCCAGTCCAAATAATACGAAGGATATAAATCCCACTATGACCCGTCGAAATACCACCCACCAGACAGCGTATGATCCTACCGCCCGCAGTGCCCATATTCCCCCGCCGGCGGTATATCGAAGCTGTGCTATACATGTAGACACGCTGCGGGTGACAAGGTCCTTGTCTCGAGGGTCATAGAGGAGTAAAGCGCGGAGGAAAAAGAATACCCTTTGGCTGCTCCTCCGCAGACTATTCAATATTCGATACTTTCGCTGGCGGGACAAATAAATATGGTCAGTTTCAGGGATGGACCAGGTTGTATCTTCTTCGCTTGGCTGGTGCGCTTGGTTGAGCCTCGTTCGTAATGAAGCCCTTGTTGAAACTGTCGCAGTTGGCCGTGGCGAGGCATGGTATTTAGCAGCTGACTGTTGTCTATCAACGTCTTGGTCCTCGATACAGGAGAGCAATATGAGGGTCCGGGCAACATAGAAAGTCTAGAACTTGTGAAAATCAGCGTGCGCTTGGTCACAAGGATTCCGTGGGGCCTACCGTGTGGATAACTGCAGAGAGCAGGGAGTAGAAAAGGATAAGATATATCCGACTTTCAAAAGGAATCCGCTCAACCGTTGCAGGGGCTGGTTTTGGGGGCCGGGGGTCAACACATGGCTGTTGGTGAGAAGAGCTGGCCATCGTGCCTCCCAGTGAACATCATCTGAGTGGGACAGGAAAGCTACCGGGTATGGATCTTGAGCAACCTGAACATCAGCATTGGCGGGACTATCGGTATATATAGGAGGTAGCTCGACGAGACAGCAATGTACGCGCAATGGAGCAAGCAGCTGGCATGACAATGCCTGCACGCGGCTCTGAGAGTAACGAGACGATTGACAGGTGGGCCAGAACGGCTACTTATATGGCCATACCCTCTGATAATAAGGAGTTCAACGATCTATGTGCATTGTCGTGAGCCCTGACGGCTTTTCTCCGGGCCTCTCCGAGACTGTGTTGATCCAGGCGACATATAAGTATTTTGGAGCAGACATCAGCTCCAAAGGCTTGGGCAGCAGTGCGATTGTGCAGTTAGTTAGCGTTGTCTGCTGGGCTTCGTTTCTCCAGCCTTGTCCAACCTGAGGCGGATAGGCGCCATTGCATCTCGTCCATTTCTCCTGGGGAAATGTTATCTTTGTTGACTCTGGTGAATGGCAAGACGCAGGCATAAGAGCTAATAATCTTTTCGGGTCAAGGAACATGGAACTAGCCGGTGGGTTCAGTCAGGCAATGTTGATACTGCACTTCATGCGAGAAACCACTGGATTGACGGCAGGCCGTGTTCACAAAAGGCGTTGTCATCGGCGTGGTCGGCTTGGTGTTTCCACTGTTTCACACTGCCCATGAAGGGTACAAAATCCTCGGGGATGCCGGTGCGATGGTGCCAAATGTGCGATTGGTGCAGACGAGGTTGAGGATAGAACGACAACGGTAGCGTTGAAGTCCTTGCACTTTGAATATGTTGCAAGGTCACTAACCTGCATCGTGCCTTTATAGCTATGAGAACTGGGCCAAAGAAGTCGGACTCGACGGGCAGGATCCTGAGGAATTCGAGAAACGATGCCAGGGAAACGTCACGGTCATCAACATTATCGTCGACATCCTGTCGCAGCTCTGTCACCTCGTCACCATGAAGGACGAGCTGCAGAAGAAATACGGCCTACAGGTCCTTGACAAGTCGTCGAAGCCGTTGGGACCAGCATACGATTCCAACGAGGACGTCCCCGTCAAGAGCACTCCGCTCTTATGGTCGAACACCGTTGTCAATGCCGAGCGCGCCATGTGTCTCGCGCAATTCCAGCAGAAATTGGGCAAGATGCACAAGCTGAAATGGGCAATCCGGGGACAAGGCGAAGTTCGAGATGCTGATCGATCAGCTGAAGACGCTGACGACGGCTGAGAGACTACTACCGCCAGTGCAGAGACATGCTTCGACGCTCCTTGTCTTTGCAGCAGAATGGCTGACTTCCTGGAATACTCCGCCAGCCAGCGAAATTTGTCCAAGAAGAACTGGGTGAGCCAGAACTATGCGGCTGCTGCCAGATTCAAATCCATCTCCCTCAAGCGTGCTTCAGACGCGACCAAGGGTGCTGCTTTGCCAGCTGCGGTAAAGCTGGATGAGACGCAGATATCAACTAGTAACAGTCAAAGTGAACGAGCTCTTGCTACATTCAAAGGGCAAAAGGTCTTGATCGAGTTCAAGCTTATCCAAGAATCAGACCGGGCCGTATTCCGAATCCTCGAGGATCGACTCAAGGACCTCATCTCCCTGCTTCAGGTTACCCCTAAGCCTACGAATTACAGAGTGCTAGATTGCCAGGGATACATCGCCACCAGCAAAGAAGCAAATAAAGTTGCATATGGCTTAGTGTTCTCACTTCCAGACGCCCTCTCCACATCTCCTGAACCGAAACTGAATAGCCTCCACTCTTTACTCCGCGGCACAACAGATAACAAGGTGCCTGTGGGAGTGCCACTCGAAGCTCGCTTTCGCTTGGCCACTTTACTTGCGAGTTCTCTTGTGGAGATCCACGCTGCTGGATGGCTGCACCACAACATCACATCACGAAACGTGCTGTGCCTAGCTGCGGAGGGCGAGGGCGTGTTGAGTCGGCCCTATATCGGCGGCTTTGGCTACGCCCGGTTCGACGACCCCAGTGAGGTTTCCGAAATGGCCGACCTAGGTACCGTCGACAACCTCTACCGGCACCCGGACTATCAATCTCCACGCGCACAAGGGCGAAAGTTTCGACGATCGTATGATTTGTACAGTCTGGGAATTGTGCTGGTGGAGATTGGGTTATGGAAACGCATCGAGGCGTTTCGACGGTCGGGTATGAGTCACCCCGGGGCCTTTGCGACACATATTCGCGAATCGGTTGCTCCGATGTTGGAATATTACATGGGAGCAAACTACTGCGATGCCGTTGCTTGTTGCTTGGATGTTCGGAAGCTGAATGTGGGCGACGATGAGGGGAGGAAGCTATCGGACGCAGTGTCGAGGAAAGTAGTAGCGGTGCTAGAAAGCTGTCAGATTTAATTATCGTGAAAGTCCGGATATTTCAGCCCTCTTCTATACCCTAGAAATTCGAGGAAGCACTCGGTTGTTTCATACAAATTTGCTGAACCTTGTAAATCCGCTGTCATCATCGCTGCATTGTCTCACCAAAGCTTCCTTCATCATTCTTCCTGCAAGTGATAGCCCAACCCTTGTCGGCACTGCTCTCAGACCCTCTGACAGATCTTTTGCAAATTAGAAATCCGATTTTGCAAAAACATATTACTCCGTATCATACTCCAGAATGTTAATCCAGGAGTCGTATCATGATGTCAGGACATCCGCTGCGGGAGAGGGGAACATGAGTGAGTCTAGGACTGCCAGCTGCACATCCGCTGAGACACTCGAGACATTTACTGCTAGCATCGGCTGGAGTTCAAGAATCAATAGCATGTTTCTATTGCACAGTTATTCTTGATTTCTCCTCCCGTATAGACTATCGCTGCCCGCCTGGACTGAATCCTCGAGCGGCACGCCGGACGAGAATGCAATGTGCGCTGACTTCTACCTTCTTGAATCAAATGAATAGGGATATATGTATTCCATCCCACCATTCCTGGATATCCAAACGCGAAATTCCCAGGAGTGGTCGTGTTTAGTGAAATCTATCAAGGTATGGCCCTTCTTTTGCGATGTCTCGGTACGCTCCGGCAACTATACAAGGATGTAGGAGCATCCAAGGCGGGCCTGGAAAGCTCCGGGATCAGTGTCAGGCATATATGGTTTCAGATCAGACGTCCTATTTTTCTTCTTTGATTCAGATGCTGAAACAACTATGATGTAGTGACTGGACCGGTAGCACGTTTTGCTCGCTTGATTGCCGGGCACGGATATATCTGCGCGGCTCCGTCAAGCTATCACGAGTTTACCGGCCCAGAGCCGTTGAAATACGATGCAGAGGATACGGATAAAGGCAACGAATGGAAAGTTTCCAAGGTCTGTGCTTATTTGTTTCTATCCAATGTTTTAGTTGATCGCTTGAGCTGACATATCCCCAGAAACTGGCGGCTTATGATGAAGACGCGAAGCTCTGCGTTGACTATCTTCTCTCACTTGCTACGTGCAATGGGCGCATCGGTGCTACCGGAATGTGCCTAGGCGGACATTTGGCGTACCGCTGCGCCTTGGACGAGAGGATCAAGGCTGCGGTATGCTTCTTTGCCACTGACATTCATAGCAGAACCCTAGGCAAGGGGAAAAACGACGATAGTTTGCAAAGAGCAGGGGATATCAAAGCTGAACTGGTTATGGTAAGCGTAGAAAAATCTAACCCGGGTTGTTCGAATTGAGAACGCGCAGCTACTGCTGATATTCCCTGTAGATATTTGACAAAAATGACACCCATGTTCCACCAACTGGAAGAGACCTGATCCGGCAAACACTCCACGAGAAAGGCGTTTGCTTCAGTTTCTACGAAGCTGCCTGGGCGCAACGTGAGCATTCTTCCCTTTTCGTCTCAGATGGAAAGTCTTCTTAACTGCCTTTGTAGATGCATTCATTCGGGACGAACTCAGCAAAGGCCGGTATGACCCTGCAGTGACCAAAGTGTGCATCGAGATGATGTTTGAAGTCTTTGGGCGAACACTCAAAGTTGAGCTTGGGGAATCTGATGGGAAGGATTTCAAAGTAGAGGATGTCTGCTGAGTATATAAACAGATTCGTAATGGCTGGAGTCGTGAATCCTCGCAATGAACTCCGAGATGAGCGTCATCCAGCTTCGCGTTTTCCAAGTTTCAAGAAACAATCATCTGGATTGCGAATCCATGGAATAACACCAAAGACATCCCATGGGTCAATATTGAATGAACCAGCAACCGCCACCAGTTCGCTCATTCTGTACCTGACAAATCGCTCCAAAAAAAAAAAAAAAATCTCCATATTTCTTGCAGAAATTTCAAGATTTTGTTCCTCTGTACCTGCGTAGAACCGTGGTTGATCCCAGCGGGCACACCGACTGGAAAGAATAACCTGCAAGGTCTCGACCATGTAAAAAAATTTCTCCATCGACCCTGTGTAATTTCTTGGCTTGAATCAGTTCTTTGAGTCGACTTTTTTCCAAATTTTTGGAGTTGACAGCAAAGCTCCCTTGGCAAGGATATATCGTGAAGTAGTTATAGTCAGTGGTTAATCTCGTAGGAGACAAGGTGGCATCGGCGTACATCCGTTGTCCGTGCCATCAGTCACTCAGCCATCATATCATAACCGCGGGGGACTATGCTCTGCATTCACTCTGCACATTGCCGTAGGCGAGTCACCGCTGAGGACTACTGTCACTGCAAACGGCCATCAAGCATGGCGGCTCGTTGAGAGAGTTTCAGGACCAGACGCACCGCCGCCAAGCACGCAAGATCATTGGCAGCTGTTGCATCAATTGTTTGGTCGGCGCCCCGGGTGCAATTGGGGTCTTCCACCGGTGCCATGGTCCATTGGGGTTCTCTGCAGCACACACACACATCTCCATTGTTGTTGCTTTGCAGGCTCAAAGAATCATTGCGAGTGGCTTTGATACAGACTGCCGCTTGTTTTTGTGCCTCGCGTGTAATCTATTACCGCTGTGGAACCGGGACAGCAAGAAACGCTCCGCCCGATCCACCGCTGCTACAGTTTCTAATTGGCCAATTGCCAGATAAACCCCCTGAAACCCCATACATCGCGTAATTATGTAACGCCACATACCGCATTGGCGTATTGCCTGGCCTGACCCCCCAGCCCTACTGCTTCTGGACGGCATTCTCGATCGTCTCTTTTTGCTCTGACCAAAACGTCCTGGCGGTCAAGTCCCTCTCACTCCCTCGTCCACGCCAACGCTCACCACTCGGCAGGGCCGTGACGACGCTATTCGGGCTGCGATCGCATACATTCACCTGGACCCTCAAATCCCTCGTATTTCCCGCATACCCGCCCGTTGACCGTTGGCCGTTTGTTTCCTGCATGGTCTTATGTTGAGCTCTGAGAGTTGCCGCTCGCCTCATCAACGAATTGCACACCGGCTTCAAGAGGGCAAGCTGAGCGGCTGCTGGTCCCTGGGCGAGACGTGGTAGACCAGTTCGCAACTTGCGAATCGAGTTGTGGCCCAGGTCCTCGTCCATTGGTCACCATGGGTTCAACCCAATTCGGCAATTTCCACGTGAGTTCTTCCCATAAGGCTCTCTGGCTGGTGTGATCCAAATCGCTGACTGTTGGGCGCAATCACATAGGACTTTTGTCGGGATTCAACCCTGCCAATATGCAATGTTCGTCCCTCGCTTCGAACTACATGGCCACCAACACTGACCTTGATAGATATTCGTCAAAGACAACCAGCCTCCGAATGAGAAGTTTGGGGGTTGCCCATTGATGGGAATCAGTTTGAGCAATAACAGGCATCTGGCAAATCTTGGTATGTCGACGCACATTGCTGCTTGAGGAATACAGCGGCCCTGACGGCTCCTAGGTTCAATCCTATTATGCTTTTTCGCGATTTTGATGGCCGCGTTCTTGATATGGAGGTCGGAGAAAAAGAAGGCTGCCGTGGGGAGAAGGTGGGATATCCGTTGCGATCGAACTGGCTTGAGACTGGGGACACTTGTGTTGACACTGGACCACGCAGGGAGTTCCAAATCTTTCTCGCCGGTTATATCATCATCGAAATATGCGAAATTTTCACCGTCGGTGGCTTCCCTCTTAATGACAACGTTAGAAAAGTACGTGTATTTGGCGACTGCGCCGGCGCAAAATATGGGCTTCTTTACCTGCTAACTACCTCCAGGGCTTTACCGCCGTCCATTTAGCAGCCATATGCGCCACGACCTGGATGCTTTTCATAAATGCACTCGTCGGATATCAGTTCCTCGACGATGGCACGCCCATTTCGGTTGGGCTTCTAATAGCCTCTGCTACTGTTCTCTTCATCGGGACTGGCTATATTGCACTGGACACAGCCTTCAGTTGGACAGGGCATTTTGACTCCAGCCTTTCCGGAGAGAATCGGAACATCGGACTTTATGTGCTGTACTTGCTGTTTCCATTGATCTGCCTCTTTGGTTTTTTCGTGCTTGAAACCATCCTCGTTACCAGGGTTCTAGGAGAGATGCGACCGATGCGTACGTATTCAAGCATTCCCCCTTTTCAATTTCTGAGATATTTTCATGGCTAACAAGAAGTCCCTAAAAACAACAGTGTACCTATCAGCTGCTACCTTGCTCTTCGCCATCGGACAAATCTTCAACTTCGTCATCAGCACTCACCTCTGCCAGGCGGCAGACGGAAAGATAAACGGCGCACTGTTCGAGACCTTGTTCACCCTCTTATCCGTCGGTATGATATGGGTCTTCTGGAGCAGTATAACGGAGGACGATTGGCCCGTGCCCGTCAATAACGGAGGGTACAGTTGAGCAACCAGAAGAAGACAGTACGAACTGCTCAGATATATTTCCCACGCTTTTCACGCAAATATATGGAATTTGGCGAAATACCCCTGTGCCTGCTTGATAAGATTCCCCTTCCCTTCTTTTTTGGGCCCATGTATTGGCTGCTATATTTATGCTCCCTTTTTTTTACCCATGTGTGTCGCCTGCTTTATTATGTGAACTTGGAGGCGAGTTTATGTGTTTATGTCTTTGATATGGCGGAAGCGTTAGCAGCTTCTTTGTTGGAGGAATTTAATGATGTAATATTCTGCAGCTTGCTGGTCCCTTGCTTTCCGTCCCAAGGCTGCTTGGAAGGTTCGTTCCTCTCCAAAGTCCATCCCTCCTGTCAGTTATGCTCGCAGTCGAGAGCCAGGCCAGGTACAAGCCAGTGAGGAGAGCTTAAAAGACAGCAAAACGAGCTTGCATTAGGTACTTGTACAAAAACAATTTTCCTACAGTAAAATGCCGGATCCATAAACCATACATGTCTGTTAAAGAAACAGTTCCTAGACAAGGCGACAAGCTTCAACCACTCTGCACGTAGAACTTAGCCGACCGCTCACTCCGTCTTCTTCTTCTTAAATACCCCCATCCCGAACCAATACCGCCAGTGCGTCCAAGCAGGCCACATGCAAACTGTCTCGATATTATTGCCCATCGGGTCAAGCACAAAGGACCCGTAATAAAACCGTGTATACTGCGGTCTCAGGCCCGGCGCGCCGTTGCATTTCCCACCAGATTTCAGAGCCGCGTCATAAAATGCATGGACGAGTTCACGTTCTAACCATTCAGTCCCCCATGCCTTCAAAAAGCTTCAAAGAAGAAGGGGTCTTTTTTCTTGTCTGTGAGAAAAAGGGAAAGAAATAAAACACTCACTACTGGCGCTGAAAGCTATATGGATCGGCTTTCGCTGTGTCTCCTGCTCATCACCCTCATTTTCACCGTCGGCCGATCCGGCTTCTGGCTTGACGCCGGTGATCCAAAAGTCTGGATAGTATACGCCGAGACCGACGGCGTTGTCTACCGGGCGCATCATCTCCTTGTAGCCGAGGGGCTGGAGGGCGGCGAGGTAGAAGGAGACGGTCTCGTCGAATTTGTGCTGGGGCACGCAGAAGCCCACGTGTGAGAAGCCCATGGCTGAACGGAGTCCGCAGAGGTTGAACTTGGAAGAGGCTCTGAAAAGATTGAGGGGAAGTTCCAAAGTGATCACTGATCAGGGAGGAATCTGGCGATGATGGGAGAGGAGGAGCTTTTATATTTGCATTTTTTCTCCCCTCGTCCTCTGTCCAAAGAGAAGAAGAATACGAGCCCGTTCCTTCCAGCACTCAATTTGTTTCAGCAGCGTGTGTCATGGACTCATGTTGAGCCAATGGTCGAGGTCTTGCTGTTCAGCGCCAGGAACTCAGACTTCAAGGCTTCCAGGCAGCAATGAGCTAGTGAAGGTTCAAAATGCATCTGGGGTTCAGCCCCTGGTTTGCTAAATTAGCGTCTTCATGGTAGATGCTTCAGCCTCCAGGCTCCAGATGAAGAAGGAGTTCTAGATTATTAGCTACTTCTGCAACTTGCGGAATTTCTACCACTGACAGGGTGATTAAGCGTACAGGCAACGGATTGAGAATTGGAATTTAGTACAGGCCTCACCAAAGACGAGACGCTGATATCTACCCTGTCGTTTTTATATACAAAATACGAGCGAAAACCTGCCCTTTGAAGTACCAGTCTTGTAGCGCAGACATATGTATATCAGTCGTAATGTAAGCAGGTCAAACTTTCTAGCAATTTTCCAAGGGATATCAAGAAAAGTGCATCTGTAAACTGTGCAAGATGCCAACAGCATTGCAAGTCAAAAACATGTGTATTGGCAAAATGCTTTCCACTCCCGGCTTCGCCTAGGTCGGGCCAAGGGCTGTACAGAGTACACCGAGGGGGTATCTATATTTTGCTCATGGGCTTCGTGTAACGTCACAAATCCAAAATGACCTATTAATCGGAACCGCTGTCCCGAAAACGTGTAAACGTTGGTGTCAAGGCGGAATAAGACGAGTCTTCTCCGCAAATCCTCGCCGCAAGGCGCTCCCGCAGAAACAGGCTTATAACCTCACTTTCACGTCCACACATGGCAGCGTCCATTCCTTCCGGCCCAAAAGGCTCCGTAGCCACTCCAAGCCGATTCCCGTCAGTTCTGGGTGCTGTCCATTTCCTAACGGCACGCTTCCACTTGGAGCAACTCTCCTTTTCGTTTCTTCGACGGCAGCAGTGGCCAGCGCGGTGGCAGTCGAGTTCACAGCCTCCAAAACATACTGCGTCAAACCGGCCGTTGGGTCCTCAGGGATATTGTTGGCCGCGGTTGGCGACGGGGTAGCGAAGCGGGGAGAAAACCAGTCGCTTTTGAAGTCGACGAAGCATCTGTCCGACCAGTTACAGGAGGATATGAAGAGGATAAAGAGGAGGGCAGAGCAGTAGGAGCACGGCCGGTGGAGGAAGTAGGTCAGGGTCACGAAGGATACTATGAAGAGGGGACTAGCGTTTGTAGGGATGAAGAGAAGCGGTAGCCAGCTAGATTCCAAGCAAAAATTAGCCATTTCTCAGGACGCCGATGATATGGCTGGAGATTCGTAGACTTGGGAGTTGTACCTTCTGAGGCAGAACATCGTCACATCAAATGCGCGTGCTGCTTTAGGAGACGGGTGATAGCCGAGAAAAAAAAAGGGCCGTGAAGCAAGACCAACAACCGCCGCGAATGCAGTCGCTACATCCGCGAATACAGGCAGCACTACTGCTTTTCAAGGCCAGCACTTGATGAGACCATCCGAGAACAGCTGGAATATCAGCAAATCGTCATCCCCCGTTGTCCCGAAACTTGCCTTTTGCTGCGAGCAAGTTGGGCGGAGAGGCGAATGGGCGTGCAAACAGAGCAAACAGCCAGTCAGCAAGCCAAACAACGTCGCTCGATGTTCTTTTATCAACATTCCATCCATCCTGCTTTCACCTGCGCTTCTCTTCCAGCTCTTTTGCTGTTCACTTCCATTCCATTGGAGCTTCTAATGATCTAATTTCAATTGCAAAAAACCTCTCTTCTTTGCTCGTACTTTGCTGATCGCCTGTTCTCTTTGACTGAGACTGGCAACCTGGTGTTTTGAGACAGAAATGTCGCACACACCGCCAGAGCTTCGAGCTCTGTTTGATAGTCTAATGTCAAACCCGCCTCCGGGCGGCCTATCTCACGCGTTTTCGTCTGCCAATAAGCAGCAGCAACAGCAAGCTGGTGCTCATTCCAGCTCCCCTGGTCTCACTCACCAGCACCCTCGCTACGCTCCCCCTTCCGTATCGTCTCCCCTCGTCAGTCCGCCGGTGGCTGGAACGCCTCCCCATCATGGATCAGACATAATCAGTCCTAATACCTTCACTCCTCGCAATGAGCCGAATGTATCTCTTAATTCAGCTGCAGGCCCGTCCTCACACTTGCTGAATTTGTTCAAATTCGGCAACCCGGAGTCTGGGACTAACTCACCGAGGCCTCAGCAACCTGCTGGAGGATTCTTGAATGGGAACGAACAAGGGCCCTTGAACAATGGAAAGAGTCAGAACGGCCACAACCGCGGCATATCCGCTTCTGACTTGATTTCGTCGTTTATGCCTAAGCCCGACACGAAATCTGCAGTCGCTGCGGATGCAACCTCGGCTAGCCCGGCTACACAGGTTGAGAGTGCTGAACAGATGCTGCTACGACTACTGAATCGACCAAAACCTCATGAAAACGTTTCCCCAGAGCCAACAAAAACTGCGGAAAGTAAGCCAGTGGTTCCGCCCCCAGTCGCGATCGAACGCAAATTTTCTGAAAATGAAAGCATCGGAGGCCGCAAACCCTCACCGGCTCGCACGTTTGGCACTCGAGAGAGCCGCGAAACTACTCCATTCGAGCCACCAAAACCACAGTCACCTGCTCAAGGCCCGATGTTTACTTACCTCAATCCATTTGAGCAACTTGCGTCCGCGTCAACACGTCCGCTATCTTCTCAGATGAACAAATCTGGTCCAGGTGGCGCCGTATCTGGAGCCGCTGTTAAAAAAGGCAAAGAGCCCCAGTTGAAAGCTGCCAACGGCTTGACGCGTTCGCGCGAGGACACGAGCTCCCAGGCTGAAGCGGAAGCGACAACGTCTCAGGAGTCACGACATGAAAAGAAAAAACTCAAGACTAAGGAAACAGTCCCAGAAGCTCTCATAGGTGTGGCTGAAAAAGTCGAAGGCCAAGTCGAGGCTGCTCTCGCTCAAGCTATTGGCGAGGAACGGGAACCTTCGAAATCCGAGTCGAAGGGCGAATCAACCCCGCAACCGTCGATAGAATCTGCAACGGAGCACAAAAAGGCAGCCGACGTTGTTCCAGAAAAGCTTGAAAAAGAGCCTTCTGACAATGTTCCTGCCAAACCTGCTGAAACAAAGAAAGACAAAGATTTAATCGAATCATGGGAAAACGAAACCGAACGCATCGTTCCTGTATACAGCTTTCCTTTGAAGCCTTTTGTATCCATTACTTGGAAAGGTGTTACGACAGATGTAGTCCGTGTCCGTGAAGACGGATTCATGGACATTGCACGGTTGAAGAAGGCCTTCGATCAAGTCGATCGTTCTCTCACCTCAGCGGATGCCGAGTATATAATCTATGCTCTTTCCAAATCCACTGGGATGCGCATTATTCGCCAGGATGACGGTCGTGATAGGCAAGCATTCCGTTCATATAATGATCGAATTTTCAATGTCGCGTTGTGCCGGGCCGGACCGAACCCACTGAAGGGAAGGAGAAGGCGGTTTTGGGCATTGGCGTCAGCGGTTCTGTCTACTGGGCGTTTCTTTCTAAGGGGGATGATAACCTTTTCGAGAAGGATGCCCTAGACACAAGGACCCTATTGTTTCCTCCCTTCCCCGCGTTTGATGAGAACACATCTGGCGGCCAGCTGAAAACGCGCGCTAGACCAAGTTCTCGTCATCCTGAATTCTTCGCCATTGGCCGCGGTAAATCGATTCACGTTATATGGCCCCACGCTGCTTTGTCTCCAAAATATGGTGTTTCGGGGTCGGATCGCAAAGTCGATACCGAGAAATTTTACAAGGAACGAGCACTAAAGATTTCGACCGGAAAAGCCGGAAAGGATTTCGCATTCAGTGACGATGATACCATCATCGTGTCACTTGACAAAACGGGCCGGATGAGGTTTTGGGATATCGAGGAGGTGATTGATGCTGACCCGGAGGCGCCTAAGCCTGATATCCGTGTACCGCTGCTTACGCTCGTCACTGCGGCGCCGAGTGAGAAATCGTGGCCCACGTCCGTTTTATTCATTGACAAATTGCGACCTTACCTGAAAATGTGTGCCATGCGTTATATGCTTCTTGGCTTTAGGCAGAATCACACCCTTCAGTTGTGGGACCTTGGACTAGGAAAGGCTGTACAAGAATTGAACTTCCCCCATGAAAAGGAATCTGATGCTATTTGTAGTGTCGCATATCACCCTGGTTCTGGAATAATTGTCGTTGGTCATCCAACTCGCAATTCAATCTACTTCATCCACTTGTCCGCACCAAGATATACCCTCCCTCCGATGTCGCAAAAGGCATACATTCAAGGCGTTGTGGACAAGGATGAAAACTTGTTTGGACCTCAATCCACAGCTTGCATGAGTGGAATTCGCGAATTGTCATTTGGAGCCAGAGGCCAATTGAGAAGCCTCGAACTACTTCCTTTGGGGAAGTCTTCCTCGCAACGTGGAATAGAAGATGATGCCGGCCTCTTTGAACTATACGTTATGCATTCTCGCGGTGTTACGTGCTTGAATATCAAAAAGGCAGACTTGGGCTGGAGCATGGACAATAAGGTCATCCAGCACGTCGACGCGTTAGAAAAGAATCTCATTGAGCTGAAGGATCTGCGAACTTTGCCTTCTCCAGTCGACGAACAATCTGTCAATGGTGAGGGCTCGTCTTCAGCGGTGGGAAATAACAAAGACAGTACGAAAAAGTCTGAAATTGTGGCGGAAAAGACCTCCGAGACTCCATCATCGCGCTCTGAATCTCCGATTAAAGAAGGAAAGAAAAAATCAATCCTCCAGCAAGAGCCAGGCCCGGTTGAGAAAGTTGAGAAAAAGAAAAAGAAAAAGGGCGCCGCGGATAACGTTGCGCAAGCAAAAGAGCTTGTCGAGCCACAGAAATCCGTTGCGGACAAGGGAGAGATTCAAGCTTCTCAGCAAAACGATGCCTCCGCCAAAGATGCAGAGCAAGCCCAGGTTGATCAGCCCCTAGTGGAGAAGCCAAAGGTTGTCAAGACTTCACCTCCTGAGAGTATTTCGACCGGTGACCTAGCGAAAGGAATAAGTGACGTTAAAGATGCCTTATCGGCTGAGTTTTCCAAGCGCCTTAGCAATGAGCTTGGAGATCTTTATAACCGCTTTAACGACGACAGACGTGCGCAAGATGAACTGTCGATTTCGAGACAGGACGCCATGTTACGATTAGTCTCCAGCACTCTTTCTGAGAATGTCGAGAAAAACCTTGCACGTATTATCAGCGGCAATATTGAGTCTACCGTTGTGCCAACCATCAAAAGCGTGATTACTGCCTCTCTGGAAAAGAGAGTTACTGAAGAACTCGACAAGAATATCCGTGCGGCAGTTCCACAGTCTATCAGCAGCGTCCTTCCAGAGGCTATTACCCGCGAATTACAATCGCCAAATACTCTCAAATCTATATCTGACTTGGTGGCACCGGCGGTTGTGAAGAGCGTTGAAAGCGAGCTTGCCAACGTCGTCCGCAACAAGATAATGCCAACAATCAAAAACGAGTATACTCGTACAACCGAAAAATTAATTGGTGATGTGGAGCACATGTTTGCTTCGAAGCTCAGTCAATACGAGAACCAGCGTATCACCGATGGTGTCAAGATTGAACAGCTTACTACTCAAGTTAGCTCTTTGGTTCAAGTTATTTCTACAATGGCAGCTTCTCAAACAAAGTTCCAAGATGAAATCTTAGAGATGAATCGCCGTTTCGAAGAGATGCAGGTGGCTGCCCAGGAACAACGCAGCTCCGCTTCTGCCTTGGGCAGGGAGGATCATCCTGGCCCTGAACTTTCTCCTGAGGTGTTGGAACTGCGAGAAATCTCTCAGTTGATGGAAGAAGGGAATTACGAAGAAGCATCTGTCAAAGTACGTTGACCAGTGCCCCCATTCTTAAAAGCGTATCACTAACGACGAATTAGTGGCTTCAATCTACCCAACAGGCCGAGATTTTTGACAAACTCTTTGTCAACTACAATTCGGATTATTTAACAACACTCCCACCGCTCTTATCTCTCTCCGTCAGCGCTGCTGTCACTTCCTCTCTGAAAACGAACGTGATGGCCCGTCTTGATTGGCTCAAGCGAGTGTTTCAAACTGTCAATGTTAGGGTATGTATCCACCTAACTGTAAAAATATCTTGTCGAATAAACGCTGATGAAGATATTGCATAGGACCCTGATATTTCCCAGGTCGTCCCTAAGATCATGGATATTCTTATTCAACGTCTCCAAGAACTTTACATGTCCGTTGCCCGTGATTCGCCACATGACCCGATCATTCCTAAAATCGCACCTCTCACCCGCTGGGCAAGAGATCTAAAAGAGAGTAGCTATGGTCAAGCATAAATTACTCTATGTTATTCGCAAACATGATCCGGATGTTATTTTTGAAATAAACACCATGAACCACGACTTGCGCACATATCGAATTCCCCTTTTCACTTCATGAAGGCCAAATGTCATCGTATCTCTTGAAATATGAAACTGATGTCCCTGGTCCGCTCTTAACTTGTACCACCATTCTACCTTGAAACTTTGACTTGATTTTTTGTTTCCTCAAATTTTAGCACCTGCTCTATTGTTGCATTATTTGCGCTTCCAGCAAACTTGAAGTCAATTCGGCGCTATTCAAAAGCCATTTGTCATTTCATATGCTCAAGCGGTACTCTAATAATATTCTAGAACTGGGTTGACACATCGAGTGGGACTTGCATAATCGGGACATTTGGGCATGTTTCTTGACTGAGGAAAGGAGATGAGATATGATTTTCAGGGAATGGCTTGAGACAATCTTCGAAAGGTTATGTGCTAATAGGCAAAGATCTCAAAAATGACAAAATGTATTTCAGGGGTTTGATTGTAGGCTCGGGTCCGTTTTCCATTTATTAAACTGAATTTGATTATATCGCATTGTATAGTAACCCGTTCCATTAGGGATGAAAATGCAAACCGTGTCCAGACTCCTCACCGTCCCCATTATCCTCATCAGCCGCTTCCCCCTCTTCAAAAAACTCGAATCCAATCGCCCTCCAATTCAATTCCCTCCTCCAATGCAACCCATACCCTTTCTCTGCATCTAGCGACCCAAACTCACTTCCTCTTACCCGCTTCCCAACGATAATAGTGCGAAACCTCGAAAGTAACATGCCCATCGCACAGCACAAACATGGCTCATGCGTGATATAGACGTCGAGAGACGTACAAAGGTATCCACCGCCAGACGGAGATGCGAGGTTGTCGAGATGGAAAAAGTGGGATTCCAAAGGTGAAAGCGGCGGGGTGGGTGGCTGAAACGGGTCCGGAGGCACGAGGGGTTGATCGGTAGGCGGACTGGTTGCGGTTGCGGCTGCGGTTGCGGCAAGACGTTTGTGGGAGATCAGTGATATCACGCGCATGAGAGCGTGGTCTGAAGGCTGGCCTTCGAAGTCTGGACTGTACGAGTGAGGGCTGGGATTGGTGGGTTGGCCCGGAGGGACGTGGTTCGGATTGTGATATCGTCGTGAATCACCTGCCACGCCGACGATTGCGGAGAGCGGATCGTCGCGGTTGGATTCGAGGAGGGTGGGATCGACGACCACGGCGCCGACGGGGCGGCCACGTTGGGATTGTTGGGATTCGTGGGCTAGTTTTTTGGCGAGGGATAGGTATAGGCCGGCATGGGGTGATATTGAAGATTGTGTTCGGCTGAGTGTGACGGGTGAAGGGGAGTGGGATGATGGTTGTGCGGCTGGGTTGTATGTCGTTGGCCAGTATTTTCGGGACCAGTCTTCAGCCTGTTCGCGAGAAGTTGGAGGTTGTAGAGGTATTTTCGTCGATTGTAGTCGCACTGTTGAAGATAGCGTCCTTGTGCCCTCAGATGATACGGCTTCGGTGGTAGTACCAGACGGCGTCGGTGCGTATGGACCCAGCAGAGATTCGAGCTCTAAACGATCCGGAAGCGGTGGAGAGATCAGAATATAGATGCTCTTTGCAGGACTGGCACCTTGCTCAGAAGCCACATCGGCTTCTTGCTCCCGTTTCAAATGATCAGGTAAATGCTCCGGTTTTGCAAAACGCCGGAGGAATGCAAGATTGAGTGATGGATCCCTTGGGAATTTCGCATCAAGCAGCCTATGAGCACGAGTTAGCCTGGTTGTCTGTGTATATATAACTAATGGCAAAGTTGGTGACAGACTTTACTACTTTATTTGCTGATTTGATATCGATTTCCGCGACCAGGGCATCATCTACATGCACCTGTCAGCATTCACTTCCCGACAAGAAAGACAAGCATTGACTCTTCACCTTCCTCATGAAACGGATGGACCTCCTGGACCGTTGGTAAGGGCACCAACCGACCCGTCAAGGGCTGGATATCCCTCAAACAGGCCACTTCGGCCATGGCCGTATGTCTCGATGGTGGTCGAATTGTTGTAAGGTATCCCAACTTTCATGATCCGCGGCGGTTAGAAACCGCAGACGCAGTGATTGTAAGTATTGTGAAGTTCATATGGATACTGAATAACGTTGGGATACCAGTTCGGTGTCGCGCTTTCAGATGCTGTCGCTGTAAAAACGGTGTTCAGCCCTAACTTGAAGCCCTAATTTGTATCGTTCACTCCTTGACCTGGCCGGCGGCTGAGACTTCCACTACGTACGGAGTACGTCCGAAGAAACAGCTATTCCGCATTACAACTAATTTGACATCTATGATTGCTACCGTCCATGAAGAACTTTTTGTACGCGATCGATATGCTTCATCAGTGAATTACCTACAATGTCACTGGCTGTGTAACCCCCGTTTCGACTCAACACATGGTCAACTAAGGTCTTAAATGGTGGCCGAGGAGGCTTTGAATCTTGAGTATTGAATAGGGGATTGTTTATGGGTAGTTAAAGCTTGAATGCAGAAAATGTTGCAACGCCAATGTGTGATATTCCAGAAAACCCCCTCCCCAATCTAATCAGCCTCAAATACCGATAAATCGATTCAACCACTGGAACGCCTTGGAACATGCCCATGATAACGAAATGAAATAGCACTCAGTGCCCGGTGAAGGGGCTCATGGAGATGGGATCTAAGGATCTCTGGGCGCTATGGGAAGAAAACATGTCCCGATTGATAAATAAGACTCCTTCCTAGAATGAAAACTGTCATGAGGGGCTCCTTTGACCAGTCGCGCCAGTGCCACGTCGAGAACTTGAATTTCTCGCACTCAGCTCACTGTCAATGTCCTCAGGCTCCATCGCGTATTCGTCGCACCTTTCCACAAGGTTCTGGTAATAGTCAACAAGCACCTCCGGCCGAGGAACAATTCGCCATTCCACACGCCAAAGAAACTCCAACTCCAATAAGGCCAACTCGGCAATTGTAATCCCGCCCACTCTCGAATAGGTTTTGTTTGTCCAGAAGCTGTCGCTGAGCCCCTTACTTGCCACAGTCGCTGCCGTAATCAAGAATCGGTGGACGGTTAAACTGGACACTGTAAAAGCGGGGTATAAAGCGCACAAGCGATCGATATAGTAAACCATGCTCAATAGGATGGGGGGTGAGAGGGTGGCGTGGGTGGTTAAGCGCTGCAAGTAGTCCTGAACTGAGATGCGGGGCGGGGATCGCGAATGGAAGCGTGTCAGGCGACCATCGCGCAGAGGAATTTGGTCGTTGTTCCTAATCAACTCCATGAGCATACTGGATATCAGGACCACCAGGTCTTTTGGATCCGCCTGTTCATATCGTCGAGGAAGGATCTTGACGGCCGATTTCGCCTGTCGAAGTCGTTTCGATACCGAGCCATCCGGTAAGTCGCCGTCGCCAGAATTCGAACCCGAACCCGAACCCGAATTTGATATTGCCCGTGTATCCGGCGTGCTACGCTTAGTTCCCGCAGCGGTTGATGGCATTCGTGAGCCAGGCTCAGGGGATGCACAGTCCTGGCTCAATTGCGCGGCCGGTGAAGAAGGGGAGGGCTCGTCGGTGGTGGTGACGGGAGGATCGGGTGCGGCTGGGAGGCTGGAGGTGGAGGAGGAAGATGGGTTGAAAGTGGGCACCACTTGTGAAGTTGGAGTTGCCGGGCGGGAGTATTGGGTGCCCGCATCCACCGTCTGGCGTCGAAACGCAACCTGTACGTCCTGGAGCCCGGGCAAGCTGCGGGTGCAGGGAGCGGGACGAGGGGGGCGGGAAGCGGCAGGCGAGCGAAGTGGCGGTGCACGGTGGTTGTCGAAGAAGGGAGACGGAGAGGCAAGATCGGTGGCAGCAGCGGGAGGAGGGTTGGGAGAAGCGCATAGCAGCGCGGCAGCGGTTGGCGACGAGGTTATCATGCCCTCCTGCGCTCACGGTCGAAGACAGGGAACAAACGCACGTGGGCCTGAGCGGAGGCCGTTATGGCAGGCGGCACAAGAGGCTAGCAACGAAGGATCTACCGAGCCGGCGCGTTCGAGTCGAGCAGCCAGATAGGAACAGCGCATCTTGGCCCATGTGCGCGCGAGGGAGAGGGGAGTTTGGCGAGCGAATATCCTTGCGGGCGACTCCGATTCTCGCAGTTCCAACTTGCTTTTTCGGGTTTGTTTGGGTTGAAAGGAACTTTTTGGCGGGCAATTAAGTCATCCTGCGATTGGACAGGGGTGAGTGGCCAATCAGAGTGCGTGGTTTTGCTAATATTAGATAAGCGACGATGACATAACCACGCTTGCCGCTTCCGGTTAGTCCATTGGGCCAGCTAGTCGACGACCAGCTGCTTCTTTCTCTTCTGCATCCCAACGACATCTTCAAGATGCACAGCGAGGTTGCCCGTCGTCGAGGTGGCACTGATTCACTTGCTGTCGTGATGGCACAGCCTCGCCGGACCTAGTCGGACCGTGTCAAGCCGTCAATCCACGCCTTATCCCCCACCGGCCCATCGTCCTCGGTCGGTTTATAGTTCATTCTTGACCAACAGTGCGGTCGTCGCTTGGGCTACAAAACTACCTATAGAATATCAACAGACCAGTCAGCAGAGCGCTACAAGGTGTGTGCATTATACCAACCGGGTCGCTATCTTCAACCCTTTGCCCTTGCTAGGCCAATTCTTTGGCTGACCGGTTCTAGTTGTCTTTGCCAGGAATTGTTTCATCTGAACCAGAATATTTTCAGCTTCCTTTTTCCCTGCACAATGTCGACAATATTACATCCGGAACTTCTTTCCCAAATCCGGAACCCTGAGTCTCTCAAGTCCCGCGTAGCTTCCCTCCGAGTCCTTAAGAACGACTTGATCGGCCACGAGCATAAAAAGCAAACCGCAGTCGAAGAAGGCATTGTGCCCGTTTTGTCTGCGGTGCTCGCGAGTCCCATTCTCGCTGGAAAGGACCCGGCTACTGCACAGGCAAACGGAAATGGAATATTCTCGATTCAACATGATGGCTCCGCCGATACTTCTCACCTCGAGGCAGTCATATATCAGCAGTCTGGCGCAAGGGT